TGATTATAAAGCTTAAGAATTAATCGTTTAACTTTACGCGAATATATAAGAATATTTAATTAGATAGAAATCGAATTAGTCTTAATCTTCTATTATTAAAAATATATAATACTAAAAACTATTATAATAGAATTAAGTTGAGGCCATAGAAGGGATTTTTTATTCTTCTTTATATATTAAGACTATATTATAATCGATAAAAATCGATAAATATATAATACTTCCTTTTTAATAGCCTTTAATAGCCCTTTTAGTTTTATATTATAGAGCCCCTTTAAGTTAATATCCTTATTTTATCTCTTAAAAAGATCTAAGTTATTAATAGCGAGAACCTCTTTTTATAATAACTTCGAAATCTACTCTATTTTTTCTAGCGAGGCCTTTTAACGATTTAATAAAGTACGTTCGATAGACTTATTAGTCGAACTATTCTTCAGTATAGCATTAAGTAGAAGATCGGCTTCAATATAAAGTTTTACGAGAAAGTTACGCTATAGAGATCTACTCTATAAAGGGTTTTTTTGATAATAGTCTTATATGTCTTTTACTAAGTCGTAGAGACTTAATTCTAACTCTTTTATTATACTTATCATATCCTAAACCTTTCTAATCTTTATCTTCCTTATCTTCCTCTTCTTAGTTGTACTAGTTATCTTCGACGAAGTATTACTTTTACTTCTTTTTTAAGATAAAACGTAAATGTAAAGGGCTAAGAGACTATTAGCGAATATTTAGTAATAGATAAAGTAGACTTTATAGCGATAATAGATAGATTAGATATTAATTAATAATATAGAAAATAATTAAAGGTGAGATCTACTTAATAAAATCTGGAAATTCTTATTAAGACCTCGCTAAGACCTCTTCTTAATAAGATCTCTTTCACATTTAAACTAATTATTCTTTATTAATTTATCTTCTTACCTTATCAATCTTCTAACTAATTATAGCCTCCTTTCTCTTCTTATTTAATATTATTCGAATTAAAGTTATTATATATAATAGACTTATTATACTCTATCTTATCGTATTACTCTTCTAAATAAGTCTCGCGCGTAAAGATCTATTAATAAATTGTTTAACGACGTATTTCTAATATAGTTTAATCGTCTAATACGCTATATATAAAGAGTATAATTATAAAACTCTATTATCGCCCTAATTTTTTTTATATAACTCTATATAAGAAGATTCTATTAAAAATTCTTAAAGTAAAGAGAAATATTACTTAACTTTTAACCTTCTTTAATAAAGAATATACTAACTACTAATAGACCTAGAGCCTAATATCCCTTACTATTTTCTTAAAATCATAGTATTAAGATAACTAAGCGATATTTAATTAAGTCATTTATAACGATAACATAAACCTTTCTATATTTAAAGACGTCTTTTTCTATATTCTATATACCCATTAGAGACTTCGATATCATATGAGATATTCTTATTTATCGATATCGTCGCTATTAATATCTAACTGATGATGGGAGCAGGCCTACGCCTACTGTGTTTCTGGGCGAGTACGTGTGTCCATTTCAGGTGGATGTGGTGATCGGACGCTAGAGGATAACTTCTGCTGACATGTCAACAACCAATGCTACTAATGCGGCATGTTTGTCAGTATGATATCTAAAGATGCTTCTACGGGTGTACCCCCGACTGCTTGACCCCGGCAGGTGCGAAGCGCAATGCAATCCCGTTTCCTACGAATTTCCATGGTAGAATGCCTTTTCGATCGTAGGCTTTTTTTTTGTTTATACACTTTCGCTAGGCTTGGGCCTTTGTCGCTGCCTAACCGGTATCTTTTCAGGTACTTTCGTGTTATATCCGCTGGCACGTTTTCCCTGTCCTCCCTACTTACCCTTCCCTTTTGCATCGCTCTGCCCTGCTACCTAATGCATCGGCACTATTTGACACTCTGATGGCTTCGTACCATCGTGATTGGCAATGCTGGAGGAATGCTTCGTGACAAGGATACCGCCCGCGTGCTTCCTACATCCTCATCACTGTTCTGGCGCGAGCGCAAAACCGAACGTACGTACGTACGCTTCACTCAATTCTGTATCCGGTCGTGCGTCGTTCCGGCATCTCCTCCAAAACCCCGGCAACGCTGATGATGATGCCCCATGTAGCGCAAAGCCGCCGGGATGGGAAAGCGTTGCGATTTTCGTCTTTGGTTTGAACTGCGCAATTGGCGGCAAATGCAACCCACTCGCCTCTGTCTTACGCCAGACAATCGGACGAAGGTCGTGTTATTATCCGTTTGCGTTTGATGAACCCATCCGGGGCTGGCCTGTAATGCGTTCATTCACTGCGGGTCTCGGGTGGGTCGGTCTGAACAATGTCGTCCCACCTCCCGAGGCTGCTTGGATATCGATGGTTGAGATACCGTTGCACCGTGATGCACTAGGCAGCCAGGTAAAAATTGCATTGATGTCGGGTACGGAGTATGGTAAGGCACCGGTTGCGCTACAGCTTCTCATTGCATTGGCTCATGAGCACCCTGCTCGCTCCTTCGGGCCAAGGCGACAAGGACTTGTAGGTCTTACGCATGGTTTACTACTCCGCAGAACGTCGGGCCTGGGGGGGGGTCTCTTCTTCTTCTTTATTCTTTCTTTGTATGACCAAGGATATTTACTCCCCTTGTATTCTTATACGAGTTTCATTCCTTCAAAGCAGTGAATTATCCCAAGAGCGCTTGAAAACCCTTTCCGTTCTCCTCCTCCTCCTCCTCCTCCACCACTGTGTGCAACATGGAAGCTTCAGAGTCTGCTTGCCATCAGTCTCTATTTTACGTGGGCGGCAATTTTGTGGACGATAAGAACCGTCACGAAAAGCTTCATGGAAAGCGTGTGATGCAAAGGCAGATGTATGTCGAGCGGTTGCTCCTCTTCGAAATGTTAGGCACGTGTTGCCATTGGGGTTTATTCATGGCGGTGGACAAACTGCATCGGTTCGTTTCGCACCGGGTCTCAAGTCTCCTTGCAAACGTGTGCTTTCCGGGATGGTATCCTTATCTTCCCTTCACCAGTGAAAATACATTTCATGATGAGAGTTACCATTTCCTATCCATCACCTCTGCTTTTTCAAGTCGATTGACGACTAGAATTGGCTCAACACCTCTGACGGCCGCAGAGAACGGGCTTCCTACTTGATTGATCACAGCTACGTAGGCTATCTTTTCGATCCGCCCACCCGTCGTCGTTCAGCGTGGCAGCTTTCCTCCAACCCTCTTGGCACCGTGCCAGCCGGCTTCGTTGAAAAAATATTGAGAGCTGTGATCCGAGCTGGGTCTTCGAATGAGAACAAGCATCCTCCCCGAAGACATGGACAGGAAGCACTGGACTTCCCAAAACCTCTCTTTCTCCCGGGACCTCCACGGCTGAATCCAAACTCTGACCTCAAACTCAAATCCATACGCAGTGGCTCATTTCCGGCCGAGCAGGTGATCCAATTTTCGATGCCTGCTACGCCATCACAGTACAATCCTTAGAAGACAAGGACATCGAACAAAGTGGTTTAGAAGTGGCTGATAGCGCATTGCTCGACTGTATTGGTCCGGCAATCTGCGCGGTTTCCCAAAAAGGCGGGCGCCGACGTTGAGTGGCTTCGACTGACCGATCGTGGGGATTCGGGGAAATAAGTATATGATGTTCATGGAGTTGAACAACCTAGAGATTGCACAATTGCTCGAGAGTCGGATGGCCAAAGTGGTTTGATAAGCTACTCCAGGAGTAAGATCTTCTCTTGCTTTCAAAGCTGTAATTTCAAGCAACAAATCTTAATCCAGACAGTTTTTGGTGGCCACAGAACACAAGTCAAATCTGATGTTCCACGGTAAAGCCTCATCCAGACGCAGGGACACTGCCCCTTCAGTGGGTGTTTCCCTCATACAGGTGGTGAACCAGCTTCCTTTTCCAGGCTCCCGAGAGAGGGTGCTCGGGAGGATAAGAAACAGTGTCGATATTCCGCACGCCGCCCTTTCCTTTGAAGCTCACCATCGCATACAGAGATTTCGAAGTTGAAATAGAAGAGGTGCACAAAGACACCCCATTCGATATAGCGTGAGGTCGCGACATTTGCTGCAAGCATAAAGGCGGGAAACTCAAATTCGAGGGGCAACGCCTGAGCAAATTTTCACGGATTCCAGGTACTGCAGAGCTCGCTGGAATCTACGAAGTGAGAGGAGAGCTGCTCACAGAGCCCATGATGAGCAGTGACGGTGGTTGAAGAGGCACACTATTCTCCTCACCTTGAGTTGGCAGCCATACCTACTCGTACTGTTCCAGATGGGCTCGGCATCGAACTTCTTCACGTGCTCGGCTACCATATAACCTGACTTGTGACTCCGCAAACATGGACTCAGCTCTCTTAAGATATCTCTGTTCGTAGATACTTGGATCTCAAATCGATCTGAAAAGTGGTCAGTACCTATTGATAGCTTTCAAAATCTATTGAACGATGTTGTACAGAGTAGGTTCCCAGATGCATTCTAATTCGCGACATGCGATTCGCGATTTGCGCTAGCCGAGAGGGTTGGCATCTCATCGTACCTATTTCGCCTTAAAATAGCGTGGGCGAAGGCCAAAGAAAGAGTGCTCGCCTCATCCTTGGTTCTCATGCACTGGCTCGGTTTTTGTGTGCTAGACTGCTTTAGGAAGTGAGATCAACACGACAGTTTCAGCCTGCAACATCACATCTGGAGTCTGGCTGCATCTTGGCGTCATCATCTATCTGTGGCCCAGCATCAATCGCTCCTCTCTCTGACAAAATCCTTCTCTCTGATAACACAGCAATCATGGGTCTTTGAATTGACCGGCCCCCAACCCCCCCTTCACACTCAACCAGGTTCTCAGTGTCGTTCTAAGAACGGGACTGAGAGAACACTGTCGCTACCCATCCATGGTACCTTGAACACTCATCATTTATCTCTTCGAAACAATCAATCCTTCGCCCATCACAGGCGCACATCACGCCTCCAATTCACCCAGTGATCAATCATGCAACTTAACCCATTCGTCACCCTCTCCCTCCTCCTCATCACCCTCCTCCAACCCTCCCTCGCCCAAACGCCCTCCAACTTCGCCTTCCGCACCACGAACCCGCTAATTTTGCAATTTAACACCACAATCGTTTCTCCCCAAGGGGAACTGTTGCCCGAAGCCGGTACGTCTCCGTCCTCTCCTCTGCCCTCAACCCCCCATTCCTCCCTACCGCTGACGGGCCCCAGCCGTCGCCAGCCCCCCAACCCTCGGCACCACCGCCGCCCTCCCCGGCACCTACCTGGCCGTCATGGTCGACCCCGGCGCCGGCACCGCGACCGACGTCTTCGAAGTCCTGCACTACCTGCTCCCGGGCCTGACCTCCCCCGACACCCCCACGACGCGCAACGGCACGGCCTTCTACCCCCTCACGACCGCCGCCCAGCCGCTCGCGCCCTATCTCGTCCCCGCACCCACGCCGGGCGACGCGCACTCGTACACCCTCACGCTGTGGAAGCAGCCAGATGGCTTCGCGGTTCCCGGCGCTTTTCTCCGCTACTTGCCGCTCAATGCGTCGAACCCGACGAATCGGTATCCGTTCAATCTGACGGGCTTGGTGGCGGCCACGGGGTTGGGACAGCCGCTCGCGGCGGGATATTTTGATGTGCAGAACACTACTGCTAGTGCTACGACGACGGCGGGGCATACGACTACGAGTGGGGGAGCGAGTAGTACGACATCGTCGTCGGGGCATAGTACGAGTGAGGGGAGCAGTACGGCGACGGGAAAGACGGTGGCGGAGAGTAGTTCGGCCGCCTTGATAGGTGCCGAAGGTTGTGTGAGTGTTTGGTCTGTGGGCTGTTTTGCATGGGCGCCCTTGGCGTTGGCCGGCGTTGCGGCTTGGATGTGAGCAGGCCGGAGAGGAGTATAGTGTGGGCATGGGAGGAAGGTCAGATGCTAGGCTCACTCTTTGCTTTCAATGGAATATTATGGTATGTTAATGGAAGCGGCGTTGATCTAGAGCTTAGAGCTTAGAGCTACGTGTAGCTACTGGACCAGTGTAGATCTGCTGCGGCCGCCATATAGGCGGCGAGTTCACTGCAGGTCAGCCGTCAACACCCCACCTATGATTCAGTCTGTATTTAAAGGGGTTGATCGACTTACTATTGAATTCCCTCCACCGGGCCATGTACCCCTGCGCCCTCGCAATCGCCGTCAACGGGAAGATGATCTCGGGCGGCAAACCACTAACACAAATCCATGAGTCCCTCCAATGCTAACGCCAAGTAACGATACCCCAATGCACTCGATCCACTGTAGGCGCTTCCAACGGAGGAAAGGGTGGAAGAGATGGAGTGCAACGTACAGCGCAGTATAGACAAAGCACCCAAAAAGATCAACATTCATCCTGATGTTCCTGCTCCGGAACCACTCATCCTCGCTCACGCATCGCTCAATCTCCTCCGCGACCTCCACAATCTCGAACTTGCGGCGCTCAAACCCGCCCAAGATCTCCTTCACAAAGCCGGCGCGCGGATCCACAGTCTCGTACACGCGATGGCCGAACCCATAGAGCTTCCCCCTCCCGCTCTTCACCTCCGCGATCAGTGCCGGCACCTGTGCTGTTGAGCCCACGCGCGCCAGCATGTGGTAGACCATGTCGATGGCGCCGCCATGCAGGGGCCCGTAGCCGGCGCTCAGGGCGGCGATGAGGCAGCTGACGGGGTCGGCGCGCGTGGAGGCCGTGTGCAGGAAGGCGGCTGTGGCGTTGGCGAGGCCGTGATCGGCGTATAGCAGCCAAAGTTTCTCGATGGCGGTATGCTCGTGTGTCGAGAGGGGGCGGCCGAGCATGCGGAAGACGTTGGCGGCGAAAGGGAGAGTGGGGAGAGGCGGCGTGAAGGGCGTGGAGGTGCGGTGGCAGTAGGTTACTGCGACGACGAGGGCGAGGGCGGAGAGGGTGGGGGTGATTTGGGCTTCGATTGTTAAAGGGGGGTTGGCGTATTCGTAGAGGTTGGCGCCTATGAAGGCGGGAATTGTAGTGGGGCGGGAGGAGAGGTGGGCCGATAGGCCGGCGAGGATCATGGTCATTGGGGGGGCGGTGGTGCTGGTATTGAGGAGCGTAAGTTGGACGCTTGAGCTGGGTACGGTGCAAGGGCGTGCTCACGGGAAGGCGTGGATGACGCTGAAGATTGTGTCTGCGGGCGTCGACAGTGCGGCTGCAAGCTCTGTTCGCAGCTGGGCTTTCTGCGTTTGGGACGGCAGATAGCCCCAGGTGAGGAGGTGGAGGACATCCTCATATTGTAGGTCTTTGTGGTAGAGTTCGCCGACGGAGTAGCTTCTGTAATGCAGGGTTCCAGTGCTGCCATTCCTAGATTCAACGCGTGGGTGTCAGCCCGGGCTGGGAAGCTTGCTGGTGCTTGTCAAGTTGTTCATACAGGTATGCAACTTCTGACTCGACGACGGCGGTGTTTCGAAGTCCTGGGTCAGAGATGAGCAGACCGGTATCGGCATCAGGCGCTGTTATTTGCTTGAAATGGGGTGCGTGAATTGCGTTGTGGGATATTGGGATCTCGTAAGTCTTTCTTGTACGGTTGTCAGTAATACTGAGCGAAGCCTTCTGGGTCATAGTGTTGAAGATTCAATTGAACATCGCGTCGTACGTGTTGCTCGCCGATTGTGGCTGTCGATGTCAGGTACCTCATCTGCACGTAATTTCTGAAATTAACTTGAATTTTCTATGCCGTGGCATCAGAATCGGTGGCCTTGTTCGGAGTAGCGAACGGTAAGATCGTAGCGCGGTAATTTGTCATGTCCATCAATGGGGCCATGAGGGGCACGTGCATTAGCGGTGACCTTTAGTTACAGCTTCGCAGCCACTTACCTTCGGCGTCTCCGTGATAATTGTGTAGTTGTGCAGACGGGTCAGGTAACGAATTTGAAAGCGATAGCGCAGAGAAGCCTGAAACTTCAGAGCACTTGTTTACCTGATTGATACTTATAGCAATGGCAACGAGGACGCCAAACGACAATACCCGCCAAGCTTACGATCAAATCATTATCGACATCACCACCTACGTCTATCACCACAAGCCATCGAGTCCCAAAGCATGGCTCCACGCTCGCACGGCGCTTCTGGACGCCCTTGGCTGCGCCATCGAGACCCTGACGACAAGTCCTGAATGTGTGCGCATGCTAGGCCCCGTTGTTCCGGGCACAGTAGTTCCCAATGGCTTCAGGTTGCCTGGTACCTCGTATCAATTAGATCCCGTCAAAGGAGCCTTCGATATGGCTATACTGATTCGCTATCTTGACCATAGTGATGGGTTTTATGGCGCTGAATGGGGACATCCGTCGGGTAAGTTGTCTCCCCGTGGTAGAGAACACCCCAGCGTATTCAATGGCTCGAACGTGAATTGATATTGATAATGGAGACAACCTCGGTGCCATTCTCGCCGTCAGCGACTGGCTCAATCGTACCTCCCCCAAAGTCCGCGGCAGTAATCCTATGGCTCCGCCCCTCACAGTATCAACCCTTCTCACCGCTCTCATCAAAGCCTATGAGATCCAAGGGATATTTCAAATCCTTAATTCCTTTAACGCCCTTGGTCTTGATCATGTCATTCTCGTCAAAGTATCCGCGACAGCGGTCACCTGCTGGCTCCTAGGCTTGAGCGAGCCGCAGACCCACGCAGCGTTGTCCCAGGTCTGGATGGATGGTCACCCTCTGCGAACGTACCGCCATGCGCCGAATACTGGCCCACGTAAGGGTTGGGCTGGTGGAGACGCCTGTATGCGGGCAGTACACCTATCGCTTCTCACCAAAGCTGGGCAGCCAGGAGCTCCTACTGTGCTGACGGCTCCGAGATGGGGTTTCTATGCGGCGACTTTCAAGAACCGAGTCTTCTCATTCCACCGCCCGTTTGGAACGTGGGTCATGGAAAACATCTTCTTCAAACTTATACCAGCTGAAGGCCATGCGATCTCTGCTCTCGAAGCTGTGCTGCAAATTAGTCGCACGATAGCAGACCTAGGGCTAGATGTTGATCAGGACATATCAAAAATCAGAGTCCGGACGCATGCTGGTGCCATTCTTATCATAAGCAAATCAGGCGAGTTATACAACGCAGCAGATCGAGACCATTGTATGCAATATATGATGGCGGTGACTTTTCTGAAAGGTTCGCTGGTTGAGTACAGTGATTACAGCGACACCAGTCTATGGGCAAAAGATCCCCGGGTGGACCGGCTGAGAGCGAAGATTGAGCTGGTGGAAGAGGAACGGTTTTCCAGAGAATACCTCGATGTTGATAAGAGGAGCGCCGCGAATGGAGTAAAAGTTATGCTGCGTGATGGCCGGCAGCTTGATGAGATCGTGATAGAGTACCCACTCGGTCATGCCTTGAGGCCAGAAACTGTTGGCGCTGTTGAGACGAAGATTCGGAAGAACTTAGAGCGAGCGTTCTCTCCGCGGGAGGTGGAAAAAATATTCCGATCGTCCGAGACTGAAGATATGCCTATCAAGGACTTTGTGGATCTTTTTGCTAGAGATAAAGAAGCACATGCAAAATTATAACACAGTTCATAGCAAACCCACAAGCGTCAACGATAAAGTTGCTTAGATTTTGGGTCGTACCGAGTGATCAAGCTTGAATGGCTGTGAAAGGAGACTAGTCAACGTGATAACGTTGTCGAGCTTCTCCAAATTTAACACTGTCTTCTCAATCGCAATCTGCCTATCTCTGGGTAGGAGATTAGCTGTGAGTCTCCTGTACTTCTCCACGATTTCTTCATTTGCAATGGGAGGATCTATTCCTCTCGGTTTTTCGACCACCTTCTGCAAACTTAGTCTGTCATCTTTGAACTCGATCGTAACGACCGCCCCCATCTCATAACTCAGTCGATCAAACCTCTCATTGTGCACGCATACAGTCTTCTCAACCAATTCCCATACCTCATCTCGGTCGAGCTTGCTCTCTTCGAATTGTTCCAAGAGAACCTCTTGGTCCACAAGTTGAACCGCCGCAATGTAGTTGGCGTTCATCTGCGCGCCGGTGGCAGTCATAGGTCTTGTGGCGGTCCAACCACAGTGCCCTATCAGCGGCTTCGATAGCTCGAGTCTGATTCCTTTAATAGCTTGCAAGTCTTTGAGCTCTTCCGGTTTCTCTTTCTGCATCTTCTCAATACATTCGACAAGACCATAAGCTCCGCCAACACAAGCATGAGTCTTGATCCGCACCTCAGCTGTATCCCACGTCGTGCCCAATCCCTTCGTGACCTCCTCAACCATGTACGCAGGCGTCCTACTATTTCCCTTGCTGAACATTGTCAAGAACCCACCATACGGCCTCTCAAATACCTTCCTGATTCCTTCGTAGCCGCCTTTGGCTAAGAATGCCCCGAGAAGTCCATTACGCGCCGCGAATCCATGCTGCATGCGCTTAATCATACCTTCATACTGCGCAGACATCAGCCCACACGCCTGCGTGCACGCGATGCCAACCGCATCCTCAGTTTGCCTGGCGCTCAGAGCAAACAATTTCGACGCTGCGGCCGCAGAGGCTGGGTGCCCGAATACTGTACCGCAGTGCCAGCCCATGGAAAGAAGTTCCGTACCGTAAAGGGCGCGGCCGGCGCGCGGCCCGACTTCGAAACCGACAATACTCGCAAGGAGGAACGTGCTGCCAGTTACGGGTGCTGGAGGCCGGGCATGACTTTGAGATTCTGAGGCGGCGAAAAGAGTGGGGAGGATGACGGATGCTGAATGGAGGGGGGCTTCATGGTGGTAGTCGTCCAGTTCGCAGGCTTGAATGAAGGCGCCGTTAAGGAGGGCGGCGGCCAGGGGGCCCAATTTCTAGATGGGCTGTTAAGAAATGGAGCACGAGTGAAGCAATGAGAATTTTATAAAACGCTAGCCTTCCATGCAAGTTTGTGCGATCAATATGCAGGGGAATGACTTCCGCTATACCAGTAAAGAATCGGAATCGTACATATGGATGTCCAAATATGGTAGCATTACCATTTGGCTCAAAAGCCTGCATACTACTAGCAGCGTGTTCAGACCATGGCATATACGCGCCAACTATGGCGCAGGCGAGACCGTCAAGGATGAGATGTTTGGCACGGGTCCGGATGTCTTCTGGGACGTCGTCAAATTGCAGATGATGTATCCATCTGCAAAGATGCTCAGTCGTTCCAGGAGCTTCAGGCCTCTCATCACTGATGGTGCCCATCTTGAGAAGATGTTATGCAAATCTCACAGAATGCACAGCGTAGTTGCTATGAGAAGGACTAAGTGCGTGAGGTATGGTAGATGTAGAGCAACAAGCGGAAGTTGATATGATCAGCCCTACGGCGCTAGCAATATCTACGGCTAGAGTTACCTTAGGTAGAATACTAAGGTACCTAAGAACGGCAGACAAGCCTAGGAGGGTGTTCAGAAAATGATGTCGGTTCTTGGCATGGACGGCTGTAGCACCCAATACAGAGTGGACAGTAGCCAAAGCTACTTCTGATTCATCAACCCACATCGCTACGACAATCAATGTATATCTCGAAGAGGCAAGAGCGAAGCTTGCTTACCAGCTATATACCTAGTCATCGTGGGCCGTATCATTCGTGAGGCATCGAAGGCTGAAGCTACCCGCCTTCTTCAATCTCATCGAAGCCTGCAGCTATTTGCTCAGGTCCGTTGCCATACTCGTACCGTCCAGAGGCGGGTAATGTGGGTCCGGTACTAACTTGCACCTTACCGCTCTTGTCAGAATTGGCACCTCATACTTAGTTCCCAGTGTACCTATATAGAACGGGATCCAGAGAGCTCAGGATAAAATCAAATCATCCTTTTTGAACAGTGTCAACATTTACCTGAGTAGGAGGTCCTGTGGTGCATTACCACCAATTATCCTGGTATGACCTACTGTCCATGGCTGACCAATTTCTATATACCCATAGCCTACTTGCTTGCAAATCGGCAAACATTGCTTTCCGGCCTTCAATCGACAGGATTAACACCAATTTCGAACACCACTTGCGACAGTGCTAAAGATGTCCTCCCACACGGGTAACAAGTACAATGTCATCATCCATATGTTCCAAGCCCTCCAATTATCCTTGTCTGCCTGGACATTCCGCATCGTGAGGGTTCTCCCAGCGATTGTCAATCCCACTGCCCCTGGCAACACATACCCCAAAGCATTTAGACCCCAATAAGCAGGGCATACGAAGCTCCATGCCGAGACCAGCAGCGCAATGCTATGTCTTGCCGTTACATCTCCTAGAAACAGAGGAATAGTCACCCGTCCCCTCGCGCGATCCCCTTCCTGATCTTCCATGTCTTGCACCTGGATCGTGGTGGTGACAATGGCAGCAATTATTGCCAGCCATCGGTAAGCGTCGACGTTCAGCGCGACTTGTTCGCCAATTGCAACTTGAGCTGCACCGGCGCCAAAACATGTAATGGCGGCAGCGTTCATCAGATTGCGTACGAGGAAGCTTTCGTCTGCACCACCGAGGTCATTGTACATGTAAGAGCCAATGATAGCGATGATGGTAACGGGGAGGCCTTGAGGAAGGAAGAACTTGGTGATTGCGAGAACAGATGGGATAGCGATGAGCAGTAGTCGGCGGGCTCCGAACGTTGAAATGCGACCGGAAGGAAGTGGCCGCCATGGTTTGTTGAGGCTGTCTTCAAGGACGGAGCCAGGATGGCGTTGATTGGCGATGTCAACGAGGAGGAGGGTGAGCCATGTCCAGGAGAGGACGAGGGGCAAGCGGGGATACAGGTCGGACAAAGACGGTACGGAAGAATTGGTAGTTAGGGAGGGACCAGATACGGCTGTCAGGATGGCGAAGGCCGTGGATGGAACGACGATGGTTTTAAAATCGCTGAATGTAAAGAGCCAGAGGGTTTTGAGGCAGTATTGGACCAGAGTTTCATCTTTGCTATCATCTCTGTTGTTTTTTATCTGCTGGGAAGATTCGCTGAAAATGAAACTTGTCCGTTTGAGCACGCAGGGACGGACACACACGGGATTTGGAATGTTTTTATGCTTCTCTGTCGCATCACTCATTGTCGGGTCCCCCATATTGCATCTAAAGTCTCGATGTCCTTTTGGCGAATGATTTGGACCATTCTAGACGATTTAGGAGACCAATCCGGCCCAGCATCGCTGTACAGCCTACCCTATATCAAGGAGACGGAGAGCCCACGCAACTGTCATCAAGCCCGCTAGCCTGGCCACCACAGCCCTAGGATACCCTCCAGAAGGATAAACGTAGGTACGGTAGGTACACCACCTTAGGGTACCTTAGGTACATGTATGGTGATAAGGTAGGACACGTCACGTTTGCGCAGTCGGCCAAAATATCGGCCAATCTGTTCGGCCCGCCTCGGCCGTTGATCTAGGAAGCATCCAATGGCAGAGCGGCACGGTCAGCGCTAGTAGATTAGCCTTGCTGATAGGTTCGCGACGTTGCATCAGCTCGACCCACAGTCCTACACCGACCATTCAATTTCGTCCCAAGATAACTCTTCAAAAGAACATGCATCCTCCGAAACACCTTCGGCTTTCTAGCACATGGCTGCAGCAACATGGCACATAACAATGCACAGTGACATCGTCTCTCTCACTGTACCCGACCCACCCACTCAGCTCTTTGCTGCACGATGCTGCAAGCTTTCATTCATCAGCCAAGTGGCATCCTCATCCCTCCACACCTCGCCCCTGATCAGCTCTTGCCATCGAGCCTGCCCATCAATCTCAAACTTGGAGGAACACATGGCTTTCGAAAGTGCTGCAAGGCACAGCTTAGTTGGGGTCCGCCATAGAGAGAACCCTACAAGCCTATGACGCGGCCACCACCAAGGCTTTCGGAGCTTTTTGCGACCTTTCCTTTCTTCTCAGTCTATCCTGAAGACATGCGCCTAACCTTTACCCCTTGACACCAATCCAAGCGAAATCATCGGGGAAGTGCAATCCACCTTGGAAGCTTGCGGTGTCCAACATGGCTGCCATAACTCCAGAAGTTCGATTGCAGCTGGAACACTGGGGCGATGACAGAGGACCTTCGATCATCGCCGCAGCCAGTATCTTGATGATCGCAACCACTCTTTTCGTAGCATTACGGATATGGGCACAAAAATTGGTCAAGTCGAGTTTCGATCTTGATGATTACCTCATTGTTGGGGCACTGGCAAGTCTTGCAGTCTTCGGCAATGGGATTCCCTCAATGTTGTTAATATACCTTTAGCTTCTTTGTCTTGGGCTTTGCGCAACTACAATAATATGTGAGTGGCAAGATGCTAATTGGCTACGCTATTAGTCGATCTCTCATTAATGAATAACAGGCGTTCACTACGGTATTGGGCAGCATCTGGTCCGAGCGGTCAAGACCGATTCTACTCCACCAGACAAACTGGTCAACCTATTCAAGGTAATTGCATTATTCCTCGACGATATCCTTCAAATACTGACTGTAATAAGGCTATTTGGGTTGAGGGTTTTCTCTGGGCTCTGGAGATACCACTCGTCAAAATCGCCATCCTGATATTCTATCGTCGGATATTCACAGGGAATCAACGATGGTTCAAATGGGCCTTTTGGATTATGCTGACTTACTCTATACTCTGGGGAACTGCTACTTTCATAATTGTCATTGTACAATGTGTCCCAGTGCCTTTTTTCTGGAATCGGGCATATTCGTTTTATGAATTGGATCCTCCTGACGAGGGTTCATGCTTACAGACTCGTCCAAGCCAAGTTCCATCCGCTCTTCTGAATTGTATTGGCGACTTGATGCTATTGCTTCTTCCTTTCCCGGTGCTTTGGCGACTTCAGATGAATTTGAGGCGCAAACTTGAGATAATGATCATCTTCGGACTGGGAGCATTGTAAGTCTCAGTGTTATTTCAGGAGAGGTAAAATTCGACTAACTTCAGTCCTTTTAGCGTGTTGGGGGCTAGTATCGTTCGACTCCGGTTTATTTGGCTTGACGAAAATTCCGCGGACCCTACTTGTAAGCTCTGTCTACTCCTTTTCCTCTATGTATAATCGCACGGGATATTTGTTTCCACATGGTCAACCACCCATGTGCTTAGACCTCATACGCCTGCAAGACGTGAGAATTTTGCTGACACTACTTTTCATGTGGTAGGGGACGATGCCGAAACTTTAGTCTGGACCCCAGTAGAATGCTGCGTCGGCGTAATCTGCGCCTGCATACCCTGCATGGCACCTCTTCGGCGCCTTGTTGGCGGCGGCACCGCCAAAAGCGGCTACAGAACCACTGGCAAAGCCAGAACAAAAGATATTCCCCTGACGACTTCGCATACATGGCCCGGAGAGCATTCAATTTTTCATAGCGAACATAGTAAGAACGACGAAGAGAGCGGCGAGTTCGGTGAAGAAGGCTGGGCATCTAGGATGGAGGCTGTTACAACCAAAGTTGGAGAGCCAGGATCGGAAACTCAGGTATATGCCCCTCCATACAGGAGTGTGGTTGTCAATGGGGCGTCGGCGGACCCAAGGGTGAGTGGGATCAGGGAGGAGGTGCCTAGCAATCAGATCAAAGTTAGTAAGGATCTGACGTGGTCGGAAGAAACGACGAGGGAGGGGGATTCATGTTGATGGGTGTGATGATATGTAATAATATAAAAAGTAAAACACGAGCGCGCAAAATCATGTTCAGCCTCCTCAACATGGGGAAGTCCACGCCGCCTGGTGTGTATTCTTGATTATCCCATTGGCTTCTTGCATGCATAAAGTACCTTAGTAACCTATCACGAAGTTCTCCAACCGAAGACTCTTTCGAAATACGCTCCAAAACTTCTGCCATTTCCGACTCAACCGGTTCTCCTCCCTTCACTGAACATTGTTTCTTTATTCGAACCTCAGTCCACCCAATCCTCGGTATGAACTCAAAAGAAAAATCCGACCACGACGCCTCCGGAGTCGCCAAATTTCTCACGACAGACCCGGCCGAAGTCGACAAAAAGATCAACGAACCCATCAAAAAGCTCCTACAGGAATATAGTCACATACCGCAGGAGACGACGGTGGGACATGTTCTTGAGCTGGTATGCATATATACCTGCCTTCAGAAGCATCTCCGATCCTATTGCGGGGCAGGAGAGGGGTGATGGCCCCACCTTCTACCAAGAATCTGCTCTAGACACAACCGGCATTGAAGGCGCTCCCATAGCTAATCTCCTCACCCACAGCGCGACCGTGCTTTCGCCATCTTTCCGTGAGTCGTTGCTCTCAATCGAACGAAACGAACAAACAAGAGAAGAGGGGCCATAGACGGAAACCCGCGCAAACCAAGCGCTGACCCTCCTCCCTCTCCTTAGCTACGCCTGCATCGGCCAACTACGCTTCCTCAACCTCTCCCTCCGCACCCACCCCGCCTACCCACAAATCCTCCACCGCCTCACCAGCACCCCCAACACCACCCTCCTGGACCTAGGCTGCTGTTTCGCGCAAGACCTGCGCCAGCTCGTCCTCGACGGCGTGGCCTCCGACCGCCTCTACGGCATCGACGTCGACCGCAAGTTCATCGACCTCGGCTACGACCTCTTCCTCGACCGCAGCACCCTGGACAGCCACTTCCTCACCGTCGATGCGCTCGGCCCGTCCGCGGCCCAAGACCTCGCCGGCGTGAATGCCAAAATCGACATCGTCTGGGCCGCCTCCTTCTTCCACCTCTTCCCACGGCCCCGACAGCTCGCGGTCGCCAAGACGGTCGTCGCACTGCTGAAGCCGGTGCCCGGGTCCATGCTGCTGGGCCGGCAGCTGGGCAGCGTCAAGCCGGGGGAGTATGATGTGATGAAAGACGGGCGATGGCAGTTCCGACATGATGTGCAGAGCTGGACGGAATTTTGGGAGGAGATGGGCCGCGAGACTGACACGAGGTGGAGGGTTGAGGCCAGTCTTGACGAGGTAGATTTTGGCTACGCGCAGAACAGGGAGTGGGGCGATCCCGATATGAGGCGATTGTTGTTTCAGGTTGTAAGGGAGTGAAGGGGATGAACCGATGACGATAACGATGACGATGAGGAGGAGGAGGCAGGTGCGATGGGACAGGCGAACTGTGCTGTGGTGGAGGCAGATATATATTCCTTTACCCTTGTATAACTATTTTGTCAAAAAGCAGGTTGATTGATGTGTGTGATGTGTACAGAGGTAGGCACTAAGAGCCTTGGACAGCGTTAGTAGTAGCCCTAATGCTACCTTCGGAAGGCGACCCTGTAGCAGTGTATCCTATAAATTTCTCCTTGGAGCGCATAAACTGAGCTTAGAGACCTCTTTGGGGCCTGACAGGTCCAGGCAGTCCTCCAGGAGGGGCGTTATCCGAGATCTGTCTTGGCGTATAGGACTTTGCATGCTGATTTCCTTAAGTCTTTTAACCAACCCTGATCTTCAACATGCCAGATAAGTTCAGTAGCATCTCTCCCAAATGCTCACATTCACGTCTTTGTATACCTGTTTCACCGATCAACAGTTCCTTGTTTCCGAATACATAGTCCCAAGATTGGGGCTTGCGATTGGTTTACCGGCGATGGCGAGATATATGCGCACCGTATACTGTTCTATCTTATCTGGTGCGCCCTTACGCAATAGACGTGCTCTGCCCCGTATCGAACCTCCTTCGTACAACAATAATCCGCCTAGCCGCGCTCCCACTTACACACCTGCATTCCAAACCCAACAGCTAACCGAAGATGCACATCCTCCCTCTCCTGACATTTTTCGCACTCACCATATCGTCCACTGCTCTTCCCCCTCTACTCCTTCCTTCAAACCCCCCATCGGCGAACCCGCTTCCACTCAACGCGACGACCCTATCTCGGGAACCATGGCCCGACGTGCCCTGGACCTATGTCATTGACGAATCCGTCTCCATATCCATCGAGCACTACGGCCGCCACGTCTGCGCCGGAGAGATGTACTGCGAAGAGCGCGTCCGGGTCGCCATGAATGAGATCGTGCGGATCGTGAATGCAGAATACATCGCCGGACGCGGGAAGGTCAACTCTTTCACGAGCGACGGGGTAAACTTCTGGATCAGACAGGAGACCATGGTGCCGAAGATGCTGGTCGAGGAGCTGGTCGCTACTCTGCGTTGGGTGACGCTGCGTCATGGGACGACGGAGGTGTCCCACGCGGGGCTTTTGGACCGTGGGAAGTTGGCGGCAACGTTTGAGTTGACGTTTCCGGGAATTGAAGATTGAGGGAGAGTCGCCACAGTGGGACTGGGGGTTAGTGGGTCACATGACATGCCCCTGTTTCATGGCCCTGTCGGTACCCCTGCAAGGGGTAGGAGACAGGTGTCCAGTACGAGCTATAGCCACCTGTTTTGCACCTGTCAATGGCTCTTCGTTCGATTTCGTCTCTTTCAGAGCCATTGCATACTTTTTGTCCCACCCACCCACACCTGTACATAGCTAGCTATCATTCCACTCCAGGTCTATGCCATAGGCATGGGAGTTTTCTTGCGCTGGGGTACGAGAAATATGCCTGTTCAGGCCTCTATTTGGGCCTATTCAGGCTTGCTATCCCCGGCGTGAGACGGCCCAACCACTATCTACACTCTATGTGGGCCCCTATGCGTGCATATGATGCGTGTTTTTCATGAATGGGACAACTAATGGTTTGCGTTCTTGGACACGCTGCTCGACTGGTACGGCATTCACAGGCTAGGAAAGTGCATAAGAGTCTAGCCGAGAATGCGGATCGGGATCAGAGATATATATGAGTATATGTAGTCCTAATTATAAGCATAGAGGCCGATACTTCTGCAGTCAGGATAAGGTACAGGTGTTCGTGGAGACTGTGGTATAAGTAAGAAGAGGCAATCGCCGCCGATTGGGGAGCCGCCAGAGTTCGGCCTGGAGAGAGAACTTTGCATCGTTCGTCACGTTGCAGTAGTCACACTTGATAGACGTTATCAAGTGTAGCTACAATTTGTGAGCAGAGTGATAAGTACCTCAAAAGATACATAGCTATGTCAGTCTTACGGGTATGAACCTGGGTAGGTGCATCCTGGATCATAGCCTGCCCGATGAGTGAATGAGTACCCGTATGCTGTTGGACGATGCTGTAACTGAGCGAGCAGCAGATTCGATCAAGGAGGAATGGCGCTGATTCAATTTCGGTAGTCTATGGGAATGACATTGAAGGATTGCCATGTATCATCCAAGCTCTCTGAAAGTATCTTGAGGCTCAGTAACTATGATCAGCATTCCTGAATGAGCTGTGAGCCGTTCTACTAGAAAGTACGCTGTCAAATAGTGGAAAGATAGGGAGTAAACGATTTGCGCCCAGTCTACCCTCTACCCTCTTTTATCCGGACATTCGATCACTTGCTTGCTGGAAATTGACCAAGAATCGCCTTATGCCGGCCTCCCCTCCCGCCAATCACTCCCGTGCACCTGACAACCTTTGGCTTCTGTTCAGTAGTATGTCAAACGTCGACATTCTCACAAATCTCGCTTTTGGTTTCAGTCTCACAACCAGAATCGCTGCCGTGTCGGCTCCCAGTGTGCTTGCCCTCCCCCGTCAAAGAACAGCAAAGCAACTCTTGTAAATCGACACAGCTTTCTATGCTAGGTTCTAGTCGAGAACCTGTGTCCTGGGAATTGCCCGAATTGTGGAATAAGGGCTGGGATGCTCCGTGATGGCGAGCTGAACTCCCCATCCGTCGGATTTGTGCGCCCTGTTGGGGCCAGGCGCGGACCTGCGACTCACACGCCGCTTTCTCAAGGTACAAAGACCCTCCTTCCCTTGCTACTCTTCCACTCTTCTCCCTCGTCCATTTCCATGCCAGCCGTCGTCTCGCTCGTTCATGGATCTGCAACCCCTTTCCGCCGACCACCACCCACTGCCCATCGCCAGTCGCCATGCCTCCACCCTACATGTGACGATTCTGTCAATCGCTTACGCACGGATCGCTGAAGATCGCCCCCTCGCCCTCTTCCGACCTGACTCGGAAATGGTGCACAACTGCAAGGGAAAGAGGACGTCGAAGTGTGATTGTTGAAGCAGGCGTCACACAGTCGCCTCTCTACCACCTCGTCTTCCGGCCTGTTATACGTCCTTGCTACTTCGCCGAGTCTGAGCAAGAATTTGGGTTTTGACCATCTCTAGCATTGCGGTCCCTTTCGTCAACCATGGACGTATACTTTTGATGGCACTGCCGTGTTCTAGGATCATCGGGCCCAAACGTCTTTGTAAACCCTGCCAAAGCTTTCAGATAGAGAGTTGATGCTTCATCGTACAGTTGTTCAAGGTGATATGAGTTGGCAAAGTTATACATGGTCGACAACGTAGAGGGGTGATTGTTTCCCAGCACCTTCTCAAATCCTTCCAGCGCTCGTCGACTCATCTGCTCGGCCGCCTTATAATCTTTCTTCCTAAGAAGCACTACTGATAAATTGTGGACACTGCTTAATGTGTAGGGATGCTCGACTCCCAGCACCTTCTCCCTTCCTTCCACCGCTCGTCGACTCATCTGCTCGGCCGCCTTATGATCTTTCTTTACACACAGACAAAGCAAGTAGGCCCCAAATCGTGGACAGTGGCCTTATAATGTTGCTAAAGGGACGTTCCACTCCCAGCACCTTCTGCATTCCTTCCTGCGCTCGTCGGCTCATTTCCTCGGCCATCTTATACTTTCCTTGTTGTCGAAGCACTAATGCCAAATTATTGACACTGAACAATGTGCTGGGATGCTCAACTCCCAGCACCTTCTCAAAACCTTCCAACGCTCGTCGAGTCATCTTCTCAGCCATCTCATATTGTCCTTGAATCCCAAGGATTGTTGCAAGTAAAGACAGACTATGCAGAGTCTTAGGCGCATCTTCCCCCAATCGTTTTTGATTGATATTGTGTGCTTTGGAGACTTCTTGATACGCAAAGCCAAATCTACCCTGCGCACCATGAAAGGTCGCAACATTGTATAGAAGAGCGGCGCGGTATCTCTGATCATCATCCTTTGATACGTAGTCCCAATTCAACACCGCCTGAGCATGCGCCAACAATGATTCACACGTCTCTTTGTTTTCATATTTACCCTGCGGAAACTCCTTTGCTAACAGCTCTAACGCTTGACTTACGTAGTTCGCTTTCTCGTTCCTCTGCTCGAGCCAATAGTGCACCGATGCTTGCACAAGTGGGTGTATGGCGTATATCTCTCCCCCAATCTCTGCAGTAATCAAAGCGAATCCGTTCAGCGTACCAATGGCAGTCCTGAAGTCCAACTCTCTCCCAATTGACCGTCGTACTAGCTTTTCCGGGATCCGTCGTGGATCAAGCATCGCTACGAGGGACAGCAACTTCGCCGCCTGAGGCTCTTGTGTCAGGATCTGATCGAAAGAAAACTTCCATGTTCGAAAGACGGAATTGGGAAAACCACGCTGCCTCCGATGATCTTGAAGCTCATGACTCAGAAACTCCGTTAGGTCCTGCTTATCTGTTTCAAGGGCTGTTAGATAGCTTTCGACAGTCATCCCATTGTGATTGATGAAAGCTACAGCTTGCGTGATGGCTAGTGGAATATGTCCCAAAACTTCCAGCAGCCTTTCTGTACTGGACACGTCGAAAAAGTCCGCCGCTCCTTTCACTTTCGATCGCAACAGGGCTCTCGCCTCTTGACATGAAAATGGCGGCACTTCCACACACAGTTCTCCATAGGCAAGGTCCTGACCAACACGTTTGTCTCTTGTCGTAACAAGCAATGACTTCTGAGGATTCAAAATGCTAGGAAGATAGTCGATCAAGGGTCGATGAATTTGCGTAACAGTAGCAGGTGATGCATGAAATTCAGTCGAAGCGAAAATGACATCTGCATCGTCCGCATTATCCAATATCAGGAGCCACGTACGGTCGTCCTCTTTGAGCCATCTGGAGACCAGCTCACATGGATCGGACTTCGGATCTTCGTATGTAGGAAGTTTCAGGCTACGCGCAATCTCATGACAGGCCTGCAAAATTGTACCAGAGCTGGCGGCGTACACCCAGAAGACATGACTCTGCGGTCGAGACTGCCGAAACCGGTAAGCGTACTCGATGGCGATCTGAGATTTCCTGAAACTTTTGTCAGTATCTATGAGAGCTCGTGTGAGAGAACAAAATACCCAACACCTCCAATTCCACATATTGAAGCACGGTGATGCATGTGAAGTTGCTTCTCAATCTGAAAGAAGATGTCTTTTCGCTCAATGAAGTTGGCATCTCTTTCATATGGCACGGAGAAGAGAGGTTTGACTAAAGTCGACATGGGAAAGATCAGCGCTATACACAATTTATCTGGTGACTATTGAGAAGACAATCTGGCTATTCCCATCGAGCTCTTTCCCTCTTAAAATGTGACCTCCACATCTGACCTGCTCCTCCCAAGGGCCATTGTGGTATAAATGTCTACTCACCCATCTCCGCAGTCGCCGTCTGCGTGCTGGCAATCTGATGTGCTGGGATAATTCCCAGAAGTTCCTTGGCGTACGACGCCGCCGCGACCGCCGCGTAACCTTGCCACATATCGTTTTTGTGTGAATCCGAGTAATCGCAGATACCTCGAATAACCACGCACGGGAAGTCGTTCATGAGCCCTGCCGCCTCCATCTCAAAACATAAGATATCGTGCTTTTTGATTAACCGATCGCGAGCAATCGCATCTTTCATCAGTGTGTCTGCTGATGCGATAAGGCCGTAGTGCACCACCGGCTCATCCAAGTCATGGAGCCGCTGCGATCGGTGGAGCACCGGAGGAGATGCTTGGTCACAACAGATCTCACACCTATCATCACCGCCTTGATGAGTATAGCTTGACTCATATAACCGATCGTTCTCTACCCCCGGATGTTGGTATTTCTCTCCCAATCTTTGGTTTTTGGCAACCATCTTTCGAACCGACTCAGCAATGTGATTGCCCTTTCTCTCGTGGTATGCGCTCAGCTTGGTCAGATTCGTCAACAGAACCGTCGGCGGCGAGTTCAAAGACCCAGTTGACACAAACTCCATTTCTTGAACCGCCTTGCCGAAGTTGTAGGGAATCACACCACCCTCCTTCTTCACTGGACAGCCGACCACAACATCACCAAGTCTAATATCGTGCTTATCGCTTGGCGCAGCCCCTCCGATGCCGACCATTAATCCAACGCGGATGGAATCGAAGCTGCGCAGCATGTCTTTGGCCACGCTAGCGGCGGAAGCAAGACCGTACCTTCCTTTCGGAAGGCATGCGATGACGATGTAGTGGTCGTTGATGCGACCAAAGGTGTATGCGTTGTTGTCGTGGGGTAGTGCTGTCTGTAGAGGGGGGAGTTCCTCGTCCAAGAGCTCGCAGGCTGCCACATACTCCGTCTGCAATGCACAGATCCATCCCACGGTATAGAGGTTTCTTGTGCCATTAGAGCCAACGGGGGCTCTGTAATATAGCGCAAAGAGGCCAGCAATAGGTTTTGAAGTAAGAAGAAGACGAGGACAGAGGAGAGACGGCGTGCGTAAGCAAGACACTAGAGGGTGGTTTACTTGGAGTGAAGTGTAGCCTCGCCGCTTGTTTGAATCAGGCTCTCGGAGCTTCGAAAAGGGGGTCTCTGATAGGACCGGGTCTAGAACCTTTGGAGCTGCGGCTCATGCTTGGGAGGGGTGGGACCCATCTGAGCGTTCGAGAAAATTGACCGTTCACCTACTCGCTGCACCTGCTTACGTGCGAAATTGACGATCCACTGCCTGATTTTGCCTTGTCTGAAGGACGCCTGAAGAAAACTTCGATATGCAACCACTACGAGTCCGCCATGTTGCGGGAAGCAGAATTTCAGAGATAAGGTACATGCTGACCGAGGAGACACAAGTTGAAGGTGATACTATACAGGATAAAATCAGTCTAAGCTTGCGTTACAAATGTATAGCTACCAGAGAGGCGATAAAATGCATGTCCCTATCAACCTTACGTGCAGGACTGCCTCAAGACTCTCATCTGGTGTCATTGTCGGGCACCGCCGCAGCAATGATCAAAGATGATCCCTCCCCTGCGGAGCACAAGAGCCTATAGATCCGCCACTGCAGCCTTGTAGACTTACAGGATGCATTGGACCATGTTCTTAAGAGAGCATAGATCCACAAAGCCATGGAATTTGTTCGGTCCCCTCAGCCTGACACTGACAGGCTGCTGACCGATTTTGTCGCTGGTGAACGCTTTCGTAATCTCGTCAATACAGATTGTATCAATGCAGGACTTGAGCACCACCATATTCCCAATGAGTTCCATGGATATCCTTGAACAAGGTACGACGCTGACCTTCCGCTGATTACGAATGTTGACTGGCATTAGTGGAGGGAACATGGCGCAGCACAAGTGCGACAGTAGAGGACGGTCTTCGGTCTTATCTATAAACATTACCGAGGCACTGGCGACACGTGCTAAGACATTGTTTAGACAAAGCAAGAAGCGAAGCCATGTTGTGTCCGTTACACGCCTCTTGCTAGGCCTTCGCTGATCGAAATAGCTTTGCTACCTCAGAGCCCTTCCTAGCATCGGCTATCCTTCGACAAAACCTATCCGCTCGATACACAATACCTGATTTGTTCTGGTCCAAGAGTTACCAACGTTCTAATGGATTCTTTGGTTGTGGAGATTCGTACAATGAAGAAGGTAAAGTCAAAAGTCATGGTATTGTCCTTTTCTAAGTAGTGTAAACCTCTACTAACGACCGGTGCATACACATGGTTCCGATTTATAATCAAGCAGCTAGTAGAAGCCAGAGGTATCCAATACCACAACTACGAATGGTATGAGATGGCATTCTTCACGAAATGGACTTCAGCAAATGTACATGTTGTTCTCTGCTTCGACGTCCCTCAGCATCTACGCGATGGACTTCGAAACCTTTTATTGTCGCCGTCAACAACGCTTGACCCGTCTGATCCTTATTCGCTTCATGCGATCATCCTTGGAGAAATCATCAACGCCTTCGACGCCTCCGTCTGGTCTATTCGAGACTTTGTGAGGATGATTGAAGTGGTAAAGCTGCCACCACAGCATCTTTGACACGAGGAACCAACTCAAACTGATATGTCTCTAGAATCGGCACGGCGTTGCCCAACAAGCAGCTAGTTTCCCCCTACTGCATGACTTCGCACGGCATGCGGTTCATTCCTCGGAAACACTTGACGTTGCAACAGAAACAACAAAAAGCATCCTTTGCCAACACGAGTGGTTCTGCAAAGTGCTCCCTTCGGACACGAAATCCAATGTCTCACGGCGGACAAATCAGGCACTCAGCTTTAGGGTTCAGACGTTGCGGAATTTAAGTGCACGATCTAAAGCTAACGAGGCAAGACTGCGCAACGAGATAGACTTGGTCAGTCTGCATCCGAGTATCTCTCGAATCCTACCTCAGTTGACCTCGGCAGGCCTTCAACACCATCACGCAGTATGACAGCAAGGTCATGGTAAAGATGAGCGAAGCAGTACGGAGAGATAGCGCAGCAATGAGGACGATAGCAGTCCTGACGTTGACCTTGTTGCCTGCAACTTTCGTTGCTGTGAGTGAACCATGGTCGTTCCGCACCAGACACCGACTAACTTTGGGTTGCCTGCAGGCTTTATTCAGTACAAGCTTCTTTGACTTCTCTCCAGCTACCAAGACTCAGCAGGAATCCTGGGTAGTATCCGAGAAATTTTGGGTGTACTGGGCTGTCTCTCTCCCAGTGACCATCGCCACAGTCGCGTCATGGCTTTTGTGGCAGCACAGAACCAGCTGAGTCTATGATACTTTCGGCCTGGTACAAAAGGCCTCTTCTTTACTCCTAAGGAAGAGTCAGTGGTACGACGGTTCTTCATTTCATGGGGGATAGTGGCGCATAGAGGTGCATGGGGGTGCATGGGGGAGTCAAATCTAGCGGGACAGTATGGAGAGCACCCCTGCCATGGTCATTGGAAGGTGGATCCTTGGAAGCATGCTCTTGTAATGAATTGACGGCACAATCAACTCCTGATATCGCTCGTGTTGAATGATTTACTGCATTGAAGATTTTCATTATGTCTGTATATGCTATGCAAGCAGCCAGAGACCGCCAGGCATCGCACCAGGCTCTACTTGAAGCCCCCCTAGCATCTGTCCAGTATCGACCTTCGAAAGAGTACGCAATGCAACTAAAATTATACTCCTAGACTCAGGCCCACAACCTTGCCACCGAAGAAAAAGAGGACATCAGCGAAGTGGGATCTACAGTCACCCACTCTCTGTAAGTTTCTTGCCTCAACTCTGATATCCTCCTCTTCCCTCCCCTAGGCAAAGACCTCCTCCTCAGTGCCCACAAAAGCATCCTCATTCGCATTCTCATACCCGCTGTCACAGAATCCGCCCTCGCTCTCCTCAAGTTTGACGTTGACTTTACCCTTTCCGTACTTAGCTTTCTTGCTGGGCGGTTCGTCCTCATCTTCGGAGTCAGACTCGTCGGATTTGAGTTTATCGTCCTCGGAGTCATCGGTAGCATCGCTGCAAGCATACAACGTTAGCGCCAAACGCGAGAGCGGACCAAGTCCCCCGGAAAGGAAGGTGCGGGGAGACATACTCCTCGCTCCTGCCCCGATTCCCACGCTTGCGCTTCTCACCGGCACCGCCGTTACCACGGGCAGAGACCTTTCCTCCTTTGCCAACCTGAGCTGGTGCAGTAGCCTTTTTGACCGCCGCATTGGTACGAGCGGTAGCGCGCTTGCGTGGTGTCCCAGCTGGACCGGCACCGGACTTTGCCTTCGAGACACTGAAGTGGGAAGCGGCGCCGTTGTCTTTGGAAGTTTGGCGGATCTTGACCAAGCGTTCGCTAATGGCGCGGGGACTGGGCTTTTCGAAACCCTCAGCTGCGGGTTGGGAGTGTTAGTATTCGGTATTGTTTCGGAGGAAAGAGCCAAAGCGGTAGTAGGAAGCCTGGAGAAGAGGCCGGGGACTTACGCCATACTGCGGAGATTGCTACAGGGTTGACGTTGACTTGGGAGGTTTCGAGGATCTTGAGGAGGAGCTGCAGGTATGTTAGCTTTACAGATGCTGACCCAAATGTTGGTGAAGAGGAGAATGGTATGAGAGTGGAGAGTCGGGAGGATGATGAGAAGGTGAGCGGAGACTCACGATCTGATCAATGGCTGGAGTCCACTTGATAGGCATTTTTGCTGTCGATGGTTTGGACTTTGGCTTGTTGAAATTTGCGCTTGAATTTTGGAGGTTGGGAAAGCGGAAGTGAGAGCGAGTCTGAACCTTTGGGGAGAGTTTGAGTGATGGAGAAGAAGCACGACGGTGTTTGAGATGATTAAGCTTGTATTGGCACGTCAGCTATATGGATTCGGTCCAGCTGATGTGCTCAAAAGATTTTGGTTTGGAGGATGGCCTTGGATGAAAGGGAAAGAAGAGTTGTGGGTTTGAGGAAGTGAGAGGATGGGACTGGAGGAATCACGAATGAGGAAAAGTGAATGCGCTAGAGTTGTTCCTTGGCTTTTGGATGAAGAAGATTCTATTTAGGCAAGCAGATACACTGCCCCTAGATCAAGAACGTAGATAAACCGACAGATGATATTCTCGAGAGTGGTAAGTAGAGAGACTGTTCTTTATGTAAAGGTTTCCACGCACCCTAGTTGGCTCGAACCTCAATGTCCACACTTCGACAATCTTGAAAACCCAGATAATGGTATGCTTAATGCTCTTTATCATCAGGCAATCACTCGACGCGTGTCCACGGAAATTCAGACGTGGCAGACATCTTGGGGAACACCACGCTCTATCACGTTGCATACAATCTGCAAGCGATGTCGATGAGATGTCGTTAATAGTGCCGAGAAGGGACCCTGAGATTCGACCATGAACTGAAATTTCAGCTTCAATGACATAGCAGAACACCTTCTCTGGATGTTCGCTGCTCATACGTAATTAGATTCGTCGATATTGGTCTACACTCCTGCTTCATAATGGAAGCTATGCAAACATAATATAGCATACTATAAGTTCCTATAAATAATCGTAATCATCGTGTTACTATTACAACGTTCAATGACAATCTTACTATCTCTGAAATCATAAAGGATAGTACCAAAACCTTTTGCTTTATTTCATCGCGGGCTCGCGATTTTGAGCCATTCATCTTCTATCCCCTCATGCCTTTGCCATGGAAATCTCACCTCCACAACCCCTACACCCCTCACTTCTTTTAAAGGCGCCAACATCCTCACTTCCGCCCCCTCGTTTGTCGTACACCCATCACGCTGAATCCACACCCGAATCTCTCTCAACCCCTTCAATTCTTCACGAACAACACGCCAAAAATCTTCCCAGATTGCTTCATCGTAAGGCATAAAAGGATGCAAGATCTCAGCATCCGGGCCCATGTACCCATGAACCGACCAGTTCAGATGGAGGACTCTGATCGCAGCCCGGCGTTGCGGCAGAATGGTACAAGTGAGAGCTCGCAACGCGGAGGGATTGGTGAAGGAGAAGGTATTGCAGGAATAAAGGAGGTTGACTGCTTCGATATAGCTAATCGTAGGCTTCATCAGCCATCGAAGCGCATAATACCAAACACGAACTCTTCCCTCTCTGGTATGAAACACGAACAGAGAACCGCACATGCTAGAGGTTATAGACGAAAGCAACTCACATCCTTCGACACGTCAAAAGCAACCCCAACATTCCACAATTAATGCCGAAACTCCCATAGCAAACACTGCGATATCCCATCATCTCATAGCAGCCCTTTACTTTGCAAGCATCCATGCTCGCGGACTCGCATCTCATGTGGCCCATTCTGCGCGGCCTCCACCCTACATGCAACATATAGCCACCCAATACCTCTCTGTAAATGATCTCTCGCAGCTCCAGAGGGAGTTTGAAGAGGTAACCTTCGGGCTCTTTGTTACAGAGTGCAGAAGAAGATTCACAGCTTAAAAAGCGCGGTCTATAACTTGGCGGAGAGGGTCGCTCAGCTTCAGCCTGCGTACTTTGAGACACACAGTGGGGCTTCTCCCTATGGACATAAAGGGGTGCACGGCAAAGGAGGCCAGGAAGCTGTACGAGGAATCGCAGGATTTCCTCCATGGCTGTTGCAGACAGGTGGAAGAAATAGAGGGTAGTGATACGGGCCAAATCTGAGGACAAAACTGTAAGACAATATACATGGGAGCTTATACCAACAACATCTCGTCATTCTACCATGATGATAGTTGGACTACTATGTTGTAGGATGCCTCAATATCTGCAGTATTCTCTGATGCTGCCGCCTTCCTTTAGCGTGAATGAGTGTAGAAATAGCAGGGTCTATGATATTACTACCACAATATCACGATCCGTGTTAGTATTCCCACGCCGGATGAAGCTGGAAGGTGCTTCTACACAGAAGAATGCTGGTCTGTTCCACCACATTTCTGATGATCGACAAACAGAGCTGGTATACACGGTTAAGAGACCAGGTCTATATCGCGAAATAACAAATCTTTTGTGTCGTTGAAATGGCGGTGAAGGACCTTACAGGTGGGCGCTTTGTTACACACCTCTCCGAGGAGAGCTCCAACAATATACCAATCCACAATGGCTAACGAGGAATTAACGAGTCCTTGCGCCATCTGCAGCAAAGCAGCTGAGGAAGGGAAGACGCTCCTGTAGTGCACACCAAGCAAGGGTCTGGTTCATTGAAGTGAGGTCTCCTGACAGTTTGCTTATAGCTGCCTTGTGCTAATTGGCGCAACAGGCAAACCGCCGACTGCAGCACTCACAAACCCGTTTATGCCGTCTCCAAAGGCCAGAAACACCTCCTACAATTCTATCTCGGCATCTCCGACAGCACAAAGCCCCAAGTATCCTGCACCCTCCCCTGCCCCGCCGACGAATCCTTGTACCAAGCGCCGCAAATCACACTTCAGTGCTCCACAACGCACACCCAATTTCAAAATCAAAGAGCCCATCGCCGAAGCCGCCAGAGCGGCTGAGAAATCCAACATGACTGAAAAAACCTTCCACCAAAGACTATTCGAGAGTCCCCGCAGTACAGACACTGCCGGGAGCGCCCTTCCGACGCTGCTTCGAATTGTAGAAGATGATCCTCGTCGACCTGAGGGGTACCTGCGCGGGGAGGGCGCCGACAACATGCACAACGACAAGCGGCAGCACGCCGCGGATGCCGGAGAAGAAGTGTTCAAAGTTGAAGCAGGTTGATATGCTTGAGAAGCCGGCGTGCAAAGACAAGCGCTTCGAGTGCGCGAGATTGCTGGGAGCACGCTCTTACGCCCCTAAGACGCAGGGTTAAAGGGGATTGATTTCTCCATATACACGGATGGCGAGGGGTATTATGCTGCTGAGGATGTTGAGAGCTGGAGGGGCTGAACGAGTTGAAGAAAGCGTACAGAGCGTATAGGCCGGATCAGGAGCCGAGGGGGAAGATGCGATGGTTGGAGCAGCAAGGGCGTGAGTTATCATGATCCGCAGGGCTTGAGGAATGGGAGGGAGAGGGATTAGGCGAAGCTCGATCAATAATCGCTTGTCCGAACCAGAAGGGAAGGCTTTTAGCTTTACCTGAGAGCGATTCGTCACTTTCGATGATCTTCACAACAGAATCTCTTCATACCTATTTCCGTGACCATGTCTTCGGCGCCAAGGAATCATCATTGCTGTTCCAGCAGGCGATAATAGAAGGACCCTTCCAGACCGCATCTCTCTCCACTTCTGCGCCCCCTTCTCGCTTTACCCACAGCCATGGACCCTACTCCGATAGCTCAACCGCTCCTTTTGACCAACTTCCTCGCATGGCGGCTGGATCTTCCGCTTTCACAGCGATGCAAAATATCCCTGTATTACAATTGCCTTCACTTGACCCGTAAAAGCTGTAGAAAACCCGCTGAATCCTGCAATCTTGCAACAATCATCGACGAGACCTCTAGCACGATTCCATCTCCAACATATAGCGATAGCCACCATTATCTATATATTGCACCCGCGTCTAGCCCAGTAGATGGTAGAAGCGCCATCATCTTTATCCAAGCCCATTCCGTCCCTCTGTAGAAACATCCACCAGACAGCAATCCCTTCCTCTGGCCCGCAACAATGCATACCACTTTATCTGATCAATCCAGCCTCTACCATAAAATCGCCGCCGAGCCCCCTTCTAATCCTTCTCATTCTTCTCATTCGGACAACCCCGTAGGACTCTACCCTCGCCCAACCCAATTCATGTACCGCTCTGACCTCGCCTGCAACCGTCGAACGCCAAACCATATTGGAGGAAACACCAACAAGACGCCCAGAGGCCGGCGAAGGCGACATCATCCCAATCACCGACATCATCATCATCGGTCAAGCGTCTCTCTCACAAGCACCGCATTATATGGCAGCGGCGAAGGTCACTTGGGGTCGTTGGGAAGCGAATTCTGGCTGTACCTACTACCCCGATCCCCTCATGGTCATAGGATTTAGATGTTTGAGGATGAGCGACGCAACGAGGAATGAGGTTCAAGGGAGAGACTTGGATATCGATGAAGAAAGGAAGTACAAATGGGAGAACGCTAAGCCAAAGATTGTCACAGCTGCTGCTGATCACAACGACTGGATGCTGAGGATTGAGATTGGGGGCGCTATGGTTACTAACAATGTGAGCTCTTGCAAGCAGACACGGGAAGTAAAGCTTTGGGGGAAGAGGGTCGTTGGTGATGAGGAAGTGAAGCTTGGCAGGGCAGGAAAAGACAGACTTCAGATCGATTGAAACGTTTTCCTTGCTGAGCTTAGGCCGAAGGAGTCGGGCTCACTTGGCTCGGATGGAGTTGGGCATGCAGCTGTACGATGGCTCGAAATCAAAACAGTCGACCCTCTGTAGAATTCAGTCTGAACAATGGTGCACATACATTTACTGCAAGCCTGAAGAGATGGGAAGAATTGTCAGAGACAAGGAAGAGAAAGAGATTGGTTTAGGTGTCTCTGCTGTCAGAGTGAAAATATGTGAATGAATAGATCTCGTGAGGACTTTATCCAAACTCGACCTCTCCAAATAAGCTGGCTCTAACCTGGATAATAGCTGCGAGTTCCAGTATGAATTCTTGTAGGATGATAATGTTCGTCAAAAGGTGACTAAGAGTGGTCTCTTTGAACTCTTCGGCAGTCTGCGTGTCCGGCACGACGGATCCGCTTCGTGTACTACTTGTTTCACTGCTTCCAACATCTCCCATGTGATTCCTATCAATACGGTCTTTTGTCCTGATCTTCACCTGCTGACGTAGAGCATCTGCAGGACCCATGGGCGTGATGACACGTTTTTGGGGTGTAGACGTGATAGAGTCTTTCCGCAGCGGCGATGGCGAGAACGCCCTTGACTCCATCCTAGAGGGGCTCGGTGACGGAGAGATCTTAAAATGGGTCAGCCGACCGACAAGATTGGGCGTCGAATGAACATCTAGTTGTCGGCCTCGTGGAGAGCTAGACCGTGATATGTTAGCTGAGGAATTCTCAGACAGAAGCCGCTCCGAGATAGAACCAATCTGCGCGGCATTCCCAGCCTTTGATTGGGTCGATCTAGTCGAGTCTTCTGATCTTCGCGATGGGCCACTGGAGCCACTGGCTACATCCTTATCAATGTCGTCGCCGACCTTAAAGACGTGTCGTCGCTCAGCAAGATACGTGTCGAACTCCTGGATGTCATGGCGGAAGGTTTCGACTTGCTGGACCAGAGAGTCTAGAGCAGCGAACACAGGCGAAGCAACATGATTAGCTACGTACGACTCAGGAGGAGAAGTCCTTTTGGGGGATTCGGCATTCTGCTTGGTATCACCAATGTGGTTGTTGAGCGTGATTGTATCATCGTGGTCAGACTCATCGAGCCCATCATCGGAGACCGCGCTTTGTTTGGAGGAAGCATCGTAATCAGCAGGCTCCTGAAGGAGCCAGCTTTCCAGGCGCGTATTGCCACAAGAAATCAGTGTTGCAAGAGCTTGGGTGAGATCTAGATTCGTGGCAATGTCGTTCGCAAGGAAATTTTCCAACAACGAGATCAAAGCCCGGAGTAATGGATCATCAGGTCTTATCGAATGCGAATTCAGTGCATCACCACCTTTCACTAAATGAGTAGAATTCTCGTTTCGTAGCGCCGTTTTAGAGACTGGTAACGCAAGTAGCAACGGAGAGCAGCAGTGGTTTTCAAGAAGCGTCCTCGCGTCTTCTAAATGTGTATCGTAAGCCTCTCGTAGATCGTCATGAAACATAATGTCCTCGGCCATTGAGAATAAAAGGGCGGTATCTCTGTAATGAGCGCCTATCGTGCGGACAGGTAGATTTCCAGAGTATTGAGTCTTAATTATAGTCGACACCGCAAATTGGTGTTGGCTACGTAGAATGACAGAGACGAGTCGGAGAGTTGCTGTGACCGTTTGCTGGTTGCGAGATCGAAGGCTCGTGATAACAAGGTCGACAAGAGTGAAAAGGTCGGGCATGGGCTTCTCTTGAACGTGGGTCAGGGTTGTGACGAGTGTTTGCGACTTTCGGCGACGAGCCAGCGTAGCTGGTCTCGCTGGCTTACGTTCATCTTCTGGGATGTCAGGGATCGCCAGTAAATACTGCAATGTCAAGTGTATGAGTTCAGGGTTGTCGATGGACTCTACGATGCATCGCAAATATGTTAAAACAGCCACGGATGATCCGCCATCAGCGTCTGAAGACTCCATCAAAGAAGGATAGAGTAGTTGTTGCAAGAAGAGAAATTTGAAATGATCAAGCAAGCTGCGCTTGACATCCTCAGAGCCACAATGCTCGAGGACATCCTGCCAGAAGACCAGATATGAGAGAAATGTTGATAGATGGGCTTGAAAGTCTGAAGAAGTTGTCTTTTCGGCATCAGAGGGCGTCTTCGGTCGAGGCGTGTCGGAGAATGATAGAATCGCAGGTATGGTGTCTTTAGTGAAAGACAAGACAAGTTTCCTACTGAGCTGGCTGTAGAGCGCTCCCAAACCACTTGCCATCAAGGTTGCGAGATCGCTCTCCACAATCCAACTCTCCAGTGCTTCGGAATGAGACGCCGATTCGATGATGTAAAGCAACCCCGTTCTAGCGAAGTCTCCCACTCTCCCATCGTGGTGTACATAGTCCAATGTGAAATAGAAGAGTGGGAAGACGTCCTTGTCTTTTCTTGTATGAGGTCCAAGATCTCGTTCTCCTGCCGTCGTGTTCGGTCGGAACCAGGTGGGCAGTAGGTTTGGCTGAAGGCGTAACTTGGAAGCAATCGCAAACAGCACTTCTACGATTCTTCCCTCTGTGTCTACCGAGACCATCAGAGGTCCTGTAGTAGAAACTGTACCGACAAAACCAAGTAAAGCGTCTGCGAAGGCCTTTTCCTTTAGGAAATCCACCTCCTCGCAATCGATAAGGATCTTCAAGATATCCAGCGTTACTTGGATGATGGGCTCATTGTGATACGTTGAAGCCACTTGGCTCAACGTTGAGTATATCTGGAATGTAGACACATGTCGTGCACAAAGGTGAGGTTCCGGTGTTTGTACTTCATCCTGGAGGGTCTTTTTTACGTCTTCGAAGCAGGCCAAGACTGGCTCTATTGGGACGTCTTGCTTGGTAGATATGTTGCGGCGCCATATATGCTACTATATAAGTCAGCGATAATCTAAGCAAGGCCTCATAGAGAGCATACCTGTAGCTGATCGTGCAGCTTCTTGAAGCGGATCGAGCGCTGTTGGGGAGAGTTGAATCCTACTTGCTTGGCTGGAGAGGCACCGCTGCTCCCTACAAGCTTCGACAGCTATGATCATTAGCATAGAAAAGAATCAAATGGGTGCAAGGCTTACTAGGTCCATGATCGTGAGCTCGCCCAAGCACCAACCCAAACAACCAGGGCGGTGGAGTCGCGTCTGGGTCTTCCCGAGGATTAGCCGTTGTCGAATACTTTTGTGCCCAGTCCGAGCGCGGAATTGTTCCGCCCCTAACCCGATAGGGTAGGCCCGGGCTTGGGAATAGCGTCTGAGGAACCGAGGCAAATCTCACGCCACTCTTGCACTCGACCCTACAGGCTCACAGGCTCACAGGCTCAAAAGATGGGTCGCAACCGTTACATTGACAATGTGAAGGGATACTTGTGCAGCTTGTGTGTCATTCGGGCAAGATTTTTCGTTACTGGAACCCTGGAAATCCTCCAACAAAGCGACATGTTCACGGAGAGAATTGCGGTGTCAATATTGCAGAGTGGGAAAGAGATGTTCACTGCCCTAGCATCATTCTAGCCAAAATGCTTATTGTTTATCGCTTAAGATAAAGCAAGCAAGCAAGCATGCCTGCATGGACCCCAACACACAGAATTGAAACCTCCCACGTCCTCCGAACCTTCCTTTAGAAGTCATCATCGTCCTTCTTCTTTCTCTTGATCCCACCCTTCTTCTTCCGCTTCCCTTCTCCACCCTCCTCACTTTCCTCCTCTTTCTCCTTCTTCGATGCCGTAGGTGCATCCGGCACCCTTGATATGATATCCGCCAAGAAATCCAACTGGTCGTCTTTCACCACCGCTTGCTTCAGATGGGCTGCCGTGACGCGCTTTGACTGTTTTGCTCGTGCCTCGTTGGCCGCTTTGGTAACCACCGAGATCATGAAAAGTTCGAGCGCTTTGGCTATAACACGAAAGCTGTCAGTCTTGCGTTTCGTTTGTCGGAGTGGGGTCCGGCAGTAAGGGGTGGGCGAACTTACAAACAGCGGTTGGCGTAACCTGCGCCACCTTGCCCACATCCTCATCCGCCTGCATGATGCGCTTTATCCTCGCGACCGGAAATTTTGTCTTCACCTCAATGCCTTCCTCCACCCCTGGCGCCGGCTTAGCACAAACTTCTTCCTCGACCTTCTGTTTCTTTGACTTGCGGCCTGGACCTTTCGCCTTTGCTGGTGCCTCCGGAGTGAACTCGTCTTCCTCACTTTTGGCGCGAGATTTGGCTTTTCCGTTCGTGGGGGGCATGATTGGTGGTTGATATTGGGCTGGAAATGATTGTTGTTGGTGTTGTGGTGGTGGTTGGTCGAACGAGAATGGGTCGTGGTTCGAGGGCTGCTGGAGATATGAAGGTTGGTAGGAAGTTTGCTGGGGTGGGTAGTAGGGAGCTGAAAACGGATCTGGATCGTCGAATGTTTGGAACCCGGAAAGATCTGGTGATTGCGGTGCGTAGGAACCTTCGAAATCATCCATTATGAACACTGAAGTGGGGCGGAGCGCAACGAGTCCAGGCTAATTGAAGAAAGATCTGCTATGTCTCTGTAATGTCTCAGGAATGTGCAATGTGTGTTGTCTCAATATCAGTCGAACCTTCCCAATAGAGTAAAGCTGTAACAATTCGCTTGCACAAAGATTATGCGTGCTATGCAGAAGATGCCAAGATTTGCATAATTCGAACTCGCGACCTCGGATCCGCCTTCAATTTTCGGGGGAACTTGAACCCTTTATCTGTGTCGGCCCACTTTCACTGGGTCGCGCTAGCGGCCTTAGCGGCATAAAATTGTCGATCATTCAAGCTCTTAATTTGCAGGCACCGATTTAATTGTTTTTTCTCTTTAATTGTGTTGAATGATGATAGAGCAACGCTTGACGACTACTATGGAACTGTGTTCTAATGTGGGCTTGATGAGGAAGTCTCGACAGCCTTGAATGAAGCCTCCGTTTTTGTGATGGTTTCAGCCAGGATGCCAGATCGCCTTTGTTGGGTTCGCGATACCGTCGATGATGGTGAAATTACTTGATCTAATCTGACAACACGCCCTTGTATGGTGCGGTAATATGTGCTTGTATGCTATTCTTTCAAAAAACGTTCCACGCTATCCGGGACAGCTTTTGATACACGCCCAAGCTCTGGAACTCGGTGACTCGGTGGCAATTCATCGCCAGAATCCATGAATCCCGTTTTCCTCTGTGAGATCATCCCCAATCCTCGCATACTTCTTGGACATCCTATCCATGTCCAAAGGCTCGAAGAAAGGCTTACCATCTTCGTCGAGCACCCCGAACACATTGTCATCCTCGTCCGACACTTCGAGCGCATCGCTCATGCTATGTCCCCTTGCCTTCGCCTTCGCATTAGCTCCGCTTATGTTTATAGGCCTTGCGAGACCGCCCTGATTACGTAACAATGAGCATGTACTTGCTCGAAAATTAAATAAATGACGAAGACATACCTGCGTAAGCACAGCTACAGGCGCCTCTCCATCGCCAACCCTCGACATTTGCTGCAGCATCAATTTGTAGTCGAGATCGGTCTCCAGGGGCAAAGATCTGTGCATGAGCAGTTGAGACTGAATCTGGTCGACTAGCTGATATTTCCATGCGCCTCCTCGCTCATAGGAAAGCCCTTTCTCAGACAACAAAGCCTTCACAACTTCGTCTAGCAACGCGTAGACTTCTGCCAAGAATGCCTTGAGCGGCAAATTGACCTCCAGCATATGGCTTCGTCCTTTGATGGTTGAGGCTATGTCCACCAACACGGCCGCAAAATTCTTTTTGGGTGGCGGCTCTTTAAGCTCGACTAACTGCACAATCTTTTGTCTTAGGCTCTTGTTTGGAAGCTCTTGCTCAGGTACACCAGCAGCCAGTAACTTTTGATTCACACTCATCTCCGTGCGCGCCAAGAGAGGTCCAGCTTCATCCATGAGAATCTTGCGTTGATGGAGCTGGATTATTGCTCTGTGGGTTTCTTGCATGGCTGCGACGACCGCAGCGCGATCTTCGGCTGGAAGCTCGTCTTCAGTATCAGGATTTATTGTGAAGGGTTTAAAGATCTCTGAAGGGTCCGGAAAGTTCGTCGTGAAGCCTAGTTCGCCCTGGCGTTGGGCTTGCTCTTGTTGCCATAATATAACATCGCGCATGTCTAAGACTCTACCGCCCCGCGCGCCTGGCTGGACTGGAACCGTGGCGGTGTTCATGGCTTCATGGTGGGTGGGGCTAAGGGTGCTGAGAGAAGTGTTGATGGTGACGCGTTTTATTTTGTGTTGAGATGGATCAGAGGTTGAGGCTCCGGGGGCATTCATCGTCACTTGGCGATGACGGCAGAAACACTGTCACACTTCGCAAAAGACACACTCTTGCACTCTCGATTGGTTTAATGTACGTTGTCATGATAATATGATTGTTTTCGGAGGCTCCTCCGTGGTGCGCGCTGGCTCCTTCCCTCAGATTCCTGCACTTTCTTTGGGCTCCCTACCCTTCGTCGCTATTTCCTTTTCACTGCTGCTTCACAGTATCACGCATTCTGGACTGCAGCGGGAGCCTTCTATGCAGTATCTCCGGTGCGTCATTTTTGGAGCGTAGACGCGCCTAGAGGCGGACTATCTTGAAAGGTGAACGGGAACATGAAGAAGGGAGAAGAGTTTTCGTCATAGCTCCTGCTCAACTTCCAAGCACCTCAACAAATGCATTAAGTTCTGTGTAATGAAGTCCTACAAACACAACGCCATGCTGCATAACTGTGCGTTGATACAGAGCTCTCGAAAAGAGCACATCCCTTGAGAGTGAAGAATCTGAGCCAGCAGGCCCACCTGATGACGAGGATATATCTGTCTATGCAAGAGAGAACGCTAAAAGTCAAGGGTAGAAGGATGTATGACAGATCTCCAATCGCGATTGTAGCGATATATTAGGCATTTGTGATGTCGTTTCACACAGCTCAAAAAATCGTCTTCCTTGTCAGCTGTAGCACAAATTCGTCAGCCTTGCTCGCCCAGAGATCCCACACCAGTGAACTCACCGCCCACACTCCAGCCGCTGAAGCAACCAGCCCTCCACTAATCATCATCGGCCTTACCCCTCCCGTACTCTTGAACAGCATCCCGCTCAAAGCCCCTGCCATGATACTATTGGCACTATCATGCCTCCCCCTGTAATATCCAATCGTCGAATTTATCCCGTTGTAGACCATAGCAATCACCCCCGCGCTATTTCCCAAGAAAGGCCCCCTTCTCGTCATACTATTCAATACACTATTCAGCTTCAGTTTTGGGGGTGCTGAGGCTGGAGATTTTCGAAGTCCCTCTATCATGCCCCATGTTCCGCCCAGCGTGAGAGCGGAGAGATATGTCACGCCAGTACCATAGCAGAGGTCGTCGGACCAACCGCGAGAGGGTAGTGCTGATTGGGAGCCAGGGAGGTCGGAGAGGGCGGATTCGTCGAGTGTCAGGTAGTCTAGGGTATCTTGATTCAGGCCGGCGAGAGGGTGAAGTCGAGATGGGTCTGGGAGTGCAGCAGGATCGAGAAATGAGGAGACATCCTGAGCCGAGGCGGGATCGAAAGCGGTGGGTTGGTAGGGGGCACTCGATGATGGTAATGCAGATGAGGATGGGTCGTGAGAGGATGAAGAGCTAGAGGATGAAGAGGATGACTTTTGGCCTGTGAGAGTACCCCAGAGAGACATAGTGGCGGGTTGAGGATGTGAAGGAGAGCCAAAATTATACGTGGTGGAGGACTTGGAGCTGTCGCATTTGGTTGTGAGTAGGCCAAAAATTGTTCGAGGTCGATATGATTGGCTGTGTCGGCAAAGTTGCCTTTCCGGGAATAGAACTCTAGTCACGATTTTGCGCGTGGCCATTCGCCATCACGTTTCATACATTGTGAGAGCAAAGGCGAAGTCTTACTTGGAATCTGGTAGCTGATGAATGGCGATGGCTTTTGCACATCTACGCAATGGAGCTCAACAGAGAACGCGAACCTCAAGACCTCGTCAATGGCAGCAATGAAAATAAAGCAATACTATCTGAGGATTCACTGCGTCAATTGAGCAAGTCTTTGACGGGGCTTATTCCGAATAATGTGGACGTTCTCGAGGAGGGTGTCATTGCGTATGGAATCCGCCGTCAGGCTGAAGAAGACTACTAACGGACGACAAGGCACATTCAGTCCATTCTACAAGACCTCTTGCAGACCGCTAGTTCAACGGAGCTTTCTCTTACACATGGGGCTGCCGCCCTGAATGCTCTTTGCGGGTTTCTTGAACAGTGTAGTGCCTCTTATGAACATCGAATTCGAGATCTCTCCTACAATCCGGAGATATGGACACGAGCTTTCAATGTCTACATTACAAGATCAGATAACAACAAACCCAAGCCACTGAGAAGGCTTCTACTGACACTAGCACGCCTATTATCGAAGCATCCTGTAGATACAGAAAGAGACTTCCTGCTCGGGACTGCTAGTTGTATTGCTATTCGAGCTATCCGCAAGCAACATGACTTTGCAGATATCAAGCCTGCAATACAAGTATTGGAGCACTTCCTTAGCAGAGATCTCCTTTCTGCTGTCGAAATTGTCCAAATCAAAAGGCCAGAAGAGCTGAGACTCTCTCGGACGGAGTCATTGCAAAAGGACAACAATGATCTTTATAATCAGCAGGAACGGGTCGATCAGTCTGTACAGAAATTTGCACTGAGTGCGTTGGAATGGATGCGGTATCCCGATTGCGCTCCTGCTGTGGGACGTTTCTTGCCCGTGTTTTTTAAGTCCTTTGGTAAGAGCCAGAATGGCGATACCGTTCACGTCTCGAAAGATGGTGTAATACCACTGTGGATATCCCCTGTGAAGGCAACTCTAGAGCGACACCAGGGACTTTTGGAAGTCTTCGAAATTCACATATTGCCAGGTCTGTTCCGCCTGGGCCCTGCTGATGTAAAGGCATTCCTAAGGACATTGCCATTCGAAAGCATCCAGCGTGGGAATGTAGGTTCCAGCAGTATTTCAGAGATTCAATTATGCTTATTGGTGGCAAAAACAGACGAAGACTCTAGCCTCGGGAAATGCTTTGATCAAAGGCAGAGCACCTCACTTGACTTGACGAATCTTGGGATCAGCCTCCTCGAACATTCTTCGTCAAGTGTGAGACTTGCCGCTCTTTCTCTCTTGGTCTCTTCTTCGGCTTCTGCAAGACCATTCTGCAGACGAGTACTACGTCGTGTGCAGCAGTGTATACCTTACTTTCATGTTGAAGTCAATGCAAAGCCGCGTAACGAATTCATCGCTTTGATGAAGAAGCTTTGTATGAGACTTCGAGGTGCTACCGTGTCTCTGTTGAGGCACGGTCAGGATCCAGACATTTTGACTAGAGAGCAAACTTCCATTACATCCCGATTAGTTGCAAGGATTGGTGGCGAAGGGCCAGTGAGCTCAAGAAATGTCATCAAGCAAGTGCTTGATGAGGGACCGCACATTCTGGAAGAGCACCTCGCTTTTCGAAAATGGTATATGGTGTTTCTACTTCAAGAACTGCGCCCAACAGCATCATATCAAAGCCATGTCACGGCACTGAAGATACTAGAATTCTTGACGGAGCAAACTATCGCTCTACGCAGTCTATCGTCGAAAAGCCACAATGACTACCTCGACGCCTTGAACGAACACCTGCCCAGAGGCTTGTTGCTAAGGCCCCTTACTGAGTTATTGTTTGACCCCTTTGATGATGTCCGCCAATCCGCAAGTACAGTCTTCGATCTTCATCTGTCGATAAATTCAATCCCACGAAAAAGTATATCCAGAGGGGGAACGGATGGCAAAGCAGACTCATTGGACCAGGAAGCTAGGAATCAAGCCGACAATGAAGAGGGCCATCGCAAAACCAATTATCCGATACTCATCGACTTGAACAAGGCTGAGAACAGAGCCGGAGTCACAGGTCGAGCAGATCACGCAGACGGTTTTGGAAGACTGAACAATCTCCTGTACACAACCAGTGGGACTCTTTTCAAGCCAGCTGGGTGGCACCAAAGTCATTATTTGATAGTGGACCACGTCATATCAACGCTGGAAGAGGAGGTCGATATCGCCAAAGGCGACCTGCTGTTCGCCGTCAGTAGTAGGCCTCTTCACGGCCACCTGATCGCTCTCAGGTAACCTATCCTCCTCTCTACTCAATATCTATAAAAGCTGATGGAGAATATATAGATATATAGTCAGCCGCACCGACTACGTCAGATCGCTCGACGCATCGCTGGACCAATGGGAAGTTTTCGATAGAAGAATATTTTCTGTTTGCTCTGGTGTCTGGGAGGTAGTGCAAGACGTCCTCTGCTTCGATGCTCCAGAGGGCCATGACATTAGCGAGGACGACTTCAGTGAACAGGATAGAGGAACCAAAGATATACTTTCATTCTGCTGGCGGGCTTTAAAAGAATCAAGGTCCGTCGAAACGTCACTAATACAAAACTTGGCCATTACCTGACTTGTCTCTAGTTTACTGATGCATGCAATGGTCATGAATATTGGCTACATTCCTTCATCTCTCCGCGAGAGTACCGATTACAAAGGCTATCATGAATTCGGACTCCAAGCTTTTACGCAGCTGGCTGAGCTGCGTCATCGGGGAGCTTTCTCCACAGTCTCGCTTACTTTTGCGGCGTGCTGCATAATGTGTGCTCGTTCATCCCAAGTAGCAGTTCGAGAATATCCTAAGACTTGGTATAAGGTAATCTCTCCAGCTCGAAGTATATTGTCACGAAAGCTCACCAGTGGTAGCTTGCGTTGAAAAGTATCGAGGACAATGCCTCCTCGCTTACGAGAAGGTCCGCCGGTATACCGGCTATAATCACTGGTGTACTCGCCGCCTATTCAGGAGACAAGTTCTTTGATGATGTGGTTGTAAACCTGCAAGCCATGGCAGATGCACCTATCGGGGTTGATCTGGGCTCTCTACCTCAAGTGCATGCGCTGAACTGCCTCAAAGACATCTTCACGGATGCACGATTCGGGCTCAACACAGAAATCTACGTTGCGGATACCTTGGAAATTGCCGCTTCGTGCCTTGAAAGTCAGATGTATGACTGCCTTCATTTTCTGCAGAAGCATACGATGACATCTGACAGATTATCAGATGGAACATACGCAATTGCGGCCTAATGCTTTTCAAAGCTTTGTTAAAGCGTCTCAATGGTGGGACTGATACTTCGTCCACCAAAGCCTCCAGCTCACATCGCCGATTCTCGCAATTGACATACCAAAAATATGCCAACCTACCAGAGCTTCTACTAAGACTACTTCGCCGAACACCGACCCAAACGCAAGCCAATGGCAGAGAATTATACCCGACGATGCAAGCTCACAAGGTTTTTCCTGCACTCGAGGTAATCGAAAGATCCGGTATACCATCTCAGCACGAGAGCCTGTTTCTTGATGCTTTGCGATACTACAACGAGTCGCCTGACTGGTCGATCCGGGAGAAAGCTGCAAAAGCCCTGAGCCTGATTGTTGATGAAACAAGCATCGTGGAGGAAGTCACAAGCTTGCTTGCGCCTAATTGGATATCACAAAACGCTTTGCATGGGAGACTCCTCCGTCTGCGATTCTTGCTTGCTCGTAATGAAGCTCCACTGTTTGGCGACTTACTAAGTAGGAATCAGTCATTCTGGGGCCGCCAAAGTTGCTAATCGCTTTGACAGGCACTTATGAAGCGATTCCGCCCATGTTAGAAGACTCATTCGAGGCCTTAGTTATACGCAATGCTTGCCCGGTCACTACCGCAGCATTCCTCAACATTTTAGCAGACTTGTTTGCTATCTTAAATCTGTCCAACAGTAAGTCACTTGCGTGCCATCATTGCTGCATACTGAGGACATTGCAGGCGAGAAGACCAAGTCTTTCTTATTGCCGGTATTGGCGATGGACCAAGAAAATATAGCGAAGTATTCCGCCTCGGCTCTTCAAAGTAGCCCCCTAAAGCGTTGCATAAACCTAGCCAACTACATGCATGCTTTGAAACATCGGCCACAGAGGAATGGTAGTACTGAAACTCTCCGGCATTTCTCAGGAGTCGATAAGGATGCGCTTCAGATCGTGAATATGGCACTACAGTATATGTCTGATGAGAGCGACTTGGCCGTCCTACGTTTCTGTTCCGCTCGTGAGCTTCGTTGGGCTCCAGAGATAACGCAATGCTCTGATACAACTATCAGAATGATCACGAAGAATCATCGGCAATTTGATTATACCCTGGCTTTGCAGGGATATGCTCTTGGAGAACGCTATGCATTTGATGCCACTAACACTGAAGTTCAAGCATGGATCCGTCTGCTTTCCACAGCAGGAGCTGAACGCTCCGTGAGTCCTTCACGTTGGTGCATGTATAACTTGCTGACATTGTACGCCAGGATCTTCGTACTAGGACGGCAGTAGTCTTCTCAATAAGAGCGTTTTTTGATGGCTTACTGGACCATAACTTCCAACTGGTCCCAGATCCTCAGATTCTCGGAGTCTATCTGGCACTCTATGACAGCCTGGTAGATGACGATGAAGATGTCCGAGACCAAGGAGCAAGGGTCGCCTCGACTATACTTTCCGTGATTACGTCCACGGCTGCTGACTACGGCACCAATACTCTATCGCTATCTCCACCTGCGGCTAAAAAAGGATTACTTCGGTTCTTATGCGAAGGTTATCGAACTTCGATGCAGCTCTGCGTGGAAACTATTGGACGGCTGACTGGTATGGTTTCAGCAATAGAATCTGCCTCAGCCAACATGCAGGACGGCGAAACTCAGACCAAGCCGGGCAAGTCTGTTTTGCACATCCGCTCAGTTGCCGATCTCTCTCTAGAAGCCCGAACGACATCAACCGTAGTCTTCGTCGAAGAAAAACAGAACTTGTATATCGATACAGTCAGCGAAGCCGAAGGCTGGGCGGAACTCTTGTGCCGGCTTGATCCTGACGCATGGCCCGCGAGCCTCGCATCAGATTTAGAAACCTGGACTGGCGAAGGACTCGCGTATATTCTTGAGATTCTCCAAAACGGTGTAGACGGAGCGCTGAGTACGACGTCGAAGCCAGAAGTCTTTACCCTTTTCACTCGAGTCTTCCTAGCAGCGAGGGTAAACATCAGACGCTGCGGGAACCATGTGTCTTCAAAGGGAAAGGGTAAAGAGCATGTATGTGTTGGATTGTTGGAGAAGCTTCTAGACTTGGGCAGATCAAGGCTCTTTCATGATCTTCTACTCCATCGCATTGAGACAATAGTAGAGGAAAGCTTCAATTGCCAGAGTCAAGATCAGGGGTAGTTGCCGCGGTGAAGAATTGATGTTTCGGCAGTATCAACATGACGCAGATCATCGCAAGAGACTATTTTAGTCCACTTCATGGTGACGGTGTCGATGCATTGTGACATTGATCCTCTAGATACCAAATATCTGACTCACTGTTGCTGCTCAATCCTCACAATCACCGACATTGTCCCTGTTACTTTAGACCACAACCCCACTCAACACTCGAGCTGTTGCTGCTCAATCCTCACAATCACCGACATTGTCCCTGTTACTTTAGACCACAACCCCACTCAACACTCGAGCTCAAGATGTGAGTTTCAAGCCATAGGGACCTATCTTGCCTTAGCTGACAAACTTCTCTCAGCTCCCCACGATACCATTATCCTCGCTCCCCTCAAAGCAGCCCCGCAACACTCACCACCAGCACCCGTAAGCTCTCCCTCCTTCCACCAAATCTCCTCGATCGCTCAACTAATGATGCCCCAGCCAGCTTCATACTCCATCCAGCATGCAGGGCAACGCGGCCATCGCGATAATCCTCGCCTGCATCCTCGTCGGTTCCCTCGGCCTCTACTACGCGCTGAAAGCCGCATGCCTGACACTCGCTTACATGACATGGAAAGTGGGTCGGAAGGAGACTGTGGATGTTGAATTGGTGCCGCCTTCTTCTGCTTGAGATTGGGAATGGGTAGAAATGCAAGACGGTTGATTTTCATGGTGGCGAGCGGTAAGGGGATTGCTGTCACTGTTCGGCCCGGATTGTAAAGAGGGGTTAGATGTCACATGGCGGAAGAGCTTCTGATAGGATAGGGAAGGTTTCACAACGGCGCCGTGGAGGGACTCCCCAATACGGTTTGGCGCGTGCTCTCCATAGTGAAGTGAAGCGCTGACGAGTCCTACTCGCATGATGATGTTGCATTCGCAAATCACATCAGCGTATTTCCAATCTCCTCCCTCCTCCACTCCACCTCTACCTCAATGCAATCATGACTCCAAACACAACACTCCCACAACTATTATGCCGACCATGGCTTCCACCAAAGCCAGCACAGACACACCCGCACGCACCGACACTCCAACCAGTATACCAAGAACCACAGTCGAAACCACACACTCTCTTCACCCAACCAGTACCAAAAACCCGAAGACTCAAAAACCCTCCTCCTCTCACTCCGCAACCCCCCACCATTCAACCACCACCTCCTTCCCCCCCCCTTCACCCCCCTCCTCAACCCCCCGCCAAACCCCATCCTCACAACCCCAACCTCCTTCTCCTTCTCCCCCCTCCCCCAACCCTCCACGACCCCCGTCCCTCCACCAGCACCAACAACAACAACAACAACAACAACAACCAACACCGTCCGGCCCACCGCAACCCCTTCCACCCCACCACCACCACCACCACCCCACGCCTCCACCACCCCCTGGACCCCCCCCCAACGCGCAACCCTCATCGCCACCTCCCTCCTCTCAACCCTCGCCCTCCTCTGCACCCTCATCGCCGTCATCCTCATCCACCGGGACCGAGGGCGCAAGATGGCCGAGCTGGAGCGAGGGCCCGGCCTCGGGCATCGCGGGGGGGCGTCGGCCTCGGGCATCGCGGGCGGTCCAAAAGCCGACACCGCACCCGCACCCGCACCAACACCAACGACGCCAAACCCCCCCCCCTTCACACCTGGAAATGGAAATGGAACCGGAACCGGACCCGGCGCGGCAAAAGCGCATCCGTCACCGTGGCCCCACGGCGCGGGATCGAGGGTCTGGACGGCGTCGAGCCCGGTCCCGCCATCCTGAACGGTCTGTACGGGAGCGGGCTCGGGCTGGGGTTGGGGTTGAGTTCGAGAGGGGCTGCGGCTGGGGGTGGACAGGGGATGGGGGAGCAGAGGGAAGAGGGGGGGATGAAGGGGGGGGAGTATGAGATGAGATGAGATGAGATGAGGGGGGTCATTGGCGGTGGAGGAGGGTGCGGGAGAGGTGAGGGCAGGGGAAGGAAAGGAAAGGAAAGGGTAGGGTGGCTGCTGCTGCCGCGGGAACAGATGCGGTGGTGGGGATGAGGGTTTTGAGGCGAGAATGCGTGGGATGGTACGATTGTTCAATTGGCATGGGTCATGGTTAATTGAGTGGCTAGGTAATGAGGGGATCGAGATGGTAAGCGGTGCAGACAACGAATTGCCTTGAAAGGTATTCAAGATGTAATGCATCAAATGCTGTCTGTCTAGCTTTGCTTTTGTGCTCCAATTACAATAGCCCCCCACTCATCTTCATGAGCAATCCGAATGCGATGTTCTGAAGTCACGTCACCAGCTTCGTGACACCCATAGAACCTACACTATCTCTCGACCGACCCTCTCGTCACCTCTCAGTCAGAGAGAACATTGTACCGCCTCTGGGCCGGCCCGTTCAGTCCATTTTGAACTCATCGTTCTCCGAAATCATCACCTCGGCCACCGTCTCCTCGTATTGATCCTGCATCAACGGCACATCAAGAGGTACCTCATCGTCCGGCGGTGTCGCAAATGGCCCCATAGTAGTCCCCTCATCCGTTTGGAAATCCAACATACGATCGCCATCACCATTGCTGAAGGAGCTGCCTGCCGCTTTAGTGCTGCTGTTATCCCCTGCAAACAAGTCTTCGTCGTTGTCACTGGTATGAGGTGCGGCCGTAATTTGTTCGTTTTCTCCGTAACCCAGGCGATCGAAACTCCAGTCCGATTTAGGACTGACGTAGGTTAAAGGCCCTGGCGCCATGCCGATTCCCTCGTCGTCTTCATCCATGTCTGGCTCCACGTTCAGACCCCTTGGGTCAACTGTGGAAGCGCCATTAGGATCGCTTTCTGCATAAGCAGGCAAGTCATCATCAACTCCTGTCCTCATCGGACCGATCATCACTCCTTCTGCCGCCGAGCCACCACCTCCCGCTTGGTGAGCTGCTCCTACTCCGCGTAAAGCGCTCGACGAGCCATTGCGGGAGGAGTCGTCGAGACGCTTGCCTTCCCCCGCCTGTGATGTAGCACGGGAGGTTGGCTGGGATTCGGACGAGTTGGTTTCGGGGGTCGAAAGCCACTCGAAGTTCGGGCCGCCGAGGTGGTGGACAGAGCGACGTCGGTAGAAAAGGAGGTACGCGGCGTTTGTCACCACCTTTTGGGGGTCTGTTCTGCGCGATACGGAGGAGTCTATGACGATCAGTAAGGCCCTAAATGAACAGGACTCGGCTAGTCACTCACCATTGTATTCATACCAGGTCTGATTCTCTTCCATAAAGTTGGATGCGTATGCAGTATAGTGACCGCCTCCAAGACCGCCGTAGTGATTGTCTACCGCAAAGAGATCGTAGATTGGACTCTTTCCCTCTTCCTGCATGGCCATTCTAGTAGTCAGATCCAGGCCCTTGATTGGAAAGTCGACGGAGACATCGAGCTTATCTCTGAAGCGACCTTGTGCGCTGAATCGCTTGAGGTGTATGACAAGAATGTCGGGCGATTTCCACAGTTCGAACTGCTTGCTGGCGCGACGGTGTTCTTTGCACCTTGGACAGTACCAAGCATCACTTTCAGACAAGATTTCTGGCTTTCCGAACTCATCAAGGCAGTCGCCAAGAGTGACGCCGTTCTTTCTTCGACTGTAACGAGACTGTCGCTTTTCTTCCAGCTCCGGATCTGGTAAAGTGCTGACGTTCTCCCAAGTACGTGAACCCCGCATTTCTTCATTCGCACGATGAGTAGCCCCAGAGAAGAGAGCATCATAGCCTTCTGGGGTCCAGTCGAGCAGAATAGATTCACCCAGGTGTATTAACGGTAAGCTTTCGCCCGGTAAGGCGTCTCCATCACGCCGCAGCTTCGAGGCTGACTGATTGCCTTTCCGGGAGTATGTGATTAGCCCTTTACTATTGCGCTGTGTGTTCCTGCCAAACGTACCAAAGCCCATTCTAGGCTGAGCCAATTCTGCAATCTCTGGGAGTCCATCCGAATCGTCGGCAGAATCCTGAGCTTGAGCTTGTGCCGCAGGTGGTACATCATCTGCATCTTCATCGCTGGAGGGTGGGCTCACCGCCCGGCTCTGACGTTCCGAAATTCGTTCCATTACACTCATTTTTGACCTGACAGGGGGTCCCCCTGAAGGCTCTGGTTTCCTTGAAGCAATGGTTGGGTAAGTTTTGCTCTCGTCAGACAGAGTCGTCAAGCCGGTGGGTATCATCTCGGTCCCGTTAGATGCGATGTATCTCATTTCAAAGAGGCTCCTGACGCCAGGTGTAATGAAGGCTCCAGGCCGGAGCATAGGGGCCAGTGGGTTTAGCTCAGGAAGGTTGGATTTTGGAGGGGCTGTCTCCTCGCCGTCGCGCATAGAGATATCGATCATCCCGTCTTCGCTCTCTAAAGATTTGGATTGCACGCCGGAGTCTGTGGATGAGTCTGCCTCGTCCGTGTGCATAACAACAGTGTCTGAGTCCTCTGTGGCAGAGTCAATTTCTCCTCCAGGTCCATCTTGGGATTCAGCACCCTCGCGCAGGAAATCCCGGGTCGTCATGTTTTCCACTCGGGCCAGGACCTTTTGTAAGATTCTGTCGTAGTCTTTGGCTTCCTCAGGAGTGACAACGATGAAAAAGGGAGCCCCAAAGACTTGCTTCTGCGTGTACTTCGACAAGTTTTCCTTCACTCGACGATGGAACACAGGTACCATCATCTTTTCTGCCAAGGGAGATGCACCCTCTGGGATGTCATCGTCGTCACGATTGAAGTTGTACATCTTGAAACCGGAAGTCTTCTTCTTTGGAGAAGGGTAATTAGTAGGCTTGGCCTCTACCTCGTATATCGCAATCTGGTCGGCTTCGACAATGTGCTCGTCGCTGATAGAGGTCTTATCGCCAAAGAATTTGTAGAATTTGTTTTTGTAGATTTCTGCAACAATCATCCGCTTGGCTTCGACCCCTGGAAATTTGCCGGCGACGTACTCTTTGAGGGCCATAAAGCTCGCGTTCTTGTCGATATCTACAGCAACGCTAATTGGCGTTCCGCGCATGGGAAAGAAAAATATGGGCTTTGACCAAAGGCTCTCAATCGGTAGTTGCAGGGTGAGGTTGTTGAACGGATCGAATATGATGCTGACCTTGTCGCAGACCGGGCAAATGACGGTAGACTTGTACATGCCTGCAAATAGATCTGTGATGACCGAGTCGCTCCGTGCCTTGTAGATATCCCAACACTTGTCCGCCATTTGCTGTAATGCTACAGGATCATGAACCATTTCGTCCGTAGAATCTGGTTTTTCGACGTAGGGCTTCTTTTGGACACGATTCAGATCCTCCTGGAGACCGTCGAGCAAGAATAGCAAAAATTCTTGAGAATCCTGCTGTTGCCAGCCTGAAAAAGACGGTCCATATTTGCCAATCACGTTTTTAAAACTCCTGGGAGCGAATGAGCTCAGGGAATTCGGGGCATACCTGATTGACAGTCAGCTTGCTCAGAGCGTGCGCCCCCTGAGATTGGGACATCGCTGCGGGATGAGGCCTTACATGTCTTTGAGAAGACTTGCATAAGACTTTGCCACCGCTCCATTGTGACCGAGGGGATTGTCCGTATTCAGTTCGGGCTTCCACCTGTCCTCTGTAGGCTGTTAGCATGAGGATACAAGCCTGTAGACATCGTGGGTAGATCATTTCGGGGGCCTTGGAAAAAATGCCCACTCACCGAGAAAGTAATGCGTCAACTCTTCCACGCTTCGGACACACTGCAGAGCCGAGTTCATGTAGCACGTGTTCCCCAAGTTGTTCAAGCCAACAGTGCCTCGGACACGACCATTCTTTGCCGTGCGACCACGGGTCATTATCCCGTTTGGAGCCGGACTAGTCGCTCTACTAGTATTTGCAGTTGGCTTGAGCGAGTCCTTGACCGTGGTATTGCCGCTCTTAGTGATGCTGATAGGGACATTACCATGCAACTTGATCTTCGATGCCGCATTATCGGATACCCACTCTCCTCCACCGGGCCCACCAATCATTTCCTCGAGCACGATCACCTCATTTTGCCGAAGCCCAGCGACATCCAGGCTCAAATGGCCGTTGTATTTAACATTGGCTGTCTCGTCGTTGACATCGACCAGCTCACGCTGAGTTCCGAGCTGTAAGCCTGCGAATTCGCTTGCGTCAACAACGAGCTTGGTGCCAGGGTCCACGGACAGAATAGCTCCTGGAGCAGGCGAAGTGCTTCGTGACTGGGCAGGTGTCATCATTTCTGCGCCAGACTTCCCTCCTAGACCGCCAAGAATTCTCCAAATGCGGACTCTGGTTCCCAGATCAATGCCGGAGGACGTTTTTGCTCGCTTAAGGAAAGTCTGGTAAAGCTCATGCCTACTAGCTAGGATCTTCACCGGTGTTGCATCCTTTTCTCTCAGAGTTTTCGCTGTCAACCCCTCGCTTCTGTTGGGAAGCTTCAGAATGGTGAACACAGGAGGATGTAGCTCATACTGAAGGTTCTCCTGGGTCTCACTGGTGCTGGTGTTATGACAATATCTCCTAATGATAGCAGATCCCTTGGCCAGTGTATACCATTTCATGATGAGTTCCCACGCGGCCTCCGGTAGAATTTCGAAGTCTTCACCAAGATTCAAGCCGGGAGCAAGAGGGACGAACGGTTCGCCGGCCTCATCATTGAAAGGAGATGCATCTCGATCTGTCACCAAGTTGATTCCAGTGTTATCGACAGGTCCGATTGCCCCTTCTCTTGCTTCCTTGCCATACTTGTCCGAGCCTGCGCCATCAGTTCCTCTTGCCAGTACGCGGTTGAGCCACTTGGTGGCTACAATATAGCCTTTCTGGCCTTCTCGCATAGAGCCCTGCTGAGCCAGTTGCTGGACCTGATTGATCTGATCATCGATGGTAGGGATGTCGCCAGATGTCGGCATGCTCGAAGTTGAGGATGCAGTCCCATCACCACCAGACGTGGAACTTGTAGAAGACGTGGCACTCTGGGGATCCAACTCTTGAGCAAGCATATCTACACTCGTCTCTCTCTTGTGCCTCGTTCCCTGACTCTTGCTGTTCCACCGTGCTGTATTCGCTGTGTTCGCCGTATTTTTAATTCCACTACCGGAAATCGAGCCAGCATCTTGGCTCTCCATATCCACATCATCATTCGCCATAGCTGAAGCCCTCCTCTTTGCCGGTGATGATGACCGAACAGGACTTGATGCCCCACCTCTTAACCCGCTACTTGCCAACGAGCCTCTGCGCTTGTTAGGCCCAGCAGTCTCTGTCCCGCTTGCGTAACCGTCACTATCAAGGGTCAACCCAGCATAAGCGCCACTAGGTGAGCTGGCTGCTGTGGTTGACAGCTCTGGGGTGGGCGACCGCCCCTTCCTTGCTCCTTCCAGAACTAGGTGCTTGGGTATGTATGCCGGAGGTGAGGGAGATGACGTGAGACGTATAGCGGGGTCGGTGATGACGAGGTCAAGCGGAGAAGATACTTCCTGAGTATTGGAGGTGTCCTCTGAGGATTCTGGCAGCGAAAGCTTGCGCTTCTTATTGGGAGACGTCGTGAAGGTGAAGGCCTTATTCCCTTAGGGAATAAGGCTTAGGCAGAAAAGTTTGGAAGAGCGAGGAGAAAAGATGACTCGTACCCCAAGCACACAGGAGGTATGATTGATTAAAGTATGCTGACGATGAGTTTCAGACAAAGCCCATCCATTAAAATATAGAGAAATCAAGTGTCGAGGGTGCTGGTGGTCCTTTCAGCATTTGAACTCGCTTGTGGAGGCGCGTCGATCGTGCTAAGCTATCAACACCCTCAACACCTGCACGAGGTCATTGATTTCGTCAACGGTCAGCACAACTCACTACTAATTCACTCCTCGTTTGTCCGAGCCACAGTTGTATTACTGATACTGGTAATTTTGAAGGGGCAATATACATAAGAATGTATGACCTATTCGTTGAACGATAGACACCTAGATCCCCAAACCCATGCAACATTCATGACATGCTGCCATTTCCCGAGACCCACGCCATGAAATGTCGACAATATATACTCAGCCGCACTCATATGTCGCTTTTCTCCCAACCCAAAACAACAGTCATAGAAATGTCATCCACGCCAAAGAACCCAACAAGCCTGAACATATAATCGCTGTTACAATCCCAGCGCCTGCTTTATCCCCAGCTGTCATCGTTCTTGTCAAACTGGAACCGAGCATGACTGTTGGCTGTCCACCTGAAGTCGACCCAGCGCTCGGATCTCCCTTCGAAGTCCCTCCAGAGTTTTGGGTGACAGGCGGCGCCACTTTTGAGATCAAGTTCGCCTGGACAACACTCAAAGCGCTCATCTGCTCGCCAACACCGGATTTGCCGTCCCATGTGTTCTGGTACCACATCCTGCCACATGTCTGACCATTGTTTCCTCCCGAGCACTGCCCAGCGGCGCCTTGCGCTGAGGTGTAGAGAAGGGGCTGTATGGTGTCATAGGTAAAGGGCGCGAGCTGGGTCGTGGCTGCCATCCAGCGTGCGAGGTAGGCTTTGAAAGAAGGCTGGTCATAATTGCAAGTAACTTCAGGCTCGCAGGCGACCTCAACCATGATCTTCCCACCGCCGTATTGTTGAGGAAAGAAAATATCCATGCCTTTCAGCATGCCCTGGATGCGGGTTTCCCAGGTGGAATTACCAGTTGTCTGGCAATAATGTCAGCCTTGGGGCTTGGGGAATGTCGACCCGAGGCAGTCTACCAAAGAAAACTTACGTAGTTCCACATGTTTGCGGCACCCATGAGGTAGGTGCCGATGTTGTAAGTCCATTGGAGCTCATCTGCAATAGTGCAATTGTTCGCCATTTCAGCACCGTCATAGATGACGTAGTTGCTTGTGAACAGTGGGGTCTGAATGATCCAGTCGTAGGACTTGTCGGCCCAATCCGCGTACGTTTGGTTACCGGTATATCTAGCCAGACGTGCGGCCAGTTGAAAGAAGCCCCCGTTCGATATGCTGTTTTTATAGTCATATCCATTGTTCCAAGTGAAGATCTGCCATCGAAGTCCTCCACCACATGCTGTAGTATCCCACCGGCTGGCTTGTTCGTTGAATACCGCCTGGGCGAGGGAGAGCCATGAAGGCTTGCCTGCTGGAGGGGCTGGAAAGTTGAATTCTGCGGCAGACATGACCGCGAATGCCCAGAATACTTGGTCATCGTTTCCCTGTACAGGTGTCAGTTTTGGGATCTCTGTTGGCCACAATTTCTCCCGGCGTGGTCACAGTGCCGGGGAAGTATCTTGGGCGTAGCAGTTCCTACCTCAGTCTTCGTCTGGTTTGGCGGCATATAATCGTTGTCAGGCCCAACTTGTGCTAGAAGGCCTTGTGTGATCACGTCGTTGTATGTACTGTCGCCCGTATAATACCAGTATTCAATCATCTGTCCGAACATAGCACCTGCTTCCCACCAATAATAAGGGCTCGGCAATAATCCGACCGGTTGTCCCGTCTCATTGCCTGTGTAGTAGGTCATCATGCCGTAGGCAATTGTGCTTGCTGCTTGCTTTATTGAGTCTGGAGAAGGACAGAACCAGGTCAGCGATCTAAGCGCAGGGAGTTTGTGCGGCCGAACATATTGTCGGCATGCCGGTGATGGTAAGATCTTACTGGAATCTGAAAGGTCCAACTCAATTCCCTGAACAGCCTGTCCGCCATACATCAAAGCGCCCAAAGCCCCGAGCACCTGAGGTTTCCGTAAGAATAACATAAGGACAGACGTATCCCAAATACAGATAGTAACAAGTTAAAAATTAAATAGTAAGTATATTCAAAGTGCCGTGATGCAGATTCGTTCAAGCCGTATTCAGTAGGGGCGAGGCGCAAGGCGGAGACGCTGCCATGGGCGACTGCGCCGTCAAGCAGAGAGTTGTGCAGTTATGAGAAGACTCGGTTGCGATTTCGTTACCCTCGTGATGAGTGGCGCCAGTGACGATGAGGAGGAGAAGGGAAGAGGAGTAGGAAGTGGAAAGATGGTTACGATTTGCGAAGTCCGTTGCCTTGGTGGTGATGGCGTCTCTTAGCGGCGCAGCCAAGATCTCATTGTCAATAAGTACGAGTACTTTAAGAGTACCCCTGTCCCCTGTCCCGAAATAGCGACCTCAGCCCAGTGAAAGTCTCAGTAAATATCAACGCGCGCATTCAAGGATTGCCATTTTTGCCTCTCTGCTGGTCAGGTGGGATGAGATGAGATGGGAAGAATGGACTTGTCCTTGTCTGGCGCAAGCATGCTAATACGGTGATGTACATTTGAAGAGAGGGATTTATGTTGCATCAATGCCATTCGTTGTACGAACAAAGGGAGACTGCGGCAGAATGCCAAGACGGAGAAAAGGTTGAGACTAATTTCCTTGTGCAGATGTGGGGTAGCGCTCTGCCGAATGAGCAGAAGTGGGGAGCCAGTACCTAGGGAGTTTGGGACCATCCTGTCTCAATCTCATCAATCTCTTCTATTTTCTTCTATCTTTGATGTCTGACTTGTAGCAGCACAAGACGAGCTTTGATGCCTTCCCCAGAAAAAGTTCCGGAGCGCAAAGGCTTCTCAACATATGATTTTCAAAGCAAAATCTTGTCGAACCATCGGACGCAGGTACCAAACTAGGCTCGTCGATCTCGCTACCGACGACATGTCTGTCGTCCTTGGGCTGCGTAAATCCAGCGCATTGTATTTCAACATTCCGGGACTTTATCAATCATGATTCCCTACCAACTGCTTCCAAGGGCCCAAAACTCGCCGCTCGTCCTTGCTATTTCTCTATTGCTCCGCAAGACATCATGAATCCCAATACCTAATCATTCAATCTGAGCCGCGGCTTGAGACTCACATTTAGTTTCAAATCTGTGCCAGTAAGCTTGTTCTAGCTTGAATGATACTGGGACCCTCGAAATTTCCCCAAGGTAAGGGGTCGCCAAAGAGATGAGAGTACGGATATTAGTCTTTGGGTTTTATACAGATACACATCTATGTACCTGAGGACTGATACTGATTCTCATAACGCCATACCAACACTACCTGACTTCTATTTTTTCCACCTCATCTTTAGCTTCTTTCCAAGTGTCGACGTTCTTCTTGGCCCAATCAATGTGGCACCTAGCATATGCGATCTGGAAGCGAAGGTTAGCATCATGCTTAAGTAATGCGTATGTGGATACATACCATATAGCGCTTGAGATCATCCTCCTTTTCCATTTGGAATCGCTTGAGATCCTTCAAAACACCTGCGCTTGCGTCTTTGACATCCTGATCAGACACACTGAGAGCTTGTTCAAGCTTAGTATCCGTTAGCTCGAGGTGAAAGCGCTACAGGCTGGTCTCTTACATGGACCAAGCTCTCCCTAGTCTTTCCTATCTGATCCCGTCGGGTCCGTTCAGGATCGACGTCAACAATGCCTTGGAATGTATGACTTATCCTCCCGAAGATTTTGTTAGCTACAAATCCTCCGCTTTGGCTCTTCGATCTCGAGGGCAATGCCTGGTCGTGGCCCTGGGCGCCATGCGATGCTGATGATGGTTCTCCATGCGTTGGCGGAAAATCAGAGTCTATGGATGCTCTATCTTCGCCCTCTTGTCGCTGGATCGTACCCGCCTCGGACTTAATGCTCCGCGCAGAGGCTGAGGAAGTGGAACGCTTAGGCGGAGGGCCGGTATGGCCACCACTCGCAAGATACTGTTCGATCCTATTGGCTTCTAATTCGCTCTTCTCTAAGGACTCAAGCAGATTTTGTTTCGTTGCCAGCTCATCCTTGGTCATCTCTTCCTGTATCCTTTTCATTATTCTGAACCTCAAGACTCCGCGGACTACTCCAGCAAATTGTGCGCTCTCACGCATTGGCTCTGCAAAATTGGCGCCTAGGGTAGACGACAACTCTTCAGTTGCAATGTACGAGGAGTCCACAGCCTGCCCTATCCGCTCTATTGCAGCAGCGACAGTCGGTGACTGCTCAGAAAGCGAGAAACCGTTGTATCTCGCACCGAGTTCTGCCATGTCTGTGGAGAGGGCCGAGAGATGTGTGAGGGTACGTCGATTGACTTTCTCGATGTTCCCCTGTAAAAGAAGTTCAAGGTCCCTGGTTGCGGATTCGAAATTGTTAAAGTAAGGGTCAAGATCCTGTTCGGAGAGGTTTTGAGATGCGGGAGGGAAGCGGCCGAAGACTTGAGTACCCGGGACTGTGTGGGCTGCTGAAGAAGCCATGCCAGAGTGCATAGGAGGAGACGATGGTGTACCGGTTGCGGAGGTCTTAGACGCCGTCTTCAATTTTGCTGACGAAGAGGGGACAGGAAGCCATTGATGTGCAGGGGTGGGGCTAGAGGGGTTGAGTGGTGGCGCTTTCATGATACTTTTCGGTATCGAGTTTACCGGGTGTGAATGCAGTACCTCATTCTGAAGGGGCGGCATTAGCCATGTCAAGCATCGCGTACTCAGCATTGCTTACCCAGCTAGCATTCGGGTCGAGGAATCTCCACCACACGCCGTCTTCTCGGACCTCGTTCATCTTCCGACATCGGTTCAGAAAAACGGCAAGCATTCTCTTGCGCAGATCTATAATGCTTGTGTCCTCTTTCGCTTTTGTAGGCTTAGCCGCGTAGTCCGCCATTGAATGCTTCTCTGGGATCGGTGGTATGATCAGTGTGGGATGTAGATTAACGAGTGTAGCTCTGAGAGAAGCAAATTCGGAGTATCGCCTGCGAACTTCGAGATCCTATATATTGTGAGAACAAATCAAGAACTTTCTTCGGCCATGAATTACCCCAGTCCTTATCGTGTACGCAATGTAACTTCCCCCACTCTCATGGTTCTTCCCGGCATCTGTGATAAGAATCTGCAAGTCCTGATTCTCGTAGAGTATCTGCTCGATACGACTGTCGTAGCCTCCCTTCTTGCGTGGAGCTCTTTGCTGGGCATCTTCATCCTCATCGTCACTCAGGTCCCGTTGCCTTGACACGAATTCTGGGGGCTCGTTCGGGGGCGATTCGTCTTCGGATGTAGGAGTAGATGGGCGCTCGAAACCTGAGGTGTGTGCTTCACGTAAGTAAGGAGACTTGAGTCAAGAAGGAACCTTCTTCTCTGTTTCTTAGGATCGCATACCATGGGTTTGGGGGTTCTGGCGGGGTGCTGATGAGGTAGAGTCATGGCGGTCAAAGGAGCTATAAGGATTGTTGTCCTCGTCATTCCACATATTGAGTTGTATTCAAGGCATCAAGATGTGCTAGAGCTCAGGCAATTCAAATTTGCTTTGAATGTTCGTCACTTCATCCCACATCTGCAGTCGGCTACGGCGTGTCGGCGTTTAGGCAGTCGTCTGGCTTGGCACGATCCGTACTTTAAAGTACGGCGTAAATCTCGAAAGCCCAAGTCTGCCACTTTCATCGACTTGGTCCCTGGACACGCTCTCCTGATCGAATCGTCCGAAATTTCATGGTCCTTTCCGGGTTCATGATGTGACTTCAGCCAAATTGAGACCGTGTATCGACTATACCAGCTTGGTGCGTACGCGGAGACGGAGGAACAATCTGCCTATGGATTTAACATAAACACCGCTATCGAAACATTCCCGCTGAATCATGGCCCTTTTTCAGCGTATATATCAAAGCATTCCCCCTCAATAATCTCAAATTCCCTTTGCTCTCATTCACTTTTCCTACCATCTTCTTATACTTTCGTCGCCCCAACTCCTATACAAACTCTCTTATGGTCAGAGGTAAGAGCGTGGAAGTCTAGCAGCACTTCCACTCAGACTCTCAGCTATGTCAAAATCAGTCCTTGTGACTGGTGGTACCGCAGGGATGGGCTATGAATGTGCCCTGAAAATCGCCCAGCAATGTCCCCAATATCAAGTTCTGATTGCCTCGCGCTCCAACAATAAAAAAAAAGAAAGGTCACCCAACGATATCTCACGCTTGACCTATCCAATCTGGTCAGAGTCCGTTCCTTCGCCGCGGACTACGCGAAAAAGGGCTATCCACAGATTAAAGCCCTTGTTCTCAATGCTGGTTTGCAAATCCTTGATCTCAACTACACAGAAGACAAGATCGAGTCCACTTTCGCAATCAATCACGTTGGGCATGCCCTGCTTTTCTACCTCATGAGCCCATACCTTGCTGAAGATGCACGCATTCTCATCACTTCCAGTGGAACCCACGATCCTGCTCAGAAGTCTGGACTTCCGGACGCGGTATACAATTCGGCCGAGGAATTAGCTCAACCTACCAAGGAGACCGGGAAATACTCCGGGAGACAACGCTACGCCACGAGCAAGCTCTGCAACATTATGTGGATGTACGCTTTGCACAGACGGCTGGAAAGAACTTCATGCAAGAAGTGGATTCGACCCTGGTTTGATGCCCGGGACCGGCTTGACGAGAGAAGCTCCAGCAATTCTGCAATTCATTTGGCACCAAATCATGCCCCGGACCATTTGGCTGCTGCGACTACTCGTCTCTCCGAACATCCATTCGCCTCGGGATTCTGGGGCCTCGCTTGCACGGTTGGCTGTAGGAGATGATGTGAAACAAGTCAGTGGAAAGTATTACGAGGGCCAAAGACCGATACCGTCCAGCAAGGACAGCCAAATGGTAGAGAAGCAGGAGAATCTGTGGGAGTGGACTGTAGAACGGGTCGCAAAGGATGATCAAGAGAGGCGCGATTTTGAGAATGTCTAGTGACAATTAATTGCTGTCGACTACTTTCCACTACACCTGTCATCGGCTTTGGCTAGGGTGATGTATCGCACATCGTGTATGGTGCTTGTATCAATGTCGCTCCCTTGCCAAAAATTTGATAGAACATCTCATAGCCAGCAAACAACTGATGGAAATACCTCACGTCTTCATCGATCCTGTGAGCTGGAAATGGAATGACGAAACTGACATTGGTATGGAAAAGCTTAGGGCTGTCTGTTGATCATTGCTAAGTTGGTAACGGTGGCTTGGGAGGGTGGTATATAGCCGGTTTATATCACTTTGCGTTTCTTCTGGGACATTCCAACATGAGTATTCTGAGTCCTCGAGCCTTGGAACTTAGATTCGTGAGAATGTTTCACGGTCACGATCAGAGAGAAAATGATGAATGGCGTACATTAGTTAGGGTTTCGGGGATAACTCCCCCACTATCTTAACGCCTGCCGAAGCCGACCTCGGAAGACCCCAACTTGTGACTCTCAAGACTCTCCCCAGATGATCAATGCACATGCGAATGGATACACATGTGCATTCAAACAAGAAAATGATTCTAGGGGAGGCAGGACTTTTGGCTACCTACTGATAGACATATAGTAGACCATCTGCCCATGCCCCAGTGCCCAAATTCATGCCCAGGACTTACTGAAGCAACACAAAGGAGAAGAAGGCAGTACACACTTTTGCTCCGCAGAATGGCCCGGCGAGCAAAAGAACCGGATCTTGCGGTTGACCAAAAAGAGTACCAGATAACAGAAGCATTGGAAAGGAAGAGGAGACAGCTAGATCTGGATATTGCAGAATTCAAGGCGGAGAAAGAGAATGAGTACAGGCTTTTCGAGCGACGATTGAGAGGCAAGACCAAGGAGAATGGTGTGCAAGATGCACCACAAAGCCAACGCAAGCGCGGACGATCTGAATCAAAGAATGCTGCAGCAGAAGCTGGTTCCATGCAGAGAGAGGAGGCCAATCATGTGCAGAGAGAGTCGGGTGATGAAAAAGCCAGTCGGAAGGGCTCAGACCCAGAAGCAGAAAATCTGCTTGATACAATTCGATCGAAGTCCAGTCCAGGAGGCTCTCCAGGTCGGCCAGACCGACCCACAGAAGTGTTGCATGAGCGAGAAAAAGAGGTTCAAGGACTCTTCACGCCAAGCTATCTTCCACTTGTGGACAATACACCTACTGATGAGGGGAACATATCCAAGGGAAAACCGCAATCTCTATCTTTCAATCCTGGAAACCTATGTGCAGCAAGGCACAACAGTAGCGCAATGCTCTCGTCGTCAGCGGAGACCGTTCCCCCGCCCATGACTTCTCCTCCTCTTCTACCTGCTAGGCCGCTATCATCCAGCGTTCCACCGGCGAAGCCTTCGCACCATCGGAGTGATTCTTTAAGATCGGACAATTCCTTTGCAAGCCTGCGGAGTAGTCTTCGAGATCCTAAACAGCCTCGATCTCCGAAGCGAGTCTTGTTTTCTATTGACGATACTCTCGTATCACCGAGTACTTCTCCAATTGCCCAACGCTCGAAGTCCGCGACGCCTAAGAAGCCGGCAGATTCCGTTGACGCTGTTGGTGGCTTTGAGAAATTCGAAGTCGTAAGGAACAAGAATGGTTATGGCCCTATCGTCACTGGATCCCAAAGCAATGACGTCGATTTCTTGTCATCGAGCGCGCCAGCTAAGGGTTGGACGGCTAGCCTTTCGGCGTTTGATGGTGCGGCAGTAATGAATCTCTCGAAGCCTTCGCCTTCCGCTAGTGGAGCAGACGGCTTTGAGCATCTAGAAAATGACGACCTCTTTACCTTCGATGAGGATATGGGGTTGGCGGGCAGGAACAGACCTCAAGTCAAAGATCCCGACGACGAGTATGATGAAGATGTGGAGGTGAAGAGCAAGGACCCACTCACAGCCAGCTCTCCACATGCCGGAAGTCTGCCGATCGAGATCAAGTGGCCGGGCAGACGGGAGGATAGAGGCTAAAAGTTGTCATCGTAAGGGTTCCTTTCGATACGAGCTCACTCAAACATGTTCCGTACGCGAAAAAGGGTAGTTTGTTTTGCGACTACTCTTCGAAAAGCGCTGACCTTGGAGATTCATTTTCCTAGATCACACCACCCACTTCGAGTTCTCGACAAATCAAGCCATCACATATCTCTCATCGTCTTAAGTATTTCTACCATCACGTGCAAACAGTTGAGTCGATTGGGTGAGCAGGTAAGTCTTCTTATCGACCTCACTAATCGACCTCTTGAGAACTAAGCAAGCTACGCCTACAGTTCGTCACAATTCACCTCGAGCTTTCCCATCAAGAATTTTCCATCACAAGTGGCCAAGGGGAACCGTCTTGCAATCATCCCTCGCCGAATGGTAAGGTCCTGCGATCAATGTCCTTTACCAGCCCACGCCGAAGTCTTCGGTCTTGCATTTTCTTGGCAAACATCGTCTCAACACCGACATCACAGAGTTGATTAGGGTCCTTGAGATTTAGAAATGACGGCCAGACGGGAAATCACAATAGGTAAGTACCGCACTCACCACTATCTTCCTTGCCAATATTCTGGTTCGTACGCACTCTAATACTTTCTTAGACGCATCTAACAGCTTGAAACCCAACATCTCGGCTCTAGTTGAGCATGGCCCCAGCTATCAACCCATGCATCATCAGAGGTCCGAACCGAAGAAATACTCGGGTTCTAAAGCCTGTGATCCCATCACGATTCTAGGTGATGATGAGCCAGATGCTGCGGAAATCGGTTACATTGATCTTGAAAATGGCAGCGACAACAAAGCTGCTATCAAGGGGAACTACGCCGATACAACTCAACAAGCAGCGGCAGGAACTCAGGTCTTAGGCTTCCAGTCAGTGGCTAAGAGCCACAATCCCGAGGACAAAACTCAGGGACCGTATCCTGCGAGGCACACCGAAGGGGTCACGCACCCTTTATCTCGTGCTCTTACTAAGGATGATTTCCTGGCGTCAAGTATGCAACCATTGCCAGAAAATCGTGGCATAGGCTTCAAGGCTTGGTACAGAAGCCACGATTCTTATCGTACAGCCAACGCTGCTCCCGTAATGCAACAAAAAGCAGTCAGCAGAAATCCTTCTATTACACTATTCAACGAGGAACGCACTCAAAACACGACGAAGAGGGATCGCGATGCGCCACAGTTTGACATGAGTGTACTGAGCTCCAAGCGCAAGCGAACCATCGGTGAATTGGGTTACAATGAGCTTATCTCACCTACGCAGATCGAGTCGCCCTCGGAAAAGCTAGCGCGTATGGCCAAGAAGCGTCGACAATGCCAGGAAAAGTGTGATACAAAGGCTGGAAACGCGCAAACTGCAATGGATTTCCACCCCGCGTATGGCCATGAAAGTAACAAGATTATTGGAGAAAATGTTGAGCTTGCCAGCCCTCCATGCATGCATAAATCACTTGATGAGGATGTCCTCACAGCGCAGCGTCAAGAGGATCGAGGTGATGGCTACAAGGACACTTCCGCAACGCGTACGAGACACACTATCACCCAGAATAGCGACGCCCATGAGTATAGTGAAGGCATCTGTGCCGCTGGTTCAAGAGACAACACCTTCCTAAGCCATAAGCTTAGACACAGTAAACCTCGGACTGGTGGCCCGACAAACGTTTGCGGAATCTTTTCGCCCGAGAAGAAACCTCCGGCCAAAAGATCTAATCGTGGCGCTTTCCATTGCCCAAGGTGTGATTCTCAGTTCACCACACCACAGGGAGTTAATTATCACTTTGAGAAATGCATTAACAAACATGGTAACCCAAGGAGCTTGAAATGGAACGATCATCCTAGTCTTGCAGCAGTGGGGAAGCGTAATATGATCGTTCTATCGCCAGGCTTAAAAATCCAGACATCTAGCCTTTCACGTTTGGCAGAGAAGCAATCGATAACCGAGGAACAAGCGTTATCTTTCGGTAACGAATCTAAGCTCGATTGTCGAACGTCGCCTGTCGAGCATCGTGCGATTGGCGGTAAAGGCCTGTCTGCAGAAACACTGAAGAGGTTTCGGGAGGCTGGGAACTGGGATGTTGACATGGTAGTGGATCAGAGGGCAGACGAAGCTCAAGACGAAGAGACCGAAGTCCCTAACATTGCTTACCAATACTTCGTTCGGAAGCGCGAGTGGCTAGAGACCGAAGAGGACGCTGTTGAATCGAGCATGGGGCCTTATTACACTTTGAACGAAGCCAACGCCATCGCCAAAGCGGAAGTCCAATCCCCGCAGATTGATGGATTCGAGGGTGTGCAGTCCAAGGGATGGTCATATTTCTACAAACAGGACGAGCATGGTATGCAGACGCACATGGCTACAGTCCTAGAAGTTAACATTGAGGTGGTTGTGCACCGCGGTAAGTGCCATTGTCTTCGGATCGTTCCCCGGGAACGACAGCTGATTCGAGGGATTTCCAGAGCTTGCGCCGCCCAATCAACAGGCTGCCATTCCGAAATCCGCCTTCATTTTAGCTCCGCGAGTCTACGTTGTGCACGAGTTGCAATGGCTACCTACCCCCTCTGATAAGACAAATACGGTTCCAAGCCACTGTCAATCGCTTACACATGGGGTATTCACCCTCCTGAATCAGGCAAATCGACGGGCGTCAGCCGAGTATCTGGAGACTCTGACCGGCAATGGGGGCAACAGCGAGTATGATTTACTGAAGAAGGCAGAGGCGAAGAGCGATTTGGGCAAGAAAGTACGAGCCTTGAATCGAGAAGATGACTTATTTCGTGAGGAGATCACGCTGGGCAATGAGGGTTTTGCCAAGGTCTGGGTGGAGCTGGTGGTTGTGGAGGGGCCGCGTAATTGACCACTGCAAGCAATGCATTCATCGGCTGAGCAAAGACCACGCACGTTTTCAAGGCTTGCAGCTTGTCAATCGACTCGTTTCTTTTGTCCATACCTAGTCATCGAATCAATCCACTTACTGGTACATCCCCAGTCTCCCAGCTCATGCCAGAGGCGGTGAATATGTTTCCGCTTTTATGCGAAGGAACGGTCATGGCCGCCAATGTTACATTTACAAGGGTGTGTTCCCAAGTGAGTACCTGGCATGACTCTGAGGAGATTACTCTTTGTAGCGATTATTTATAATCACTCCGACTCCGAAATGGAGAATTGCTGCTGCCTTGCCAAGAGCTGAAACATGAAACCGCTGGGCAGCTGCTAGCCGTGTAGGTAACCTTAGCCTTACCCTTAGCATTTACACTCGCGTCCGATAGCGCCCGGGGATCCCTGTTAGTGGGGCAGCCTAAGTGTACCCTATAGTACCTTACGAGCTGATCTTTCAGCCTGCGTTGTTATTGTCTATTGTCCATTCGTCCTCACTTCTTATTAGTCGCCGAGTCATGAAACATGTGCACTTCCTTCTGCATTGATTATCATCTCGGATTCTTGCATGTCCAGAGGCTCCAGCAATAATAGTGGACCTGACACAATACTACATCAGCTTACAAGATACTGTAATCCTAGGACTACTCTGATGCATGGGGGCACCAGGGGAGGATTCCCGTGTTCTCATCTCGCCAACGCATACAATTCGGCCCCATCCACACCGGTGACACCGTCCCTAGATTGGCGGTCGAGAACATCAGGCCACCCAATTATCAGTCCGAGAGGTAGTATCCGCTCTAGAGGCCTCACGGCATACAACATATACAACATGTACAACAAAATTCCCCAGTGGTCTCTCGCTTGCCAGTTGGCAGCCGATGCGGCCGCTGTTTCAACAGTAAGGTTGCTAGGTTGTGTGCTGACATGGTTACATGAAGGATGAATAGACTCCGCGCTGTGTGTTGACAGCCGTTACTGATAAGTTGGAGGTATCTACCTGGACATAATTGCGCTTTGCTGGTACCCGGATCTTTGGCTAGGGAGATATAAACTCGCATGTACTCCCGTTCCTGACTCGCTTGCTCTGCATATTCAGGCACAAGGATCACTCATCAATCTCACCCATCGGACCTGCAATTGTTTCTTAAATAAATTCCCACCCACACCACTCCAGCAAATGTTTCAATGCGGTTGTGACCCGTTGAACAATTTCTACTCCCTCAAAACTTGCGTCCACATCTACACCTCGTCGCCTTCACTGACCGCACCGCCGAAATCTCCCGCCAAATCCCACAGACGACCAAATCGCAGACCTAAACGAGCCTACATACCACTCTTTCCTCAGCCGCCAACAACGCCATACTACTGCCTTCAGCGACCACAATGCGAACTCACTCTCCTCCACCCAGCAACCCCACCAGCCTCAGAATCACCAACCTCCCCGCTTCCTCCACTACCTCGCCCTCAGACTCGCCGATCTCGACATCGTCTTCCTCCACACCATTGAGCCCACGGTTCGCACCGGTTCGCACCAGCACTTCGCCTAACTCTCCTTCAATCTCCTCTCGGCCACCTTTCCTCCGCTCCACATCCTCACCCACATCTCCTACACCAAATACCAGCCCTGCATCAAGCCACAGCTCGACAGACGACTCCCTCTGGTCTGCCTCCCTCTCACGTTACTCCTTCTGCTCTTCCAACTCCCAAAAGAGTACATCGCAAGCATCTTCGAGATCTACATCTCGCGCTCGAACAAAGAAGGAGAAGACAAGGAAGAGACAGTCAGGCACGGTCACTCGATGCGGCCGACATGGAGATGAATGGCTGTTTCGGGGCTGGACCGATATGATGAAGGCGCTATGGAAATGATGGGAAACAGGCGGTGGTAGTGGCGAGATGACAGAATAACTAAGCTGCATCTCGGCAAAAAGGATAAACGGAGGAATAGATGGACGGAGTCTGGGATCTGAGTGCGGGTTGCAAGCCTTTGCATTTGCATGCGGTTGGGGAGTCTTTTACACTGGGGATTACTTTGCAAAAAAAATGAATATACCCATTGATAATCACTACTCTGGCGGCGCATATGAAGCAGTACATGCGAAATCCTTTCGTCAGGATCTACTTAATCCACAAAACACCATGGCCCTGATCCACATTGTCCACCTCTTCCACCCCCGTCTCCCCAACCTCGCGCCCTCGCGCCTGATACCCGTACGAGTACTCTACGTAAACCACCCATCCTGATCCCCTCATCCCTCGAACCCCCAAAACCTCGCCACGCTCCTCGTACATCCACACCCCTTCCATCCACACCCTTACCACCCAATCTCCAGCTTCCCGCTCGCGGCGCAGCAACGTTGGTCCGAAATCCCTCAGTGCCGTGGCGGACGTGTGCTCCGAGAGCCTGGACATTCAGGCATCGGGACCGTTGGTTGGGGTCTGTTGGATGGATGGATGGATGGATGGGTGGAGGATGGCGCGGCGGGCTGTGTGCGATAGGCAACGCGGGGGGGGATACGGACGGTGAGGAGGCTGGGGCTGGGGTTGGGGTTGGGGTTTTCGGTGCGTGGTCGTGTGGATATGTCACCAATTTGCACGCACTCACTTGCTTGCGGTCGCGTGTTTTTCGGTCGATATTCGCGAGGTCTGGGGACCTGGTTTGGTTTGGTAAGGTAGTTCGGAAAATCCCTGCGGATATTTTCATCGTGTTTGCAGATACGTTCTTCTTTACTTCGAGGACCTTTTCGGGAACGAATCATCGAAGCTGGGTGATCGAGGCATTAATGTATTTTACGAGGTTGTGAGGGTAGCTTGCTTGATCGGATCAGGGAACCGTAGGCTTGCGTTGTTGATGAGGATGGGTTGCTGATTTCCTATAGTTATAAAGATTTTGGACGATTTCAATCATCGCTTGTGTATATTGTTTGGAGTCATTTGTGTGTGTTTACATGTCGGTTCGAGGCCAGGTCTGTGAATTGTTTTGCTGGTATGAGACTGGAGTGCGAAGGCAAGAGGTCTGTTGCTCGGGGAAGATGATGGAGAAGGATATACGATTTTACATTTCGGCAGTTGTGAATCGAAGATTTGGTAATTCGCGTAAAGGTTAGGAGGGATCTTTCCCTGTTCCTTTATTGAAGATTATCTCGTCTACGCTGGATGCGCCCTGGGAATAGAGCCATCTGATTTGGGAAGATCCTTCAACTCCGCCGGTTACGGACCGAGAACAAAGCACGTTACAGTGCTGGAATGAAGTACTTGGTGAAATCTTTGCGGGTCACTCGATGGCCACCAGCAAAGACAGGGACTCTCCGAATACTGCACTTGGCAACACGCACGCACAAGAATCCAACAAAAGACATCTGCTACAAACCCTGTCATCTTCTTACCTTCCCTCGCGATTCCCGCCCACAGACCTTCCAGTCCCCAAACCTCTACCCACCATCCAACCCATGGACACCTCCCAGTGGCCAGAAGACGCAACGCCACCGCCGTCTCCAAACCCCCCTCGAAGCAAAACCCATCCACCGAAGTAACCAAAATCGCAAACGCCATCACCGGCGTCGCCATCTCCAAACCCCCACCGAAACCCCCGCCAAAAACCCATCCACCGAAGTAACCTGCGCATCAATTCACGATGCACTGACGGATTCTCTGTAGATCCACTGAACGCGAGATATTTGTTTCGATCCCGTTCGAGATAACTGTCCAATTATCGACCTGCTCGAGCTCGTTCAAGCTGATAGAAAGGATCAAATTTTGCAATACAAATTGCGTGGTTAGTTTCAGAGAACGCAATTTAGTGGATATGGGAAAGAATACTGGATGGTGAAGTGAGCTTTATTGGAGACAGGACTTGAAGTGACCATAGATTGTGTGGTGGCTTTCTTCTGGCTGTACTTTCCAGGTACTGAAATGTTCGGATGGTGTAAGTCCCAACCTGGGCTCTCACTTCTACCACAGCCATCATTTCCTGAGGGAGGTACGTTACGTACGTACTTTTCGGCGTAGATCATTCGTGTTTGGTAGCGAATTGGAGCCACGATCCAGATTCCGCGAGCAGAAAGCTCCTTCAATTCTCCAGAACTGTCTTGCTACTTAGGTGAATCGGCTGCGGGTGACTATTCCTGCTCTTCACATAAGTCTGATTTCTCGGTCTATTACCAATGAGAACCACACTGACTCCGAAATCTGCGGCCACGTCGAAAATAGTTAGCTTGGTCGAAGCCTGCTCTATCAAATCTACAAACAACGCGAATCATCCCTTCACTTTTGAAGACCATAAAAAGCCTGAATCCATGTTTGAGATTGGCGAACGTGTTTCTGCACATGCCATTTTGTGCAATCGCGAAAGGCTGATAGGGATGGATTTTTCTTACATGGTGCAAGCAGCTGCCTAATTACCTTAGATAACGCCTCAGCCTTGCATCGACACGGCTGACAAGCTGACCACCTTCAGTTTCTCTCGACATCTGTCGAACTTACGATCTATCGCTTGTGAACAAGTTTTGGAACAAGTAACCTTGATAGGTCGCGACTTACTACTTGATACATGATTACGCTCTGATTATGATGTATGGCGAGCTCAAAGACGTCCGTTAGCGCGCCTTGCCGGAACCCTAACCACGAGGACATAGTCCCTCTGGAGAGCGTTGTCACAGGCGAGCCTTCGAGATCTTTTGTTCGTGCAGCCAGTGGTTCGGTGGACCCGGAACGTCTCACGCGACGCCATTCAACACATGCTCTCCCTCCTTCCGACCGTGAAATTGAATGGAATGTTCTACTGAATTCTCAGCGTGCTGTGCTTAGGAAGCTTAAAGCATGGCATAAATGGGACACTGATCGTTATAAGTCTTTGAGTAAATTCCTAATGAGCAAGGCTGGGTTCCCAAAGCGGCCAATCTGCCCGGCCCCTTGTCAGCTCTTCTCGCTCGCCACATACTTCTTCCCGCCTCGTTGGTCACTCAAAGCGACTGTATGCGGTTTTGGCGAAGGTCACTTTGAGCGATCCAAGTTCATCTTGAAGATTTACAGCAATGTAAGTCTCGATTTTGGTCCTGGTGTGATGATCTAACGCTTGGATATCGTACTAGACTGGGAGGACAAACCAACGTGGGCGACTGTCAGGTGGATGTCTGTTTCCCCAATCCAAATGTGCTCGACGCGACTGACGTTCGAAGACATGTACCAGTAGGCTCAGGCTTAGTGGAAACGGTGAGAGGATAGTTCATCTACGATAGTTCATCCCACCTCTGAATTACCGTCTTGGATGTCTTAAATAACTCTTGCCCCATTCCCAGAGCCTCGAGGATCTCTTCAGTCACGGTGAGGTCAAAGAAGGTCCGTACAATGGCTTCGAAATCTTGAATTTCAGAGGCCGGCAAAAGCTACAGGATCAATCTGACGTATTCAACATTCTCCACGACTCTCCACATCTCAGCTCTGAGCTTGACGAGCTCACTTTCAAGTACCATGAGAACGGCCCTTTGGGGCGCAACTTACAGTGGAGAGCAGATCTCCTCGGGATCAAGCGCGGATTCTGCAACGATGTCCAGTCAGACTTGCCGTGGCAGCTTGATGAAGGTATCCGCAGCAACTTCTCCAAAATCGAAGTCACAAAAGGTTCGCTGGCACCAGAAATAGGCCAGCAAATGTTGTCTCGGCACCCTTTCTACAGCAATGCAGTTCTTGTGCGAGACTACTTCCGATGCTTTCCACGAGATGATGGTTGTCACAGAATCCAGTGGATTTTTGCCGTAGTTCTGTTCTGATGTTGCTAGGTTTTCTTCTCACAACGTCGCCTACCGTAGGCCTTAACTACCTGGACCGATATTTCGCGAGATATGTAGAGGTGCCGTCCCATGCTGAAACCGTGCACCAAGATCACTCTGCTCTGGAAAACATTCGGCGAGGATGGGAGCTTGATGGAACAGCCTCGTGGGAAATCAAGTTGGTGCATTGGCTTATGGTGTTACTGGTCAACGAATTGGAGGTCGCACCCCATAACCATCGTTTATGGAAGAATGTCCCCGATATACAAAACGCATATCTTCCCATCGTGCGAGATCTGGTAAGTAAGAACCAACCAGTAAGAGTCGTTGCTCATTGGGGCTAGAAACATCGTCGAGCTTCTCGGTTCAGACGGCACGAATCCGTGAACCTGGTCCGTGAATATGTTTCTTGCATGGACGAGATCTCTCAAATTAATGAGATCTCAATGCAGAAAATCGAATTCCTCGGGAAGCTTCGAGAACACTGCAAGTCTCTTAAATTGGCACGACTCCACCACATTTTAGGATCCATCAATGAAAAAAGTCTTCTGGTTCAGCGGGTCGATGAGGCTGTAAAACAGATAGAGAAAGACAACGAGAATCTCCCTCGACTTATCAACGACTTGAAAACCTCATTAGACGTAGTAACTCTACCACTACTACCAAGTCCATACATACAAACTGTCTCCTGATCTTTTACGTACAGCTTTTTCAACTACGGACAATCGAACAGAATGAACTTGCTATCATCGCAGAGTCGAACAACAAAGCCATCCTCGTCTTTACCGTCGTGATTTTCATCTTTTTACCTCTATCTTTCTTCACAGTGAGTCTACTTTTTGGATTGAGTTCCTCCTGATCTATCTCGAGATGTGGACCGTAAGGCATGCTTCGAGAAGATCCAACTCTCCAACCATGTCTTGTACATCAAAATCGTCCCAAGGAATTCAGGCTGACTCCGAAATCCTAAAGTCGTACTTCGGGATGAATCTTCAAGGGATCGCCAATACGGATAAGACGCAAGGCTACTTCTGGGCCGTTTGTGGGAGTGTTACCCTCTTCGTCGTGAGCTTCACAGTTGTCTGAGCGCCTCTATGGCTGGGTTTGGGCCAACAGAGATTATTTTCGTCCACGAGAACTCATACAGTAGCATCAAGCAGCTGCATGCGAGCTATCGATAGAGTCCAATCAAAAAATAAAGGCGCGTAGAATTTAAATCTCCGGACAGATCATCAAACAAACTTTGAGCGATATCTTCCCAAAAACAGTACGTACGGGAGAATCTTCGATGGCAAAGTTTTAATCCCGACTTGTTTTCTTTTTCTTTTTCTCATGTCCTCGGTTGCTTATCAGATGAACGCGGCTCGCACGAAGGGTGTGTTTGATGAGCGTGCGATGACCAAAGTCTTCCAGGAGTATGGCATTTTTCTAGCTGCATATATCGAAGCACATGATTGAAGACGCCAAGGCAAGACTCCTGACCCCTCATCTCCCAGGACTACGGCACGAGGACCTTGTTCCGATAATTTGGGGTCCATCTCTTCTGAACGGTGGTAGTAATTGACGTTCCCATCGCAATCCTGTACTCATTGTGTAGAACTTTGGCGTGAACTGTTACCGAACCTCCCTATTATCCAAAAAAAAACCCCCCACACCAACTCCGAAATCTGCGTAGGGACGCGCGGCTACGCCCCGCCTCTTTCACTTTTGGAAGACCATAAAGCCTGAAATCATGGTTGAGACTGGCGAACGCGCGTTCGTGCGCAAGTCATTTGAGCCAACGAAGTCACCCCAAAACCCTGCTCCGGGCCCGGGGTCGGGGCGGCGATCTCGGAAAGGGTTGAAAACCCGCCCCAACCCCAGCCCCGGGTGGGCTCCCCCGCCCCGTTGCGCAGCGTAGCCGCCTCTGCTCGAATGAGCGCAGTGAGTGGGGGTGATGATACGATCGGTAGGGCTGAGAGGCTCCTTTTCCCATCTGATGCGAGCCTGTCCTTGGGCTTTGGTGGTTGCTGCACTGCTTATCAGGCCGGCGGGGATGGATCGGGTGCAATGCATAAAGGGTCTTGATGGCTCGGGTGGTTGTCATGGCTGATTGGCGGCTTCGATCGGCTCTGAAGCCGTCGGAGTCTGGATGTGTACTTTGTGGATTAGTGACCTGCCGGCTCGGTAGCCTCTGAGATACCCTGTCCATTGTAACAGCGCGTATACGTCCTATCGTATAGGGATCCAACTCCTGCCCCTCGGCCTTGCTTCGGCTTCTGACTCGACGTGTGAAGTATTGGCATGCACAGCGTATGCAATGCGACAGTACAGAACAATACGCTGCACCTTCAATGCGTCTCATGAAGCGTGGCACCAACGGCTTCTTTGCGGAAGGTGGTATGCTGATCAGACCCTATCCCTCCCCCCACACCCACCCTTTTATGGAACGCAATGCCCACTCTTGTTTGACAGACTCCGGAACTTTCCCACGAAGCCTGTTCACCACCCAAAAGATATCGAAGCAACTACGAAGTATAATGCTGTTTGTGCCTCGGAGAGACCGAAAACTGACCGCCTCCAGTCACTCGAGCATACCATGTCGGTCCCCAACGCTTCGACTTCGGACAGTGTCCCAGCCCAGCGCGATACCGAAACCCAGCCTCGCGAGCCGGCCGACCGCAAAGCTCAGCCGTGGAAGCTCAACTGGCCTCCTCGGTCCGCGGTTGAAGTCGGAGAGGCTCATGGCTTCGAGAGCGGGTCTGTGATGATGTCGGACGGAAGCAGCGGGGCGGCCGCTGAGTACCCAAGGGTCGACTGAGCGAGGCTCCTGCTTCGATTTCATGGAAGGCGCTGGGATGTGCTTGGATGAGACTATGGATATGGATGCTGAGATGTGGAGCCGGGATACCATATTGAGTCTGGATACTTGTAATGCCAGGCTGGGGATAGAGCATGCGGTTATTGAGGGAATCGATGTCAATACCATCTTCTGACGTGGTTCATTAATTCTATACACTCTTTCTGGACTCCAGTATCCTGATAATCTCTCATGCTGACCAGGGGACAACTGAGTGCTTCGTTACGAACATCTTTATGATTGCCCCTGATTGAAGGATCGAGTCAGAAAACGTCCATCATGCAAACTTGACTCCTATCATTCGTAGTAGATGAATGCTCTCGCTTCGATGCTTTCTCTCGGCTTCGCCTGAGAAGCGGAATGCGGGGCTTCGAACCCGGCGTGGGGTACGCCTGGATATATGTCATCACAAGAAGCGCAGCACGAATGAATCTGGATTGCGCTTACCGATGAAGGAGTCTGACTGATTATCTGTTTGGCCGAAGAGCACCAGTTCAGATGCTGTCTGGTTTCTCAGATAGTACCATCGGTGTTCAGGGTTGTAGTAGACCAGATAGTTCTCGGTGTATCCGGTTCGAGAGACCACATCTGAAGCAACAAAGTCTCTTTCCTTGTTGACCGACTTGACATCGCAAAGGCCCAAGGGCCAGTCTATGACGGGGCCATGCAAGGGTTTCCACACACTGCCGCTGATCAGCAAGACTTTCAGATGTTTGCCCGTGCTCGAGACATACTTGACGCACATGATGCGGGAGTAGGCCTCGTTGTCCACTTTGAGGACATCCCTACTGGCTTCTAGAGCCGACTTTTCTGTGAAGTCTACCCTAGTTCGTACTGCGTACTGGCTTTAGACGACAAGCTTACCTGTGTGCACCACCGAAGTTGGCTGAAGGAACTCGTAGTCCTCGCCTGTCGAGACTGGAAATTGGGGGTGGCGTTTCCGGATCTTTGAATCATGAGCCATCACTGCTAGCATCAATGTAAAACGCTTCGGATGGCGTACCGAGTGCTCTAGGATCTCGACCCGTGAAGAATCAAAGAATTGGCAAAGAAGGTCTTTGAGTTCCATGTAGTATACATCTTTGACGCGGGCTTCGTCGTAGAATTCGCTGGACTTCAATTTAGATTCCATGTCTAGGACCGTAAACCCATTCACATCGAAGGAGAGGGACTCTCTGCAGGCACGCAAATCTCGGACGATGATGGAATCGTATATCTGATTTGTGCAATTTGAGCGTGGAATCCCATTCCCTGGATCGTACTGGAGTTTGTATGGTTTCTCTCTTTCGTGCAAATCGGTGCGCACCAAATGAATCAGTTCCACTGCAATATCTTCGACGGTATCAGATGCCGCCTTTATTTTGGGAGTTTCTGGATTTTCAGGCATAATGTAACCCCTAAGAGCGGCCGAATACTGTAGCGTCCAACAGTTTGACCAGAGATTCGATTACTGTTCTTTGAGGGCTTTGACGTCAGGCCTCAAGATGCAAAGATTGTTAGGTGGAAAAGACCGAGGCGATGTGAAATTGTGCTATCTTAAGCGAGTCTAGTCAGGTGAGAGCACTGGACCCGACCGGTCTTTGCGCCGGGGTCTTTTAACGACTGCTTGGTGTGATCGTAACGTGGGCAGATTTCATTGCAAAGCATATTTTAGCTCAATGTATCATTCAAAAGCGCTGCCGATTAAGCTTTGGAATGACAGCATCTACATAACTTTTCAGAGACCATCTGAATGCGTATCTCTAGCAACGATCACAGAGACGAGGGTGCTCAAAGAAGGGGTGGACAAGAGCTAGATCAGGGGTCATACGTACCGCTGGAACATACTTCATGAGATTCTGCAGGATTATGTAGACAAACAAGTCACTTTGTCATTGGTTCCTCATTGGAGATTTAAGTACCAGGAGGAATCTCGGAATGTGGAGGCCGCTTGACCCGCGCCGGATGTCACATGCTCGTAATGAAAGGGACTAATAATAGATGGGAGAATTTTGTCCAGTTGCACGTTTCCGCGTACCGTCGGCCTCAGATTGAACCTCGCGGTCCTGCCAGGCCAGCCACTTGTCCCCAGGGGGCTTCCACAGCATTGCCACCATTTCTTTGAGGACATCGGTTTTTGTGTTAAGATTCATCCTACCCGGAAAAAGTGCCGAGTATGGTGCAGTTCAGCGCCCATTTATTACTGGCGGGAGTGAATCGATTCCTGTAGAGTACCTCTGGCGCTGAGAATTAAGCCGGTGTTCTCATGCTTGATGGCGACATCCCAAGGTGAAAGTCTTGACAGAAATCGAGGACTAAAATTTGTTGATAAACCACCGCTTCCGAAAGTGGAAAGATCGGGCCTTCTGACACAGTACATGGGCACTGTGTCCGTTAAGGCTCCCATGTCAAGTCCATGGACCTTGTTCTTGCTAGACTATTTAAGGCACTTATGCAAGCTTTCGCAACCAAGCATCGGATTTGGCCAAGTGTGTAAGAATGTTGGAAGTGCAAAGACCTTCATCACTGTGAGTGGCTAGTGAGAATTGACAAGCGGTCTGAGCCATAGTCCTAGACATCCGTGAGCGATCACGCAAGCATTGAGGTATCTGAGAGCCTCGAAAGCTACAAAGAGATGACTGGTGCCCACTCTTTAGCATTGCCGTCGTCTGGACGATCCAAAAGTCGCCCTGCAACCCTGGTCACATAGCATCGATCCGTTGGACCCTCATAGTCAGACAACAATATTGTCCAGGAGCTTCATAACGAAATGTCTTTCTTCGCTATCGGCCTGGGTCTGATATTCTGCCAAATAGCGAAGTACTTTCAGTTCGTTCTCTTTCCTGGTGCATCGATTTAATACATGATCCGGCTAATGATCAATGCCTCACGCGTAGGGAGGTTCATAAAGTGCGAATACTAATTCATACCCCAAAATAGGATCCTTACCGAATCATACCCTAATTACCGAATCATACCCCTACACCAAATTTCACCCAAATTAGGGTATGATTCAGTATTTACATTGTAGGGGTATTCGAAAAATAATATTGATAGAGAGGGTTTAATGAAGGAAGATAGCGGTAAGCTTACGTTGACTTGATTATTGATAATGGTGGTATTTACGCTGCGCAAGGGGCGGGGTTTGAAACAGGAGCCAGCGTACCAGGCAATATTCCTGAGGGGTGTCTGCAGCTGAAGTGCGGACACCCCGACCACTGGCTTTCGTCTGATGTTTTTAGGCTGATAGAAGTCTCATCAAATGCGGTCGGAGAAACTCCCTTATTTCTATGATCGAATAAGCCAGATCGCGGATTATCTCCTTTGTAGTTGAGGCCACTTTGATAACTTAAAATCAACCAAAATTACCGAATCAACCCCATATTTGGGGGATTTGGTGTAGGGGTATGATTCGGTGGGGTATGATTCGGTAAGGATTTGTACTTTCGGGGTATGATTCGGTAATTTGCCCGGTTCATAAAGTGGCAGTAACCAAAAGAGACAGAAATCAAGCAGACAGTAGAGCACATAGGGGTACCTTTCGAGATTCCCCAAATGATGTTAAACAGGAGCCACCACCAGGCAATAATTGAGCTTGATAGACGCCACACAAGCATGCAGGACAACGTTTAGCGGGGATAAATATTTAGCGTATGCAAAATTGATTGCGCTGCTTGGCACTGGAGATTACGAGTACTACGCGCATCGCACCTAAATTTGTACTGTTGCATAATCTAGACGTTTCTTCAATATCCTCAACCAATATCGCTGCTATTGTCGAAAAAAGTCTTCTATGATGAAAATGGAGCCGAACTGAAGTTTCAACAGGTTAACTGGCCTCTTACCCGTTACATCTCTTATCATCGGTACTGCTGCTTAAGCCAAACGAGTATCGTCTTAATTCTTATTGGGGGCCTTCTGCGATTGCCACTGAGCTACACTGTAGCACTCGTACTGTTCAGACTAATTTGTATAGCCTCAAGTTCGACGATTTGAAGTATTTAATATATGTGCTACAGTACAAATTTGGGTGTCATGCGCGGAATATCCCCAACGCTAAGCAACGCAACCGATTTTGCATACGCTAAATTCAGCCGAATATAAACCGAAGCTCAACAAAACTCTTCTGCAAAGCCGCGAATATTAAATTAGAAAGGCATGGCTGCACAGTAGCCTCCAGGTAATTCGCCATTTATATATCTTGGTCCTGGCTGAGTTGTTACTCACTGTGTTCATCTTTATCAAGGTTCCCTTCGAATCACAAGTAAGTCCTGACCCCAGGTTTACGAGATCTACCATCGCGCATATCACACCTATTTTTCTTCAAATGACTCGGCCGATATGAACCGAGGTCCGCTCTTCTGTGAACAGCGCAAACAGCCCTTAAGCACGCTCAAGGTCGGCTTCAACTATCTGGAAAGGTCTTCTTTCGAGCTCTGAATGAGCGCGAAAGCTGGCACGTCGGCGAGGTCGAGGATGACGGGGATTCTGTATGTTTGGCCATCGAAAGCAAGGGCAGCCAGGCTCTCTAAAGTCGCAACAAATATGAGCTGGAGTTTACGCTGTAATATAAATAGCTCAGCAACAAGACGAGGACCATCAGCATATCGGCACGGCCTAGTAGATCGGCCTTTTCAGTTGGTGACAACAGCATGGAATGCCTGTACATCCATGCCCGTTCGTGAAATCTAGCGTCACCATGACACCTTAACTTCTCTTTCCCACGCTGGCTTAGGGGTAAGTACCCGCTGTAAGAGCTGGTGCCTGATTTACACGAGGCTCAGCGTCGTCAGAATCGTTGAGGTTCCCTTAGTTGTGGGTGGAAGTATGCTGCCTCCAGAGCTCTGTATTAATGCTGGGCATGAGTGGTCCTCAATGCAATAGATGCCAATGAAAAGGAGAAAGGAAAAAGGTCCCGGGTTTTGTTGCAGCTAGAAGTTAGACCTAGGTATGTGCTGCATTGTCTTCGTCAAATGGGGAAGCTCGATCAGAAGTAGGTCTGACCCCTTCCGTGTCGAGTGACACAGATCATCGCCACCACTCCCCACTCCCAAACTTCGTAACTCCACACAAATCCCAACAATATCACTGAACTCAGAGCCACGCTCACTGCACACCCATGTTGGGGAATTTGAGAGAAACTTCAAAGCCTAAAGAAGTTAGGCGGAAGACTCTGGGCTCCTGCTTCATGCAATTTACGCTCGGAACCGAGTCTTTTCATTTCCGTCGCCACGACTCCCAATTTCCCACTCTCCAGTTCCCAAATTCCCAACTCTCCAATAATACACGATACCACACCAGGCTACTGAGGACAATCAAGCCCATCTCAAACCCTGATCTTAACAGCGAGCCAGGTTTTCCACTATCAGCCCTGGTGGGAGAGGAAACCTGCCCAGAGTCGGCAGGCACGTACTGAGATACAATGTCACCTCTCTGGCGGTGTGAAAGCCTGTTGAGGATTTTGGCATTCTTAGAACCCAGCTGTATCGAAGAAGCGATTTTCGAAGAGTGGGTATTGCCTCTCCCAGCTCAAGATCTTCTCGGAGAGTCAAGCGAGTACAAATCAGCCCGTACAACGCTCCTCCAGGCATCCCTCATTGAGCACAATGAAGAGGACAACACAATAACCGTCAATTCCCTGGTCCAAACTGCAGTCAAAGCACAACTGAGTGCCGAAGACACTGCAAATATCTTCTGGAATACCGTCTGTAATCTCGCAATACAATGGCCGTCAGCAAGAGAAGCCCCCTCCAAGAAGACGATACAGAGCACACCGCCAAAGACGCATTCCGTTTGCGAATGGCCCAAACGTGAAATGTTGTACCACCACGTTTTACAACTAAAGGAGACGTGGGAGAACAGGTTCAAAGACGAGTCGACAACCTATGATATACAATGGGCAGGGCTTCTCGCTGACGCAGCATGGTCTTAATCCCGAATGATCTTAGTCTACACAGTACGCTAATGTTCGGATAGGTGGCGATTCGAGCGTGGATATGCATGCAAATTTGATGATCTCTACGGTGCAGCTGTCAAGATCTGTGACAGAAGCGATGATCCAGACAAGGAACCTCTGATGGTCGACATGTGTCTCGGTATCGCTGCTATTGCAGCGGAAACCAACGCCCACCCCTCCAGCAGAAAGCTCAAATCACAGGCGCTAGATCTTCAGCTAAAATACCTCGACGGTACTAAGATCGAAGATTCCCGCCTTTCTCGATGCTATGTCGAGCTAGCAATCGCTTTGATACAGGATCGAGAGTATGACAACGCGATCCCAATGTTGTGGCGAGGGGTGGACATCAAGACTCATCTAGGATTATTCAGCGCACTTGCTTATGCAAATCTAGGACTTGTCCACATATTTCAAGGTAAGTACGACGCTGCGGAGGATATCCTGAGCTTCGCTCTATCCATGCAGGAAAAGTCTTTTGGCAAGATGGACAGTGTTTCCTTTCGGTAAAGGCACTCTCATCAGCTTCATCAACGTGGCTGAATTGAACGTAGAACGGGTCGAGTACTCTACGCTTACGGGAATCTTCGAGCTGCTCAAGGACGTTTCGTGGAAAGTCTTACGTATCATCAATGGGCCCTCAAACAATTCCGCTCTACTATTGGTGATAGTCACCATCGTACCGCAGATATATGTCACAAGGTGGCGGAAGATCTCATCCGATTTGAATGCTACAAGGATGCTATGTAAGGCGAACTGAATATGCTGTTTATGGAGTACGCTGATCTAGCACAGGTCGATGATTGACCAAGCACTTGAGACCTGGGGCCTCGATCCTGGCGTATACCAGCCAGAAATCGCGCGTACGACCTATCTCAAGGGCCAGCTACTAAAGGTCTTGAAGGAAGACGAGGAGGCAGACAGACTGATTGAGAAAGCGACTGCTATTCTGACAGCTACAGCTTCGTACCATGGCACGAGCGGATCTCAAGCAGACGCACTACCTAGCTCAAAAGACTTTGATAGCCTCGTTACATTTTGGTCACGATAAGGCAAGAGAATTGGGCAGAAGTCACGGTATGTATGGGGCAATTGTGGAGCGAAGTAACCAAGCAGGGCTCGCGATTGTTACATTTCCTGTTAACTTTGCCGGAGTAGGTGTTGAGTTCTGTAGACAGGGACTCTTCATGTTGACATAATCGGGACGGGATAGAAGGATCTTACGTGTTGAATATTTTTGGGGAGACCCCTCCTCCAAGACTGCAAAAATTCCAAGCTCGACCTAGCTTGTCTGAGCTTCTCGATCGTAAAAACATTTTCCCACGCACCTAACCACGGATACAAGACTTGTGAAGTTTTGTATGTTCCCTGATTTAGTTATTGTTGTGCTGGGTATGGGCCAGCAGATATCATGCTCGTGCACGGTGCTCTAGACGATAGCAGCAAGCGGCTGCACGCGAGCTGTTGATAAGATTTAGGTCTTGTGGGTATGGTGCGGAGTTGAACGTGTGCAGTAATCGAATATTGCGGCCGATATGCTTCTCCGCGAGGGCGTCTTCGGAAATTCTGGATGTAGCCACCATTCTATCCTGTCTACTCTATCTCGGTACAGACACACACTTTCCCAACTACAACATATACACACTGCCATATCGCGTCCGCTGAAACCGTACGCCTCACGCCCAATCCTGCTCACCCTGACCCAAAAGCTCACGGCCACTCTCCAACACCCCCTCTCGCAATTTCTTCTTTAACATGAACATACCCGAGACCGTCTCCCGCCCGCCTACTACGAATCTGTACCCTTTGTCAAGAAACAGAGCACCGACAATAGAAGCCAGCAAAGTCCAATTCATGACCGCCATCGTCGCCAAAGCAAGATTCGAACAAATCTCACCCTCACATTTCCCCCGAACCGTCAACACGATGTCCCAACCAAGCGGGATGACCGCCATCGCAACCCCGACATGATTCCCAACCCTTGTATACTCGTACAAACGCGTGTAAGAGGCCGCATCGGCTTGGTACAGTGCCTTGCTCGATGTTGCCAAATGCACCACCGCCATCAGTGCAGCTGACCTCGAGACGATATCGACAGCGACCGCGGTCCAGTATACGATGGAGAATGTCGAACCGTCCGTAAGGCGCGGCATCAAATCGCAAGTCGTGTTGCCGCCAAGCTGACCTCCGTTGCTGTCTCGGATGTCGGTTGTGAAAAGGATCAGGTACAGCAATCCGCTCACGATTAGCCCGAAGAACGAAACCGACCACATGCGCTCGTAGCACGCTGGGGCGGAGGTCTGTTCAGCCATATCTTTCTCGTAGTCAATTTGAGGTTTCTCCTGAGCGTTCGGTTGTTGGCGCCAGATGGGCAGGTATCCTGCTCGATCCTGTGCTTTCTCCACTTCGATCCGACGTTGTTGGCGTTGCTGGATGATGCGAACGAGAGTCCGCGACCACTCCGTGTTTTCTTGGATCCAGGCCGCGCGCTGGCTTTTGGTGTTTAGGTGAACGAGACGGAAGACTGTGGCGGTGGGAATGGGCACCAAGTGGACCGTTTTGAGGGTGGAGGCGGGTCGGCATCGCCAGATGGGGAGGCCACCTCCCATGTTGAAGTTGCTTTGGTCGGTTTCGTCGTGGTGCGGTTTGACGGTGTGATTAGCTGCGTGGGTGCTTTGGAGGATGGATGGAAGATGGGAGCAGGCTCTGCCATTTTCTCACTCTCGCGGAATAATCCCATAAAGTATTGATTTCGATAATGCAATATATCTCTCCCCATTCCATCCGTAACTTTGATTTGGGCTCATCGGCTTGGCGTACAGCCCCATACTCGTATTCACTAGGATTTGCGATCTCCAAAATTTGATCGTTACATTTTATCGTTCCACAACATTATCATAGAAAACCCGGAAGGAACCCTGGGAGAGCATAGAATGCGATTTTGAAAGTCTCAAGAATTCCCAAGATCGGGGTAATATTGATAAGAATATACAATTGTGTGATAAATGTCGACAGTTGTATTTTAACACACTATCATATAACTCTATTGATTTAAGCCCAATTATAAGATTTCTTAAAAATTCTATAAATACACTCTACGTGCCCTTAATTGTTTGTTCTAGTTTTTAATTATATTGCGGTGGAATGATAACTAATAAGAATTAGATTTTGGAGGTTGCAAAACCTATCCTAGTGAATACGAGTATCGGTAAGCCTAGCCTTCGCACCCACAAATATCACCAACTTCCAGAACCCACAATACGATCTGTCCAAACAGTTGGCAGAAAGTCAAAAAGGGTAACACGCAACCATGATCAATAACAGTGGCAAAATAGTCGCGCGGAGGATCGAACTCCGAACCTTCTCGGAAAACATTCATTTTGTGAACGAGAAATCATAACCATTAGACCACGCGACTCTCAAGCAAAAATTTCCTAGCTGTCCATATATCGTAAACAGCAAAGAAGGGATTACCATGTGGAAGACTGAAGCCAAGCTAGTTTAGTCTGCCTCGCGGGTGAAAAAAAAGCCTGCACACCCTCAAAATCTGCAAATCTAACACAATTTGCCAACGAAAGGTCCTATCAAGAAGATTTTGCTCTGGAATATACAGATATTAGTATCAAGAACAGCTCTTATGGCAAGTATTAGCTTGTGAAGAGGGTATTGAAGGTATTATTTCAGTTAGTAAAGGTAGAAGGATTGCTTGGCGTGTGCAGGCTTTTTGTTCACCCGCTAGTCTGCCATCTGGCTCTCAAACGTGCGATATTTTCTCCGGTGTCACAGCAAGTTTAAATACCGCGACAACAGAAACCTCAGTAGGGCGAGGCAGTTCTCCGCAGAACTTATCAGATTGGAGGGTATGGCTCACATATCTTGTCATTCTTTCGATGAAAGGCGTCCCAATTCTATTGCCTAGGATATCAACGCTCGCTCTTATGTCATTCTTCTCCTAGACCTGATGTAGATAGCTTTCTTACGTCAAAATTTGGATTCGGTGGTACTCTTAGAGGTTTGGCAAAGCTTGAGAATTGAGTATCGACACCAGGTAACCCTCTGCGGTGAAGTGTGGTGTAGTCCTTTAGCAATCGAGAAGGATGAAGTGCATACTTCACCAGCAAAATTCAACATCTACAATTATCCAGACGGTGAGTGATCGAACATGACCGGAGTGTTTTGCAAACAACTCTCTCTATACAGTCAAAGAAGCGAGTAGTTCGTGAAAGCCCCCTCGAAAAGTGGATTTCTAAGAGAGCGGACTAAGTACAAATCATTGACATCCTCTACGCTCCCAGGATTTCCCCTTCTTCCACCATCGTCTTCTATCCATTGACAACAAGAATCTTTGCCAGCATAAATGCCATCAATATATCTTCAATACCTTCTGTTACTGCGCATCTTCACGCATCTACATCTTCTGAATAGTGACACTCAGCAAACAAAGCACAAGATTTCGACTACATACCTCACTCCACCTCACTCACTTGCACCCTCACCAAAGTCACTTCAATTCCCCTCACCTCAGACCAAGGCCAAGTCACACCGCATGGACATGTCGAACCCCTCCTTAGCCCTACAACAACACCTAGCCAACATGCCCTCCTCCGACTCCCCCATCATGTCCACCGCTCTCGTCTCAGACCGCCTCGGCGTCGACAACATGGACGGCCAGGGCATCCTGGCCGGGCGGGCGAAATCCTACGCTCGGCCCTGGATGGGCTGCATACCCTCCGAAGAACTGTCCAAAGACAACCTCCCACCCTTCCACGTCCGTCTGCAAGATGACCAAGTGGGTCACCTCGCCTTTTGGGTCGGCACGTCCCGGGGGTCCATCACCCGTCTCAAGCTCGGCCACGTCTGGCCCTGGGATTTCGACGTGCAGGGGAAGATCTCCTCGCGGAGGGACAACTGGGGCGCGGGGTACGGCGGGTGCGGGAAGGAGAGGGGGAAGGGGCTGGGCGGGGGGAAGAAAGTGCCGACGTGGACGGACCCGGGCTTGCATCTCACGTATACGAGCAGCCACAAGGTCATGGCGGGGGAACTGGATGCGCTCAAGAGGGGCGCCGCCTTGAAGCGGCAAGCCGAAGAGGAGGCCGGGAGGAACGTGTGCGTGCCGGTCAAGAAGCCCAGGCTCAGTAGCGTGAGCACGGAGTTGAAGAGGATGAAAGAGACTGCGGCGAAGAAGCGCCAGAAAGACAAGGCCACGGAAAACGAGAAGGACCGCTATGTCGGGGCGAAGCCTGAGCTTCGTGACGCGATGCAGGTTGTCGATACCCTGATGAGAAGCGCCACGGAGACCGGGAATCAAAATGCCACGCTCGAGAACATGTTATTGAAAAACGAAGCCCAATACATCAAAGACACCGATGACATGTTCGATGAATGGCTAGCCTACAACGAAGTAAAACGGATGGAGGTGGGTAGAATCCATGAGGATCACGCCGTCGAGATCAAGAGTCGTGATGCTAAGATTGAGGCCTTGGAGACGGAAGCGAAAGGGTCCATAGCTCGCCTGAAGAAGGAGAAGCAAAAGGTCAGAGTCCGCGATGGGCGTTTGGCACGCGTCAAAAGCCACTGGGTGCAGGAGCGAAACCTTATGGGGAAGAAATTCCGGGAACTCGAAGAGATAGCGATAGATCTGGACGAGCTGTCGGAACTCAACGGTGGAATTGATGGACCGGACGCTGAGGAGTCGGACTCCGAAGCTGAGCCGGAAGAGGAGGGTAAGGAGGAGGGGAAGCGAGAGCCCAAGGAGCCCAAGGAGCCGGAGGCGAAGGGGTCAACAGATCGAGAGCTGAGGAAGTCCGCTGTTCGGGAGAGAATGAAGGGCATGGATGCGAAGGAGACTGTCAATCTCGATGAAGACGAAGACGAGGAGGACGAAGGAGGTCCAATCTCTAGCCAACGGAAGGGAAGATTGAGGAACTCCATTCGGAGCAGACCAGCTTCGTCGGGGTGATCTATAGCAGAAGGTAGGCAACTGGGTTTGAAGGAAATTTGATCTCGGACCGAGCTGGGACGAGAAAAGGAGACTGAATTCGACAACATCAAGACGACAGGACATCAGTAGGGATCGTATCGAGCAGTTTTTAGGATATGAGCAGCTCCAATTCCCAGTGTCAACAATCACACTGAACAATTCCTCCAAAATCGCAATTGTCACAGGTGAACGAACTGTAGCAGCAAACTTGCCCATGTTCATCTTCGTACAACGCATGACCAAGAGCAGAAAGTCCTGCCTTGCGAACAGACACAGTACTACTCACAAAACTATTCCTCTACTCCCCCAACTTCGTCCTTAACCGATCCACTTCAGCTGTCAACTTACTAATCTCCTGACAGTGCGCACTCATAGTCATAGTCTGCTGCTCCAACAAGCTCTTGATCTCTGCCAACGATCTTTGAATAGGTTGATCCGAAACGCTTCCAGCGTGCGGTCGTGAGTTAGCATTCGCAAGAGGTTCCTGTGTAGATTTGCTGGAGAGTGGCTCTTGAGTAGATTTGCTGGAGAGCGGCTCTTGAGTAGAATTGCTTGTTAGTGGCTTCTCTGTAGATTTCGATGGTGGCGCTCGCTCTTTCTTGATCAATGTCGGAGTATCTTGACTGGCTGCTACCTGACTTGCTTGCTCAAAATCGTCTGGTTTGTCGACTGGCGAGAGAGGGTCTCCTAAACCTCTTGAGATAGCCGCCGGCTCCGACCTTTCAGTTGGGGCTGTAGCGGGTACATGCCTCTCAGAGCGATCGATGGGTTTGGCGATCTCTTCGAACGAAGAGCTGTCTTCCTCAGACTCATCCTCTTCTTTGTCATCGGTGAATTTGGAGGCCAAGTCTTTGATGGCAGAAGTCTGTTCTTTTATTGATGGCGGTGGGCCGCGGAGAGCGGATGCGGGAGCTGCTGGCTCCGATACTGGTTCAGGTGCTTTCTTTGTTGGGGAGGGCGCTGGAGGCGAATTTGCATGGACAGCGGGCTTGTAGTCCGCTGCTACCTCCGCTGGCTCTTCGCCTGCATATACACTGGCCAAATCGATCTTAGGCGGCAGACCCTCTTTGCCGTCGAACCACTGACCAGCTGACATGGCAGGTTTCGAGCCAACCACGGGGGGGAAGATATCATCCTGGAAGACCTCGGCTCGTCGCGGCACGATGAATGATATTGGTTCAATGTATGAGTCGTTGACGGTCTTGAAGGCACACATAACCTCGTTCTCGTGAGTATTGACGCCGCGCTTCGGAAGGAAGGCCATGCCTCGTTGCGGGTCGGCGGATTTGTATTCAGACAAGAACTCGAATTTGCCGTTCTCGTATTCGAAGTAGCGGATGTTGCCATCACTGCAAATTATCAGTATGTTTAAGAGTCTTACAGCAAGAGGTGGACGGCGTACCCTTTTCCTGCAAGGTAGAGACACTGTGTTCCATCATCCCAGAAAGGCATGCAGACCCCAGATATCGCATCCAGCATCTGAAAGCCTCCCACAGGTTCTTTAGGGTCTCTGATATCCCACAGACCTAATTGCCTGTCACTCATCTTTGAGAAACCCGTTGTAGCTACCCTGTCATGTTCGCCCATCCAGGTCACGCGACTGTTCTTTGCTCCTTGGTGACCGGGCACAACGTGTGCTGGCTTCTCTTGCCGTACATCCCATATTCGCAGCTTCTTGTCCCGAGACGTTGTAACCATTAGAGAGCCGTTCGCGCTCCATGACAGGGATTGTACGATATCTGTGTGCTTGAGTGTCAGGCGGGGAGTGCCGGCCTCGATATCCCAAATCTTGATGGTATAGTCGCCTGATGAAGTTGCGAGGACATTTTCGGCAGCTGGGTTGAAGAGGACGTGGCCTACCTTTCTATACAAGATGTCAGTACGGAAATCTTTGTACCGGATCTGTAGCCGTGGTACCTTGAATGCCCGGAGAGCTTCTGGACTGGCGCAACATCCTTGACCGTTTCGCCTTCTTCTGTCCGTAGTGTGAAACCTTCAGGAACTTTGTATATGAATGCCTGCCACAGTGAGCTTCAGACCCAAGACTGCTATAGCCTTCGTCATACCTTGCCATCGTCGGATCCTGATGCTATCAGAGAATCGTTGAATGGAGACCTGTGAGCTGCCTCAGCACCGGCATGATCGTGCATTGTAGAAGCCCTCTACCAGTCCGTGTCCAGAACCACAGCAGTGTGTCCCCTGAAAAGAGGTAATTGCTCAGGCAATCGCCCCTTCTCATTAATTGGTATGACCGCGAACGCGCCTCCTCCACTGGCTTCCCAGTTGACTGAAATGTACTGCGGGTTGGCCTGTGCTACCGTCAGACCAGGTCGCAAGCTCCAATGCGTTGTGCATTACCTTTACAAGGTTCGTATCCCAAGCATTTCTCGAGATCCGTATGTTATCGTAGCATTGTTCCTAAAGACCTGCTCAGCCCCACGCCGCAAACCCTTCTCTGGGTTCTGACAATCGCACCTTCCTCGTCGGCCGGCCGAAGACATGCCCTGAATCAGTGCTTAGCATGTGGTAGCCCGTGGGGCAGGTAGCTGCACGGGATGCCTACGGTACTTGGACGAGCGCACGAAACGGCCTGACATTTGCGCGCATGCACTGGCGGATCGAGGATGGCGGAGTGAATTATACTAGCTACAACCACTCAATAATCTCATATTCTGTACAGGATAGCAAGCTTATGCAAAAGGATAAGTAGGATTGTGGTGTCTGCTTCAGAATTGCGGGTGTCTCGGACGCCAAGGAAGTCTTGGCGGTAAAAGAGGATATGTGCCGCACTAAGCGCCCCACGCTAGGTGAGTCCCATGCCCAAATCCCTTTCCAATCCGATGCCTTTTCTGTTGATTAGAAAGTACTTGGGTAGTCGCCAGCAAGTACATATCATTGGAGTCTTCAGGCTTCCCAGCAGCTGTGGTTTTGAGAAGGAGAAACAGAGTTGGAGCCGCTAGGGTCCATCCGAGGTTGCACACCATTATATGTACTTCCCTACCACGACGAGGCGGGCATATCATGGCTTACCTTTCCAATTCTATCAATCCTGGCATAACAGTAATCAGTTTGCTGACTTCTTTGCTGTGGGTGCGGGCTGGCCTCGATTTCTTTATTGAGCATTGCCCCCGGGGTGTCACCTTTCTTTCGCAGCTGTTTTTCCTTCCTCATATGTACAAGAAACTCGTCGATCGTTTCTAACAGTTCTATTTAAGATTATCATCTTTTTGTCGTCGTTGTCGTTGCTTAGTGTTGTAATTCTCATTCCCATCTAAATATGCAAGACGAAGCATCAGCGAATGACTCTAACCGACCTCTAGACCCCAGCACGTCTCTGGTCGGAGTTTGACGAGCCGAATGACTACATTACATTAGTCAGGAGATAGACCAGAGTTCTTTGGACAAGTTCGAGAGTCGACCCTTAATGACTCTGTACGCACGAGGTCGAGAAGAGACTAAAGGCTTACCAGTATACGGACTTGCTAGCAACGAGAACTATTCGACTTCTATGGATACTTTCCCGTACTGATCTTAGATCTGTACTAATTGAAGAGTCCCTCACAGTCTTGCAACAAGAGTAAGATGCTGCATGAGGACTGTGAACCTTGACGACAAAGATGTTTCACTACACTCTCCTAATCGTGGGGCGACCCCTTCTGGCGCGGATTCAATCCTCCAGCCGCTGAGTACAGAACCTGTAGCTAGAAGATTGAATGCGACGGCCGTGCTTTCAAATTTCATAAGAATCTACATGATGGGCTCATCCAGCTACGTCAAAGAATGTCGGCTCTCGACTCCAACTTCAAGGTCAGCAAGGACAGGGACAACCCTCGTCAGATATGTACCCTGCTACATTGGCTCAGATTGATTGGAGTAGGATGTGCCATACAAGATATTGGGAAGTCAACAACATATGGGTCGATACAATCTGCACGAGTCAACAGGAACGCCGTGGGCAGGTCTCTATCATTGGTGACATCTAACGTGGCGCAAAACCTCGTTGTGTGGCTAGGAGGCCACGACAAGCAGGCTGATGAAGCCGTCCGGGTCTGCTCTTTGTTAGCATCTATCCCAGTTAACACGTGGCACACTGCTGGAGCGATCCTGGAACCCAAAAGATATCACGCGCTTGGCATACAACTCATTTCTCAAGAACGGTGGGAGACTCACGCTGCTGTTGCCCCAAAAAGCTGGTTTTCACGAGCGTGGATACCGTTCTGGCTCTCCACCTTGTGGTAAGAGGATCGATCAAAAGTTGTGCATAGGAGTGGAGGATAAGCAGGCAAAGATTTCTAAAAATTGTCGACCCTCACTACGATTCCGGAGTCCTGTAATTACACCAGGTCTCAAGAAGAAGGTGGCAACGCTAAGAGCTCAGGTTTCTCCATTTTCCGCACACTTCCATGGGTCTCAACCATAATAAGTCGGCTATTCATCTTCCCTTCACTTACGTGGATAATATTTTGAGGTTCGTTTTGTTGCAACTGTTCCACTTTCTGGCGGTGCACCTCTTGAGGCTTAGAACCTTTGGGATCGCCTTAATGCATGACTTCTGCTACATTCTCTTATTGTATGGTCCGCATGAGTCATCCTAGGGTAATCTAACACTGAGCTTTTTATTAACGAACAGGAACATATGGGAAATCCGAGGCTAGGAGTGATCAGGTCTTCATTGCGCTCAAGACTGACGGTCGAAAAGAGTAACGAACGGACGCATGAACAACAAACAGGATCAAGAGGGCGTCCGGTCTCCTCCTGCTCTTTGAGATCTTGAAAGGAGTGACAGAGCTGAATAAGCCCCTCCTTCTCATGGATGCAATTTTTCCATTTTACTCTCCCTCCATCTTTCATTCACTCACTCAAATCACATTCCCTCTTATTATACTCGTGCAGTAGCGAACCATACATAGACTTACCCCATCTATAGTCTATATATCTATTTCTATGGATTTAGTATATATGTAAAGTACATTGGATCTCCCAGTCAAGCAAGATCTGGGGTATCACGCTGTAGGCTATATCGACGATTTCAAAGGAACAGGAAGAATTCCATCAATCCTTCTAATTTTCCTCCTTGAGTGATATTTTCACACGTTCTCGACGTTACTACCTCAACGCTGATCGCTCTCTCGCTCTCTGAGCGCCTGCTCCGTCTCCATCTCCGCATTTAAACTTAGCCCCTTTGTTCCGAGAGCCAGCAGAAGTGCGACAAACGCCAGCCCGGCCATGACCGCCCATACGACCTTCAACGCGTCCGCGTATGCATTCACGACCGCGGTCCTCTCCGCCGCGTCCTCGGGCATCGCCTTGATGACCTGCACCAACCCACTGGCATTTTGCGCTAGCGCGGTCGCATTCCTGGCTAGGTCCGGGTACCCACGGAGTTCAACGGCAAATTCGCTCTGAAATATGACACCGCCGACGGCAACACCGACGCTTTGGCCGAGCGAGCGCATGAAGATATATATGGCCGCCGCATACCCAACATTCCTCTCTGTCGCCGCTGCCTGTATGGCCAGGTTCATGCTCGCAAACAGCAAGCCTAATCCCAAGCCGGGTATGAGGTTCAAAAACACAAATGCCGGCACGCTCGTCTCCGGGGCTAGCAAGTACAGCAGTTCCATGCCTAGCATTGTTAGCAACCATTCGGACCAGATGGCCCAGCGGAAGCGGCCCGTGATACTGACTGCGATGCCGACGAGGATAGACGCGGGCGCGACAGTGAAAGTCTCGGGAAAGACGGCGACGCCGACGATGATGGGACTGTAGCCCTTGACGGCCTCGTAATAGAGTGGAAGGTAGTAGAGTTAACACCAAAGGAGCATGCCGTGGAAAAGTGTGCCAAAGCAGTTGACTGCTGCAGTACGGTTATTAAAAATGCGTAGAGGGATCAATGGCATTTTTGCGACATAGATCTCGTACATGACGAAGACCACGAGGCCGCAGATCCCAAGTATAAGTGGTATCAGAGTGCGAAAGGAGGACCATGCGAACATGACGCCGCCCCAAGAGACCGGCATGAGGAACGAGGTAGTGGACGCAATTAGGAAATGGCGCCGACCCAGTCAAAGCGCAGAATCTTGCTTGCAAGACGACCTGGAGGGTGATGTAGTCGTAGGCAGTAAGGGAGCGTGAGGAAGCCCAGGCCGCAGAAGGGCAGATTTATCCAGAAGATCCAGCGCCAAGTGGTTTCCTGGGCGAAGGCGCCGCCGATTAAGGGACCGGTGACTGACCCAAGTGCCCATGTTAGGCTCTGAAAGCCGAACCACTTACCGCGCTCACGCAGAGGGACGAGGTCGGTGATGAGGATTTCAGTCAGAGAAATAATGCCGCCGCCACCGACGCCCTGGATGCTGCGGCCAACCAAGAGGGAAGTGAAATTCTGGGCGAGTGCACCGACTATTGCACCTACCGTGAAGAAAAGGAGGGCGACGAGAAGGAGAGGTTTCCGGCCGAGTATATATGAAAGCGAAGCGAAAGAGGGTTGGAAAGCAGTGGAGGATAGGAGGAACGATGTCCCGCACCAGAAGGCGGCGATGGCACTGCCGTGGAGAGATTCAGAAATAATCTAGTTTTGAGCGTCAGCGTAGTCTCTTTTTTCTCCAACCCAGCCGATAGGTCTCAGAAGAGTACCCATGAATGGCTTTAAAAACCTATCGATGGAAGTGAGGGGGCAATTACGGGAAGAGCGACGGAAAGCGAAGTGGCATCCAAGGCCACCGCGAGGGTAATCATGCAGAGACTGATGAATGAAGCATAGAAGCGCCATCCTGAGTTGAAGATGCGAGGTCCAATACAGTCACACTTCCCGTCCTCAGCTGGGACTGTAGCTCGGACTTCTCGTCATTCTCGAAGTTGCTGTTGTCTGTAGGCTGTCCCATGTCTCGAGACGCATGCATTGCGGGAGACATTGCCTGGATTGTTTCCCAACGCAAGGCCAGGTGATTTTTGGCAGAAAATTCCCACACCAATTCCCACACCAATCTCAAGAATGCGGAAGCTGTGGAAAAGCGATACGCAAGAGAATGCACTGACTTGTTATGATAAATCTGGCAAGCTTACTGCATCCATGCAGTCCATGAATAAACATATCATCCATGGGAGTCGGTATCCAGGTGCACCAACTACCAGTACTCTACAGCTAGTGCTGTCTCGCGTCCCATGAAAACTACACGCACAAATGAGTTCTAAATGATGATTGGCTGAGTCCTAAGGCCCAGCCGCACGCAGACAGCGGTCCACTATACAACTCAGCCCTAGGAAAACTCCCTCTACGTAAGATAGAAGACCTAAAGTCTAAGTACAAGAAAACGCTAAAAAACAAGGCGCGGGTGGGTGGGAAAAGACCAAAAAACCTCTTCTTACGACGAGAGGAACAAGAATGAGAAGTAAGAAACGGGGGGACACCGCCTATTCAAGGCTCTTCCAACATAACAATCTCGACTGTCCTACCATAAGCGTGTGCTATACCTCTCCCTTACTAGCCCCTAGTCAAGCTATAGCGACTAGTACTATCTCGCATCCCATAAAAACTACACGCACAAATGAGTTCTAAATGATGATTGGCTAGGTCCTAAGGCCCAGCCGTACGCAGATAGCGGTCCACTATACAGCTTAGCCCTAGAAAAACTCCTAAAATAGACTCACACCTGACGGGAACCTATTAGCTCTAAGCTATATAAGGACGCTAAAAACGACGTAATACGGCGAGAATATAGGCCGGGTGCGTTTCGATATATAGGCGGTACGAATCAGACTTCCAACGACCAAGTAGTTAAATCTCATTATCGATTAGACCGGCGTCCCTCGCGGAGATAGCGACCCCCCTACGAAAAGAGTATCCTAAGTAGTAACCCGGGTAACCGAGTATATATAGAGTGCTACGTAGTGTAGCGGTGACGTACTATCTCGTAAAGGCCTTACCCGGATTAAATAGCGGCGATGACCCACTGGTGGGGAAGCGAGTAAATAAGTTTCGTAGCGAACGAATAGGGTAGGCGTTATTATTTACAGCGGTAATAAATAGAGTAATCCCTCTTCTAAATAGATCCGTCTTTAAGGCCGGTAGAAATAGCTTTATATAATGGCTATAAAGCGTAACTAAACGTCTTATAATATACCATCGTCCGAAGTCGCTATCCTCGAATTCAGCCTAAGACTATATAAACTCGCCCACACGAAGGAAATATAGCAAATGCGAGATAAAAGAAAGTATATAAGGTGACTCCCTCTAGAGAAGTTTTATCGAATTAGGTAAGGATATAAAGCAGTAGATCTCGTATAATTGAACGGCGTTCTTTAATATCGGCCTCGCCACGTAGTCTGCGAATACCGGCGATCACCCGCTGCAATAGTGGGTGGTGGAAGACCTCGAGGTCCTCGAATCCTATATCCACATAGACTAACCGGACGCCTATAAGATAGGCCTTAATGGATTTAACCTAGACGTGACGGTCGGCTAGACGTGCTATTCAGCCGGTAAGTGATTGAACGGTAGCGGGAAAAGCGGTAGTCCTCGATAGGGTATAAAACTCGGTGTAGGAGGCCTTCGCCGTTTAATAATTACTTCTCGTTTTATTAGCAAGACCCTATTAGAGATATCTCGCGGTATTACGGTTTAGAGGAGTTTTCTTATATTATAATTTAGGTAAATCGCGGCTTAATGAATCCTGCGTAGGCTGAGAGCGCTTAGCTGTAGATGTAAGTTAGTAATTCTATTAAATTTGAAGCGAGAGAGTAAATCGGCTAAAGTATTCCACTTGGTAGGGATTTAAATTATATTGCAAACGATGTCGTACTGAGCGAATAGCATAACTATTTATCTGAGCGGTGCTATGGCCGGCCCACGCATAGAACTGCTGCGGATATTCTCGACGACGGCGCCGTTATTATAGTAGAGCGTAAGATATAATTGGTGTAAGCGGGGTAGCCATCTGCGGATGGCTATAAGAACGGTAAGCATCTCTTTGAATTAAATATCCTTCTTGCGGTAGCGGGTAGCGAAGTGTATACTAAACGTATCGTCTAGTTTAGGACGAGTGGCGATATTCTCGAGGATATACCCCCCCATTCCGTGCTTACTAGAAGCGTCTGTCTATATGGAATAGTAACGGCGTGCGGCTGTACGCCGGAGCAGACGTATCCCATTCCACCTGGATAGGAAGGTATCCCACCAGCGTAGGTCCGCTGCGATTGCGGCGGTGATATGGTAATATCCTCGTTTCTTGGATAGTGCGGAGTAGAGCCTTCTCAGAAAAGCCTTATCAGGGACTATCACTTTGGCGGAGAAGGATAGCAGATCTACCGCTGACTCAAGCTCGTTATGGGGGATGCTCCGCCTATTTAGAAGGGCTTTCACCGACTTTCTCGCCCGTTCCAGCTTGTCAAGAGGGAGCCTAACCTTCATCTTCTCGCTATCGAACTGAATTCCCAAAAATTCGACGGAAGTACCTTTCTCGTCCTTGATATAATTCACCTTTAAGCCACAGTCATTGCAAACGATATCAAAGTCCTCGCTAAATCGGGTTGCGTCGCCGTTAGGCGGAAGGATAGCGAAGAAGTCGTCTAGGTAGTGAAATACGATGCTCTAGAATAGAACGATAACGAGTATTTAATGAAGGGCCTTAGCGAATAGATCGAAAATGAAGGGCGCGATACGTAGGCCGAATGGTAAGAATCTATCGATATAATAAAAGCCGTTCCAAAAGAAACCCAGTAGCCAAAAGTCCGACTCGGCTATAGGGATATGTCTAAATACGTCGGCAAGGTCTCGTTTAATCATAATTACACCCTCGCCCTGAGTGAGTAGGACATCGATAGTATCGTCTAGTATGGTGTACTCGAGTACTTCGTAGGCCTCGTGAATATAGTGATTGACGGAGTGTAGCCGTGGGAAAGAAAGATCGTAAATCCTTCTCTAGCTATCGTTATGCTTCGGGATAAGGCCTAATGGGGACGAAATGAAGTATTCCGAGGGTTCCACGTTTAACCTTGTTAGACGGTCGCTATTCTCCTACTTTTGAAGATCTTTGGATAATATTTCGGGTGTTATAGCGGCACTGGGGTGGGGTTTACTTAACAATAACTAACTGAGGCCTTAGTAGTCTATTTTAACGCCGCGGGCGATGATTGCGAGTAAGATATTGGCGAATACCTAGTCGGGGTGATTCTTAAGTTATTTCTTCTAGTCGTCTTTCTTTAGTAGGCTACGTCTCTTTAGTAGAGGCTTATTTAGCGAGATAAGCATGTACGGGAATAACTCGGCTATCGACTTAAGGCCCCTCGATACCAATCATAGCCGAGGGTGGGAGGGAGCCTTACACCCAGCGGGGTAGTGTTGGCGGAGGCTCCGTTGATACAGCTGATGACAGGATATAATAGGCCACATACGTTACACATGTGTAGGTAGCGATAGCCCCGAGCGTTGCAGGGTTCATTGCGATTAAATTGATTGCAGTAGAACGATTAAGGGTTTTAGATATTTTGGTGAGAAGGTATAGAAGTAACACCACGGTATACCTAGGGCAAAGCTTAACTTAAGCGTGAATTATACGGTGGGTACGCTCCCGGTTAAGTCTGCGGGGGTCGCTATCTTAGAATTCGATTTTCAAGATAATTATCGGGTGTTCGTTACATATGGGTATCGTCTTAACAAAGCTGAATCCTATTATAAACGAAGATCTCGTAAAAATAGCGTATCGATTAAAAGATGTAGATAGTTGATAGGTTAGAAATATAGCAGCGGTAGTTAGATAGGGCTTCTTGAAGGGGTAGGGTAACTATTTTATAGGCAAAGAAATATATAATTTAGCTATAGACCTCGAAGCATCGAAGAAGCTCTTTAAGTTCCTTAATCTTCTTATCGCCGTTAATAAGGCGGTTAATAAAGCTATTAGATAGTTTGTTGAGGTGTTTAATATCGAACGTCCCATAGTAGATTTGTTTAATATATTTGAGGTCCACCGCTTTAAAACGAAGAAGAAGGGGGGTTATTATAGGGTTATTACCTTGATATAAGAAGGAGCGACGTGGCACTACTTCCGTCTTAGATAATGTTGGCGTTCTCTACTACGGCAGGGTTAAAGTTGATTATAAGGCCTAAAGAGGTATAGGTGACGGCTAAGGAGGTGGAGCGAATAGGAACGGCTGATAGGCCAATGGCATGGGGGCTTGGGGTGTGGGCTGATATATAATAGGGGTAGTCGACTGGCGACGGGTACGGATCTTATTAACCTCGCTTTATATACGGGCGAGTTCATCACGGTCCTAAAGTATATTATTTTCGTCGGCCTATTTCCGTTCGAGTTCCTGATAAGCGAATTATAACTAAATAATATAGGGATTAAGGACCGGGTCTAACGAGGTGGGAGGTCTTACTAAAGGACCTGGCTGGTGGACAGAAGATATAGCGAGGATAGGGGGTAAGGGTCCATCAGAGGGCCCTCCCATAGGTTTAGTGGGCGGTTCTGGAAGTGGTGATCTGGCGGCAGCAGCCTACGTGTGGCTATGGCCTTTGCGGTAGGCTTACGAGGACGCTTAGGGGCCATTAATAGTGGCTAAATAGCAATAATAAAGTAGAAGAATAATGTATTTTTGAAATGAAAAATTGCTTTCATCTGATACAGGAAATAAAAAAAGTCCAAAAAACCTCTTCTTACGACGAGAGGAATAAGAATAAAGAGTAAAAAACAGGAGGGACACGGCCTATTCAAGGCTCTTCCAATATAACAATCTCGGCTATCCTGCCATAAGTGTGCTGTGCCTCTCCCTCACTAGCCCCCAGTCAAGCTGTGGCGAGAAGTGCAGCTGTCTGCGAATATGCCAGCACGCTAGGAACAGCCCTCCAACCAACCTCCGAGCCTCCCCACCACCAACAGGGGCCTATTATCTTGTCAAATAACCCGCAGGAGAAGCTTTGTTGAAACACATAGATTGAGCTGTGAGTGTGAGTCTTTGTTTGAGTATACGACCCCGCGACCAGCCCATACGAGGAAACGCGCCCAACGCGTCGCACGCACTCAATCATCCCCCTCTTGACGGCCGAATGCTACAATTTTCTATCTTCGTGCCTCCATTCAATGATCAACCCTATTAGTTGTGCAGAGGTCGCTTCGAGTCTGGTATTGCTGAACGTCGCCGATCATCGCTGTCCATTTAAAATGCTGTGGCCCATTGCCAACAAAGCCGTTCAAATGTCCAATCGATAGTCTACCCTCCGAATCCCTACAAATGGTCTGCACCCAATTCGAGTCGACAGAAGTCACAAAGTCAAGTTTGGCACAGCAGTGCATGAGATGTATACGAAGTCAAGAAAATCTATCTAACGCAGGTATTTTAAGCACTTCCCAATGCAAGCATGTCGAACAACCTGTCTCATAATCACCACCATCACCATCATCGTCCATCCCACAGTGTAATCATCTCATCCGTCCTTGTTCTCCACAAGATCTTTCTCTACCATCCCCGCCAACGTCTGCAGATGATTCGTCGAACTCAGGATATCCAAGAACGGAATATCCACCTTGAAAACGCTCCAGAACCACGACCTATACTCCGCCGCGATCATGCTGTCCATTCCATACGACGCCAGTGGCTTCCTGCTGTCCACCTTATCCAGCGGCATGAGCAGCAAATTTGAAAACCTCCTGGACACAAGCAGTAAGATAGCCTCGTTCAGGGATGCAGCTCCCGCTGCTTCCGCCGCGAGAGCTTTAATGACGGGTGCGGGCAGGCCTTTGGACCAGGAAGCGTCGATGGATGCGACGGCCCCACCATCTTCTGCCGAGCCGGCGTCGAGGGAGGCGGAGAGGAGGATTGTGCGAGGGTCTTGCATAGTTCCGTTGTTGACGTCGAAGCCTTGCTCCATCATCTTGCGAATACCGTGGGGCTCCAGGCCGGTCAGGATGTGGGACTGAGCGAGCTTATCGTACTCCATGCCTCCTGCCGATGGCGTGCCAGATAGTGAAAGGTCAAGCACCTGCAAGAATTCCTTTTCATTGAGAGGCTGGATGCCTTTGCGAAGGAGTAGCGCTTCGATCTCTGGGTTTTCGTGGAGATAGCCGACTTCGGAAATCATGCCAAAGCCGATGGAGCTGACTGGCTTGCCTAGACTGTGGCGGTATCGAGCGAAGGCATCCAGGAATCCGTTGGCGGAGCAGTAATTGCTTTCCGTGGCAGTGCCGACACTCCCGGAGACAGAGGAGGTCAGCAGGAAGAAGTCTAGCTTGTCGTCTATACCTTCGAGGGCCTCGTGGATGTTCCAGGTCCCACGCCACTTCGGTTGGATACCCGTGTGCCATGCTGCGTTGGTCATGGTGGAGAAAAGAGCCTCGTGCAGACCCATAGCGGCTTGAACTACGCCACCAATTGGCTTTGGAGAGACAGTCATGCAAGCAACGACATCGTCTTTGTTGCTCACATCACCACGAACGACCTGGACAGTGGCGCCGGCTTTCTCAAGGTTGTGGACTACTTCACGGGCCGCTTGTTTGTCGGTAGCGGAGCGCCCAAGGAATGTGAAATTGCGGGCACCTCGTTGGAACATCCACTTGCTTAGACTACGTCCGAGTCCTCCCAGACAGCCGATCAGGACGTATGATTTGTTGGCGTCAAACTTCGCTGTATATTGTGCGGGAACGGCCTGTGGGCTCATTAACATAATTTTCGCTTGACAAGAGAGACAGCGTCGTACCTGAACAATACTCTGAGGATTCTGCATTGAAATGACAACTTTGCCTACTCTGTTCTTCTGAGAGAAGAAACGGTACGCTTGCGTGATCTCTGAGACGTCAAAGGTTTTGATGGGAACTGGCTTGACAGCGCCGGAACGATACAGCTCTAGAGCTTCCTTGGATTTACTGCAATTCATTAGCAGGCTCCGCGTGAGGAGAGGGTACGAGACATACTTGATCCAAATGTCCCTGTAGAACTGGTCCTCGTGGTAGAAGAGCTCGGTCAGATCGAACGCAGTAAAGGTCACATTGCGGAAGAACACATCCATATCGAGCTTTCCTGCATCGACAATGTCACGTTTTCCAACTTCAACGAACCTTCCGAAGTTGGCGCAGCATCTCCAACTGGCATGGAGAAGATCACCAGTCAACGAGTTGAGCACAACGTCCACACCTTTTCCATTCGTGGCCGCAAAGACGCTCTCCATAAACGAAGTATCTCTGGACTGGAAAATGTTCTCTCGTGGCATACCCAACTCGCTCACAAGGAAATCTTTCTTATCTTCCGTGCTTACAGTTGCGTAGACTGTGGCGCCTCGCATTTGCGCAATGGCTATCGAGGCCATGCCAAAGGCGCCAGCGCCAGAGTGAATGAGAATAGTCTAAGATCGAATCGTCAGTTTTGATGTGGTACTAGGAGAACGCTTGTTACCTCTCCAGCCCTCAAGTGTGCGCGATCATCCAACGCGTAGAGCGCTGTGCCGTAAATGACAGGAAGCGTGGGCATAATCTGTATTCAGTTTGTCAGCTATTTAACGAGATCGTTAATGAGAGAGTATCAGTACCTCGAAGCTCTCTTCGGGGAGCATCTTGTGACAAGCCCATCCTGGTACTCTCTCGGTGGTTCTGAATGTGTTCGGTGCCAGCACACAAACTCGGTCACCAGGCTGCAGGTCTGTGACATTCTTCGCGACAGCTTTCACGATGCCACTGAACTCAATGGCAGCAGTTCCCTTCCTGGTCTCGACTTTACCAGAGAGAACGTAGATGTCCTGGATCACGGTTCAGCCTTTGCGCATTCGATCACTTCGGACTTTGATTCATACCTTTGCATTGAGACTGACAGCTTTCACGTCTATGTCAACCAGGTCGTCTGGAAGCTCTATCTCGGTCTCTGACTCTTGTTGAAAGTATATGGTGTCCATTATACCAACTTTCTTGATCTCAAGCTTAGCTGGGGACGCCGCTTCGAGCGTCATCTCGCTCGGTTGCTGGTTCCGTCTTTGGCTGAAACGAGTGTTTAAACCAGCATCGGGCACAAAGCGACTGATGTGTAGAAGACCACTCTTCAAAACGAACTCCTTGTCATCCGGGACGTCATCTGCGAAAAGTGCTCTATCGATGTTGCTGCAAATACCGGTCTGGTCTGACTTGCACATGTGTGCAGAGACTCCGATGTCCAGGATAACGAACCGAAGAGATGGCTGTTCCAGCATCAAGGCTCGAGACAACCCACTAGCCAACGACAAACTCGGCGCAGATCCATCCATGTAAGAGGCTCCAGTCAACCAGACGAGGTCGGTGGTCGTGTCGGTTATCTTCCTCACCAGATCCATCTCCTTTGGCGTCATTACGGCCAACAGTGGCTTCTCCAATTCCAGGAGTGAGATGGTAACAGACTTTGGAGGCAACTCTAGATTTTCCAGGTCCTTTAGCGAATAAGATTTGACATTTTCAGCTCCAACAATGCCATCGAAATGGGCTCTGATCTCTTTCGAGAGATCTGATGGGGACGAAGACTGCTCGACCTGGACCGTGTCAGATATTTCAGTGCACTTCGTGCAGATTTTGAAAACAACATACAAGGATGATCTGTTTCCCCTCCAGTTTCCGAGGCTTTTGAGGCGTTATAGCGAGCATGACGCCGCCTACCAGGTTGAAGACCTTGCATCCAGACTCTTTCAGACACTTGCCTGCGACAGCAGAACTTCTGCCGATCAAGATACTCTGTGGGCTAAGGACCTTTGAGAGATTGTCCGCTATGTTTTGCCATAGTTCGCCCGTAGTCGACTTCTGTATTTTATTAGGCATGCCATGGTGGTTGCAGCATCAGGAGACTCACATTAGGCATCACGACCATATCGTAGGTAGGGATTTTGTCACCGTCGAGCTTGGTCTTCTCAACTTTGTCAGGGATATGGGCTGGATGAGTGACTAATTCACCATCTGAGAAGCTGCCAATGTGCCACTCCCGCGAACGCGGGAAATCTGATTTGTTGTCCAAGATGTCAAGGAATCCTTTAGTCTTGCAATCGCAGTCTCTCCCCACTTCCAAAACGCGAAGTCGTGGATTTTTATGCCCGGCAAGATCCACCAAGCCAGCCATCACACCCGAACTCACATTTTCGCGAAGGGTGTGGTGGGAAGATAGGAACTGCTCCAGGTAGGCATCCAAATCTGTTCTGCAACTTTCATCCAGACGAGTAATATCTGGCTTCCAGACCACTCGCAAGGTCGGATGCCTATTAGCCTCGGATGGATCAATCTCTTCATCCATCTTGCCGACGTATAATGACAGTCTGGTGTTTGACATGTCAATAAGTACCTCATCTTTGTCATCTCTGAGTGTGACATTGATCTTCTTGGTGCTAAACCCCGTGGTCTGGGACTGAGAGTGAATAGAGACTTCGGACCCCAATCGGTCAGCATCTGGTGTGGAAATTTGCAGGTGACCGAAGAATACGGGCAAGAAGGCCTTGAGATTGCCGACATCACCAGCGGTTCCCCCCATGATTGCAGCTTGGAGACAAGCATCAACGACTAGTGGGTGAACACCATAATAAGTCCCGGGGAACTTTGTCGATTTTGGGACTCTCTGGAACAACTTGGTAGTTGAAAGGGCTTCAGGCTTCACCCTCGCCTTGTCAGTCTTCATGGAAGTTAGAGTCTGAAAAGCAGGGCCAAAGCATAGTCCTTCATGGGCCAACTTTTCATACCATCTGCCCATGGCCCATTTGTCATAGTTGGTGGCGTCGACAGTCGTAGCGCCGGTCTTCTCAGATGGTACAATGCTCACACTGATGCTTCCAACGCAGTGCGAGATCGAGGCACCGCTTTGGAACGAAGATATTGAGAAGTCGTACCAGATGCTGGATGTGGACGCTTTGGAAATCTTCTCTTCGTACATCGTGGTGAAAAGCTCAGTTTCCTGATCACCATCTGTGACCACCAGCGCCGACGAAATATTGACGTTGCGGAAGGTGAACGATGGTCTGATATCCTGATCAGGATGCCGAAGCTTGATTTGCGAAAGCGCTTCCATTGCCATTGCAAGATAACCCGCTGCGGGAAAGACTACCTGGACCTCCAGCTAAAGGGGCTCCTGTCAGTAAGAAACGCTGAGGTTGACATTTGCTCTGCTTACCCGGTGATCATCTATCCAAGGGACCTCTGATGGCTTGAAGATGTTTCTCCAACAGCGCTCAATGCCATTTGCTGCTGCAGTTTCGGATCCCAGGAGTTCATGTCGAACATACTTTCGATTGCGTAAGTCTACACTTGACCTTGGTTCGTTCCACAAGAGCTGAGTATAGCTCCAATGGTAGGGTGGTAAGTCATTGATTACAGCAGCGTTGTGCTTGTCACCATCGAATTGAGTGTTGTTGACTTCGAGGAAATCAATCTCATGCCCGCTCAAGAACAATTCTCCTGCGAGAGTCTTCATGCAGATATCAGCGTCTTTGCCTCGCGCCAAGGTAGAGGTGTACGGCAGGTCGTCCTCCGGGAGTCCTAGGAAGGTTCGAATTTGCTTGATGGGAAGCTGAAGAGCCCCATGAGGACCAATCTCAAGCAAATGGTACTTTCCAGTCGCGACAATGTTCTTGATGGCTGTGCTGAACTGCACTGGATTTTCCAGATTTGCTCTCCAATAAGCTGGTCGTATGAAGTTGTTGGTCTCACGAGAGAATGAGGCAAGTGCATCACTGCCTTTGCCAACACTCGAAAAAAACCTGACGGCGTCCTTGCCATCTTCCTGACTAGTGTTCATCGGCAATCCTGTCATAGCTTTGCTGACAAGGCTCTCATACTCTTCACCGACTTCTTTCATCAGGAACGAATGGTATGCCCTGCCTCCAGTGGCCAACTTTCTTGCAAAAATGCTCTTACCTTGAAGTTCGCTCGCCAAGATGTCGATACCCTTTGCGCTTCCGCTAATCGTGACGCTTTCCGGAGAATTCACGCAAGCCACACATATCTCATCTCGAAGGGACATCTCGTCTATCTTGGCCTCTGCGTCATCAGCACCCATACCGACCGCGAGCATGCAGCCTTTTGAGGTAATTTTCGTTACAACGTAGCCACGGTAGAACGCAATGATGATGGCATGAGCTTCAGTAAGTAGACCGGCAGAATAAGCGGCAGCAATCTCTCCAGACGAGTGACCGGCAACTATGCTGGGCTCCACGTTCCAGCTTTGCAAAAGCTTAACTATGCCGACCTGGACAGCGGTGCAAAGCGGTTGCGAAAAGCTCGCGTCGCCAACTTTGCTCGTGGCAGCCGGCTCGAGCAAGGCGTTCTTGATGGTCCATACTGGTGCTTCTGGAAGGGCCTGAAGGACGCTATCCAGGTAATCGATTGTTTGAGAGAACAATGGGTACTTCTCCAGAAGCTCTTTCCCCATCTGAGGCCATTGTGCGCCTTGACCGGTAAATATGAAGCCGAAGTCTAGCTTTGGCGTAACCTTTTTAGGTGTGACCAAGTTGTCAAGCCTAAAGTCGTTCTTGGCTGTGGCTGCGCTTGTGATAAGAAAGCCCTTCTTGCTCAGTTTTGAGCGTCGATCGGCCAGAGTGTGACACAGGTTACAAAAGTTGTAGGTCTCGCCAAGACTGAAGCGCTTGGAAAGGTCAAGGATCCTAGCCTCGAGAGATTGAGTTGTTGAACCGGAAAATGGTAGCACATAAAGCCTTGTTGGATCTCCCATAGGTTGCTCATTTCTTGATTCGTTGTATCCAGGCAAGAAATTATTAACCGAGTCAAGGATGGCGTGAGCGTTTGCTCCACCATACCCGAAAGAGTTGATACTAGCCCGGTGCAATGGAGTTGGCCAGTCTGTAAGTTGTGTCACAACCTTCATGTTCCATTCGTCCAGATGCACTATATCAAGGTCAGACTTTGAAAACTCAGAATCATTACCGGGCTCGGAGTTCCTTACGCTTGGGGTTGAGTTTTTCGAGTCCAATTGTTGCTGGGATCTTTTTGTGTTCCAGAGCTAGTACAGCTTTGATGACTGCTGATATCCCACTTGCTGCTTCACTATGACCGAGATTCGTCTTGTTCTGTTGTAGAAACTGAGTTAGATAGTCTGCAAGAGGAAAAGACATGAGATCTGCTTACTGCACCAAGAAGAAGCGGTGTTGGGCGATCGCGTGGGAAGAAGTTGCTTAGAGCTTCGACTTCCATAGGATCGCCTACCCCGGTTCCAGTTCCGTGGCATTCGACGTAGGCTGTGTCCTTCGGGTCAAGTCCGGCTTTCCTATATGCTTTCCGGATGACCTCTTCTTGACCAAGGATACTGGGCTGTGTGATTCCGGATGTCTTTCCATTGCTGAAGGGATGTAAGTCCACGAAGCAGTAAAGCAAAGTTTCGCAACTTACGCATTGATCGCAGTTCCACGAACCACTGCCCGAATAGGGTCGCCGTCTCTGAGTGCAGTCGATAATCTCTTCACGTAAAGAGCGTTGACACCCTCGGCTCTTCCGTAGCCGTCAGCACTGGCGTCGAATGTGTGGCACGTTGATGTGGGGGATATAACCCCGCCCTTCATCGTTCCGAGATGCTGCTCTGGAGCGGTGATGAGATTCGCGCCTGCTACTATGGCCGCATCGCACTCGCCACCCTGCAGTGCGACAACGGCATTGTGCAGGCAATAGATGGTGGATGAGCAGGCTGTGTCAAGTGCAAAACTGGTAAGGGTCAGCATGTTTGATTGTGCATACGTCTTTAACTTGAAAGCTTTACCTAGGTCCTCGAAGGTCGAAAATATAGCTCAGACGGTTCGCCAAGATGGCGGTACCTGAACCGGTGGCGCTATATCGGTGGAGGTATTCTGGGTCCCGGGTTTGCATTGTCTGAAAGTCGACGGTGAAATTGCCAACGTAGACGCCAACGTTGGATCCAGCAACATCTTCCAGCGAGGTTCCTGAGTTTTCGAAGCACTCATAGACCACCTCGAGTAGCTTTCGCTGTTGGGGATCCATGTAGGTTGCCTCGAGATTGTTGATGCCAAAGAATGTGTTCTCGAACTGTCGGACATCTTCGTTAATGAAGTATCCGCCTTTGGAAATCATGGCCCCTGCTCGATCGCCTTCCGGATGGTAATAACCGTCAATGTTAAAGCGCTCCTTGGGGACTTTGCATTGACCTGATTTCTGCTGAATAAGCAGATTCCAGAGATCGTGAGGCGATGAGACTCCTCCTGGAAGTCGGCAGGCTGAGGACATAGTCAGCCCGAAGCACGTGATAGAGCCTACCAAAGTAATCGATAACAGGAAAGGAGTCACTCACCCATGCCGACTATGACCACCGGATCATCTGAGTCAAGCGAATCGATTGTCTCTGGAGTACGGAAGCCATTTACCTGACCATTGGTCCTAACGGTCTGAGGCATCCGCTCTAGCTTTGGTAAATCATGATCATCCTCGGTCGAAGGAGAAGGCGAAACGCTCTTCACAACCACGGTCTCAATCTTCTTGAGCTCGTGTTGCGAAGGCTCGACAACGTTGATCATTACTGATGGCGCCATTACACTGAAAAAATTTAGAAATTCAATGTATAATGCTTGACAGAAAAGCCATAAAGACAGAATGGTGAGGGGTTTGAGGCTTCGTCAAGACTTCGAAAAGTCTTTGAAGCTAAGGTGCTGAACTTCTGATGCTGATGCTGAAGGGCAATCTTGAAGTAATGCAAGTGGCTTTTGTTTATCGCCGTTGCAATCAGGAACACGTTCACTCCAGCACTGATTCCTGTAGGCCGCTATCCGAGTCGGCGTTCCAGTTAAAGGTAGCGTTGAAAAGTATAGCATACCACCGACTGACCAGTCTAGCTTACCAACTCAGGTCCCCACCCCGTAGTGCCGCCGACATATGGAGGTAAGAAATTGAGGCATATGACATGCATCCGAGTGGAGTTGCCGTTCTGGTGGCTTGCATAGCAAATCCAGTCCCGACATCCTGGCTTTGCCACTTCGGAGTCCAACATTCTCGCTTGCGACCATAAATTTCGGGGCGCTGCGTTCTGTACAGGATCCTAGAGCCTCAGAAACATGGCCTGACATTAGTTGTGACCACCAGGAAGGCTTGTGTGCCGTGGAAGGCTGGCTGGGGGTTCGGATCACGCGAGGGACTAACGACATTACAACCGGGGACACTACTGCTGCAAGTATAATCTCCGAGTCTGCAATCTGTGTCAGGACGGAGTTCGATAGAAACGTGGTAGCAGTAAAGTGACAAGCTAGGGCTGTCAGAATGCTGCAGGTACGAAGGATGGCAATATAACACTAACCCCAAAAGACTCTAGTGGTGTCAAGTCACCTCACTTGACAGGGTTACAAGGCTGCTGACAGTCATAACGCTATTTGGCTGGTTTGTTCCACAAATGCATGGGTGTCAGGGCCGATAGTACAGCTGATTGATAGACTTTCAGTGGATCATCCTCTGGTGCCAATGAGCGGCAATCTTTTTTCTCTTGCAGTAGAACGCCCCAGAAAGGTGAAGAAGCTTACCGATGGCAAAGCAACAAGTCCTTGGGCTTCACCCTCGTGTATTGGAAGTCAAGGACGCTGTTTTGCGCGCTGGTGCAGATCGGAATAATATTTCCTTGACATGAGCGCTTTGCAGCCTTTCCCGGTGCCATTGCCTGCTGGGGTCAAATTTCCAGTCAAGACGTTCGCCAAAAGACAGCGGGCGGTTGTTATGGCGCAAAGATATGTCCTCATAACGGGGTAAAACTACTTCCATATCAAAGTGGACTACTCCTGACTTCTGTCGTCCAGTTGCGGCGAAGGCGGCATTGGTGAAGCGCTGGCGAGAGAATATCAAAAGAAAGGTAGCGCTGTCTCCATCTTCCCGTATTGAAGTAGGATTTCTGCAAGCAGCAGTCGCGTTCATTGGAGTGCTGTACTTATCGCGAGAGAATGCGTTGGACGCAAATAATGACTTCTGATTTCTACTGCGACAGCCTGTACTGTTATCACAACCGTGTTACCATGGGAATCGAAAGATCACCTGATCTCTGCCGGAATCCAATGCTATGAACTCGACGTGACCGACGATGCTTCTGTGCAAGCGCTCGAAAGGATCGTGGACAAAGTCACCGAAGGCCGCCTTCATGTACTCGTGAACAATGCGTAAGTAAGACCACATATCCTACCCAAGACCTATCCGATATCATGACCTTTTACCCAGTCACTGACCATGCTTTTTTTTTAAATATCAGGGGCATCTGTCAGTACAACATTACCCACGTCTTCCCAAGCTGCAGTGGCCCAAAGGCTGAATTCCGCCATCAGGCTACACAATGACAGGCATCGACACGGACGTGCAAGAAGTCCAGAAGATGTTCAACGTCAACGTCTTCGGCCCCATGCGAATGGTGCACCATTTCCATCCCATGTTGATCAAAGCGCGAGGTACCATTGTCAACATCGGCTCCGTCGGAGGCATCGTACCGTACATGTATGGATGTAGGTCATTCATGCCCGGTCGCACGGAAGCGACGCAAGACGGTCGGCCAACAACAGCTGACGGTAGTATACAGCATCCTACAACGCGACAAAAGCAGCCCTAGCCCACTGGGCGAATACACTCAGGGTGGAGATGGCGCCACTCGGGTATGCCACATCCTGATTTCCCTGCCCGTTCCCGCTGACGCGGTGCCCAGAGTCAAAGTCACCACCGTAAGTCCCTGTCCCCAACACCGCCCGCAGCGACAACGACCTCCAGCTTTCCATACCGGAAAAAAAAAACCCCCCTTTCCCCTTTTTTTAACCGCGAAAGCGTCAGATCATCTCCGGCAACATCGGGACCAACATCCTCAAAAGCGACACCGCCAGGACCCTCCCCGAAGGTACCCACATGGAAACCCCCCCCCCAAGTCCGCCCCACAGATCCCATACTTACCCTCCCCTTTCCCCCCCGACAGGATCCTTCTACGCCCCACTCGCGCGCGAGTTCCAAGAGCACGTCCAGCGGGTTCCAGGTAAGCCCGAGCCCGATCTATCCGCCCGCACGCGTACTTTTACGCCCCCCAAAGCACCCACGGGACTGAACCCGCCGCAGACACGACCCCCCGCGCCGTCTACGCCAGCCACGTCGTGCCCCAGACCCTGAAGGCGAACCCGCCGGCGTGGTACTGGGTCGGCGCCACCACGGGCATCGTTCGCTTCATGGACATTTTCGGCTTCCGGACCGTTTGGGTATGTTTTTTTTTTTCCTTTTTCTTCTTTTTCTTCTTTTTTTCCTTCTTTTTGGGCTGTCCGCGGCCCCGGGGCGTGTGGGTCGGTCGGTCGGGCTGATGCCGTTTGCCTTCTAGGATTACATCCTCTGGCCCGTGTTCAACCTTGGGAAGTTGAGGCAGGAGACGGAGGTGTGGAGGCGGGGGAACGAGTAGGGTGGGTGGGTGGCTCGGAAATGGGCTGTGGGGTTTTCCCGTTCGGTGGTGTAGTTGGTCTTGTCGGGCGTAGAAAAAATTTGCGATACCGTATCACGTCTCCCTATCCTCGGTTTCGCGTTTCGCTCCGTATGTGTAGGAAGCTAGAGTTTTAGAAAAGTTTCCGTCGGTTGTGTCAGTAGCGATTCGGGAGAGCTTTTCGCGGCCTTGTTGTTTTGAGACACGGGCGGTTCCCTATCGCGAAAAGGTCTGCGGGCGTCCAAAAAAACTCCTCTCCGTGACGAGATTTCAAACGGAGCGAGTCCTGCGCGGGTCGAAGGAGGGAGAAAAAGTTCATATATTCTCTAAATCCACACCCCTCATCCCCCTCCCCGCATTTTCTCCCTCGCCCGCCCAAAAATCCCCCCCTAATGCCCCCGCCCCTCATACTCCTTCTCCAAGTCGCCCAAGAACCCCTCCACCTTCTCCCCCGCCACCCACAGCGGCTGCTTGCAGTCGAGCAGCACGTAGAGCATGCGGCCGGCCTCGGTGCCGCCGGCGGTGATGTTGCGCCACTTGTGGGCCGTGGCGCGCTGGACGCTGACGTCGCCGCGGCGCATGATGCGGGACTCGCCGCTGTCGAGGGAGAGTTCGAACTCGCCCTCGAGGACGATGCCGTAGTCGATGGACATGGCGCGGTGGAGGGGGGACTCGAGGCCGGGGCCGAAGTCGATGAGGCGGACGACGGTGCCGTTGGCGATGTGGAGGCCGGGCTGGAAACCGGGGAGGTCAGTGGGAGGGAGGGAGGGAGGGGCAAAAGGGGACGCGGGGAAAAAACTCACCTCGTTCTCCCGCGCGTATTCGACGTCCTTGTCCCCGTTCAGCTCCACCGGCGTCTCCTTCGTCGAATACGATATCACCGCCACGGCCTGCTTTTCGCCCATGACGCGGTGGTGGTCCCCGGCGTCCGTGACGAGGAAGTGCCCCTTGCCGTCGGCGCCGTGGCCCGTGATGAGGCGTTGGGTCTTGCGGAGGCCGGGGGCCGGGTAGCCCGAGGTGATGAAGTCGTGGGCTGCGGTGGCCATTTTTTTTGCGGTGGGTTGGGGAGGTGGGGTGATCTGTGTGGGTGTTTGGGGGTGGGGAAGGATGCGGGGTTTCTTTTTTTTTCTTGGTTCTTTCTTTTCTTGATTGATTGAACAAGAGAAGGGGGAAGGAAGAGGAGGAGTAAAGTTGAGAAAAAGGAAAAGGAAGCTTCGCAATCGCAAAATGTCCAATCTACCAAAAGTGAAAAATGCAAGACCAGCCTTTCAAACCTCGGTTGGAAACAGTCACATCCCAAGTCACCGCCAGGAAGGTAAGAAGCCTCATTGACTCGCCAACCCGGCACATCTCGTCTCTCGGCGCGTACACGCTCAGTCAGTTCCGTTTGGTGAGTTCGCATAGCTTACCAGTTCCTTCTTAGACATGACCTGTCCTGCATGTGCCGCGGCTGACGTGCATGATGCAGGGTAGTGGAGGATGTTTGAGGCTAGGAATCTTAAGACTGTTGCATTGGACCCTGAAGTGCTAGTTCACTTTAGGAATTACGATAGTGAGGAGCAAGCATGACGAGGGATTATGTAATGACGGAACAGCAAAGGTCAATCACGTGACTACAGCCGGCCTCTCCCCTACACTCGAAGCTGACTAACCCCCTTCTCACTCCTCACCCACCCCTCCCCTCTAACCCCTAAACGTGCCCACTCAGCGTAGTCCCACCGTCGACGATCCAGCTCGCCCCCGTAACGTAGCTCGCCCGCCCGCTGCTCAGGAACATGACCACGTCCGCGATCTCGTCCACCTGCGCGATCCGGCCCATCGGCACCGCGCCCTCCATGAGCGTCTGCAGGGCCGGGTTCGCGGCGACGGCTTGGGAGACCATGGGGGTGTCGACCCAGGAGGGGCAGAGGCAGTTGGTGCGGATTTGGTAGCGGGCGTTGTCGAGGGCTGGGGGGATGGGGAGGGACGGGATTAGCTTCATGTATATATGTATATAGATTATGAGAGGGTAGAAAAGAAAAACAAACAATAGTAATGAAAGTGAACGGAAAAGAAAGCAAAGGGAAAAGAACGCAACACGCACCCGCATTCTTCGTCAGCCCCAAAACCGCATGTTTGCTCGTCGTATACTGCCCCAGCATCGGCGTGGCCACGAAACTCGAACAGCTGGCCATGTTGACGATGACGCCCCTCGTCGAGCCCCGCTTCGCGTTCTTCCCGCTCACCGGCCGCGGGTCCTGCTTCTTCATCGCGGCCGACTGCGCGCGCGTGGCGAGGAACATGCCGAAGACGTTGACGTCGAGGAAGCGTTGAAACTCGCTCACGGACGCTTCGGCGATTTCGGCGGGGGCTTGGACGCCGATCTGTCCGCGGCGCCGGTGGTCAGCGACCGATGCATTCGATTGTATCCTCACTGTATTCAATCATCCATTGTCGATCGATCGATCGATGGCAATGGAAGACAATCGCGCCCGCGGAATGAAGTCCAGACGATAGGGAAACGATCTTTCCGAACCCACCCCGGCGCTGTTGAAAGCGTAATCGATCCTCCCAAACTCCCTCACCGTCTCCTCCACCATGCAATCCACCTCCGCCTCCTTCGTCACATCCACCTGCACCACCAGCGTCTTGTACCCGGCATTCGTGGCCATCTCCCGGCTCTCGAGCGCGGCGGCTTCGGCGGCCGCCCGGTTCATGTCGGCGAAGACGACACCGGCGGCGCCTTCGGCCGCGTAGGCGAGCGCGCAGCCTTTGCCGAGACCGGAACCTGTGGGTTGGGGTGGGAGGTCAGGGGGTTGGGGGGAGGACGGGGGGGGGCAGGGGGAGGGGAGGGGAGGTACCGGCGCCGGTCACGAGAGCGTAGCCGTTGATTTCCATGACGAGGGAGGTTTGAGAGGCCGAGATGGGATAGAGTGGAGTGTGTGGTTGATGTCGCTTTCGATGGTGTTGGCTTCGCTGTACTCTCGTCGTGATGCTAGAAAATTTCGGATTGGAAGTGTTTTCCCGAGATCAGTTTCGAGCAGTGCGCTCGCACGGCGTCGAGTTGGCAGGTTTGAAGTATGCCTTACGAATCAAAAGGCTAGAATCCAACGGCAGTCATGAGACTTATGCAGGTCAGGTCCAAATCGGGAGTTAGAGTCAGATTCCGACATGTGGGAATTGAAGCTAGTGGCCTTGAGGTGCTCTCCTCTCCAGAAATGCCTTGAGCCATCTAGATCGAGATGGAGACGCATGGAGGGGCTCACGAGGTCATGGCTAACGATGTTGCTGTCAAAGTGTGTATTCGCAAAGATGTAGTGACCAAGCAGGTCAGGTGCAGAATCAAATGATGACTAGGAGATCGTCTATTTCAGATATGACCCATTTATCGATGTGTCTAAAAGTAATATATATGAAGGAACTGTCACTGCTTCAGATACTTTTGATAGAAATCGTGAAGGGTCACTCGTCCCGGGGTGGCCACTGCCACGAACATCACTTCCCTTTGGTCTTCCTCCCGTTCTTCACACACAGAATCACAACCTTCCCAATCACATTGTGGCGGTGGTGACCATCTCCATAATCATCCTCCTGTAAGGTTCTATTGACGTCCACGAAATAACCATCTTGGTTGGTTTTGCTGCGCTTACTGCTCCTAGGCCTCTCCTCAGGTTCGTTCTCATCACGGTAGTCTGATTGCCGCGCCAGGTTGGCGAGTACCTTGCTGCAGTTCGCCAGGATTTCAAGATGATCTGGGGAATTCGTCCCAGACGAATCCCGCGATGGCGTTGACGTTGGAGTCTTTGGGGAGGCCTGTCCTGGCTTTTGGTCGTCGAAGGAACTTGGAGCCCGGCAGGTGCGACAGTGCGAGCATGCATCGTTGTTTTTTCTGGTGCTTTCCGACTCAGTGTTGGCATTTTCAAGATGACTGCCGGATCTGGGAAAGGCTTGATTTGCAATATTCCTCTGCAGAACAGGAGACGAGTGCGAGTCTGAGGCTCGAGCGGTTGGTAGAATGTTCGTCTGCTGGTTGGAAGAAGCGACGCGTCTAGGCATCGGCCGGACCATGGGTCTAGGCATATGGCTGGACGTATGCCTGGGATTGTTCGTGCTGGCTGGTAGATTGGAAGCCGGAACTGAGTTTTGGTGGAAGCTTGGGATAGCCCATTGTGGGTCAGACAAAGATTGACTATCCCAATACTCATTTCTCGAAACAGCGGGGAGTGTTGGCGGCCCGGACGCAAGCGATCCGAGTGGTTGCATGTTAGTAGGCTGGTATGAATTGTTCATGGCAGGACGTCCCATGTGAGGAGTCATAGACCGGTTCATTCCCACAGAGCCAGCCTGTGCAGGCTGTGCCATCGTGGTAGAGACTGTGTGATCCGGAGGCAGCATGTCCTGGGCGTTGAAAGCATCAAAGGCGTCGTATCCCTCTTGAGGCTGGTTGGGTCGGGATAAATTGTGCCGATCCTCCTGCCCGTTGAAGGAGAGCGAAGGACTCGGATAGTCGCTGGTCCCCGGAGCCCCTTCCATTGTATAGGAAGATGTAAACGATGGTGGAATAATGATCTCATGGGATACAGGTTCACGTTGTTGGCGAAGTTTGTCTCCTTGGGTGGAGTATTCAGCAACTGCATGGAGTCTGGGACTAGACCTAGAGACAGTGGGATACTCACTGTGTCTCCGCTGTGACAGTCTGTTCTGAACTCGCTTGCGGACTTCTGGTTGATTGATCCGCTCCCATTCCTCATTCCCAACGGCGTCTTCCATTTCCGCATATGATGACAACATGATGGGCGTTGTCAATAAAGCAGTACGCGCAGCAGCCTCTCGACGGAGGAGCAGTCAGCAATAAAGGTACCTGAGATAGAGGACCATGCTCGACCTGTGACATGGCGAAACACTAAGGCAAGTCGTTCCGGGCAAGGGAGCTACTCACCGCCATTTCTTCAACGGCTGGCCTGAAACCTGAATCCCACGGGCGGCTAAGTGTACGTATAATACGACGGGCTACGGGACGGTCCAAGGGAATCGACTCACGTATCATGGTCGGATCGAATACTGTAATAGGTAGGGACATTGCCTGGGGAAAGCTGGTACCATACGAAGACCGACGTCGAAGAGTGAGTGTTGGCTTCACATCCATCGGAGTTCGGGGAAGCCTTTGATGGTCAATGGATTACGTGCATTAACGATACGGAGTAAGCTGGGCGGGATTGGCTAAGGGAAAGCTGAAAGCTGAAAGCTGTGGTCGACGAAGGCCAAATTTACAAGATGGTATATTCCTTTCAACGGTTGGCTGTTTTAATTTATAATACCATCGTATTGTACCTTAATTAGTACTTTACAGTGAGGCTGGCCTTGCCGATTACCGACCATCCCTGTTCCCTGTTTTTTCATGATCCATAAACCTACAGTACCATCTTACCTACGTACCGCTAAGACGTAAGCGAAAGTTATCTACTTTGTACAGATCGAGAAATTGTGCTGGGTCATCAGCGGCGTGGATACATCAATATGACAGACTAGGCCGCCAGGGTTCAATAATACGATCCGTCCCCTGTCCCCGCTACCGTTGACGTGGGTGCCGCAGTAAGCTTATAAACTTGAAAGGACAGTATGATTACTGTGAACAACGGCAGTCTATGTTGTACTCGCTTAGCTCAACCAATGACCAACAGCTGAAAGCGAGGGATTGAGCGGGAAGGTAGACCCTGCGCAAGCGTTCATTGGTGATTGCTTGATGCAGCTGCATGTTACGCTGTTGGTACTAGCACCAGAACCGGGAACACCACGATACCCACCCACCCATAAAACCACCAGCAAGGTTTGCGGGTAATGAAGTACCAATCGGAAGACCCGATCCACAAGGGCAATGACAGTTTACACGTGTTAGACCCCCCACCGCTACCACCCTGCTGCCTGCACAGTTCGCATTCTATCGACATCTGACGAATCGCCATGGCCGAACAATGTTGGAGACCGTGTGGGAGGAGTCGTCGAAGGAATGAAGGCATTGTGTCGGAGGCTAGCACCTGATCATGCAGTGCATGTACGCCCCAGTCCTACATTGCGCGTAATTCCTACGGCTGCTGGATTGGCTGATAGCTACACCGTGGTATTCCAAATTTGGTGCCTGCTGCCGAGGCGATCGGACCCGTGCTCAACGTGGGACGCTGTCTGATAGAATCCTCCCTTACCAAAAGGTCCAGTCACGAGACTGGGCATCGAATTACTGATCAAGGACCTATGGGTCCAGTTGCAGAGTTGAGAATCTGGAATCCTCCCTGACTAAAAGGTCCAGTCACGAGATGGGCATCGATACTGATCAAGGACCTATGGGTCCAGTTGCAGAGTTGAGAATATAGAATCCTCCCTTACCAAAAGGTCCAGTCACGAGACTGGGCATCGAATTACTGATCAAGGACCTATGGGTCCAGTTGCAGAGTTGAGAATCTCGCAATGAGCACCCTTGACCGATGAATGCCGGACCAATCGCATCACTAGCGTAGCATAGGACTCAGCCTCTTTCGATTTGTGGCCCAGCAAGATTCTCTCCTCTCCGGTAGATAGTACCTAGTTCAAGTAATTGCGTAACGGAAAGAATCCTGGACACGCAGTCTGCATAGATATGGGACAGCTTACTAGCAACAGGCTATGGGGGATTAAGGACGCTCAGAGAGCAGATCAACAAGAAACCAAACGAACCGACCTGTAACGATAGCTGCCTCAGGCACTCAGCAACCCTCTCATATCCGAACCGACAGCACACGCGGCACAAGTGGACATGCCAATCACACAGCAAGAAACAGGCCCGAATGGAGGCCCGAACAAGCGTGTCCTCGTACCCCAGCGCTAAAAATACTCCCACGTCTACGCGGCATAGATAGACCTGGAATGAAAAAAAAATTAGCTGCACACACGGGAGTGGATGGGTGGGTGGGTGGGGGAGAAGAATGCTACGGCGTGGATAAGAGACGAGATTGGGATCGAGAGCCAGCTGCTGGTTTTAGACAGGGTTGTTGGGTACCGTATGTAGGTAGGTAGCTCGTACTGGACACTACCTACCCAGTTCTCCCGCCGTTGACACGGACTCCGAACCATCATATGCGAACACCAACCAACCCCCAGTCCTTTGACGGTGGCGATCCCACGCGGTTCGAAAAAGACCAATGTGCGCGGAAAGTTTTTATTGGAAATGGTGTGCATTCAATGGTCTCACATCGTGTAGAATAGTTGTTCATATTGTCATGTTCTATGAAGAAGTAGGTATGTAGGAAGGATGGAGGTGACTGGGTACCTATCTACTCTATGGTGGGAAGCCACGCTAAGGCTATTTGCCATTATGAGAAGTAGTCACAACACCTATTTGGAACTTGGTACTGTGTGGACATGCTGGCCTCCTATTGGCTGATTCCAACAGTTTTGGTCCCGTATCCCATCGCCTTATCCTTATCACAGGACAAGGTTCGAAACGGCAAGATTGATTTTCTATTACAGGATTTTAAAGATCTGCTCATGAAGGATAATGGCGACATGGAGTATTTCGTTGCGAAAAGCAGGCGATATGAAGGAACACTAAAATACAACGAGGGTCTTTTTCGATGTTCGGTCGGAAGCCCTGAATCTGAACCCCCCCTGCCAGACGATGGGATAGCGTAAGAATACAAACGAGTGACCTTGTGGCTAACAAGCCATGCTACCATGCATCAACATCTCCCCACAACATCCATCATCAACCCCTCCCCTCCCCTCCCCCTTTCCCCACCCCATCTCCTGCCCCCCCCCCCCTCAAGGCCACTTCTGCGGGATCGGCTTGTCATGGCTAAACACATCCTTCGGATCCCACAGATTCTTCAACGCGACCAGCCTCGGCAACTTCTCCGCCCCGAACGTGTAGATCGGATCCTCGTCCCCGTGCGCATAGCTGACGTAGATTTCCATCTGGGGGAGCCCGTTCGTCTTGACGAATTCGCTCCGCAGGTCCACCGCCAGCGCGTTCGCGTACGCGCCCGCGGGGCTCGTCGCGCTGCCCGGGAAGGCCATTTCGAACATGACCTGCGCGTTGACGGCCCTCCAGGGATAAGCGGTGGCGTCGTCCGGGACGGCGAGGACGGCTTGGGTGGGGAAGAATTCGATCTCCAAAACGGAACCTTGCGTTTCCGGGTACTTGGCGTACATGGCGCCGTATTTGTCGAAGGCGTCAATGAAGGTGGGTGCGGAGAGGTTTTTGACTCCGGTCGCGAAGCCGGAGTGCGGTTTTCCTTTGGCGCAGACGCTGGCGTCGAGGGCGAAACCGGCGGTTTCGAGGAGACTGCTCCAGGTGAGGGTGTGGACAACTTGGACGACGGGTTTGAGGTCGAGGAATGGTTTGATGAGGGTCATAAAGGTAGCCATGGGGCCCGGGTAGACGGCATTAAGGATGATTTCCTGCTGTTAAACGGTTAGCAGATGGATTTTGAAAATCTAAACAAGGGAAAGGTGAGGGGAATGACTTACAACGCCAGCAGTGGAATTGTAAGCAACGTAACTGATAAGGGAGAGCTCCGGCGGAAGCGTTCCTGAAAGAGATGCTAAAGTATTGAAATATGACACATTTTGAGGAGCCAAGAAGATCATATCCGCATCCTGGACTACACCACCGTTGGTAAGGTCGTGAACCTGGTAAGTAGCGCTCGTGACAACACCGAAATTCATGCCGGCTCCGCGGAAACCCCAGAAAAGGTCGGAGTTTTGGGTCGCGGATGCCGTGACGAGATTGCCAGCAGCCGTGACCAAATCAACACTGAGCAAGCTGTCAATGATCAAGCCGTGGATACCTTGGTAGCGGCCCACGCCAGCTCCCATGGTTCCACCGACGAAGCCAACACACCCGCATGAGCCAGTTGCTTTGTTTTATTCAGTACGGTATCCAGTATAAAGAGGATGCAGAGCTCTTACGGATTTCTTTACCCGCAGCGTACAGTGGGGCAACGACTTCGATGAATGTGATGGCACCAGTGATTGTCATGGTACTTGCGGCTTTGTCTACATTGACAGACTTGAGCCCTCCCATGTCGAGCTCAAGACCATTCTGGATTTTGTTGAGGTTGATACTGAACGAGTGGCCCCCACCGGTCGTGAGAAACGGAATATTGTTGGCAGTGGCAATTTTGACCTAGAGGCCAGCAAATATTAGCGAACACATGCCCGAAGCAGCACCAGGTGATATGGGACGGAGCGGTACTTACGACGGTGATCACGTCTTTAACACATGCAGGCTTGACTGATGCAAAGTAGGTCGGTTCCTCGTATGTGCTCCATCTTTGTGTGGTGAGGTTGGCATAATTTGCTTGGCCCGGGAAGAATACTTGAGTACCGGAGCACCATGCATGCTGTGGCTGTGATAGCAACGATTTGAGATCTGGCGTTGCCCTCTCAGCCAAAGCATAGGAAACACTTCCAGCTAGAGCAGAAGTGCCGAGGCTGATGAGCACAGCTAAGTTGGCCAACATATTTCTGGAATTGAAATTAAGATAGGAGACGTTTGATAATATGAATGACCTGAAAGGGTCTTCAAAGAAAGACGAAGCCGCAGTTGCCGAAAGAGTGCTGACAAGTAGGCAATGCTGATAGAAAAACGAACTCAAGATATTCGGATTCCTTACTCAGATTTATATCCCGAGCCTTTTGAGATCTCCGCTTGGCACCGCGTGGCATCACGTGTAAGGCAGGGAGCGCGGGAATTGAGATCTCCATTCTTGTACCGTATTCGTCTTCCACTGCTCATCTTCGGGATTCCAGAATGGGCCATGATAGCCTGATTAGAGAGGGGAGCTGGACAGCTGACAAGCTGAGAGAAGCAAGCGGCACAGGCAGTGTGACAGCAAAAACAAACAACGCCAAACAAAACACATCGGTATTGAAATGGTTGGAACTATGGAAGGCCAATTTGCCACTAATCGCAAACGCAGGCGTGGACAAGCGAATGGGTGTGTAGTAGATGAGACGAAACTGAGGATGATGGAATAAATAAGCAGGACTTAGAACTGAGCCGCAATGAGGCGGATGGCTAAGCTGATTTTGGGGATGATATTCCAACGAGATCCACTTCCATTGTTTGATCAGGGCTACGTGGGAATCTAGCGAGCCGCCAGGCAGCCGTGGTCTCGGGGTGAGGGAGATTTGGGTGGCCAAGTAGTGACCCAACCGCAGGAATTGTCGGTGACCGAGAATTCGAGGAGTTTCAAGTGGCGAGAAGAGCTTTGTGGATGAGGAAAAGTTAGCGAGGGCAGCTACAGCAGGAGACGAGGCTTTGCTTTTAACATCTAAATTCACAAATCGTCGAATTCACACGGAACTTTTTCGGGTACCTACCTACACGCACGTTAATGCAGGGTCCACGTGGACATCCATGGAAATCGAATTCGTTAGCTCGCTTGCTCTTACTTTGCCTGAACTTGCTTAAGCGTGGTATGCCATTTTCCCCGTAAGCAATGAATGCCACGTTCCGTCTTCTTTGCGCGTGTACATGAAGCACAGTCACCCATTGACTTATCCTCGGCATACATTGCAAGATGCAAAGAAAGGCGTGAGGATCGGGGATTGGTTGGCAAGCGTTCCCGAATGTGATCGTGGTCCAACTAGGTAGCTAGGATTCTCTGGCTGCTGCTGAAGGACCTTCCTATTTGAAAGTTGACGTTGCAGTGATAGTAAGGTGCTTGTATTCAGTAGAGGGTAGGGTGAAGTACCGTAGGTAGTATCGAGGTATCTACTACCTTACCGAGCTTACCTAGCCAAGGAGTGCAGGAAGCCACGCGGGTTCCAGAACTCGTCGTACACCCTAGCGCCTAATTTGGACTAGGGTGTACGACGAATTCTGGAACCCGCGTGGAAGCTAACAAGACGCACTAATCTAGCGTGATGCTAAGCTAAGCCCCCCACAGCTGCGCCAGGGCTGAGCATAGAGTAGGAGTGGGGACACGTCCGGAGTAGGTATGCAAAGCGGCGTCGATAAGGTCACATGGCATGCGTATCTTTGTGCCTTTGCCAACAATTAGGTAACATCTTAGCAACTCTCTAGATAGCGTTCTACAAAAATCATCTTCAGGCAACGCCCATAGCTATTCTAACTCGCTATCTTCTCCTCAACCTTGGATTCTCGCGCTTGGATATTGATCCACATGTCCCAATGGACCAGTAGAGCCAGGTTATCCGCCCTCCACACATTGTTGTTGTCGTAGATGCTCGGTTTGAAGACTCGGAAAAACTGTCGGGATGGATTAGCCAACGCCACGGAAGGAGCAGGGTAGACAATGTTTACTTGACTCATGAGCTTGTACGTCTCCATCAGCGCGATGTTCTTGCCAAGACAGATTCTCGTCCCGTAGCCCCAGGTAAGGATATGCTTCTCCATATGCACGGCTCTCGCCTCATCCTCCAGCCATCGCTCAGGGCGAAACACATCAGCGTCTTCGCCGAACATTTTCTTGTCTCGCTGGATCACGTATGGGTTGGCACCGATCTCAGCCCCGGCAGGTGCATGCACGCCATATAAGTCCATCCCGCCTTCGGACACATATCTGGGGATGATCATTGGGGTGGAAGGGTAGAATCGAGTAACCTCCAAATGGCATGCTTTGAAGTAAGGCATCTGTTTGACCTGCTCGAAGAGTGGAACTGGTTGGTTGAGCAAGCCACGTCGGTCGAAATCGTCGATTTCAGCAACGAGCTTCTCGTAGACTCCTGGTGTTTGCACGACGTATCGGACGAAGCCACAGAAGAAAGCAGCTGTGGTGTCAGATGCAGCAACCATGAGCACAAAGCATTCTGTCTTCACTTCATCGACCGTGATTGGGGTACCATCGGCATTCTTGGAGGCGAGTATGTTGTCAAGAAAGTCACCTCTTTGAGAGGCTTTGGGGTCTTCAAGTCGCTGTTCGAGAAGCTTGTCTCTAAACTACGTTGGCTCAGCCTTCGGAACCAAAAATTAGCTGACAGGATAGAAAGCTTGGTCTCACCGCCATAATTTTCCCCGTCCCACTACCATCTCCAGGTTTGGGCATGGCAAAGCGGCGGGTGAGTGGATTCTCGAGGAGTGGTCTTGCAAGCCATGGCAGCGCGCCAACGACAGCGGCGAACGGCGCCATGTCATGGAAGTTGCCGATCAGGTCCTCAATGTCACGCCCCTCTTTCACGAAGCCCAAAGGTTCGCCAAATGAGAGCTGGCAAATAGTGTCATACGCAAACCATCTTCATTTATCAGTAGACTGCTGCCTGAGGGATTTGGAGAACGCTAGACATACTGGGACCACTGCGCGAAATCCATCTTCTCGCCTGTCTGGGCAAATTTTTCGTTCAACACAGAGGTCCACTGGACGACTCGAGCATCAATCTGCCCCTCAAGAGGCTTCAGATTGGTAAGTGTGAACTTGATGTATTTAGCCATTAATATAGCCCATGATATCGAAGGATGAAGAAGCAAGCATCTGTGGTAGGATACCAATTGATGAAACCTACCGAGTTCGCAACACGCTTTCTCTTTGCAGCATGGTCTTCATGCTTGATGGTCTGGAATGGAGGAGCCAGTTCGCCCAACACGCCCGTTGTATAGACGTCAGTCTTGTCCACCCGCCGGTGATAGATTTGGGGTAGAAGCAGCGGATCGTTCACGGCCAGCAAGTTGGGCGCGGCTCTCACCACCGGCCCATATTTTTCATGGTATTTGAGACCCAGAGTGTGAGCTTGCTTTGTATGCAGTATCCACAACTTGAAAAAGTCGGAGACGGAGCCCCAAAAGGGGCCTGGAAAATGCCGTAGAGGATGGAAATATCTGTTGTAGATGCCACGATATAGACCATAAAAGACAGCGAGGCCAAGGCATAGCCATAAACCTCGAAGAAAAAGCATCATATTGGTTTCGGGCATAGTCAGAGCCATGTTCAACAGCACAGTATACGGAGAGCAAGGTATTCAGACACGGCACCTTTCTCGACCCAATGCTGGATACAATATGATCCTGCATGGGCTTCGCTGTACCTGTTCGCCCGCCATTGGATACCAATGATCTAGATTACTAAGGCTCATAGCATGCTCTGCCCATGGCACCATCTCTCTTTCCCGGCTACTCAACCATGGTCAGGTTGTAAAATCAGCGCTCTGAGCGCTGATGCATGTTGGGTCAGAATCACCGATTTAGCTTTCTCTCAGGGAGACTTGGCCAAGCCGACGACTACGGTCAAACATAGCACCAGTGACTGCATGAACTACTCGTAAAAGATAGACTGATGTTGGAGCACCCATTGTTGCTCGGTTTACCGGATTCCGATGGTAATTTGGCGCAGCAGTCAGCACGATAGCTGCTTTGGAGCTTGTCACGATGCGAAATTTACTAGGTTCGAGCCTTGAACACGCCAGTACCTAGAATAGTGATTCCGCGCCTCTGACTAGCGGTCAGCTTTGCAGGACTACTCGTAGGGTGGAGTACCTTAGTGCTGCAACCTAGAGAATCTGGATCACTGGCTTAGCGGTGAAAATCCTGATGGAGCTGAAGGAGCGTGGGATGCATTATTGCAGGCGATCCTAGCAGTTTCGGAAAGGAAATTAAGGTAAGTCTTAGAGCGGTATTTCAAACCCGAAGCTAAGATCGGTTCTCGGTATCTTACCATTCAATCAGCTCTAAAATTAAGCTTCATTTTCAACTTATGCAATCCTTTTCACACCAAAGGACTGTTTCTTACCAACTCCGCTGCCGCTGCTAAGCATTCCCTTTTCATGCACTCTTCTGACATCTAACCTTTGCACTCGCGTTTGACTGTCTTCGTTGTTCATCTTTTCGTCCTGTGGTTTGTCCACGATAGCAGCATGCCGGCAAGGGCCAGCAGGATGTTGGTTGGTCACATCAATCTATCCGTGCATCCGAGTCGGCCTTCAAGTCATCCAGGCATCCTCTGCAGCAGTGATTGGATAAAAGAGTACTCCTAGACCACCCTACTAGCGTGTTGCAACGGGAGCCTAGGAATACTTGCAGGCTTCTCTTCTTTACCTTTGGTTTGATCTTATGCAGGGTCTCGGAGGAGCAATGACGAACGAGATGTCCTCTTCTGCTCAATATACTCACTTCATTCTCCATCCCCACCCATTCCGCTGAACATTCACCCCCAATTCTGCCGCCAAGATGAGCGAGACACTCAAATTCCTGTACCGCCAGTTCTTCCTCACTCCCCCCAAAGCCAACGTGGAGAAAAGCAATCTACGCGGCCAAACCGGCATCGTCACCGGCGCCAACATCGGTCTCGGTTTCGAAGCTTCCCGCCAACTCCTCGAACTTGGCCTGAGCCACCTGATCCTCGCAGTCCGGAGCAAGGAAAAAGGTAACAATGCCCGCATCGAACTCGCCCGCGAGGCTCCTGGGGCCAAGATCGAAGTCTGGGACCTCAACATGAGCAACTATGAGAGTATCAGCCAATTCACACAGAGGTGCGCTACGCTTCCGAGACTTGATTTTGCCATTTTGAACGCCGGAATCTTCAAACCGGAGCTGGAAATCAACAAGGTGACCGGCCACGAAGAAGTCGTGCAAGTCAACTATCTCTCGACCGCTCTCCTCGCCATCCAACTCCTCCCCGTCATGGACAAGAAAAATAGCACCCGCTCCAGGCCTGGCACCATCACCATCGTCGGTTCCGAAACCGCCGAATGGGCCATGTTCAAAGAGCAGAAGCAAGACCCCATCTTCCCTGCCTTCAACAATCCCAAGAACTTCGACATGCAAGATCGATACTACACCTCCAAGTTGTTGCAAGAGATCCTCCTGATCGAAATGTGCCGTACCCTTCCGAGTTCCCGGGGAATTGTCAACGTCGTCAACCCGGGCTTTTGCTACGGTTCGGGACTGCACGCAGAGGTTACGACGCGATACCGAGCTCTCGGTATCGTCTTTACGGCCATCAAGCGTATGATCGGCCGATCGACGTCCGTTGGGGCGCGGACGCTCGTGGATGCGGCAGTTGCGCAGGGACCGGCGTCTCATGGGCAGTATCTCAGCGATTGTGCTCGTTACCAGTAAATCCCCACGCCTTACTGATCATAGACATTGCTGATTTGATGACTCAGCTTTCCCCCACAGCTCTCGGGACAGAAAGGGGACGCCTTGTCCAAGAGGGTGTGGAATGAGACTTTGAAGGAACTCTCATTTGCCAATGTCGAGGGTATCCTAGGTAGCATGAAGGAGAAGGAGATGACGGGGAAGAGCAAGGGAGACTACCTGAGATGAGGCCATGCGCACAGGTTGGTTTCCACTTGGCGAAAAGCGTCATCATATCTCAAATACTTGCCATGCCAATACACAGCCAACCATGTCTTTTGCTTTCCGCTGCCTTTCTTGTGATTGCCGTGCTTCCAAACTTGATTTATCTTCTCCAACGAGCGAATTCGAATGACACTCGAGCAGAATATCACGTGAGTATTCCAAAGTCGTATGCAGCTTCCGGGCGCACAACCGAGCTCCGAGTTGGTAAGAAAACCCGCAGCAAAAAATGCTCAGAGATTTCCACTCCGACGCATCCCCGTCCACGATCCCACATTCTCATCCAAAATGCACCTCCCCACTCCCATCATCAACTCCCAACCCTTCCCCAACCCCGTGCGCCCCATCCCCGACCCCGCCAAGCGTAAGTAATTCCAATCACGCATGCCACATCGCGACGCCATACACCATACTCCGCTCACCCTCATCCATCCATACACAAACTCCCCATCCGCTCAGAGATCCCCCGCAGCACCATCTCCGCTTTCCCTCCTTTCCGACCGCGATCGCGACAGCCGGACAAAAACCGTCAGGACCGTATCTACAAACGACGCCTATCTTTCCTTCTTCCTTCTTCCTTCTTCCCTCTCCCATCCCCCCCCCATCTCCAGCACCTCCACCCCCCCCTCTCCCATCCCCTCCCCCCCCCCCCCAAAACCCCCCCCCCCAATCACCCATCCCAAACCCCCCTTCCGCTAAACCCCCACACGAGCCCCAAATACAGCACCGCCACGCAGCGCGGCCCCGCCAGCCGCGCGTGCAGCAGATATGCGGCCGCGAGGAGGAGGACGGAAAAGGCCAGGGCGTGGGCGAGGAGGAGGGCGCGGTGGGTTGGGGTTGGGGATGGGGTCCTCGTCCCCCCGCCTCTGCCTCTTCCTCTTCCTCTGCTGCTGCGGCTTCTTGTCCGATAACGGTGGGGTTTGCGCGGGGGAGGGGGTCGGTCTGCTGGATCTGGGGGTGGGCGGCGGCGAGGGCGAAGCGGACGGTTTTGGGTTTGGGGGTTTTTTGGAGCCTTTCGGCGACGGTGGTGTTTTTGTTGGCCATCGTCGTCGTCGTCGTCGTCGTCGTGGTGGGTTGTCGGTGGCGGAGTCGATGATGCGCATACGTGTACGTATACGTATACGTGGGAATAGGTAGTAACACTTTGACAAACCTACCACACGACAACGTACGGTACATTCTCGCTCGCGTTACCCATTCGCCACGGCTGCCTGTCCGAAGTATGATGAGTCATTCGATTGATCGATCGCGGCGGTGTAAATCGACCACCCCCCCCCCCCCCCCCCAGATTCTCAAAGCTGACCCGGCCCCAAAATGACCGTAGACGTTTCGAAGTAGGTAGGATGTATGTACGTCTGACATCCGCGTGTCAAGTGGAACGATGCAGGAGGGTGACTACCTTACCCGCCTCGGATGCGTCTCACTAATGCATCTTACGTGCACACTTTTTCGTCTCACTAATGCATCTGACGTGCACAGTTTTGCGTCTCACTAATGCATCTTACGTGCACACTTTTTGCCTCTGACATGCCCCGCATTTTGTGGCCCGGCTGACTGCATCTCTGCTCCTGCCGGAACGTTGCATGCGTTATCTTGCAGGCTGCGGATGCGACTGGGAAATGACTGATATGTTGTCAAGCGATGCAGTCGGAACTGTTGGGATGGCGGCGGCCATCCTACAGGATTCGGCACCGCCCTCCCATCTTACGCCTGTTAATCCCACATGAAGGTTTTTCTCGACACGGTGACACGTGGGGCCACGACTCCTGCCCATGTGGCGTTACCATTAACAGGCTTCACTTCCTTACGCGGTCATTACAATGGTCACGTGATATTAATCTTTTCAGATTTGCAAAGGAAGACATTTTCAGCCGGTGCTAACAGCACAATAAATATCATTAAAATGATAAGATACACGCCAATAAATGTTTCTGTATCTCAGTACCTGGATCAAAGCGCGTGTAATACTGAATAGCTGGATCCTTGCAAGTGTTTCATGCGCTCGTGGGGAATCTTTGGATTGTCCATGCTCAAGCCATTCTGCGCTTGCCGTGGATGTGTTCATTGGGATCACTCGCCTGGGCAAATATCGAGCAGATTTGTCGATCGTAAGAGAAAATGGTGTCGTCCTGCCAGCCCACTAAAGCCTAAAGCTCAGTCGTAATGCCTGGTTGAATCTTCTCGAGCTTCTCCGAGATCTCGGCCCAGAGTTTCTTTTGTGTGGATATACCTTCGGGGCTGGTGACGAACTTTGATTGGCCGTTACTGTAGAGCAATTAGCCTTTTGCATCCCAAGTGACTCTCTACATATATAATTACTTAGGAATCTTGCTGCCGCTGATAAACACCCCATGTGACTCAGGTCCTACAGTCGTTGCATGGACAAGTGTCCGGCTACCTTCCTCAGCTGACCACGCCATAGCAGCTCTCATGACTTTCATTGCGTTGCCGGTGCTGCCTGTCAGACTACGCGTTAAGTCCGTGTAGCAGAGCCCAGGATTAACGGTGTTGATGATGACATAAGGTTTGGCGTTGGCAGTCTTCTCTGCCATCGATCGGACCGCGAAAAGAGACATGAGCTTGGTGACTTGATACCTGCGTTGTGAACCCATAATTAGCCCACATAAATTGTCCAACGACAGCAACAGAGCAAGGGGACATTCTTACCGATCTGACATGCGAGCCTTTTTCGGATCGTTGCAGGCCGCGAGAATTCCGGGTTCCTTTCGCTCAGGAAATTTGGTGTAGGCATGTACACCCGAGCCAACAATGCTGATGATAGGTGTAGTACCCCGGTTGTTTGCGGCGGACGTACGTAGCGCTGGCAATACGAGTAATGCGAGAAGCACGGTGCTGATGACATTGACCGTAACCTGACTCTCGTTGTCCTCGAAGAGCTCGAACTTCTCGGTAGTGATTCCCGCATTCAAGACCACAGCATCAACGCGGTCCAACGTTGCGACTTTGGCGGCGAATTGTTTGCACGAGGCATAGTTGGAGTAGTCGAGCGGCCAGACATCAATGACATTGGTAGCAACCTTGGAATCCCGCTCGATTTCTGCTTTGGCGGCTTCGCCTTTTGAAGTGGATCGCACGGCGATGATGACTTTTGCGGCATGTAGCTTCACAAAATGCTTGACAGCCTCCTTTCCAAGACCGACATTGGCACCGGTGACGATAATGGTCTTGCCTGAGAAGTCGGCGGTGGGGACCGGAGGCCTGGTGAAGAATTGGTTGTGAAGTTCGTCGAGAAGGGGTCCCATGGCGAGAAGGTGTTGAGAGACGGGCAAGGAGATTAGTGTGATTTACTTTGGATTCTATGTGGTGATCAGTATGTGAGGCCAGTGGTGAAGTGAATACACTTACATGGTAGATAACACTCTCATTGAAAGGCAATGAATAATATGATGGAGAGGTGGTTGTCAGTATGTCAAGTAAAGGAGGTTGGAGCAAAATGGATGTGAGAGTGAGAGTGAGAATGAGAATGAGTGCAGCTTGAGAAACAAGAGCAAAAAAAGGTGGGTTGATAGCCTTGGCAAAGCGGCAGCTTGCGAGAAGTGCAAGTTGAAAGAAGCCAATGACAATGTTGACAGAAGTCCCTGCATGGGAAGCTACGGCCGGACATTACCCCGACTTCTAGGTAGCCGTATCATGCATTCCGCGTAATCTTTAGACATCTGTAGAGAGTACTGACTTTGATATGGACATGATTACATTTGAATTTGAGGCCCATCATCATCATCATCATCATCATCATCATCAGAAGAAGAAGAATTTACGTGGTGGATTTATGTTGTTGTACTTGGGATGGCCCTACCTTACCGTTAGGAAGCCTTATTCTTACTCTAGATTGTGGTGTCGTAACATCGGTCGCGCTAAACAAGCGTTTCTCATAACCATCTGTATCAATACAGAGCCTGTTTGGAATTTTTATCCGAAGCTCGGCTGGAAGAACATCGCCTCTACGAGTAAAGGTCAATGCACAGCACCTGCGCGCGTAGACTCTACGAGCATCGCCGAGAAGACCAGGAGAAGCTCCGAGTCACATGCTCATCCATGCGACACTGCACCGTCTAAGCACTCTGGCCCAATTGGTTCATGGAATCATGAACTCGATGTACAAATGATTTCTGTAGCCAATCAACATTTTCACCTACACCCAAACATGCTCGCCTCTCATACAAGTTTTTGCAGCCGTTTCTATCGTAATGTATATTTACCGCCATCAAGCTTTATCCCGGCAGGCACTCCAGTCTCTCTTCACCGCCTGGGCTTTCTGCTCCAGCAAAAACACGAGCTTTCCCCACGCCGCTACCTGAGAATTGTCCTGGTATACTTGTTGCAGCGTCATCTTCGCCACCATCTCCTTGAATCCTGCAACAAGTGACTCTACCTTCCGGATCTGCATCCACCACACCTCCCGCTTTAGATTGCATTCATCTTCTCCTTCGATCTCATATATACCAACGCTGAATTTGGGCGACCGGATTGGGGTCATCGCACCTGTCATGATGAGTGACGGGGCATTTTGATCGTTGTCGCGTCCTGCTTGAGCGCCGTTGCGCTCGAAAAAGGAGATGATGCGGGCGATAAGCATGCTGATGGTCAAGATGGACGTGTAATCTTTGCCGGGACAGGTACAAGCTAGGACGCCAGTGCAGAGTTTAATCGCTTTCTGGAACTGTACAAGCTCGACATCGAATGTGGAACATTCGTTGTCGAGAAGCAGTACCGGCAGTAAGGAGAGCTGCGTGATAATAATCTCGTTGCAGCGGCAGGTGTCTACCATTGAGGAGCTATCATTTTGGAGGTTCGACGTGCTGCAGGAAACGCACTGGGTGTTCGATTGCGTGTAGGAGGGAGGTTGTTCGGCTATGCTGTCGTCGCGGCTACAGGATCCGAGCTCTGCATCGGAGGCGTTGTCAAAAAGACCGGGTCCGTGGTGTTGGACACTCGACATGTGACCTTCATCTCTTCCGAACATGAATTGGTAATGATCATAATTGGCGGGCGACCCTTGCGACGTTGCGGATTGGTTGGGCATGAAAAGATTGTTGTCAAATGTCCAATCTTTCTGCAATTGCTGCCCGTTGAGTAAGTCGGAAGAATCCGCGCTAGACGGTGGGAACAATTGGAGAAATTCTCTCGGATCTATGGTGCTCGAGGAGCTTGAAGGTGTCTCGATACCCGTCGTCGAGGTAGGCGTTGCCGGCGGCCTGGCCACGGTGGCGTTCTTGCCACCTCCGTCTGCCTTGGTGGACCCCTCTCCGCTATGCTTGCCGGATCTCTTCGATACGCCATAGACGCAGCGGCGGTTTTGTCCCTTCAAACATCGAGCACAACTCGGTCTCGTCTGGGAGCAGCGAACCTTTGCTTCGTTGCAGGAGTCACACGATGCCCGGTACTTTGGTACTTTTTCTCCCCCGTTAATCTGCATGCGAGAAGCGTCCGCCATGGTCCAGACGGTATGTATCTCCCACCTGAACTCCGTCGTACTGAGGGCCAGAGAAAGCCAAGTCTACATTGGGTCGCAAGGTCAACCAAGCTGCGGGAAATTGATCAATCCGTGCATGAGTGATAGGCATCATGTATAACGCCACCCTTTCATTTCTGCCTTCGGGTACGTTTCGTATTCAAGTACGGTGGTCGATCATTCGCTTTGTTTACGATTTCCAGAGCAGGGTAAGAGACTAGACTCCTAGTGGATAAGGGTTCATGCCTAGTGAGCACGTTCGCTTATCCGTATAGCTGGGTCGAGAGAGCTGACATCCATGATCCTGAAGTAATGCCACCGACGATGGCCTTGAAGGAAGCGTGCAGAATCACCAGGCTACAAAACGCGTACGGCGTTGTTGACCAACATTAGCCGGGCCGTTTTCTATTAATTAGCGGGAGGCCGGACGGCCGGTATCAGATCCCCCACGCTAAATAAGCATGCTTGATTGCTTGGGCGGTACGAGTAAGGTAGTGCAAGCTCCGGAGGTCCCCGAGGTCCTTAAGGTAATATGTTAAAAACTAAAAATACAGCTGAAAGCCAATTAGTGAGCTAAAGATCAATAACCCTGCATAAGGCCATGTCCCTGCATAATAATATTAATGTAGTCTCCGGGGGCTGGGTGACCCTGGAATTTGCTTCTCTGATTCGTCCAAGGTCGAACTGTCACCTCTCCGACTGCAACCCTGACCATTCTCAGCCCGCCTTACTACTCCTGCGTCGATCAAATCTTCATACAAATCCAATAACTCCTGTGATTGCAGGCCTGCAGTAGCTCTCTCTCTCTCTGATTCTGCCTAGTCTGTTCCTTATCGACCGATGTAACATACAGTATTTGGGGGGTAAAAGGGTAACTCCCAGTGCCGAGGGTAGTGTGCTCCAGGCTAAAATGAGAGGTGCCGATCCACCCTCACCCGAGAAGACCTTTTCGCCTCGGTTCTGGGAATACGGATACGCCATCCAGGGCTGAGATGTTGCTGCCTGGCCCAGCAAAATCTGATACAGGGCACTCGCGAACAACAGGCTCGCCCAGCCCTAAAGAGCAAGTACTAAGCAATCGTCGTCGTTGCCTACGCTGCCGCCGCGGTGACTTCGGAAACTCATTGCTAACATCTAGATACATGGTCTAAATGTTTCTTCTCTCAATGTTTGTCTAGGTATGATCATGTCTTGTTCAGAGGTGTATCAGTAGCCAGTCCACGCTTGCTCTCCTGGACCAGCCCGACCTTCGGCGTACAATGTTTCCACTCAAATCTTCTCCCTTCCTCAGCAGCCTCACCGCTGCACCCACCGTGAACCAAACATCCATAGGCACCATGCGTTCACTTCTCACAAGTCTAAACTCCACGGCACATCAGCATTCCTGATATACGGCGCCCAATCGACCTCCTTCCCTTTCTCTCCCTCCACCTCCAACTCAATCCTTCCATTCCCCAAGAAAGTCCACATGTTCGCATCCCTCCGCTTGATCCGATAGTCCTCCCATCGCGGCGTCCGCAGCGTCTTGAGCAAATGCATCATGCTGCCGCACCACAGCTGGATGCGCCCGTTGGGTTTGTTGTCTTTGTACCAAGAGCGGCAGTCCTCGGCCCAGACGGATTTGGCGTTGTGCCAAGTGTAGCTGTGCAGGAGGTACTGAGTCGTGGGCGATTGACAGACTTCGAGTGAGTGCAGGTTTTCTTCCGCGATTTTAACGCAGCATTGCATGGCGTATTCAACCTGGACTTCATGCTGCGGAGGTGTCAGTGGTTCGTTGTTGATGAGTGGAGGCTTTTGGGTTGTTTGGAAATGGATATCGTGGGAGACCTACTGATACTAGTACGCAACCTTGGCCCCAGTTGCCGGTTGGACCGCCGACGGTAAAATAGTTGGGGAACTTGGGACTTGCTACGCTAAGGTAGATATTGGGGTACTGCCTCGGTGTCAGAATGTTCTGCAGGTTCGATTTACCATTCCATCAAGGGCGACGTACTTCAGCCCACTCTTCCTGCAACACTACGCCGTCGACGCCAACCATCTTGCTGTATGATAGATCAGTAGTCACCCACAGATTCACATTGAGGAAAGAGCACTACTAACAAGTGTGGAGCGAACGCAACGTTAAAGCCAGTGGCACAAGCAATGATGTCGAATTCAAAGTCTTTACCGTCGGCAGTCACCAAACCGTTCTCTGTGAACCTCACGATTTCGTCGGATATGACAGACACATCTAGAGGAGCTCAGTAATGAAAAATGAACCATGAGGACGATGATAGCTTACGGTCTTTTGTCAGTGCTTCAAGGTATCCTTCACCAGGCTAGATTGATAGAGCTGTCAGCTCAGTAGAGCAGGGAATCTAAAGGCAGTTTGCCTACCGTCATCCTTCGGCAGCCAGGCGACCATTTTGGAATGAATTTTTCCTTCAGATCCTCATGACCGGGACCGATGCGAGCACGTATCATCTCAGCCATACCTTTCTTCGCCATAACGTTGAGATCACTTCCACGGAGAAAGACCGAAAATCCCTTCTGCAGGGCACCGTCAACCTCCTTCCGATACTTGAGGAACGCTTCCGGGTCCGTGCGCATCTTCTCTTTTTCTTCTTCGGTGTACTGATGCTTTCCGGCTGCCGCGGGCTTCGAGGTCTGTTCGGAGTCTGGGGGCAGGATCTTGACGTCCTGAGAGCCCATTTGGGGCGCAATCCATGTTGAGTTTCGCGCAAATACAGTAAGGGACTCGCAACCTGAGTGGCCCAGATATTAGTAAAAGACTAGGCTAGACTCCCAGTACCGCGATCAATTCTCTTACCTTCAGCTAGCTGCGGTACCACTTGGACCGAACTCGAGCCGCTGCCAATTACAGCCACACGCTTTCCTTTCCAGTCGATGTTGGAAGACCAGTTGGCAGTGTGAGCGAGAGTTCCCTTGTATGTTTCGATTCCTTCTATGACGGGCCCTAGGAAAAGGTAAGCATCACTCTTGGCTACAAGAGTCTGCTAAAACAACTCTCTATTCTTACACTTCCACTTGTTAATGGGTCCGGAACCATTGATCAGGACATTACACCAGTCGGTGAACTTCTCGCCACCCTTTTCCAGCTCCACCTTCCCTTGAGAGTTTATCAGTCTTTGCTCCAAATGTTATTTCGGCGACCCCAATCACATACACTCTCCTTTGTCTTCATGCCATACAGCCGACAAAACCTTTGTGTCGAATTTCATATAAGGTTGCAATTCATATTTCTCATAGAATTTCTGAAAATACGCCTGGATTTCACTTCCAAAAGCATAGAAGCCGCTCCATTCTGGATTTGGCTCGAATGTGAGTGTGTACGAGTGACTGGGTACGTCGCAGGCGCATCCTGGGTATCTGGCAGATATTGTGAGTCAAGGTCGTATCCATTTGATGCCGCGGCGGGCTGCTATTGAGTGGTGAACGGATGAAGCTATTTACCTATTCTCCCACCATGTCCCTCCAATAGTCGGATTTCTAGAGATACATTCAGCGCGAATTCGAGACGCAGGAAGCGTCAAGGAGGAAGGTAAGTAGCCTACTTCTCGTAACAGACCAGCTCATAATCTTTGAGATACTTCCTCGCTTTGTACGCTGTCAAAAGACCAGATACGCCAGCACCAACGTGAATGATTTTGACATGGTTTTGCTCCGAGTGGAACTGTTCGCGAACTTCATAGTCGGGAGGAATGCGGGTAAGCATGATGGCTCGTCGTCTTCGATTTCTTGCTTGATTCTGGATGCCAATTCTACAATGTGTATGCCGAACAATAAACGCAGAAATTATACAGAGGTATAGCGCAGAGAGTTCCTAAGTTGCAGAACAATATTCTTGAGTCGCCAGCGAAAGATCATCAGACCCAGGAAACGCGATAGGAGGAATGTTCACCCGACTGCATGAACCTAATGCCAGATGCTGTCATGTCATCCGCAATGCATAGCTGGGCTTCCAACAAGAAAAAAATAAGAAATAAGTGAAAAATTGATTAGCAGTGCAGCAAAGGCAGTGGGTGAAACGATCTGACTTGCATTGCACGCTATGGAGTGGCCAACCAGAAGAATCGCCAGCTGCCTGTGCCTAAGATCGACACATTGAAACGCGTCGACATGTCTCGGAGATTATTGTCGTGTCTGGCTGTCTAACTTTTGATTTGATCGTTGGTAGCAAAGCTAATGCTGTCAGGGTCAGACATCTACCTCAACCTTCACCCTAGCGGCTCTAGCGCGGCCTATGCTAGGGTTGTCAGATTCTGACTCTAGTGCGGCTGAGGATGCATGCAGTGCCAAGGGAAACCGTTACACTAGGGTCTCCACTGCTCGCATGGTCGGCGGCGGGTGGGCCAAAGCTTTCTTTGGTGCCGATGGAGGGTCTGACGCGCAGGACTGCCCAGTGCGCAAGGCTATCAATTGAGATTGGTATGGAACGGAGATGGAGGAACACAGTTTCGCCGGAAAATGCTATTCCTTCTTTGCCTCCATAGTGAGATAGCAGTCGAAAAGTACCGACAGGAGCGTCATCCCTTTCAAGAATCATAGTACGGATATCGACCCACCACCGGTTATCTTTCCAGACAGCAAGGGACATCATCACCTACGCCAACATCTCGAGCGATTCTTCAAAAATGGCGACGGGAGCGATCGATACCATCACAAAGGGCTACCCAGCCCCTGGTCTTCGAAATACCGAACGCTTCATCACTGCCCACGGCGCCGACGGCAAGGGCTACTTTCAAACCTCGGATCATGGAGACCATCACCGTGTCATGGGCGAGAAGCAAGCGGTTATGAACATCTTGTATTCGACTCAAGACACTCCAGTCGATTTGAACGACGATGTTGATATCAAATTTGCGAAGGAGAACGAGGTACGCAGTCCTTGATCTTCCACCTTCCCCATCATCATTTCTCAGCTTTCCTGGCCGTGTCTCATCCATCCACGACCGATGACCCTTTCTAACATTTTCCTGTCACCTCCACAGCCAGGCCTCAACATCCCCAACGGCTCCGTCGTCCGAATGATGGATTTCGGCCCCGGGCTCGAATCCATCCCCCACGGCGTCATCACCATAGACTACGGCGTCGTCCTGGAAGGAGAGTTCAGACTGACCTTGGATTCCGGGGAGTCTAGGATCCTGAGACGCGGGGATGTGCTCGTCCAGCGGGCCACGTCGCACAAATGGGAGAATATCTCCGGTGGCGGCACCGAGTGCGGGCGTATGTTGTTTGTGCTGCTGGGGTGTAAGGATGTGGTGGTCGGGGGGAAGAAGATAGATGCGGATCTCGGCGCGTTGGAGAAGGAGTATGCGAGGGAGGAGAAGGCGGTGGGTGTGAATGGGGGTTCCGAGAAGGCGTTGCAACCGAACGGACACTCTGCGGTGAATGGAGATTCCGCGGTGAACGGCAACTCTGCTCCTAACGGTGCGGGCAAGACATCTGGAGTAGGCTTTGAAGAGGTAAGTTCTCGGATACACAAAGATACCATTCGTGCTTCAAGCTAATCTCAATATCCATTCTCAGACATCACGAGCAGTAAACGGCAACACCGCAAACGGAAACGCAGCTCCCAACATCGCCAATTCCCTCTCGACCAAAACAACATCACTCTGGACCATGACATCCCGCTGGCTCCCCTCTCGCAGCGCCGATCTCGACTACTGGTGGCAGCTCACGGGTCCGCACATGGCCAGCCTCTTCTCCGAAGCCGGCTACAGCATCCACGAATCCTACGAAGCCATGGTCTTCTACTACCACGTCATCGTGCCCCGCCTCGGCCCCCGTCTGCCCCCCGGGGGGACCCCGAAGTGGAAGTCCCTCCTCACCGTCGACGGCACCCCGATCGAATACAGCTGGAAGTGGAACACCAAGGACGGGGCGCCGGACGTGCGCTACACGATGGAGCCCATCGGACCCTTCGCCGGCACGATCCTCGACCCCCTGAACCAGGAATCGACAAAGGAGCTGCTCTACCAACTCGGCCAAGTGATGCCGAGCCTGGACCTGAAATGGTTCCGCCACTTCGCCGACGTCTTCTTCTCCCCCGACAAGGAAGCCTACGCCACGCAGACGGAAGGCCAGCTCGTCTCGACCATGTCCCTGGCCTTCGAATTCCTCAAACAGGGCCTCTCCGTCAAGGCGTACTTCGGGCCCAAGAAGATCGGCCAGATGAACGGCCCGCCCCCCATGGACGTCTGGGCCGGCGCCATCAAGGGCGCCGCGCCCGAGAGCGCCACCATGGACGGCGTGGTGCGCTTCTGCCAGACGGACCCCGAAGGCGCGCTGCTGCAGCCCTTCATGCTGGCGATCGACTGCGTCGAGCCGAGCCGGTCCCGCCTGAAGCTGTACGTGCAGACGCCGCACACGTCCTTCGACAGCGTGCGGCGCATCATGACCATGGGCGGGCAGATCCAGGGCGTCGACCGCGGCCTCGCGGAGCTCGAGGAGCTGATCCGCCTCGTGCTGGACCTGCCCCCCGACTTCCCGCCGGGGCAGCCCCTCCCGGCCACGCAGGGCTACTCGGTCAACCATTTCGAAGAGGACCAGCACCTCGTGGAGGGGTACATGTATTACTTCGACATCGCGCCGGGGTCGCCCCTGCCGGACATCAAATTCTACCTCCCGACGCGGCGGTACGGGAAGGATGATCGGAGTATCGCGAGGGGATTGACCAAGTGGATGGAGGATCGGGGGAGGGGCCGGTTCTCGGAGGGGTACATGCGCGTGCTGGAGGGGTTGGCGGGCCATCGGTCGTTGGAGGAGAGGGTCGGGTTGCAGACGTATGTCAGTTGCTGCTTTCAGAAGGGGACGTTGAGTATGACTACGTATATGAGTCCGGAGGTCTTTGATCCGCAGCGGGCGGGGAAGTAGAGAAGGGGGGGGGCGTGAGGTGGGTGCGGAGGGGTATCTTGCCGTGAGGTGTTTCGCTTCGTTTGAGGACAAGAGGGCAGGAGATCTCGGAGGCTCTGGGGACGCTGGTCGAGGGGCAGCAAGCTGTGGGTTAGCTTTCAGTACGACATCGTCTAAGGCGTGATGTACTTACTTTAGATGAGACGTCAGTAGAAGGCGCTTCGGATAACTGTCACATCGTATTTCGCTATAGCATCATTGACAAAGGCATAGGCAATAACGACAGGGCTCTTCCTCGACACCCTCCCGCAGAGCCAGCGGTCTTGCAACGGGTCACATTTTCATCTACCCGATTGATACTTGCTAAGATTCCTATATTTCCAATATTATTGTCAATCCATCTGCGATTGAAATTCGTCCGGATCTGTCCCATGATTCCAACCCTCTCTACACTGCGCGACGAGCACCCCACTTTCGCGCCCACAATATCAAAACGCGTTCACAAATGGATGTGTCTGGGTTGGTCTTTGCACGGAATGTGCCCCACTGAATGCTGAATAGCTCCACCAACTTCTGGCATTGATTTCCACTTCGGCAAAGTCGGGCAACTTCAACGGTTCAAATGAAGCGGCAGTCTCGAGCTGGGCTATGAACCCAAGCCGTCCATTTTTGGAAGGAATGGAGCCAAGTCCGTCTTCGACAGAGTCTCGATGGGCATTCTTCTGCAGCCGATGTGAGGAGTCTACTCTCGTCAGACAGCATTTCGCATTGTGCACACAGGACATTCCTCCTACGATTGCTGCTCGTTGTCACCGCCGCTGCTTGGTCCAAACCTTGACGAATTCATCCTTATCCTTGAGGCCAAGGCCTACTCGTTTCACCCTCCCCAATCTCGCCAATGCCTCAGCGACCTTGTCCAAAACTCGCTTTTCCGCTGCGTTCATACTCTCGGCGTCTTCCGAGTTGAGCAATGTATCCGAACTGCTCGCTCTGTCGTCATACAGCATCTCTCTTTCGGTTTGACTGGTCGAGTTTCTAGTCGCTGGCGACTGGGAAGTGTTGTGGGCACTTTCAGCAATCCTCACGCGTATGCAATGAGTTGGTTTACTCAAGAGGTTCCAAACAAACGAGACGTATGAGCCCGGGACAGGCGTCGTGATGTCTCCTGCAGTGTATCGAAGGCTTATTGGGAAGATCTTGGCTTCAGGAGGTGCCGTGAGAAGTGATGGGCTGAATGGAAGGATGCCTCGCCCATTGGTCGTCGTGCACTCAGGGTAGACCACAATAGCCTGGCCTGGGTACTGCTTTATGAGGGTCTGCAAATCTGTAAGTTTTTCATTCTTCGGCGGTTCAAGTCCTGGATATTGGAAGGCGCGAAACATAGCATGGAACAATGAAATGCGATGCACAAGACGGGTTGATGGGTATGAGGCCGTAAAGACAGGATCGAAGATGGCGGCGAGGTACAGAGAGTCAAGCGGGGAGGTATAGGAACAGGCAATAATGGAGCCTGGTTGCGGCAGTCGTGCCTCGTGGTGTTTGGCGAGAGAGCTGGGGGCACATGATCAGCGATGTATCCAGAATATCTGATGTAGAGCACGCACCCCTTCTTGACACCGTCAATTTGAAGATCGATCCACCAGACTCCCGGTGCACCAAGTATGAGCCACAGCGACGCTTTCTTCCCCAAAGATCCAATCGGCAGCCATTGTAGCACGAAGAAGTAACTCAAGGTAGCCGTGAGAAGTATTGGCAGCCGGATGAGGAGTAAGAAGAGGTGGAAGGGCAGATAGATCCCGGAGGATTGTGTAGGTATGGGGAAGAATGGTGCAATCCCCGAGCCTGGACAGTTTGAGTACATGAATCCCAATAGTTTGACTGTGAGGTACCTCGATCTCTGAACTGCGAGTATTTCTCCATGTTTCCGCGTGAAGGTCTGCGAAAAGGCTCACGGCACAGCAATGTCAGAAGCAATGTATGAATGATCTATTAAGCAGGCCATTTATATGCGCAGAAAGAAGTCAAAGAGAGGGGTAACAAAACAAAGTATTTGTCCAGAGTGGTGACATTGGTGACATGCCAATCTTTGAAGACCGAGAATGTGCCTTTCAGCCAATCATCGGTAGATTGATAGATTCTGCGGCTAATCTTCCGCTAGCTCGAATACATCCTAGCGGCAAGTTCGCCGTTGCTCTGTTTACATTTACACCTTTTCTGTCATCGTCTGGCATCCTCGAGGCCTTCACATGTGATCGTGGTATTCCGCGACTCAAACGTACCGGGAATGTCCTCATACAGCCGCTCACTGCTCTAAGCTACTAGGCACAATTTGCTGCAATGGATAACCACAATGAGAGCTCGGTAGGCTTTTAGGCCCTTTCAGCTACCCCGGGGCATAGCTGATGGGAATGGTAGTTTACCTCGCATTTGCGACCTCCTAGTAGAATCGTGTCCCCTAACAGGCTTTTCGAGATGTCCGCCTCAGCAACGAATGCTCGCACAATTGATATGCCGCCGCCGCAGAACATGAATACCCTCAAGCGAAAGACGTTAGCTGAACGCGCCGGAGAGCCTACCGGAAGAACTGCGCCTGCCCCTCCAAGTTCTCGCCCGGTCAATGCCCATGTCAGGGCAACATCGATTGCTGGCATTCCTCGAGACTCCTCGCTCTCATCTTCCGTGTCATCGCGCCAAACGTCGGGAGCAGCAATGCGGAATTCTTCAAACAGCTCTTACTCAAGCAGTGTCGGTACCCGCCCGCCATCTGCACAATTCTACAGGCCACAATCCGCCATGGCGGCACACTCCCGAATACAGAAACCGGTCTCTACTGTCGGTCGGCCAGCTACATCGCTACAAGTACACGAGGAAGAGCCTGGAATAGCCCGGGCACTTAGCAACAGAAAGGGTAGGATCCCACTTTTCTCATACCCAAACCCCCCGGATTACCCTGATACGTTGCAATCCCCCAAACTTAGAGGACGTTCAATGCGCGGTTCCTCATTGACCTCATTGAACACTAAGTTCAACACGCTTTCTTTGAAATGTGGCCCGACACAGTCTGCTCCCATAGTAGATATGGAAGTCCTTGCCACTCCATCCCACATCCCAAAACTTGTTCCCCAAGTTGCGTTGCCTGCAGAGACCCCAAGTCCTAGCAAATCCCCCAAGAAAACTCCTAGGACTCTACCACCTCTACCACTTTATTTGAACCGCACATCTAACGAAGTCATAGCATGGGACCACGATAGTCGCCTCGAAGAAGTCGAGAATATGTGCTCGCAGTTCAAGGAGAAGATGGATGGTGCGACAACGGAGAGCAAGAGCTTGAAGGAGATCATAGGGGTGTACAAGATCAGAAGTGGGTCATGCTCAAGCATTCTCGTCTCAATGCCACCCAAGTCTAACGACTTTAGTCACGGAGTTGGAATCTATCAGAACTTCATTGAGCACGAGCAACACCGCTCTTCAGACTGATCTTGATGCCATCAAAGCTCGAGTTGCGGAAACTTCAGAGGCCTTGGATGATGCGAAGAGGTACGACTCTACGGCCCTACCTTTTCGACAATAGAGTTGGTAGTAGATGGCTAAAAGCAAAGCAGGTACCACAACATTCGACTTGATGACATGCAGAGGCAACACAATCGCGACCTTGATGATGTACGACACAATGCTGAGACGGAGCGACGGTCGTTGGTCAGAGATCATACAGAGAAGCTGGAGGACGTTCGACGGACCTTGGAGAATGCATTGGAAGAGGAGAAGATCAGTCATCAAAGAGAAGTGCAAGCACTCAGCACGGAAGGCGCGTCAACTGAGCGGGAAAAGGAGAAGGAATTGGAGAATCAAAGAAGCGCCTTCATTGCTCTTGAAAAGGAACTCGACGTTTTGAAGACCGATGTTGCTCATGGACGAGAGGTCAACGAACAATTGCGTGCGAAGCTTGCCGAGTCAGCGACCAGGGAAACAGAACTTGAGACATCAGTCCGGAGACTAGAGGGTCATATCCATTTTCTGGAATCGGATAACAAAAGCCAATCGCAAGCTTTTGCGGATTTGGAGATGAGGATGCAGAACGCCATTCAAACCGCTGCAGAGGCTATGGACAAACTGAGAACTGAAGAGACTTTGCGAAGGAAATTACACAACCAGGTGCAGGAGTTGAAAGGTAACATCAGGGTCTTTTGCCGCGTCAGGCCTCCCCTCGAATCGGATCCAATCGATGCAACTTCACGAATTGCATATCCGGACGATCAGACGGATTCGAAAGAGGTTGAGGTGATAGGCGCCGAGGAGAAGAGCAGCCTCGGAACCATTACGACCAAGAAGCATCCGTTTGCTTTTGACCGAGTTTTTGGGCCCAAGTCACGAAATCAGGACGTTTTTGGTGAGATCAGCCAGCTCGTGCAAAGTGCGTTGGATGGCTACAACGTGTGCATCTTCTGCTATGGTCAGACTGGCTCGGGAAAGACCTTCACAATGTCAGCAAGCGATGGCATGATCCCTCTCGCCGTCAACCAGATCTATGAGACTGCCAAATCACTAGAGGAGAAGGGCTGGCAATACAAGATGGAAGGATCTTTCATCGAAGTCTATAACGAGGAGCTTAACGACCTTCTCGGCAAAGCCAACGACATGGACAAGAAGAAGCATGAGATCAAGCACGATATGGCGAAAGGCAAGACAACCATCACCAACATTACAACAGTCGATCTGGACGCTCCTTCGAAGGTTGATGACATTCTGCAGCGCGCATCGAGCAATCGGTCTGTAGCATCCACCAAGGCTAATGAAAGATCGTCGCGCAGTCACTCGGTCTTCATCCTGAAGCTTATTGGCGAGAACAGCATCACAGGCGAAAAAAGTGAAGGCACGCTGAATCTTGTCGATCTAGCTGGTAGCGAGCGATTGAATCACAGCGGTGCTGTTGGTGAGCGATTGAAGGAGACACAGAACATCAACAAGAGCTTGAGCTGTCTGGGCGACGTCATCGGTGCCCTTGGTCAGGGCAAGGAGGGAGGGCACGTGCCCTACAGGAACAGCAAGGTACGCAATTGGTTCTGGAACCAAGGCTTCCTTGAGTTCTTCAGATGTATTGACACCTCATCTAGCTCACGTATCTGCTACAAACCTCTCTTGGTGGTAATTCGAAGACCTTGATGTTTGTCATGATCAGTCCGCTTCAGGCCCATCTCAGCGAGACTTTGACAAGCCTAAAATTTGCAACAAAGGTAAGCTCCCTACGCGTACCCTCCTTCAAAGCACATCGTTGACGTAGTATACCTCAGGTCCACAACACGCATATTGGGACAGCGAGGAAACAGACGAAAACGCGGGACGCTTGATTAGAATCTGCAGCATGACTGCCTTTATCTTACTTCGTTTACGACTTTCAGGGTTTGGCTTCCACCATCTTATCGGGTTGGTCGGGCGTATTCAGCGGCATTGTCTCAAGACTCCTCGACCGAGGCCAGGGAACCCCTCAATGTACATCTTTGAGTTATGTCAATCACTGTATCTCTGAGTACAGTGCGCTTTCTCTGTGTTGTCTTCGGTATTTTGCGAGCGTGCAAGTGCAGATGCCTAAGCTGTCCTCTGGAAGAACTCACCATTGTTATCATACGACTCATGAACTTGTCTTCAGCAGCTGCACCTCCTTAGATCCTTTCGCTCCATCCAAAGGATCACTTGTTGATGCTGGAATTACGCCCTAGTACTAAGCCAGACTGGGAGTTTCAGCTCCGAGCTAAAATTCCAAGCTTCGAACGTTGCATCCAACGTCACGCCAACCAGCCCCAACTCCGTTCCTGTCCACCTTAGTGCAGCGCTCCTTCGACCATGAGTGCCGCTGAGGCTCTCCGTCTTGGCCATCACCACCTCATCCTGTCATGACCAGCGGCGTTTCCTTGCGCTCACCTGCTCACACGACTCCAGCCCCAAGAATGCCCCAAACAATCGCTCCAGCAATTGCCCACGCGACATCGATACCTACCAACCCCTCTTATACAATAGCTATAGCTCTCTCACAAGATATACCCTACCTCACCACAATCCAGTGGGCCGCTCTGACCTCAAACCCTTTGATCAAAACCCTCTACCCGCATGGCCCAACTCCCGCCCTCACAGCCTTCACACGGAACTCCTATACAAAAGCCCTGCAATTTCCCTCTGTCCGCATAATCAAAGCTACGGATACCAGTAGAGGCGAGATTGTGGCGTTTGCGAAATGGATCAAGTATCCCGAAGAGATACCAGAACCTCTGGAAGGCGAAGGGGGTAGGATCCAAAGTGTAGGACAAGCGGGCGCGGGAGGGTGGAGCAAGGGAAATATTCCAAGTCAGAAACCTGATGATGTGAATAAGAGAGCGCTGGGTGACTGGAATGGGGTCATAACACAGATGAGGAAGGGGATTATGAAGAATAGACGGCACACATGTCGCGCGAAGCCGGATCCGTGCAATTTGGAGTGCTACTTTGGGAGCATTGCGCCTGCCCTATGGGGTGAGTCATCTCACAAAGCGGAAAACGCGATCAATTACAAGGAAGCTAATCAATGGCAATCGCACAGTGCTCGATATCCTCCACACGCATCCTTCCCACCAAGGCCGAGGCGCCGGCGCCCAATTGGTGAAATGGGGCACCGACCTCGCCGACAAAGAGGGCTTACAATGCTACCTCGAGTCTTCCCCAACCGGGTATTCGCTCTTCAAGAAATGCGACTTCGAAGACGTCACTGAGATGGAGATTGAGCTCAACAAATACAAAAATGACGGCTACGGACAAAACAAATACAAGCACATAGTCATGATACGACCTCCCAACGTCCCGCCAAAGGTTCCGCCGAAGGATCTGGTTATCGAAAAACACCCTATTGGATATTGGGATTTTGGGCTGCCTACCACAGCGGAGAGTTCGGAGAATGATAATGATAGTAGTAGGGACGAGGGTTCTGGCGCATTATCGGAGAAGAATAGACATTATGGCATCGTGGGTGCTGTGGGAGGGACGAGTCAGGAACCGTTCAGGCCGACGAGCCATTTTGGGATTTTGGATACGGTCAGTGAGGGTGGGGAGGGCGTGAGTCGGCCTACGAGTCATTTCATGTCTGGGAATGCTGGGGAGGAACCTTCGAGGCCGGTCTCGTTGATATAGGAAAGCGAACGCTGTTGCTGTGGCCATGTCCTATGGATAAGTCTCCTTGCTATGAAGACGATCCGAGATCAAGGAGCGCTCCATTGCTGAGATGGGCAGACCACACCGGAAAAATCTATTAGGCCAGCAGATACGCCCATCTACTTAGAGCAGAGGGCTCGGCCGGAGTCGCTGAAAGCTACTTCGGCTCTTTGTTGTCGCCAGAGCAAGTTGAGGCCACTGGCTCGATTTCGGTTGAACGATAGCTAGGTGAGCCAACAGAAGGCACCCTCTACGACTCGGACTGCAGACAACATCCTTTATCGCTTGTCATGGCTCCGGCGGAGATGAGAGCCGTCCAGTAGGAAGCTTGAGCAAGGCGCCGACTGCAACTCGTTGGCTAGGCTGCTTGACTTCATGGGTGCAGCGACCGGCAGGAATAGTGCCGACATGCAGCGATCCGTACGAGCCGTGCTGCGAACAGTGCAGGACTGGGTCTGTCAGCTTCCGGCAATTCCCAACAGCCTCAATAAATCGAAGGGACATTTTTCATGTCCACAACCCCAGAGTCTCTGCCAAATTTCGAATTCCATTGCCACGACAGAATACATATGTTCCAGCTTAGTTTCGGAAGCGGCTCTCCAAGCTCAGACTTCTTGGACTTTTGTAGCCTCCGTATCGCTATGTCACCCCAAAGAGTATCTGCCAAGCATTGTCCTACTCAAAACACCCTCAACCCATCCCCACCCACAACCCCACAATCCCGCACCATACCCATCGCTGCCAAATCTAATTTGAGGTTTCCTCACGGTGGTTCACCGACCATAGACGGCGCAGCAAGCTGTTTCCCAGCCGGCGCCCCTCCCACAGCCCGGTAACAAGTAACGCTTCCCTTCTGGCCTTCAGGCTGGACAGGCCGCCTCGATCGATTTTACGTACGTTACTTTTAGCCCCAGTTTGCTACTATGATCTAGGTAGGACGCTTTGGGCGAATGATACCTTCGTTCCAGCAAAGATGCGTCTGATCTCCTAGCTCGTCGCCGCAGTCGTGGATTATTGGCAGGCGGTGGTGAATCTCCTTCGTTTGGAGCCATCAGTGGCGTGGTGGCTGTGTCTGGTGATTGGGGGGTCCAGCTGCTTGTTGGTAATCGGTTTGTGTGCAAGCTGGAGAGGAACTGCCGGGGGGGGGGGGGCGACGTTGTGTCATCATTGCTATAGGCCCCCGCGATTAAGAGAGAGTAGAGTAGGAGGCTTAGGGGTTGGAAGGGATACATTGGGTATGGACACGATAAGAGATATAATATTGTTTTAGCATGATAGTAGATATTGGGCTGGCTTGGGGGAAGAAGATCTTTTGTTTGTTTTTTCGCGTCAACCTTTACTCAAGGAAAGGAAGAAAAAGAAAAGTACATCACCACTGAAGTCAAGGGCTTAGGTCGCAGGCTCAATCCACGGGCTTAACATACGATGAATTGTGGCTATATCCTCGGTAGTGCAAATGAGACATGGAAGAAAATATGAAGGAAGCCTTTGGCTAATGCTCCACATGAATTTTCAAGATTCAGGAAGAAACCGTGTCTCATAGCCATCCGTTGCAATTTCCAAGCATGGATGAACAATCGAATTGAAGCACAGATGAATCAGACAGCATATGATTGGGCTAAAACCTACCTGCTCACGTTTGACGTCTATCCCATATCTTACCCGAATAAATGAGAAAACGTCCTTCAGCATCGAGAAGGAAGTAAGCGCAGCAGCATACCCAATCCTGTCTGATCTGTTGAAATATTGGTTGTTCTTCTTTAAGAGAGCAACGCTTCTTTGTCATGATGCCGACTAATCGGTTGAAACTATCACCGTTTGACCAGCCTGTGTCTCAAAAGATGCTTTTCCCGCTTTCTTGAGTCTTATAACGCTTCGACGAATTGCATACTGATGTGTCGATGGAAGTATTTAAGAACAGTGTACCGCGATGTGTTCTCCAAAATCCGTTCGTCACGATTGTCTTTTTGGACCCCTCACTATCAATGATGTGTTGACGTTTTGGGTAGAGCCTTGACTCTAACTGATCCTGAACAATAGCCATTAAAGTCAATGGAAAATGCATACTCGCACTGCCGTTATTTTCTGTTGAGCTGCACCGGAAGGTAGACAGTTGTACAGCATGAGCGGCCATCAGTTGCAAATACACGGGCCGCGGAGAGACCATTTCAGCCGTCCAGGTAGCCAATTGGTAGCTGCAAGACTGAATCACGTCAATGGTGGGCTCATCGAAAATACAGCGTTAATGCAGACTCTGCATTTATGAACATCGCAGTCTCTTAACGTTTGCACCCGCGCGACACGGAAACAGTCAGACATGGCCTGCTCTTAGAGAAGAAATGGTGGAGGGAGAAGGCCATGATTAATTGGATGACTACTGTTAGACTCATGTATGATGTCGATAGCTTGCGACTTGCTGTGGCCTGTGAAGAGTCAACGAATGGCGCAGCACAGGCTGTGTGCTAGACTCGCATGCATCATGCATGCACCGCCTAAGTTGAGCTGTCTTGATCGGCATTGAAACAGCCGTACATTCAGGGTCCTGTGGTTTAAGAGTCTTGTATTCTTCAGGTGGAGCTGGATCAGTGAAATGAGCAAAGATGACTGAGACGGCGAGGAAGAAGAAACCTGCAGTGCCAGCGAGAAAGCCGAAACGGACAGGACGGAAACAGCTCGCCAAGACATCCCCACCAACGACATCCACATCTCTGGTGCCTCCAAGCAACCCACCGTTGCCGTTACGGACACGATCAGAACCCCACCTTGACCAACCTCCTCGATATTCCCTTCTCTTCCCTCCGGAGCAGACAAATCTGCCCCAACGACCCCGTCAACTCTTCCACCCACCTTCGCATACCTTGAGAACTCCACCCCCACAACCAGCGACAGGCGATCGCTTCCAGGCTGCCTCATTGAATGCGGTTCAATTCAGACCAGCTAACAATTCAGAGCGCTCCGTCAACAATACCTTTATCCAGCAGCATCAGCCAAGTCCGGAGGCTGTAGCCCATGAAGCTCTGCGTGATCTCATCTCCACCAAGTTCGATGCTGTGATAACCTCGATTGATGGCGAGCGATTTGGTGGAGATGAGCAAGAGCTAGTAATCGAGGATGAATCGCAGTCAGGTATCAGAGGAGGATGGGGATATGGAAGTCGACAGGTGTCTCGGGGCGCCAACACAGCCATATCTACAGCAGTCGCTGGTACAAACTACTTCGCCAAGGCCAACCTATACGCAAATTCAAGGCTGCCACCGAATCTGCCTCCACTGCAACTGTAGGGCCTCCCGCTCTGCTAGACTCATGTCGCTAGTCTGGCTGCTGACGGCGAGATCCTAGCTACCTACCGTCCTACCCTCTGCTATGCCTCGCAGCCCAGTACTCACAACGAGCCTACAACAAGCCAATAGGGAACGAGAGGGAAGCTTTCGTCAACGCTGATTGGCGGATGGGCACTAAAGCCATGGTCATCAAATCCATGCCAATCGATGATATGAACTGCGTGGTATTTGCCATACGCGGAAGCCAGACCTTCATGGATTGGGCCGTAAATCTTAATTCGTCACCAGTGTCACCCAATGACTTTCTGGTAACACCATACGCACATGTTCCAAATTTGCAAAGCTTACAATTCTAAAGGATGATCCCGGTAACCTCTGCCACTCAGGCTTTTTATCGGTAGCCCGCAAGATGATAAAGCCGGTAGCTGCCCGTCTTCGATCTCTACTGGCGGAGAATCCTGCCCGCAGTACCTGCTCCCTACTCATGACAGGTCACTCCGCAGGCGGAGCAGTGGCAAGTCTACTCTACGCCCATATGCTCGCGGAGCAAGTAAAATCAGAGCTCAATACATTGGCTGGCTGTGCGTTCTCGTTCTTGTGCCCCACCAAATGGTGGCCCATGCAGACTATGGCTTACGATTTCATAGGCTTCAAGCGCATCCATTGCCTCACTTTCGGCACGCCGCCAATTTCGCTCCTCCCACTTACGAAGCCTCCTACCTTCCGCTACAAGAAGTCCCTCTTCATGTCATTTATAAATGAAGGCGACCCAGTTCCTCGAGCAGATAAAGCCTACGTTCGCTCTTTGCTGAATCTGTATGCCTCACCTTCTCCAGGCACCACGTGCATCGCATCTCTACCTGCCCTGAAGCCTTGCAAGCGGAAGGCGAAGCCCACGAAGGCAACAGAGCAGCGAAATAACGCTCTAAGCGCACTTACCACACCCGTCCAAGCTCCGGCGTGGAGGGTGCCAGCTGGCGCGCTGTCGAATGCTGGCCGTTTGGTTGTGCTAAGAGAGAACAGGAATTCCACCGCTGGAGTGGAGGATGATGTCAAAGCAGAGATCACTTGTGATCAAGAGTTGAGGGGTGTAATTTTTGGAGATCCCGTAATGCATATGATGAAGGTTTATGCGAGAAGGGTGGAGATCCTGGCGACCAAAGCTGTCACGGCTAAGATATGGGGCTGAGTACCCGCGAATGAAGCAGACTACTAAACTATTTGGCGTCGACGGTGTTGACAGGGAGCCATGCAAAATTATGAAATTGCGAGTATATTCCGAATCATGATTTTACGACGTCCGCGAAGGATGATGTGTTCACGATTCAAATTCGACAGGATTCTTGTGGGGTTGACGCTGGTTGAAGAAGTAAGAGCCGGGGTTTGGTACCGCTGTTATTCGAGCGCTGGATGGGACACTGCACTGGAGTCGGGAGGGAAGCCTTTGATAATCTTTCTTTCTTCCTTTCTTCTACTTATTCAATAAAACAAACTTACCAAACTGGGCTAGTACCTGTGTTGCTCCCACCATGGACTTCAAAACGTCCATCAGACCTAGCATCGAGATAACATCCACCCTTTATTTGGACAACATCACGGGCTTTTCTCCAGCTCGCAGGGAAAGTTCATATGCTCGATCGTTTCGACCATGCTTAAAATCCTCATCGTGATCTCTGCGAACAAATCACTTCCCAATATCAACGAGATTCCACATGCCGTCCATTGGTAAATCAGCCCTTCCCGTCAGGCCGTCAGCAGCAACGACACCGTCCTGATCCCCCTTCCTCCCGGATCCATATTCCACATCAGCCTCCCAAAACCCCCATAGTCCCTCCTTCCCCACGGTCAGCACTTCCGCCAACGGATCTGCTATCGGCTTCGTCTTTAACTTTCAATATCGTGCCCACAAGGCATAAATAGTGTCAGGGAACGTGATAGTCCAATCGGAGAACGCTGTCAATACTCAAATTTCCGACAACAGCAATAGCAACAAGGGGCTCTTGCGCCATTCAATGTACTCCATAAAGGAATCCAGTCCGAACAACGGATTTTTCCGGGTCGATGCCTTTCCAAGATGTTGATAACTAGAACCGAAGCCGATAGATAGATAGTACTTTATGCAGGAGACCATCATAACCGAGGTAGGCATATGGATACTATGACCTCAATTTTGACTCCACGACAGCAGAGACATTCTGCGCTATCCCAATCCGTACTGCACCCAGCGTGATGGTAATCCGTTCATCATCACCTGAGCAGGCCAGTCAGCCCACCATTCCTTGGACGTTACGAGTATGAGTATGCGAGCGCAAAATCAGCACCGGAAAGCTCTTTGCACGAATCGACTTACCCAGCCAGACCCCCGTGTCTGTGAAGCCCTGTTGAACGTACATGGTGTTCGCAGCTACCCCGGCTGCCCAGATGTCAAACCACGAAGCCTTCGTCGGTGGCAAATGGCGCGGCATGGACACCAGGATGTGACAGGATTCGGGCGTGGTTGGATCTGAAGGGGGGTCAGGCGGCGGTTGATATACAGGCTTGGGCGAAGGATTGAGAGGAGGATGTTTAGGCTACGCAAGTAAAAGCAGGGGCAAGAGAATAGAAAAAAGCGTGTCCAGTCAAATCACTTGTGTGCTTCGATACATTGAGAATTCCTGCATCATAAATGCACACAGCTACGAATGAGGAAAATACAACTCCCCCCGAAATAGATCCTTCGGAAGCCTACTAGGAAGGGTACGCTCATCACCCGTTATCCCAGAGAGAATGGTTCCGTAGGACGCAGGCATCATTGTAAGCACTGCCTCGGGATTCTCTTCTGACGGGGCCACTTGTTGTCCGGATTCGCAGTCGACTGAGGGTTCGTAGCTCCTGATGGTAATTCGAAGGTCATCGCCATGAGCTAGTATGAATGAGTGGTCAGTCCTGTTGAGCTTGGAGAGCAGAGCAGAGACAGTGGGTCAAGTTCAAGGCTGAATGGAAGGTTTGTAATTTGTATATTGAGAGACAGAGTAAGGGAGGACCCAGTGAAGTGTATAGCAATCCCGCCTTTTCCTTGTTCGATTACGCACTGTTCAAGAACCCTTTCCGCGTTCCATGAAACCGTAACGCCGGGAGACATGTCGCCCTCAGAGCCTGTTGCCAAGGTGACATATTGAAGGGGGATGGGTTCGCGGTCAGCTTCTGTTCTCCAATGTACATTCTAGGCCACGAAATGCGGTACAGATCATACGTGCACTGTATCTTCTGCCCCGTTCACATGCCTTGCAGCTTATAGATCGCTACAGGACGTGAATAGATGAAGGGAGATTAGGGCCAACGCACGATAGCGCAGATCCCATCGTCGCTCAGGTAGCGAACGGGTATCAGCACGTCATTATAAGAAGCTTCGCCGGGCTCCCTAGATCGAGGGATGAACCATTGAGTGTGAGAAGTGCAGCGGATCTTTTGCCAGGCGTTGCGGCAGCTGCCAGCATTCAGGTCTTCGCCATGAATCTTCTTGCAAAGTACACCCGACCGGGAGGCAACATTGGGCGACGTCGAATTCGAGTCGTTATTGATGGCGGTGGAGTTTGGCGCTGTCAACGAGAGCGCCACGCTGAGATTGTCCGAATATGGCGCTGTTAGCGAAAGCGACGAGGGAAGGGGAAGCGTAGATGTGAAGGTCATGAAGAGAAAGGGCAAGATACGAATGGATGAGGACCGCATTTGGACGAGGGAAAGGTGGAAGTCCTCCAAGAGATCCTCGCAGAAGGCTGTTCCCTAGGAGGCTGGGGAAAGGTGGCCAAATGCTAGACATTTGCAACGAAGACTTAAACCGTGGTGGAAAATTCAGCGCACACGCGACATGGGTTTCTCTGAACATGGCGTACGAATGCTGGAGTACGGAATAGTTGGACCTTCCGGGTCCGCAAGAGTGGCATGGCACATTATGCTTCTGATATTTGTACCATCAGCGTCGATGACTGAAATCTGCATCGCTAATCAGCAGGCCACGCCGTTCTATCAATCGTTCACGTCCATCCCATAGCGCATGGTTCCACAACGATTGGTGTTTTTATAATGGTTTAGCAGTACTATATCCAAACTCGGAAACCAGAATCAGGATAAAAAAAAAGCATGCCAGAAAGGCAGCAGCCTCTTTCCTCCCAGGGTGTAAACAAGGCCCGTATCGCATGAGCAAGTGCGCCGGATTTCCCAATATGAGTGTCGACCTTCATTCCGTACAACAATGTTCTAACCGCAATGTCATATTCGCAATCCTGGATCAGAGCGATTGCTCGCTCGCTATAGCATCGGGACAGACGTGCATCTTCTATGTTAGTGCCTTCTAGATTTCGGATTTGAAGATCTAGCGTCTATGACCTGTACATTCGGCTGGTGGAGTGATCGTTGGTTTCCGCCGCAAGGGTCGCTATATTGAGACGTGTTGATATGTAGAGATTCCTTCTATGGATCATCGCTTCTCTCACAGATATTCTATTGAGAGCCGTTGTGTAGAAATCCCCATGGTCGCGCCTGAGCCCACGCTCGAAGTGGAGCCAAGGACTCAGGACCATGCTTCGTCTGTGAGAAGACCTGCCCATTGTATGTCATAGGCTGTAAGTTTATTCTTGAACAATTCCTCGGAGCCAAATGGGGACAGTAAGAACATGTGACAAAGTTCATGCATACAGGGAATCTCAAAGTTTCTAGGTCTCAACAGGCGCTCTCCCAGGAAGGGAAGGGTGACAGTCTTGACCAAACGAACCCTAAGTTGTCGTCCTTGTTAGTGAAGAGATATCAAAATTCCAGCTTCAAGTAAGAGTAGCCGTTTTTCTGAGTTGCTTGAGTTGAATAGTCAACTAACTCTGACTGAGACCCACAAAGGTGTGATAAGATGAAATGACGAAGCCTTTTTGATTTAGATTCTCCCCTTAAAGAACCTACTTGATTGTAGAGCTTTGACATCTTCAGCTTCCATCTCACTGAATCTTCGGAATCTTCGCACACCAGAGTATTCTCCCCCTCTATGCATGACTTTTGCTCGACCCTCTCACATTTTCCTCTTCGTCGTGCCTGATCAGGCATGTCTGAAGGAGCTCTGTACGAGCTGCTCTATATCATGTGGGAAGAGGCAATGCCCACCCTTCGAGAATCATCTCCTCCTCCAACCCCGAGGAAGCTTCGAGGACCTTTCCCGGCCGAACGTTGGTGATTAGCGTGTACAAGAGTAGATATCTGGAATGCTTGGCACAGAGAAAAATGCGCGCGCACCACCAAGATAGTAGTAAAAAGTCGATTCTTCTCGCATTCATTCATACTGTAACTCATAGAACGTAGTTGTAGTTCATCTAGTCCTTAGAATCCTCTACACCCTCCTCATTAAGCCTCCGTTCCAACTCTTGAATATCAGCCTCAAATATATATCCTCCTTGAGCACTATGCTCGCTCGCAAACCTGATACAGCGACTCCTCCTTACTGCATACCGTAGAAAAGTACCTAAATCGCCCTAGGACTGGGGCAATATCTCATGAAACTGATATACAAAGGCTTCAAGCATCACCTCTATGCAACTGCGATGTAATCTGAGAGAAGAATAGACGTTTCTGCTGGTATTTTGGTGGTGGACGCGCATTTTCTACCTTCTACTCGGTACCTGCCAAGAATTGTAGATACACTTGCACACGCTAAAAACTTGTTCGCTTTGCGGAAACTTTGCCGAGCTGGCAATTTTTTGGAGAGAGAGAGAAAGAGATGAATGCAGTGCAAGTCTTTTGCCATCTACCCACTCTTCCTTGGATCTCTGAGGGCTTTGATTTGCATGGATTTGATGCCATAGACAAGATATCTCAAAAGGTCTCCCAATGCTGCTTCCTGCTCTCCGAGCCCGGGCAGCTCACTCACATATAATCCTGCCAAGATGTTTAGAACGACAGTCAGTATATGGACCGTCACCCATTTCTGGTGGGCGTGTATTGATGCATTGCTAGATTACAAAGTTTTACTACCACCGCCAAGCGAAAAGCAGACTCTTCTGCGCCCCAGCTCAATAAAGTCAGCCAGCATGTTACACAGCCAAAGTCGCAAGGCGCCTCACAGGCAATGCTGTACGCTACAGGCCTCGAGCCTTCAGACATGTCAAAAGCGCAGGTTGGGATATCATCAGTCTGGTACTCTGGCAACCCTTGCAACATGCATCTCTTGGACCTCAACAACAGGGTGAAGGAGGGAGTCGAGCGAACCGGGCTCATAGGATACCAATTCAATACCATAGGAGTTAGCGATGCTATCTCGATGGGTACGAAGGGAATGCGGTACTCTCTACAGTCGAGGGACTTGATCGCTGACTCGATTGAGACCGTCATGAATGGCCAATGGTACGACGCAAACATATCAATACCGGGCTGCGACAAGAACATGCCAGGCGTTATCATGGCCATGGGACGTGTCAATCGACCTTCGTTGATGGTCTACGGTGGTACAATCAAGCCCGGGTGTGCTGCTACACAAGACAACGCCGACATTGATATTGTCTCTGCTTTCCAAGCTTACGGACAGTTCATCACTGGCGAGATCAACGAGGAACAGCGCTTCGACATCATAAGACATGCTTGCCCTGGTGGAGGAGCCTGCGGAGGGATGTACACGGCCAATACGATGGCTACGGCTATCGAAGTCATGGGCATGACTCTCCCCGGTTCCTCATCCAATCCTGCGGAATCTAGAGCCAAACAGCTCGAATGTCTCGCAGCTGGTGGCGCCATTAAGAAGCTGTTGACCGAAGACATACGACCATCCGATATTCTTACCCGAGAAGCCTTCGAGAATGCCATGATAATCGTCAACATCACCGGTGGCTCTACCAACGCCGTTCTTCATCTGATAGCGATCGCTCACTCCGTCGGTATCAACCTTACCATTGACGACTTCCAAAGCGTTAGTGATTGCACTCCGTTTCTCGCAGATCTCAAACCCTCAGGCAAATATGTAATGGCTGATCTTCACACCATTGGTGGCACACCGGCCCTTCTCAAGTTCCTACTGAAAGAGGGCGTCATCACGGGTAAAGGCATGACAGTGACAGGTCAGACACTGGCCGAGAACCTCAAAACCGCTCCCGACTTTCCCTCGGATCAGACCATCATCCGTCCCTTCAGTAATCCCATCAAGGAAACCGGCCATATCCAGATCTTGCGCGGTAGCCTCGCGCCCGGTGGTTGCGTTGGCAAAATAACAGGCAAAGAAGGTATGCGTTTTGTCGGCAGGGCCAAGGTATTCGACTCAGAGGACGACATGGTACTTGCTCTCGAAAAAGGTGCAATCAGGAAGGGTGAGAAGACTGTAGTTGTGATTCGCTATGAAGGACCTAAGGGTGGCCCAGGTATGCCTGAGATGTTGAAGCCGAGCTCCGCAATTATGGGCGCAGGGCTAGGCAAGGATGTGGCTTTGATCACAGACGGTAGGTTCAGCGGTGGCAGTCATGGCTTCCTGATTGGGCACATAGTGCCAGAAGCGCAGGAAGGAGGGCCGATCGCGCTGATAAGAGATGGTGATGAGGTGGTCATTGATGCTGAGACGAGGAAGCTCGATTTACTTGTGGATGAGAACGAGGTGGAGAGGAGAAGAGGAGAGTGGATTCAGCCAGGACCGAAGTACCAGAAGGGAACGCTGAAGAAGTATGCTAGGTATGTTACTCTACTTCCCCTTCCCTTTCGCGATATGAGAAGGAGAATCATGAGCTGACGCATGACACAGCATTGTCACGGACGCAAGCCATGGATGCATAACGGACGCTTAGGCTTTGCCATTATTGAATTGTACATATCACTCGCATACCAAGAGAAAAATCCTTGGAAACTTTTCCCCATTCTGCTTCTGCTGTGACTGGCCAAGGGTCAACGACCCTCTCTAATAACATAGTTTCTGCATGGCTGAGTGACCGTGTTGGTTCCAACCCCAACGGCTCGTATACCGCGGGCGGCGTCCTCTTGGATTCTCGGTACGCTATCTTAACCTTCTCACGGAACCTTGAGTCAACTTCATGATTCGCCAGCTTGCTCTTGATATCTCATTCCGAACCAAGTGACTCCTCGATGACTGTCTAACCGACTTGTGATGTAGAAAGAACGCAGACGCCAGGCACGCCATTATTCGTTGAAGCATCAGCACCTCCTATCACACTACCACCCCACTCACATCACGCCATCAAAGCATCCCCACTGACGTCTCAGCGACCTTCTCCCCCCAACCTCAAAATCCAATCTTCTTCGCCCCAGCCACCCCATCACCCCGAACCCGAACCCGACCCCGCATCCAAAACAACAACATCCTCCAAATCGTCCTCCCCAAACACCTCCCCGCCCCCCAAACTCTGCTCGAACAACACATCCATCCTCTCCGCCGCCCGCTCCGACCGCGACGGCTCCCCGCCCCCCGCCCGCCTGTGCCACGACATGTTTCCGCGCGACCTCGATGTTCCGGCACGCGGTCCGGGTTATCGCGTGGCGTGCGCGGGGGATGATGGCGCTGGCGCTGTTGGATGGTGGTTGCAGGGTTGAGGCGGAGGCGAGGGCGAGGGCGAGGAGGAGGGGAGGAGGGGGGTGTGCATGGTTGTTGAGCGCGGGGTGAGGGAGATGGGGGGGGGGTGGTTGGTGTGGAGAGGTGGATGGATGGGAGGGAGGGGAAAGGAGGGGGGGGTTTTCTATGTTTACGTTTACATTGATGTTTGTAGAGCTTTCCGGCTGCAGCCGGGTTCGACTTTTGTGGACGTCTTTTTGCCTGGTCCACTTGACGCAAGCCTACCGAGATTATTCAAGTCCGAACGCCCCAAACCCGACGGGTGTTGCTAACGTCAAGGTCCTAACTTGGTCCGCACCCTCTTCCAATCCAGCGTCCATCGTGCGACACTGTCGCGTAGAATGTCAGCTTGTGAAGATCCATGTTCCCTGCATCCATTTCTTTGAGGGTCTGAGCTGCTGCTGCGGATCTATCAATGAGGACATGTCGTGAAAGCGAGGAAACAGGTGGAAACAGAATCGATGCTGACAGTATGTATATAAGTGGGAACGACAGAATAGGCGGAAAGCGGAGATCCCCCTCTCTATCGTTTCGTTCACAGCATCGCCAGGCTTTTATAATCACAAGACGGAGTCGGGAAATGCAAGATACAAAAGATGCCGATTCCGTGGGCCAGCTTCCCCCATTCCGCACCCCTCGACAGATATCGAAATTTAGCCCCCCCCTCCTTTGGTCTGTGTTTCCATAAGGCACAAATGCGACAAACGAGCTCAGAGCTCATTGTCCGCATGCCTCCAAACCTCTGCAAACCTCTTACCCATCGCAAGTATCGCCACCGCCATCTTCCTGCTCAGCACCCAACACATCGCAAACGACGCGCAGGGCAGCCCACACGTCTATCTATCGTCCCGATCGATCGACCGTGTCGCTTAAAAACAACCTCATCGATATCTGTCGAGCTTTCCGAAGAAGAGAAGAGGACAACCACGATATGTCGTGGCGGAGATCGTCGCGCTGCGAGGTTTTAGAATCATCGCCGTCGCTTCTGCGGGGATAAGCTCCGTGTCCGAAAGCGATGGTGCCGATCAGGGTGGTTGGGAGGGTTTTGGAGCCTGGTTGTGTCATCATGGGCGTTTACTGTTGTCGTCTTGTCCTCCCACCTTTGGAGCCAGTAGCGTTAATTCGCCTCTTAGTATGTGCATGCAGATGGGTTGCATTGTCATAAAACCAGCAGTCTGACATCCGGCCTATGTCTCGAGGGAGTATACATCCCTAGGCGGCGATATGGCAAGAGGCTGTTCGGCGGAGTGTTGGCTCGAGGTATATCGCAGGTGCTGCGCCGGGATAATGTCCAGGTGGGTCATGATCAGAGCGGTTTTGCCGTCGGACTGGTAGTGTGCATGCTGCGGCAAGGTTTTCAATCCCATCTATCCTAGCCACCGGGAAGGGAGTCTGGCAAGTGAAGTGACGGTTTATCGAAGTGAAGGAGCAGGGTCTGTGCCCGTGGAAGAGCTCTCTGGGTTCGATGGGGATGGGGTGGCGTTGGCCGCTGATGTTGATGTTGATGCTGAGAAACGGAACGCGCAGTCCGCTGCTGTGTTGATCGGTAAGGGCGACGATCAAGCCGGGAGCCATTTCTTTAGATATGCGTACGTGGATGAACAAGATCTCGGCTCCACATGTCGATCTTTCCTCTCATCTCCTCTCCTGTCCTCTAAAGTTGGCCTTTACCAGCCCCCAGTCTCAGAACAAAAGCATCTCGCTCTCGCTCTCTCTATCGCTCTCTCGCGCGCTCTCTCTCTCTCTAGCCCTACACCACCTCATCAACAGCTCAAGCCACAATCCCTCTCCTCAAGCGTCAGCCCACGGACTGTGCTCTATCGAGATCCGAACGCGGCATAAAACGCATCCTTAGATAGTCGAGAAAAAGTCATGTATAGGAGGGAGTGATACTAGACGGGCGCGGATCCCGAAGATCGAGGTCCCTCATTGAGATGGAAATCGACCAAATATCCATCCACAGTCGAGCGAACTGCCAGAGGGGAGGAAAACAGTTCCAAAGGAAGGAAGGCTTCTTCCATTCTCATTTGACACTGGCACTTTTATGGGTATCAACCGGAATAATAAATCGACGTCTTCATCATCTCGGGAAAGGTGGAAATTTTCTAAAAAAGAAAGGACGGAGAAGAAACATATAGACGCGCCTTCACTGTCAAGGACCATCGATGATGTGGAATTCGTTTGCGTTACAACTGCCATTCTCTCTCTGGGAGGGTACGTAAGGGTGAGACCTAGGGGGAAAGGAGTGGCTTATGTGCATGACTTTTGTTACATTCTCTGAGCAAGAGTCATACACAGAATTAATGCCAATTCCCAACGATAGGAGAAAGCTCTCTTTTTTTCCGACTGCGTATGTCTTTGCGGGTATCGAGTGGAACAGATCGGCTCATTTCTGATCAAAGGACATATAAGGTAGATGAAGAGGATTAAGTGGATAACCCAAAACTATTCCCTTGCAGATCGAAGACGATTTTTAGGTACACTTCGTAAACAGGGTCGTTTCTTCCTGCCACCGCGCCTGGACTGTCGGACTTTAATTCGGGAAATTTTCGCCCCAATGCATGAATTTTGCTACATTCTCTTACGTTGCGCATGGCGCCAGTTGCTCTCGGTCGAATTTAGGATGCTTCACAGTAAACGATGGCGTTGCCCAGGTCGTGGTCTGTGATTCGTGGGAGGGAAGCGGGTAGGCGCTATGCTAGTCCGACGGCGGCCACGGCTACTATCGAAACGGTGATGCATAGCACGTGAGGAGGGTCATGATGGCGGAGCAGATGGGTCTGCGGAGGGGAGAGATTGGAGGTGGAATGGTAATGGTGACTGACTTGTCAGCAGCCACGAGCAGGGTCTGGTCTTTGACGAAGAGTGCGCGTCGTGAATCGGTTCGGGAACGTGGAGTTGAGGTGTGTAGTGTTGTTGTCGGAAACAAAAACACAGTGTGTCGACGCGTGGCAATAGATACGCGTTGGTGATGAAGAGCCCCAGATCATGGACTCGCCGAGGGGGTGGGAATGTACGGTGCTGATGGAGATCGCACGCCGTGGCGATTTGCGATGGGAGGGGTTGGCGGAGTATGTATGATCTTAGAGGCTGTGGGTGGTGGTAACGGATGGAGGAAGATAATATAAATCAAAATAGGCCCGATTACCCCATCGAGGGAAACAGGCGAAATGGTCTAGCTGATTTGACACCGTCACCACAGTCTTGCGGATGTTAGCGTGAAGATGAGGCTAGCGTATGTTGCTCCTTGACCTTGATTCGGAAGTAAACTCCTTCGAGTTTCTGTAGCCTAAGACCCTCTTTCGAGGCTCTTAGGGTGAGTCTTTTGCCATTTGCATCCTTCTTCGACTTTTTGTGTTTTTATGGGAAGGTCTCATAAGCACCTTGGGTCATTGGCAAGCTGGGGAATCTTGATGTCTTCCTCTGTGTATCTTTTTGCAGGGTTAGTCTCGGCCGAAGGTCGTCACCACGTCGCGACGACGAGGCGGAGGCCAGCTTCTGGCCCTGCAGCTGTTGCCAAGGAATTGGCCCTGGATTCTTCTGAAAATATAGACCGCTGTTGTGGCTTCGTGCCCGTCTTATGTGCGGAGTCGAGTTTCGAGCTAGAAGTATCGGGTTGACTTGCTCGTTGCAGTAGGTGCGATCTGGTTCCGATCAAATAGTAAAGGCGTCCAAAACGAAAATCATCATCAGCTACATCAACCCATTTCAATCATTGTGAGACTAGGCTTTCACTGCAAGGGCATTCGGTCAAAACGCGAATCCTTTTCAGCGGACAATGCAAAGGATACAATAGACAAGTCCTTTCCTGTCATTGGTATCAGTCAGACTTGAGTATCTTTAAGCACAGCATGCGAGGTATGATTGATCTGGAACATAATCTCTGCAAGACTGAACTGTTACGTCTTAGCTCTTCGACTCGAAATCCTTCAAAACGCCAATGTACTTTGCGTCGGTCAAAGCCACGTTCTGGAGAACTCTGGGAACGCAAAGAGACAGAACCCTGACAGCCGACTCCAGGCTAGGCAGTCAGTACTTGTCGGAACGGCCCCTTTGCAAATGACTTTCGGCTCAATGCCCATGAGGCAAACCCTTGACTCTCACAATCTTCCCATCCCCAAAATCACAGCCATACTCGCGCCCACCCGGACGGAACCGCTGCACCTCAACCCATGCAGGATCACTGATGAACATCCCCATCAGCATATTCGGAAGCACATACGCATGGAGCACGATTCGAAAAGGCTTGTCAGTATCCGCATTCTTGAGTATGATTGGTATGAAGGCAGTGCCCAATGCGGTCTGGTCCTCGCCAACCATCAAACCCACACGATGAGGGCAGGTATCCAGTTCAGGACGGTGCTCCTGTGGGATGGACTCGTAGAGTTTCTTGTTGATGAAGTTGCCGGAGCCACCAGCAACGCATACTGCGAAGCTGCCGTCAGTCGTAGGACCATGGTGTTCAAGGTGGGCGATGAGGGATGGGGAGTTGCCGAAGCTTGCGATGTGAGGGTTTATGTGCCAGATGCCGCGGTGAGTCTCATCGTAAAGAGTAGAAAGGGAGTCAGCGTTAGAAGGCAACTTGGTGCTTGACATGTCTGGAGCTTGAGTCTCGTCGTAGAGAGTAGGAACGGATGCCTCGGTGGAGGGCGACTTGGTTCTGGGCATGTTATAGGCTTGAGTGGAACGTTCGAGGACGGATGCGTTGGATTATCTTGCGGATGATGTGAGGTGGGATGTTCTAGCAAGGCAGGCTGTGTTGCACCAAGAAATGGGCGCTAAGCTCGTCTGTATTACAGCAGACAGCTCTGATGCAATTTACGGACGCGACGCAGCAGCCCGAGGTTCAGGACGACAACGTCCATCATGCAGAAACTCACGTTTCGCCTTTTATCACTAGGGAGGATTGTTCGGCATGTTTTCTGGTGACTGAGGTCTTGGCTTTGCTGGCACCGAGCAATGAACAGCTTGTGAAACTGTAAATGCACTATGAATTGAGCTCACAACAACAGTATGATGGCAGCTCTGATATGACTTGACAAAAGGATCGAGCAAATGTCATGCATAGGAATCGGATGATAGGCGGGCGAGAAGTCCGAAGACTCAAGGTCCCTCACTCAGGTAGAAGTCGGAGGTTTCAACGCTCTACGGTCGAGCAAGTTGTTTGAAGGCTTCCTCAATTCTATTTTGGCACCCTTTAATGAGTATGGACCGAAATCAGTTGACTGTTCATGTCAAGGATTCTAGGATAGGCTGTTGGGAGCAGGAAAGACTTCACTAACCAGGACAATCATTTACTGTTACCTTTTCTGGGAAAGTGGCCATTGAGACACAGAAAAGCTGGCGTTCCTTCTATGCATGACTTTTGCTACATCCTCTTACTATTCGATCGTAATTGCTTGGGGAGATTTCCACTACCACTGGCTCGCATGGGGTTAAGCATCTCAAACATTGCCCGCACGTTGTCAGCCTGAGTCAACAGTCTGCGGCCTCCCTGGGTCGAGAAGTGGGCAAGATCCGTAGATGCTAGAGGTATGGCAAAGATTGTGAGTAAATTTTGATTCTTCATCTTGTAGAGAGAGGTTCTATGTAAGATTGGTAATAGCTCGATGCTACTTCCAAGTATTTCGTGTGAATCGGAATGTTCTACGCACCTGGAAGTTGCAAATACCTAGGTGATCCTGCTCCGCGTTGTTACATGTATTCGTTGACGAAGACTCGTTGACGAAGACTCCGCACGACCAAATGACGCCTGGGTTAAAAGGTTTAAGATAGGCATTCTTGAGTACAGTGTCGTCCATAATACTTTTTCATCTGTAATTTACAAAGTGTGGGAAACGCTGTTACATGCTATCATGGCATATCAAAGAAGGCCCACTTTTCGTCAGAAGTACTTGCCAAGCTTCAAGATGACCAAAGGATCGGCCCGTCGGTCATCGGCGCTTTGATTCACCGATGCGATGTTAGTCAGCGATGAAAACAGGGATTTTCTTGCATCACATTCCCCACCGTAAGTCAACGGCCCTTCTCCTGGGCTAGAAAACACATCGAGGAAGCTCAAAGTCAACGAAATAGAAGCGTCGTATGCTGTTTCGCCGTCTCGCGACGGTTCCATGGTACTGGTGGTCCATCAGACGTGCCAGTCGAAAAGCCAGCAAACCTTGTGGCAGCCATATGTACTATTTATACTCGGCACATTTTGAGACCAACTCGCCGACAGAAAAGTGAGCAGTCGGCGCCTGCATGATTGGAAATAGACTCCGGACTCGGCATATGAGGATCAACGCCAAATTTAAGCGAGCAGCACTTCTTGTGATACCTAGGTCAGTGGCTCACGCGAACGCTGATGCAGTAAGTGGCCGTTGATATGCCACGCTAGAAAAGTTGGGGGCACAATCCGGTTTTTCCAGCTCGCGTCACGGCACACGGTTATTCTGAAGACTTTGGAGCGCCCACGAATTTGAGAAGGGGCTCGAGAGCTTTTTAAGCAAACCCTGGTTACTTGTTATCACGGGCAGTGGCCAATGACCAATGATTCCGAGGCTCATTATTGCCACGCGGGTGAGCGCAAGTGTGTCGGCGATAAGGGAAGCGAAGGTGGTAGGGTAATGTACATGTAGGATTGACATAATCTAAAATTAGAAAGGGTTGAAATTAGGCATGTTGACTTTCCCATTCATCCCCGTCAGCCCTGTCTCAGGGGCGGTTACCAGTAAAGTAGCTAAAGTATAGTGTGTACTTTAGGTCTGATTACCACGATAGCCAAGAGACTAGCGAATAGCCGATGAAACGAGGGCCAGTAGTCTTGAAGCAGTTTTAGGCTTTTAGCAGAGAACGTGCCGCTAGTACCGCCACTTTGCCGTTGCCCGGCAGTTTGAGTTTTACACTAACAAATCAAAGCCACACTCCTTTGCAAGGAAAATAAAATAAAATCAAAATGAAAGATAAAGGCAAAAAGGAATAAAGGAATAAAGGAAAAAAGGAGAAAAAGAGGATAGGCTCATAAGGTATGGCATATGGGCGGCACTGCACTCCGGTAGACCCTCTACTCCCTACCTACTACTGTCCTTCATACAACATCGGCTTTTGATTCCGATCTCGCTTAACTCCTGACTCTCGCATACGTAGTGCAACATCCGTTCGCTTGCCGGTGGCCACCACTTGAACCTGGGACTGGGCAGAATAGCACACCACTTCGTCGGACGGTCGGAGCCATTTCGAGACCCTGGGCTGCTTGGTAAGCCATGGTCCATGGACTCCACACGAGAGACGCGTGAGGGAGGGCACCATAGCCTCGAGGGCGGTGACTCGTCTCATGGCGGTGTGAGCCCTGAGCCTTTCAAAAGTATCTTGAAACCCATCGGAGGATTTGTATCCCAGTCCGTCATTCATCCTGAAGATCCTAACGGCCCCCGAAAGGATAAGATAGCCCGCTTCCTAAAGGACTTTATTATAGCCGCCATTAGCTTGCTGTGCTAGTGCTGATTGAGACTGTATCTGCTTGACAAAGCAGGGGGCAAACGGACGCTATGGCTCCTTCAAGCTTCCCAGCACAGCCTCTTGAACGAGCCTTTCCTTATCTGCCACATCTCCTATCTCACACCATTACCCCTTTGAGACTCAGTCACAGCGCATGATCCGACGTCACTGCCAAGCCCTGGATCCCGGCCACTGTGACTGAAATCGGCGGGTTCCTGCTTCTGATGCCATCTGGGTGCCACCAGTGCCATAGCATTCTGGCCACTTTCCCCCACCATCCTTTCTTTCGCCTTTCCACTTTCCACTTTCCACTTTCCACTGCCAACCATGTCATGCACTTGATCGACAAGTCGGAAAAGTCCGTTGAACAATAAATAAACCAAAGTTCAGGGGCTGACCAGACTTGATTACCTCGTACTCTATGCTGCAGCACGCGTCTTTGATCCGGCCTCGCAAACAAGAAATAGGTACCGTATTCACATTATAGCCAGGCCTATCGCCTCTGACCCTGCATAACATGGGTCATCCATCGTGTTTCGGCCCCCTCGGACCCACAATTAAAAATAAATCCATCCTTCCTGATGGCTGCCAGTCCGCAGATAACGAAAGACTTGGCTACGTCAAAGGGGTTACTCTACCCTGCCACTCCGCAGCCTGAATCATGCTGGTGCCTCAAGCGCCGCTCTTGGTGTGACTTGCAGATTTCTTCCTCTCCACTCTGCAGCCTCTACACCATCCTCTCTCCACATCTCCTTAGTACTACTCTTCTTGCCCACTCTCCTCTCCTTGGGGCCAAAGATAGTGAGCAATATTACCACATCTCTTGTTATCAGAGACTCACATTCGTTTGGTATTCTTTCGCAAGTATCCTTCTAGTCTCACACTTGTATTCATTGACAGCACAACGCTAAGCGTCCGCTCTGTGCCCTGTGTCAGCCGACTAAGCAGATGTTACGACGAGTACAGATGACTGGTATTTGAACCTCTGCTTCCAGCAGCAGTCCCTCTGGGTAGCTTCACCATGGCTGCTCGCGGGTCCATGTATCGAGGCGTGTGGCTGTTCCTCTTGAGCTCTGCAGCCCTCGCCCTTCGCTACGATCCACAGCAAGTGCTGTATAATCTTAATACTAATGAAACCGCCACGGATCCCCTCGACTATTGGGGGATATGGGAGAACCATACCTTCAACCCGTCGCCCTCCAACTGGCGAATGCCCATGTACACCCTCATGCTAGATCGCTTTGCCAACGGAGATCCCACCAATGACGACGCCAACGGCACACAGTACGAGCACGATCTTACCCAGACTCAGTTGCGCCATGGAGGAGATATATCCGGGCTGAAGGATAGTCTTGATTATCTACAAGGAATGGGTATAAGGGTCAGTGGTTCTGGTCGATTTCCATGGCTCCAACGTAACTGCTGATCCACGAGCTACAGTCTCTGTACATTGCCGGCAGTCCACATATCAATCAGCCATGGGAATCCGATGGCTACAGTCCCCTAGACTTGACAGTTCTCGATCATCATTTCGGCACCATCCAGCAGTGGCAAGACGCTATTGCCGAAATCCATTCGCGCGGCATGTACGTGGTTATGGACAACACCATGTCTACGTAAGTCACCCCTATGGCTTGCCTCGGACTCTAAAACAGTTACTCACGGTCCCGTACTATAGTTTGGGCGATCTCATCGGCTTCGAAGGCTACCTCAATATTTCCACCCCCTTCGATCGATTCGAACACAACGCGCTATGGAAGTCGGAGCGAAGGTACAACGATTTCGATTTTGGGAACAATGAGTTAAATACCTGCGAATACCCAAGGTTCTATGGGGACGATGGCCATGAAGTCTTGAACTTGACGCAAGAGCTGGTGGGATGCCGCGACAGTGAATTCGACCAGTACGGCGAGATTGGAGCCTTCGGCAATTATCCGGAATGGCAACGCCAAATATCAAAGTTCGCCTACGTTCAGGACCGCTTGCGCGAGTGGCGACCGGACGTACGGGCGAAGATTGAGCACTTTGCATGTATCACTCTGGGCATGTTGGATCTAGACGGTTATCGTATGGACAAAGGCCTCATGCTAACGCTTGATGCCGTGGGCAACTGGTCAAGCGCAATGCGAACGTGTGCGAAAGCACTCGGAAAAGAGAATTTCTACATATCCGGCGAAGTTGTTGCAGGGAACGCCTTTGGGGCGGACTACATTGGTCGAGGCAGGACGCCTGATAATTACGTGCACAATGTCACCCAAGCTGTGACAATGACCAATGCTTCTGAGAACGACAAATACTTTATTCGTGATGTAGGTCAGAACGCCTTTGATGGCGCAGCTTTCCATTATACGGTCTACCGCTTCTTGAGTCGAATATTAGGGTACGTCGACCCTTCTGCCAGGTAACGATTAGTCGCTAACATCATCCCAAGTATGGATGGTAGCTTTGAAGCCCAAGGGGACCCACCTGTGGATTGGGCCTCTTTTTGGAAATCCCTTTTACAGACAAACGATATGCAGAATGCATACACTGGGGAATTTGACCCAAGGCACATGTTCGGAGTCACTAATCAGGATGTGTTCCGCTGGCCAGGCATCGGGGGCGGTACACAGAAACAGTTGCTGGGCTTCTACATGACCACGTTACTCCTGCCTGGAATTCCGACTTTGTACTGGGGCGAAGAGCAAAATTTCTACGTCCTGGACAGCACGGCATCCAACTATGTCTTTGGAAGGTCTCCAATGACTTCAGCACAAGCATGGATGATGCACGGTTGTTACAAAGTTGGAAACTCGAAGTATTATGACTTCCCCTCGGATGCCATTATCTACGGATGCGAAGATAATACTATCCCCTTAGACCATCGAGATCCTTCCGCTGCGATTCGAAATATTATCAAGGCTACCTATCAGATGCGGGAGAATTATCCCATACTCAATGATGGTTTCTATCTCGCTCAGCTCTCGAAGCAGACTCATGACGTTTATCTACCAGGAAGCCAAGGACCTGGGCCCAAGAGAACTCCGACGGAGATAGGTTTATGGAGCTTCGAACGAGGGAACTTTAAAGGTCTTCAAAATATGACTCAAACGGCCTGGCTAGTGTACATGAACGAGCAAATCAATACAACCTACACCTTCAACTGCGTCGATCCGAGCTCCGCCCTGCTGGCACCTTTTGAGATGGGGACGACCGTCAAAAATCTGTATTACCCTTATGAGGAATACACACTGGAGAATTCTACCGCCCATATTGGTAAGTGCAGATCCGTACGTATAGAGTCGGACAAGTCACCTATGTAGCATATTTTCCTTATGAGGAGTACGTTCGTCGCTGGCTTGCAATGACCTCAATCAATTCTTTTGTCAACGACTTGACTTCTTGCTGCACCGGTTAGTGTCTTGGCAGATTATCTGCTTTGGCTAACAATGCGTCCTCATAGGCAACGATACCACTCAACCATTCGCCGGCTGCCTTTCCCAGGTCAGCTTGACACCCTGGGGCTTCAAAGCATTGATCCCAAAGGATGAGTTCATAGTTCCTGGACCTGTCATCACCAGGTTTCTTCCAGGGCACGACTATCGTATGACCTCTGCGGACACCGTCCCATTCGAGATTCATTTCTCGCAGCCAATGGATTGCGATCAAATCACCAACACCATTCAGATCAACTCCACCACTGAGAATGGTGACGTGCCACAAGTAGACACGAGCAAAGTGCAGTGCCGCAATATATCCGCCGTGGAGGCAGATCATTCTCCATGGTGTGGGGGTGTAGATACGACTTTTATTTACGCTGCCAGCCTGGTCAATGTGTCTGACGGAATACATCAAATCAGTGTCAATAACGTCACTAACGCTAATGGAACCGTGTCTACAGGGGTAAGTCATCCTGCTTCAGCTCTGATATGCATTCACTAACCCTCGACTCAAGAGTTTCGATCATTTCTTGCTACGTATTGGTCAGGAGGACAATCCAATGGTCTTCGTTGGTTCCGCGAATTACAGTTCGAGCTTGCTCTCGGCGAATAGCAAGAACAATTACACCATTTCGCACAAAGCTGCTGGCGCGGATCAATTCCGTTACTCTCTGAACTTTGGTACGACATATAGCGACTGGCAGCCGTATGGAAACGGCGGAAACACCACTATCGGCCCAAAAGTCTGGTCAGGGACGAAGCTCCAGGAGTGGATCGGGGAGCATGTCATTGTCCAGTACTGGAGTCGTTTGGCTGGTAGCAGTGATCATTGGCAAGAGGGCGATACCGACCAACCCTCAAATACCACGCGGCGCTTCCCTCACTTGTTCGTGCACGGCACATTCAATCAGTATGGCTATGACGCAGGCCTTCCTAATGAAATGACGCAAGACAAAGATGGTCTCTGGAGATTCAACTTCATGGCTGAATGGCCTTCAAATGTATCACTCAACGCATGGGGAATGAATCCAGACGGCCAGCCAGACCAAACTAGGAACTACGGTGATATTGATGGAGACTTTATACTGGATCGAATCCCTCCACTCTCGCTCATTCAAAACCAAATCAACATAACTGAGGCTCCACCATCACCGTATCTAGTCAACCAAATCGTACTCAACGACGGCAGTATGCGATATGAACTTGTGGGTGTAGGTAATCGGTGGTCACAGCTGGCTCTCTACATCTTGCTTTGGATCATTCCAATTCTCACCGGAGCGACTGGTGTCTATGTTTTCATCAAGTCCTTCTACCGCGTCAAGTTCAACGAGATAGGTGTTATGGAAGAAAAGAGTATGGTTCCGTTGGCCGTTCGACGCAAGTTCAAACCCTTGGTAAATTTGAAACTCGGAAGATCGAATCAATATGTCGAGCAGCCTCAATCCGCTTCCGCCATGGTCTCAAGAGAAATCCTTCCCATGCCCAGCACACCCGGCCAGGTTCAGGCTCCGCCAGTGTTCCCCACCGATGAAAATAGGCGAACCGTTCTCATCGCGACCATGGAGTATGACATCGAAGACTGGGGTCTCAAGGTCAAAATTGGAGGCCTCGGTGTCATGGCGCAGTTGATGGGGAAGAACCTCGCTCATCAAAATCTCATATGGGTTGTGCCGTGCGTTGGTGGTCTTGAGTTTCCAGTTGACACCGTGGGAGATCCTATCATCATTCACATTCTAGGAACCGCATACGAAGTTCAGGTCCAATACCACGTTCTCCGCAACATCACATACGTCCTCCTTGATGCCCCCATTTTCCGACAACAGACGAAATCAGAGCCGTATCCACCTCGTATGGACGATTTAGACAGCGCTGTTTACTACTCGGCTTGGAATTCTTGCATTGCTGAAACGATTCGACGGTTTCCGATCGATCTGTATCATATTAACGACTACCACGGAGCAGTAGCGCCGTTACATTTATTGCCTGAGGTCATTCCTTGTGTGCTTTCATTACACAACGCAGAATTCCAAGGGTTGTGGCCCATGCGGAACCAAGCTGAACGCGAAGAGGTGTGCGCAGTGTACGATCTTGATCCGGCTGTCGTGCAAAAATACGTCCAATTCGGAGAAGTATTCAACCTATTACATGCGGCAGCCAGTTACCTTCGTGTTCATCAAAATGGTTTCGGAGCAGTGGGAGTTTCGGCCAAGTACGGGAAGCGCTCTTTTGCCCGGTACCCTATCCTCTGGGGTATTAAGGAAGTTGGGTCTCTTCCTAATCCTGACCCTACGGATACTGCCCCATGGAATAAGGAACAGGTCAAGACTGACACCATTGTGATCGACCAAGAACTTGAGAATGCCAAGCCAGATTTGAAACGGCAGGCTCAAGAATGGGCTGGGCTGAAGCAGGACCCGAGTGCAGATCTCTTCGTCTTCGTTGGTCGATGGTCCCAACAGAAAGGTGTCGACTTGATCGCTGATTGTTTTCCTTCCGTAATGGAGAACAACCCCCAAGTGCAACTGATCTGTGTAGGGCCGGTCATCGATTTGTACGGCAAATTTGCCGCGATCAAGCTGGCTCGAATGATGGAGGTCTACCCAGGACGAGTATTCTCGAAACCTGAATTCACGGCTCTACCACCATACATTTTCAGTGGGGCTGATTTCGCGTTGATGCCATCTCGAGATGAACCCTTTGGACTGGTAGCCGTGGAATTTGGCCGCAAAGGTGCATTGTGTGTGGGAGCAAGAGTTGGAGGATTAGGACAGATGCCTGGCTGGTGGTTTACCATTGAGTCGACAACGACAAAACATCTCATACAGCAATTCAAGATCGCTATCCAAGGTGCTTTGTCATCAAAACCAGATGTCCGTGCTATCATGAGGGCTCGCGCTGCAAAGCAACGATTTCCAGTTGCGCAGTGGGTCGAGGATCTCGAGAAACTCCAATCTACCGCTATCGACATTGTCCACAAGAAAGAAGCGAAGAATGCTCGACAGAGCCGCTTCAATACCCCAGGCAACACCACACCGACAATATCACGAAAAGCAACACCTGCGCAGTCCCGAAATCCTTCCAGAGCTCCAAGTCCAACTGGAGGCCGGTCGAGGACCCCAGCGCAGTCTCAAAACGCTAGCCGAAACGTCAGTAGAGCTGGCAGTCCAGTCAGGGCCGAATCACCTCCTCCATTGCCTAATGGGGGTCTTGGCCACAAATATGGACCAGGCCACCGGAAAAAGCTGCGTAGGAAGCGCGGTAGCGGTGCTCCGAGCATCGCCCCTGTGTCTGAATTTGAAGACGATTCTAGCGCTGACGAAGAGGTTTCGAGGACACCTCGGCGGTTGTCAAGGAACCGCATGTCTGAATACAACCCCCTTCAGATGATAACATCTCAGGTGCCTCTTCCGAATGCACCTTTTGCTCCCTCTGGTCTCTCTACACCTCAAAGACACTCCATGATAGGCACTCCACTGGCCGAAGATTGGCTTGCCGACTCACCGCGCCTGACCAAGAATCCTAACATCTCGTTGTTGAGCTTGCCCGGTGTGAAGGGTGAGGACACTGGCAAAAAGTCCGACTACAACCTGGAGCACGTTAGCCCTTTCTTCACGGATCCAAAGAAGGAATACACAGAAGCGTTCGAGGTGAAGCTTGCAAAGCTCAGTGGCAAAACATCCGAGGACCAGCTGTGTATTGAAGAATACCTCGTCAAGAGCGAAAAAGCCTGGTATGGGAGAATGCGCATGGCAGAGATGGGCAAGTCTCGACAAGGTAGTCCAGCACCCTCGGTGTTCAAAATGGACCGCCATCTCTCTGTTTCACCAACTCCCTTCCAACAGTCTCCCGCGGGCTCAATTTTCGAGGGGAGCAATTTGGGACCAAAAGATGATTTCAGGAGTGAATCCCGACTGGATAACCGGGATTCAAGAGCAGACACCATAGATGAGTTTCTTTTGGGAGAGAACTACACCCCGCCTACTGGCCTGAGGCATTATCTGCGAGTCCGTTTCCCCTTCTCTGAGTGGCCAATGTACTCCGTCCTCCTCGCCTTCGGCCAGATCATCGCGGCCAACTCTTACCAAATTACACTTCTTACTGGCACTGTTGGTGAAGCCGCTTCCAAACTCTACGTCATCGCTTCGATATACCTCGTGGCATCCATAATGTGGTGGTTCCTCTACAGGCGATTGCAAACCGTCTACGTCCTCTCCATCCCCTTTATCTTCTATGGTTTCGCGTTCCTCTTCATCGGCCTCGCACCATTCGGCCCCACTGTTGCCGGGAGAGGATGGATCCAAAACGTCGCTACGGGCCTTTATGCCGTTGGATCCGCTTCTGGCTCTGTCTATTTCGCTGTCAATTTCGGAGACGAGGGTGGTGCGCCTGTTACTAGATGGGTTTACAGGGCATGCATCATTCAGGGCACGCAGCAGATTTACGTTGTGGCGCTGTGGTACTGGGGCTCCGCTTTGACCAAGTCATCTGCGCATGGGGCCACGGGCAGCTCCGCCGCGATGGCACCTACGAGAGTCATCATACCAATTGGTATCGTCCTCGCGTTTGTGATGTGGAGTGTCGGCTACGTACTCTTCTATGGTTTACCAAAGTATTACAGACAAGCACCGGGCAAGATTCCTTCCTTCTACACTTCCCTGTTCAGAAGGAAGATCATCATCGTATGTCTCCCCGTCCTTTCCCTCCTCAAAAAGAAACCCTTGCTGATCACCTTCCAGTGGTTCTTCGTCGTAATCATAATCCAAAACTACTGGCTCTCGGCGCCATACGGTCGCAACTGGCTCTACCTCTGGTCCTCCCAGCACGTCCCGGCCTGGTCCATCGCCATCCTGGTGGTCTTCTTCTTCATCGGCGTCTGGGCCGCCCTCCTATACGTCTTTGCCATCCTCTCCACGTCTCACTCATGGGTCTTGCCAATCTTCGCCATGGGTCTAGGCGCCCCGCGCTGGGCCCAGATGCTTTGGGGAACATCAAACATCGGTCTCTACCTCCCCTGGGCCGGTGGCCCGGCTGCGTCGGCGATCGCGGGCAGGAGTCTGTGGCTTTGGCTTGGTGTCCTGGACTCCGTGCAGGGAGTTGGGTTCGGCATGATACTCCTGCAGACCTTGACGCGCTTCCACGTCTTCTTCACGCTCATCGCGGCACAAGTTCTCGGTTCCCTTGCTACTATCCTAGCAAGAGCTACCGCACCCGATAAGATCGGCCCTGGCGACGTCTTTCCCGATTTTTCGGCCGGCGCGATGCCGGGACTCGGCAAAGCGTGGTTCTGGGTGGCACTGCTGATGAACTTGGCGGTGCCGGTTGGATTTTTCATGTTTTTTAGGAAAGAGCAGTTGAGTAAGCCCTGATCGAGGAGCTGCTCCTCTCCGAACCGACCGTTCATTTCTCTGTTGGAATACTTGATCTGGTGGGAGTTGTATGATACCACCTAGATCTGTCAAATTGTTATCATGTTTTATTGCGTTGGCGCGTTCTAGCGGCATCCGTTTTGGAAAGATGTATCCAGAGGCGAAATTTTGGTGTCTCGATAATGTTTACATATGTCCATAGATTCTCTTCGGCTGCAGAAGCATAGAAACGATTGGAACACGCTTTTCCGAAAGGACACGTTCCCTCTAATCCAGTGTAACTCTGCGTCACTATGATCTCAGACTAGCTGTTCGGCCGTACTCTGGAACCAGACTAGATGCACATTATGGCCCACACTGCGGTCCTCGTGAGTTGCATATCGCTTTCCCTACGACCGTCCATGCGTAGACGGGCTCAACATGCACCCCATTCGCCACGCAGACGCGTCGACACACGCTCCGTGCTTGGAAGCAAAATCCTCGTCTTCCTTACCGACGTTAGCGCTCAGATCGTGGGGAACGGAGACCATCGAAGCCAGGCCGTCAAAGGAGACCATCGAAGCTAGGCCGTCGTCATAAGGGCAAAGGAAAAATTCGCCATCCACGATCTCTACACGACGGCTACGAGCAAAGCCGTCAACCGCCCGACCGCCAAGTCCGAAACCACCCCTTCCGACGGAGACGAACCGGCGCTGTAGGAACGGGAAGAGTACGGCCGAAGTAGTGTCCAGAAAGGGCAAGTTTCGGTGCCCGATGAAATCCACTACGCTTTTCAAGATGCGACCCGAGCTCGCACCTGGATCATAATCCTTTCCCAGTCCATTGAATCCGCAGAGAACGAGAACACTCGCTCTCAGCACCGTTCCAACACAGTGTCGGGACCTGAATCACACTTACAAGCTGCCCATCGCTGACCCGATCAGCCCCCGTCGCATCCGCAGGACTCGTTGCGGCTCCTGCGGACTGTCCCGAACGCGAGACCAGACGCCGTCCCCGCCGCTGCATTACCCCATCGGTTCCTCAACCCGCTTCGGGTCGCTCGAGGGCATCGAACCGGAACCCGTGCCGTCCCCCAGATCTCGGCCCACCGGCCCTCGAAAGCCAGCCGGGTGGCGAAAAGACGACGGTGAGCAAAAGCGCTGGGGTCGAAGATGATCCGATGGAGGGTGGTTTCGTGGCGCGAGGTCTCTCATACAAGTGAGCTTCCACATACGGCCAACAGCGGACTGTCGTTGTGGCTGGCGGATTGTTGTTGGGGAAATGGTTTCCAGAGTTGAAGGTATCGGGGGAACGGGCTGCTGTATGCTCCATCGCTTTCTTGCCGGCAGCTTGGCTCACAAGATACTGCAGACCGGCACATACGCCATAACTTTGGCGTTGGGACCTTTTCGACCGTGCTGGATATGGATAATTTAGCCACGCGGAGCTTGTCTGCTATTCGATCATCTTCCGGATCTAGCGTACGATGATGAGATCAGCGTCTGAAGATAATCAGATCTTCAAATCCGGACACGGGCTCCAGGCGTGCGATCCTTGATTTTCCATTCCGGACGGCTGTCGGTAAACAAGGGACAAAAATCCCAAGCTTCGAAAAGGCGACGGACTGCTCCACCGTTCAGCGTGGAGCTTCAGACGGGACAGTCGCGAAACAATGTGTTAATCGAATTGCTTACACAACGTACGGCGTCTTGACAGCCCTGGAGGGACGATACGATCGTCCTTAAACTCGGACATGAACACTAGTTGCTGAAGGCAGAGCACACCTGTCACGACCGATGTTACATTCGACCTCCAGGTCATGCATGGTCGAGTCGTCCAAGGGTCACATGTTTCCCACAGACGCCGCCGTAAAGACTGCCACTTGCCGAATCGAAGCACTATGGTGTAGGATTCGCCGTAGACGTCAAGAAAAGCGTGTCTGATACCGTAAATAATCGACCACCACTGTATCTGGACGCATGCCTGCCCAACCGCAATTGCTTCGAGGCTGAGCTCGCCATGGGATTGAAACCACTTGAAGACAACCTTGCAGCTTCCACAGCGCACAAGAGCTTTGTTTGACCTCTACAGCCAAGTGCCGTGGGTAGCAGGGTCACAGATGCTGTCCCGGGCCAACAATGACGGCATGGTACTATTGCAACCGGGTTTCGCAAGCCGGGCGCCGTCTCGTACCTCTACGGTTGCTTATGGCGGCTGGGTGTTATCGGCATAGATTCGGTGTTGCTGGAAGAGGGGGGCGAGATGCTGGGAATTTAGGCTTTCCAGGTTGCACCGCCAGAGCGTGACTGCTTCGACAGATGGGTCAGCCATGTGGGAAATCGACTGGGGTTTGGAGAATTCGGGTAGGGTTAAACAAAATTCGTCGGACAGTATTCGAACGGGGGCAACAGGTATATGTAATGATGTATGTCTGTTTAATGGATCTTGGGTATGCGGTTTGTGAACGGGGATGGAGTCCTGATGGAAATCGATCGGGCAAAACCGGGTTTGGAGGGGGGTTCATATCATGCAACAGCGCACATGATGGTACTTCTGGATCCGGAGGAGAAGAGAGATGGTTGGAGAATGCAAAAGGGGAGGAAAAGGTTCTTACCTTAGGGATGTAGGTAAAACCGCCGCTATATTTCGATCCGCGATGGAAGGGAAGGTGCCGCTCCCGGGGCCTGATCCGAGACCGAATCCCGCCTCGTCCCCCCGAGCCTGAGAGGCCCCAACGGCTTCCTGCTCTTTCTCGTCTGATTTGTGGAACTTGCGCTGCGCAAGATATCTCGAGGGCAAATCACTGGCGAATGATTAAACTTCTTCCACATGGTCTACGTACCGGCTAAAACGCTAAATCTCCCGACTCGGAGACGGACGGGGTGGATTATGCACAGCTAATGGCAACCACTTGACATTCTTTGCAAAAAGATCCGTCACAAAAATTCTCTGTCACACCCCGACAAGACTTCTCCAAAGCCTCCAATCGATCGTGCAAGCGACATCCAATGCTAGTGGGTTCGCGGCTGGCATAGGGGTGGCGAGGGCGAAGGTGGTGCTGGCTAGGAGGGTGGAAGTGAGGGTGAGGCGGGTGATGGAGAACATGGTGGATGGAAGGAAGGGAGGGAGGGTTGTTTGTAGGTAGGTAGGTAGGTAAAGACTATATGTGGTAAGGGGTCGAAGGAGGGCCGGGAGGGTTAGGTAAAGACTGGGCTGAGAGCGCTAATTATCTCCTTGAGGAGTGACTATTGAGGATGAAGAGGAAGAGAGGGAAAGGGAGAGGCTTTTGTATTCGGAGTGAGGGAATTGTGCAAAGGTCATCGCAGGGTTTGAACAGCAATGATCATCATGTTTAACATACTCGCTTCGCTCATATAGGGTAAGGTTGATTAAGACTTCTCAATAGGATTGGCGCTTCAGGCGTGCTTTGTTCTTCTCGAACCTCCCTGATTGACCCTGATGCTGACATATTTCTGGGCAGATTCTAGGTTGCACTATCGACCACCTTTTGTAATCTCCAAGGAAATGAAGAGATCAACATCCCAACATCTGGTCCTTGCTAATCATGTGCTCCAAGCGACGACAAGGTACGGGTGACATTATCTCATTACACTTTTTCATTTTCGTTTTTCGAGGGGTTGGTTCTTTCACTTTGATTCGCATTGTATCCCTGTTGAATTCTTTTTCTTCGCCGCCTGTATCTGGCAGAAATGCATCTAGCGTCAGGAAGGGAGTGCTTACCTGTATCTAGCTGCACGGCGAGATAATTTATTCGTCTTCCGTCACACGCTTGGAAGAACCTTGACGGCTATGGTTGCGCTTTGTCCGAAACTAAATCGGATATTAGAACATTATGTGTCTTGGATGGATTGCAGCGAAATATTGGAGCTTGCCCGGTGTTCGAGTCGCTCTGCCGCACAGATACCTGAAGAAGGGGCATCTAGCCAGCTATGAGGACAGGAGTGGCAGGGTTGCATACCTTACTGAGTGGAGTTGAAAAGTTATTAAATCTAGCAGGGAAGGGGGAAAGAAATGAAATCTGCTCAATGAGAAGTGAAACTTCGAGAAACGTAGCTCATTCGAGACTTCATACAGACTTGCAAGGACAGATGGAAGAGTACTGCCCCATTGAACGCCGTGCAACAGTGAGCGTGGATACACAAAGCATCGGGTCTCTCTTAAGTCCACGACTGGCCGCTTGAAACATTATCGAAATTTGCCCTTGTGAAAATGGTCCAATTACCAAACCTTTGACCAAGCTCAAACGAAAGCGAAAGCGAAAATCTTTCAGAAAACAGCCAACGGGCCAGCAGCTTCCCATAAAGAAATGAAGAAGAGTCGATCTGAACTTACAGTGTCCCTGCACCCGCATACCACCATACATCATTCACAGAGGCAACGTCAGGCAGTGTTGAACAGCACAACAACCCAAACACATCTCCATCACCTCGGCAGCGGTATAACTCATCCACGGCTTCCCTCCACACTCCGGGATCGGACACGCGGGATCCTGCCTCGCCTTCCGAAAATAATCCACATACACCCTCCGCCCATTCACTCTGCTGACATGAGTGAAGAACAGATCATTCTTCCACGGCACAGCCCTGCAATGTAAAGTCATCAACGTCTCCCGCCGACAACCCACACACGACCATCCCCCATCGAGCCTCTCATAGCACTCGCAATCCTTCCGCGCCGCCGCGTCACGGAAGAACGCCAGACTGTGCGTCTTGCACAACACGGCGGCGGCCGACGCGATCCGGCTCGTCTCGTCCTGGCATTCCTGGATGCGGTAATCGTCCCTGCATTCTTCGCACACATGGTGGGGCCCGTCGTGCGGATCGCAGAGGGTGAGTGGAGGCCAATACCCGTCGGCTTGACGCAGGGGAGGTAGTAGTCCCTCCGGTCGAGGGGGATGGTCGCGCCAGTAGCCCTCGCACTCGTTCATTCGGAGAGGGTCGAGGGAGGTGTTGGGGCATGTGCGTGCACTGGTTGTCGGCGGCAGGAGATCTTCGCTGCATTGGGATCTTTGGAGGTTCCGTCTCTGGACGTTGGCGCTGATGGGGGTGGGGATGCCGGCGTCGTACATGGCGGTTAGGTCGCCGCGGTTGATGTTTGACATTATGCTGTTCTGGATGGGGACGACGTGGGCCATTACGTACTCTATGTTAGCGTAGGGGTTAGTCATATTGGATGATGAATATTGATAAGCTGTCAGATGGGAGTTTGGGGGGAACCGAAGGTGTGGATGTGGCAGGTTTTTGCGAGATATGGACAGGCTGGTGCATCTGATAGGAGGGCCCACGCATTTCGAACGCCATTGACGGCCATGGAGAAAAAGGTTGCTTTGTCGTCCGTCGCTCGCCTCTTTTGACAGGACCTCAATGGACGTTGTTCTGGTCCTTGGAGAAACAAGCCCAACTCCTTTCGCGCTTTATCTTATTGACGTTATTTTTGAGTAACGCACAAACACCCTTTGTTCTGTTAAAAAAGGTCCGACCTTCTTTCAGCCATGAACTCTTGACAAGACCATACCGACCAAGACCACATCTCATTGTCTTCGCGAGCGTATGCCGTGACAAGCTCTGTCTCCTAACAACCACTACCATATTTGCATCGAGGCCTTGTCGCACGACTCCCTATCCGCCCTTCCCCTCAAGTCGCTCCCAGCTACCTTCATCGCTAGCCCCACTCCCGGCCGCCGAACACGCAGGCACAAAGTCCTTCGTATGCGCCCGGCCGGCTACAGCGCCGGCTTTGGGAGGGAGAAGTGTGAACACTTTGCCTATCAAACCGTAAGCACGACCTGAGACAGGGTCACCCACTCACAACAGATGCACCTACCGTCACCATCCCGATGCACCACCCTCATCACATCATCCCTCTCATAACTCAAAAACGTCCCGGAAAGGATCGCCTCGTACCCCCTCACCGCCCTGACCAACTCCCCACGCCGCCCCGCCGTCTCCGACTCTCCCCGGACCGAAAACGACGACCGCGGCACCTTCAACGCCACCACCCGCCTCTCCTGCTTCGCCGCCCGCCCAGCCGCCGTCTCCCACGCAGCTTCGTCATAGACTTCCCACCCGGCCTCCTCCCGCTCCGCCTGCGCCGACTGTGACGGGAACGCATCATCGTCGTCATCACCCCCCCACCCCTCCTTCTCCACCTTCTCCCGCGTCATAGTCTCCTGCCACGCAAAGCCCCACCCCTCTCCCTGCCCTCGACCGCCATCCCCTCGCTGCTGCTGCTGCCGCTGCCGCAGGGTTTCCAACTTGCCCCTCAACTTCGCCGAGTCGAACGATCCGGTCGGACCGTTGCAGGGTCCTGGGGCGGTGTTTTCGGTGTTGGGGGAGAGGGGGACTGAGGAGAGGGTGTCGTTCATGGCGGCGTCGGCGTCGGCGAAGTGCGTCCCGCGGCCGTGGGCGGTTTCGAGGGCTTTGTGGGTCTCGAGGGCCCGGTAGGTGTCCATGTCCGTGTGGGTGTCGGAGTTTAATGCTGCTGTTGGGGGAGATGGGTTGGGGGTGGGTCTGGCGACGCGGGGGGGTTGGTCTTTGTTGTTGTTGTTGTCGTCGTCGTTGTCGTCGGGTGGTGGTGGGGAGGCTTTGGCTTTCCCTTTGGCTTTGCGGCGGGCTCCTTTCTCTTCTTTGGTTTTTTCTTCATCTTCATCTTCTTCTTCTTCTTCTTCTTCGGCCTCGTCATGGTCAGTCTTCACTTTGTCCTCTTTCTCCGTCCAATCCGTAAGTCCTGAAGGGCTGCCGAGAGCAGTGTAAGCGGGTGGTGCGTCCTCAGGCTTGTCAAGATCCATGGGATCATCTCTCTTGCGGTCTTCTTCCATAACGTGGTTAGGGTAGTACACAGCAAACTCAGTCGGGACAGCCGATTCGGTATCCTCGCTCGCACCTTAAAGTTGTGAACACCGAAACAGTAATGTCTGAGGGACAAAGACAGAGTTGAAACACACATGTTGCAGCCTAGACTTCTGTGTTATCGAATAGGCGTAGAGTTCACGTACATGCACCCGGCGGGAGACATGTTCCGCCTGAGGTGACATTGAGCCTCGGTTGTTTGACAATCATCTTCGCTGGTGGTGCTCAGGTGACCATGAACTTTCCCAAGGTTCTCCGAGAGTTGGGTGCCAAGGTCTCACTTTTAAATATATTGTCTCAAGACTTGAGTATTGGTGGAAGATGGGAGCTTGTTTAGAGTGTCAAGGGGCCGGAGAGGTGGTGTTCTTGTAGATTGCGAGATGCGTCCTTGTAATCCTCGCCTTGCTGACTCAAAGCCTGGTCGGGTTTGAAATAGTCAAATGTCCGCTGCTACAGTACATCTTACCCATAGGGCGAAAGCACTCTACTTGTGAGTTCACGACAGGAATAGATTAGTCCTCCTATGGAGGTGAGAAAGTCTCTGTGCAAAAGTCACTAGATCTCACATGCCATGCCCGAGCGAACCCAAAAAGCAACAGAGATCGATCACCAACAACAAGAAGAAACGACGGAAAGGTGGTAAAACCTCTCCTAGGACGATATGTCGTTCGATAGTTCTGTTGTCGCTGCGAATGAGTTCGAGTGCCCAGAAGTCAGAGAAGTCATTGCAACCAGAAGTTGGACGTCCTGAAGGAATCAATGCGTCATTCGATCCCAAAATGGATAGACGCGCTCTCGACCGGAGTATCGAATGCCCGGCGACGAGACACAAGGAAGCGGGGTCGAATTTCTCAACGAAAATCAGACCTCAGGTTTTCTTCTTCTTCTTTGTCGTCTCTCGTCGCATCGCTAACGAAGCAAAGGAAGACCACCACATACCATACCACGGAGGAGTTTGATATCACCGACGGTGTAGGCCTCCAGAACCACAAATGCTTGTACGCGCTGTGGGCGACTTGAGTGTTGACCTTAGCCGAGATTCAAAAGGTGCGCTTTAGAGGGAATTGTGACAGGTAACATCCGTGTACCCGACACATCAATGACGGCACTGGATGATCAATGCGAGCATGGGTCGCTAGAACAACACAGCGACAGCGAGAAATTGTTCTGTCGCGTCACGAATCTGTTATCCACAACAAATCTGGCCAGACACAGCGGTCTGAACGCTGGTGTACGTCATGCGCCTATTACCATTGCACCCAGGTACTTGCCGTTGAAGCAGAGATCAGAGTCGACGTGCTAGCGTGGCAAAGTCACACCCAAGACTATCAACTTCCATGGAGACACGACGATCAACAGTAATGGAGGAACTGTCATCACAACTCCGAGCGTTGAACGGCGTCGTCTACCAATTATTCTCGGTAAGCCAAGGGTGTTCTCGCTGTTGGTACAAGGTTGACAGATCTGAGATAGAAGTTCCAGCGCACGATCTGCCAACGACCACAACTGTCGCCATTATCCTGCCAAAGGGCATACTGCTCCGAGCAACGAACCTTTGGGCCTAGCCGGGCTCCTATCTCAAACCCTTCCCGACGGCTTCCATACCCTACACGCGCTAGCGGAAGCGCCGAGACGCTTTCCTCTCGATTCTTCGCAGGAGGCTGTCCTCTTTGAAGCATTAACCTTTCTTCACAACACTTCAATGCCGCCCAGGAGTTTCATCACGGTGCCATGAGCACGTGCGTCGATCATGACGAAATTTGGGCGGCCATTAAAGCATGAGAACACCGTCTTGCGATACCCCGACTGCTCGTGTATCTGAGGACAGCCAGCCAGGTCACATCGAAAATGACGGTAACGGCGGAAATGGTACGGTAACACGCGGTCAAGGATGGGGAATTGGCAGTGAGGGGTGGCTTCCGGAGCTGACGGCGAGGTTGCCTGCGGCTCCTCGTTGAGGAAAAACCGGCGTAGCAGAAGGTGACCCAAGAGCTTAGAGTTCGGGAGTTGTTGGCTCTCGAGCTGACGGCGTGGTGCGTGTAGCTCTTCCCTGATGAAATAGTCGTGCATCCAGCCTCCTATTCATCTGACATATTCGTCCCTGTACCAAAACAAAAAGCAAGTACTCTTTGTGAATCTCTTTGCCAGCACAACTCTTCGGTGCTGGTTCATGTGTCTCGTGGGTCCCATCACCGATGTTCCTAACAAGTCCTGCCAAGTGATCAATATGCTGCCGGACAAGGACGGCAACCACCCCGAGTGGCGTGACGCATTCTCTTTATAACCAGCTCTCGACGAGCCCGATTGCGGCATCAATTTCAGTCTTTACATCCAGTAGCCGTTTCTTTTCAACACAAGTAGGCATATGACAGGCGTCTCACAAGCTTCTTAATCTCTTCCTCCAACCTCCCAACATCATTTGCGATTGCTGCCTCTCCAGAGTTCGGCACGGGCATGTTGTGGATTGATTCTATATGAGTAAGCCAGGTAATCGCTCTCTGGACGTAATATGAGAGAATTGAAGAAGGATCCACCTGTCCACGTAGCAGCTTTTCACATAGTTCAGACACAGCAGGTAGGTTGGAAGCTTTGTTTCCTCATAAGCGCAGTCATAAAGCGATTAATGCTCCCTATTTCCCCGGCTAGCATTAGGTCCTGTGCGGACATTAACGGCACGACAATGTAACGAGAACTCAGTGATAATTGAAAAGGGAGAAAATAGGCGTAGAGTGCATACTGTACGGTAAGTCAATGGATTGGCTGTTTTTAAAGGAAAGTGGTGCAGTTGAAGATGGGAATATATCTCTTGTCTCTTGCTGAGTAAGCTCGTCACCAAACTTTTCACAAAGCGTCCTAATCCAATCATAACCATAGGTAGCTTGAAAAAATAAGTATGTACTACGTCAAAATATGAAAATCGATCTTTTGCTGCATCCTCGTAATCTCTTCGGGCCAGCGTTGCCTGTTGGTACGGTCGCTATCCCTGCGCACGGCCGTTGGGAGCTATTGAATTGTCACCAATGTCCCATGCTTGCCCTGAGTATATCCTCACGTGGTGGAAGGTCAATTGGCGCCTCAGCCTCCTGCACTCCTGCTTCTGGTGTTTCCGCCTTATCTCCAAAATATATGTCCAAGCCACGTCGCATGTCAAACCCTGCCTAGCAGGCTTCGGTGATAATGGTGGCCACAGTGGATTACAGCCAGCTGCGGGTTTGAGAACTAATCAATCAATTCTTAAGATCCAGGCATTGCAAGTGCTTTTAGCGCCGAAAGCACGGGGTATGTGAGGTATGCGACTGAAGTTGCAACAGTAATGGATGCTCCTAGGCCGGCACAGCTCTGGAAGGTACAACCGAAGGGGAGAACCGCTGTTACGACGCTATTGAAGAGGATGGCTACTCACGAAGAGGTCTAAATCTTCGTGGAAAGGTAAGCCTTTATTGGCTCGGCTTCACGGTCCTCAATCCAAGACTCGGCCGTGGACGGGGTCGTACCATCAGTGTGGCAGGTTGGTGAGTTACGAGTCCCTCATATCCGCAAGACCCAAGGAAGTATGGATGGAGCTGCATCGCTCCAGGAGGGTTGACTTGGTTTCCATCCTCGCAATAGCTGCCCGGCCCCACTCCATTTCTGGGCCCGGACTGCGTCGAATCGTAGCCATTGCTGTGCGTAAAGCGAAGAAGGCTCTCCTAGGGCCTAGCAGGCCCGTGGTTCGGTTGAGGCAGTAAGGCAACGAGCGTGCGATATCGCTTGCTAGAGTCATACGTTGTTCTTCGCTGTGTTGGGCCTCTGTGCGCTGGGCCATTGAGGTCAGCATGAGAGACGCAGTAGGATCTGTAGCGGTAGAGTCGGCACGAGCTTTGCGATTGGTTAATAAGATGATTTGGCATATAGTAGCGATCTCACTGCTGAGAACAAGCTTCAGGGCCCAGAGAGTGACGGTATTGCTTGCCACCATGAGGTTTGGATAACAAAGCAACGGAAGCCCTCCTGGGCCCGAGTCCGCGACTTGTCGTTGAGCTATGGTAAAGGTAGATGGTGGTGTCGGCCAATACGAAGGCGATGGTGAACTGGTAAGGAATTCCTCATACCATTTTTCTAGATCGGTATGCATATCGAGGGCGAGTTGTAGGCAATGTGACAGTGTCGAGATGCTGGTACCGACGCTAGCAAGGTTTGCATTATCAAATTCTTGCAGTAGTCTCGCCAAAGCAAAGCCTTTATCGAATAATCGAGAATGTGTACTATTTGAAGTCTCATCCCAGGGTCCGACTAGCCATCTCCCATCTGCAAGGACTGACGTCCTGCGGTGTTCTAGGCATGATAGCATCTGTGAAAGCTAGTCAGTCCTGGCCTATTAGAATGGAAATGACATTTGCATTTACCATTGAAGAGCGAATGTCTTCCAACATCTCCTGCCCAAAGGGGAAATGCGAAGGTTGAGGTCCCCGCATAGAGATCAGCTCTTCTAAGCCAGACATGTGTCTATCCCATGCCTGCATTGAAGCTAGGGCTGACTCTGTTCCGAAGAGCTTTTAGAGGTTAGCATGAGTCACGCTATTATCTGGAAGAGGAAGAGCAGGTCTGAAATAAACTCGCCTCATAAAGTGCCAAGACGAAGCTGGCTGCAAGTGTCTCATCGTGCCATACTGTAACTTCAGATTGGAGAGCTTTTCGAAGTTGTTGTAAAGCACTCCCATAGAAATTTGCACCTTGAAAAGCCAGTCTGTCATCCTTACACAAGCGTCCTATTGTGGTCATAGATATGGCTTTGAGGGATAGGTGCAGTGCCTCTCCAGGGTCCTGGAGTCCTATTGCTTGCTGAAGCCAATCACTCTTTGCGTAGCCAACTTGAACACAATCATCCGCTGGCAAGTATCTCTGGAAAAAGAGGGCTACGATTTGGCTCTCAAAGGCTGGCGTAGCAGAGAGTTGGAAAAGCATGCGATCGTCTTCTGAATTTGCTAAGGCTCCGGGGAACAGGCCCCAATCGTTGATGGAGACAACAGCTTGCTCCGAACTTGGAAAGGTAACATATTTCGCTTCATCTAGCCTATGCCGCTTTTCAGGGCCTCGTGCAGTGCGGTTGAGGAAGACCGGGTAGCGTTCGTATCCCTCGCATGTTCTTCCGCCCTTGGTACACCGAGCGCAAGACGGCACCTCTTGATCACACTGACTTATACTTTAGTCATCAATATTGGCAAACAGTTTCTGGTTACTAACGAGAACTTTGCGCCTCCTGCAGGTGGTGCAGCCTTTGGACCTGCCGGGAATTCCAGGCATCACTAACGGCTAATCGATTGCACGAGTTCCCTTTACTCTCGTAATCTTTGCAACCTTCTTTGTGCTCCAAACGGCTAATGCCAATGTGAATCCAGTTGCCGGTCGGGTGCACGCTGCGTCAACTACTTTTGCTTTTTGCTAGGACTTGATAGGGATAGAGATAACGATAGCGATGTCGGATGGAGAAAGGTGTATAGAGATCCTGCAAAACTTTGGAAAGTCATTGTAAATTCTCACGCGGTCGACATTTTCCAATTTATCCGCGGCTAAAGAAGATACTTTCCGAGGCCGCTATACCCGTTCAGGGTGCCAAGCTGCGAGATAAACGAGTACGGTACGGACTACGGAGGTCGAAAAGCAAAAGTCCTGGATCCTGTATCAAGGACTCAATGCCCCGTATCCTACCCGCAAACAAAAAGTCCGAAGTTCACTAAAGCTCATTTCATGCGCCCTCAGAAAATAATCATAAAGTAAGATCCACCACCACAGGCTTGCTGTCCGACGGCAGAACTATGGCTGGTTCCAGGACTCTTGGTGCCGACCTCTACACTTCGAGTCTTGGTAACTCCTACCTAAGGTATAAAGTGCATAGGAAACGCTCCTAGACACTCCTGATCGGAACTCCAATCCACCAACTTTCTCCTTTCACATCATACCATGCTATTTCCTGCCGACACCCATTCAACGAAAACAGAGAGAATGGCCCCCCTCAACATCATCATCGTCGGCGCAGGCATCGCCGGCCCCGCCGCAGCCATCGGGCTCGCAGGCAACGGCCACCGCGTCACCATCTACGAGCGCTCAACGACCGGCCAAGAAGTCGGCTACGCTTTCAGGATCACGCCAAACTCCGATCGCTGTCTGAAGCACCTCGGCATCGACACCGTCGTCGGTGGCGCCGTGGCGGCCAACAGGGCCCGCATATTCAACTCACACGGCGAGCTGATCAGAGAGGCGAACGAGAATACAGATCCGGAGATGGCAAAGAAGGCCACTTCGGTCTTCGCTTATCGTCCCCAGCTCGTGAAACAATTGATGGACGCTGCGCGCTCAAGCGGCGTCCAAATCGAGACCGGCGTCAAAGTCACCTCGGTGGATGTCGACAACACAAGTCTCACGCTCGATAGCGGGGCGACGGTCTCCGCAGATCTCATCATCGGCGCAGACGGCGTCCACTCCGCGATTCGTCCAGCCATCATCGATTGCACCAAACACTTCCCGAAACGCACCGCCAATCAAAATGCAATCCGCTTCATGCTCCCCAGATCTGTTGTCCAGAACGACCAACCATGTCCTCCTTGGTCAGTGACGAACTGACCATGTTCTCCTGGATCGAAGGCTCCATCATCAACATCGTCTACCCCGTGGACCACGGCAAGCTCTTCAACGTGACTATATGCCACCCGGCCCATTTATCCGATAAGGAAGCCGACCAAGAGCAAGACAATGCGACTGCGACCTCGTACAACCACAAAGTTTCTTTTGAGACCGTTCGCGACGTCCACAAGGGATGGGACCCGCGCGCTATCCGGTTGCTGGAACTGGCAGACCCGGAAGGGTTCCGCATCTGGCAGCTGATGGATATGGATGAGCTTCCGCGGTGCAGCAGGAATTATACCGCGTTGCTGGGGGATGCGTGTCACCCGGTCCTGCCGCATAGTTTCTCGGGCGCGTCGATGGCGATTGAAGACGCCATCACGCTTTCTGAGTTTCTCGAGAGGGACGTGGAGAGGAAGGAGATTCCGGGACTGTTGAAGTTGTGTGAGGACGTGAGAAAGCCGAGAGTGGCGAGGCTGAGGGAGAGGGCGAGGCAGACTGCGGAGGGGACTGGGGTTGAGGGGAGGGCGGAGTACATGCAGTTCTTGGCCGGGCATGATGCGGTGCAATTTGCGAAGGAGAGGCTGGCGGAGTATAAGAGGGAGCGGTCGCAGATGAGGACTGGGAAACAGACGCAGCTTTGATAGGAGTTGAGAGCAAAACTCGATCAACAGATACAATAATAGAAAACATTGCGAAATTGCACGTCTGAGCCAGAACAACAATCGGCTCTTCACTTCAATCTTGATCGAGCACAACTCATCTTCCTCGGTTCCGACCAGCGACACAATCTCAACACCCGCCTGCGGAGCTTTACTGCCGCTGTAAAAGGAAATCTCCTACTTCAAAATATCACTACCTTTCAAACGTGCCATCATACAACGTTGCAGACCTCACGGTACGCCAAAGCTCGTCGTTCTAAAGACCAGTCAACGTCCACCGCCCTCCTCCCCATAGGCTTGCAGACCCGCTCCGCTCGTCTTTCCGAAATCTATCCTCGCAGAAGGCGAAACCCCAACCCCACCTCAACGCTCTCCGATCTCAAGAAAACCCCAAGCGTCTTCGAGGCTCGCTCACCGTTTTAGCGGCGTGCTCCACTCGGCCTATATAGCGGGAGCGATGACTGCAGCGGCTTTCTATATTCCGCTTTGGTTTCAGGTCGCACGTGGGGTTTCTGCCGAAAAATCCAGGGTCCGCACGCTGCCGATGGTTCTCGCAACAACAGTATCGGCCGGCCTCACTGGTGTGTGCGTCGAAAAGCTAGGGTACTACACCCCCTTCATGTTTTGGGGGGCTTTGATAGAAGCAGTAGGCGCAGGCTTTCTTAGTACAACATCCACCAACACTTCCTTTCGCACATTCGCAGGTTTCCAGATTCTCTTCGGCATCGGCGCTGGCATCAGTTTGCAGCAACCACTCGTGGCGGTACAGACCGTCTTGCCAAAGGAAGACATCCCAAAAGGCTCAGCACCCGTCTTGCTAGGCCAGACCTTGGGATGTTCAATTTTCGTATGTGTCGCGCAGGCTGTCCTTACAAACGGCTCACAGCACCAGCTCGCCGCAATCCAGGATCTCTCTCCTCAAACACGAAAGATTGCAAAAACAGGTCCAGCTGCGTTCTGCTCGGAAGTGCCGGAGGATCTGCTGCCAGCGGTGCTGAAAGCTTATAATGGAGCCATTGCTGGAACCTTTTGGGTTCCTATGGGGCTTTCGATCCTTGGATTTGTGCTTGCGGTAGGTATGGAGTGGAGGAGCGTCAAGAAGGAAACAAGTTCTTGATAGATGACTTAGGACGTCATTACTATTGCCCTGTAAATGTATGATCTTGAGAAGATCTGATGCAGCGTTCGTTCGAAGCGACATCGATCAAAATTACCTCGATTTGCACGACAGGACACTCGCATTACAAGTATTTCTCTAAGCTGCTTCGACCACTTCAGCCTGGTGGAGCCTGTTGGCGTTTCTTTGTCGCCTAGACTTTTCCAACCGTAAAAATGGCCGGTTGCCGATCCTTCCGCATTACAAATGTGGTCTTTTCACGATCGCTTAGGCTGGTGACCTACCCGGTAGACGACAGCAACCCCCTCTCTGGGATTTGATAACTCACTCAACTCAACTTCGTTTTCCCTTTCAAGGCTGTTTTTACGCGCGAGAACATGTCCACCCACAAGACGGACGCTAGGCCAAGATTATCATGAGTCACTGGCTGCCGGCAAAGGTGGGACACACCAACGGCGAAGAAAATCACATATCCAGGGAGGTTCTTGTTGATGTCTTCCTTCGGCCAGTCCTTTGTAGCCAACACTTCCACGAAACAAACGAGGGTGGATGTTACCAGATGCGTCGCAAAGACGAGTAGATACACCGGAACCATGTTGTTATCTTTCAGCGCCGTTAGTTGCCCGACTCTCGAGGCGCCGTCCCGTGAGCCGCGAAGTACCTTGGATAAGACCTCTAATTGCCCATATGCACGTCGGAACCGAGTATATTGCTTCGATAAAGACGTACAGCCGAAAGAACGGCGGGTCTTTCGCGTAGAGAGGATCGTTGTAATTCATACGATAGTAGTCGTGTAGCGCCGTCGCCCACGAAGGTAATTCTACTGGGTACAATGGCACGAAGTCGATTGCTGTGTGGGCCTCAATGGATCAGAAAACCATTGACCTTCGAGCTTAAGCCAGCTAAGGTGAGATTGATGGGTTTCAAGAGGACGACATACTCAATGCGAGGAAGACCACCAGAAAGAGGAAGACGATGTAGAACATGTCTTTCTTTCGACCCCATACTGGCCGGCGGTGACCAGGCTGAGATGACGCGCCGGACATGATGCGTCCAGGATTAAGACTGAGCTTGGAAAGGCTGAAGTATTATTGTCGGTGATTGATTTAACCCAAAGACCGTTGAAAGATGTCACCGTCAACACGAAGCCTCTAGGCAGAGTATTTGGGATACGAGTAGGTATTCATCGTATCCCATCGGCTGGCAAATTTCGTGTAAAATACCGGGGCTTAGCCCTAGCTGCCAAGACATTTTACACTCACTCTCCCGTCCGCAGCTTACATGAGTATTGATTGCGAGCGAGGTTATGGAGGAACCACTACTCACTGCTGTGCGCCCGCTCAATCCCGCGGCACGTGCACCAACGCCCAGTCCCACGATTTGGAAATTAGAGAAAGGGATATGTTTGAGGCTTTTGCAGGGTCTGAGAGGTGGATACCCTAAGCTTCGATAGCCACTCAATCTTCAGTCATGGGAGTCGGAGACAACGTGACATATGAAGAGCATTGACGTATCGCCTGCCTTGACTATCCATGCAACATCTCACCTACTAGACCAATGCTTATCATCGCCTGAAAGGCAGGAAGGTCGGATATCGATTTATTTAATCTGTCTATACCTTATCTTCCCTCGACGAGAGATCCAAGTACGTCTGCTCGTTTTCCACCACGAACAAGACACTGAGTATCCGGGGTTGCGAGCTCGCCTTGAGCTTTTGCCTCTGAAGATGAGCACATCTATCTACAACGGGCTATCCCAGCTAAACACATCCATTCACAATGGGCTGTCCCAGCTGAACACATCTGTCAGCAACGGGCAGCTCCAGAAGTTCCTGCGCACATCGAACCTCGAGAAATGTAACTGACCCCAGGCAACGTGTACTTTGTTTCTTTCGTCTAATTTGGCTTTCAGTCGGTTCCTCGCCTGCCAAGATGGCAACGTACCTGTTGATTTTCGCGGTTGCGGTTGCCAGTCGTATCGATTTTATAAGACCGAAACAAATTCATTCGCAAGTAACTCAGCAGCGAGAACCCCCGTTGGTGCATGCAGCGTCTGGAAATTCTTGCGACATGGAACTCATATCCTTGACACTTTAGCCGCCGAGAACATGCATAAGGTGCCCCATGGAATCTTCACCGTCGCCGTTCTCGACTGGCATATTGTTGTCAATTCTCCCGAAATGACTCAAGTCATACAATCAAGGTCAAAGTATATGGGCTTGGGATGGATTGCAGTTCTCGTCATGGCGAATATGGGCGGTCAGCCCAAGAAAGCCACCGAGCTTTTATTCAAGGGTGTCGATCATGCCGACGTGGGGAATGGCCTTGGCTTCGTTCACGATTATCATAAAATTGAATTGAGGGCCATGTCACTTGGAACTAGTCTAGACGCCATGCAGGAAGACTTCGTCGCAGCATCGGATCCGTTCATTGAGTCACTCATGGCGTCCGTCAAGAGTGGTCATGGAAAAGTGGATCTTTGGGAGTGGCTGCGCATGTCGATCACAGACTCCGTGTCGCGAGGCGCCCGGGGTCCAAAGAGTCCATACTGCAACAATCCTATCTTATGGGAACAATTCTGGACATTCAACCGAAGTTACAATTTTTTGAAGTACAACTTCCCTCGTATCTTCGCCCGTCGTGGAGCCGAAGCGCGCGAGAAAGTTGTTGATGCTTTTGTCGAGTATGATGAGAATGGCGGGTTCGAGACCGCAAGCCGCCTCGCACGAGACCGCGCAAAAGTCTTCGAGAAGACTGGGCTGGACCGGCGCGAACTGGCTCGCATGGCGGTGTCCCAAAGTGTTGGACAATTCGATAACTCGGCCACTGTTACCTTTGCCGTCCTATCCTTCATCCTTCACGACCCTGAACCCCTGGCACGCATTCGAAGCGAACTTGATGAACATATAACGAAGCACGACGATCAAGGCCGAAGGTCTGTTGACACTCTACGAATAGGCAAAGATTGCCACCCCTCGAAGTACTGCGATGGATTGCCGTGGGCGTGACAATCCGTCGGATCGAGCAGGGCTATCCCCTGACAATTAAGGAGGACAACACCGAGTACTTCCTCCGCAAGGGCAACTTCATCTGGGGTTTAGGCGTCGCCATCCACACCTCCAGCTTGAAAAGGATGCCGACAAATTCATCCCGGACCGGTTCCTGGGCGTGCGTTATCCCGAGACTCAGATGCCCGACATCTTTCAAGCGTTCGGAGGCGGCGGCAACGTCTGTCTGGGACGCCATTTTGCTCGCACGATAGTGCCCGGAGCCGTCGGAACCCTCTTGATGGCGTTCGATTTCGAGCCCTTTGATGGTAAGCCGCTGTGTGTGCCGAATCGCAAAGATCTCATGCTGGGTCATGCTACTCCAAATCCGTTCGGAAACACCATTGCCACAGTCAAAGCCAGAGTTGCATAGTTGCAGCTTCCGGATGAGACGTTTTCCGGTTACCTGTGGTTATCAGTCTTATGTAGTCATAGGTATCTAGGATTAGAGGGAGATTCAATTACCGCTCTCATGATCGCCCTTTTGCCTGCCTCAAACAGGCATCATAGTGTGTTCCTTGAGATGAACACTCAACCTGTTCTGGTCGATACCAATACAAGTGTGTCCAAAATGGAGAGGAAGCCTTTCAGAATTGTCCCCCTCTACGCAAGTTGCTTAATTATAACAATGGCAGTGCTTTGAGCCGGTGAGAATGCCCAAATACAAGCACAATCTCATCAGGTTTCGAATACTTCCCTGGTAGGCAAACCCGTCCTGACAAAAAAGAAGGTAAACGCGCAACTCAGAATCGCGAAAGTGACGAATCCAAACCGATAGCATGGATACAGCGGTTGGCACAGCCTGCGGGACATTTTATTGGTTCGTGCTTTTATATATCAGTACCTCTTGAATATTTATTTGACAGTGGAACTTAGTCGCTGTTGTTATGCGTGAGCCGTACCCTCGAAAGGCCTCTAGATTTTTTAAGCGGACTAGACCAAAGAATCTTCCAACGCTGTCTGGCACGAGATTCTAACGGCTGAATATAAATTAAAGAAATTCGCTGCGGATGTTTGCATCATTGCATCAAAACCCAGCGCTGAGACGGCCAAACCTAGGACTGCTAGCCGCCTAATGTTGACGTTGAAATGTAGTCGTAAACGTAGAGCTCGTAAGAATCGTAGGGCTCGTAAGAAAGATCATTCCTAATCCGTCAGATTTGAATTCGCCAAGCAGTCTATACATGAGTCGCATAGGAACACTCCGGGGACGACAGTTAGGTTCGATAACATGATGACATAGATCTACGTGCGGCCTCCGGCCTAAGAGATGATTTGGCCCATGAAAGGAGTGTGGCTCTGGCTCAGGCTGGGGACCCTCTGGCGTATGCTTTCTGCCAGCTCGTGCTCTCCTCGGTCAACAGCAAGATCTATCGCGTGCTTGTTGTCCGCGTGTCTTCGAAGATAGGCCTCGGCACCGGACTCTAGTAGTCTGTGGATGATCCTAAGCTGCAAGTTGCTGCTCAAATCGCTGCTCTCGATGGCGGCGTGCAATGGCAGAGACGAGCAACCTGTGATATCAGGATTCACAAGCGCCTTGTAATAGATTAAGAGGTCCACAATGTTGAGATAGCCTCTTCTGACTGCCACCTCGAGAGCAGTGTGCCCATGGTCATCACGAATGTTGGCGTCGGCCCCGTGATAAAGTAGAGCAGAGCAACAAGGCTCGTCTCCATTGGCGACTGCCGCAAACAGAGCAGTCCGACTGTTAAGATCCCTTTCGTCTATGTCGGCTCTCACTTGGCCCACCCTCGATGGCATAGTCAGGGGCGGGGCTAGCGGCGTGGAGCTACAGTCATTGGGGTTTGACAAGAGTGCCAGGATGATGCTCGGGTTTCGATGTTGTACGGCGGCATGTAGAGGTGGCACATTCAGGTTCGAGTCAACATGAATACCACCAACTGTCTCATTCCAACGATTTACGAGGACACGCCTGATAGACATTGAAGAGGTGGGGAATGATTCGGCCAACAGGTGGGAAGATTCGGCCAACAGGTGGAAAGGGCCTTCCTGAGTAGGCAACGCTGGCCCTCTGTACATGCCGGCGATCTTCAAGAGGACATGTGCATAATGCCATGGATGACGCAGCTCTTGGAACATACGTGCTATCTTCAACAAAATATTTCGTTTCCGTGTGTCGAACAACCGGTACTGGTCCAAAGCGAATACAAGGTCGAAGAGTATCCATCGGGCCAGGTGAGATTCATTTCGGTCTCTAGCTTCGACAGCGATGTCATATATGTTTATAGAAAGCTCATGTAGTTTTTCTTCGATCGACAAGTCTTGATACGGTTGTTGAGCTCGATGAGAGGGACAGTAGACAAACGCGGGCTGAGTCACGTATGCTAAAGTGGTTCCTAGAGCGTGGAAATCGTCAACCCTGAGAACAGATGCACGAATCAGTATATTCCAATGGGTACTTTCAACGCTGGCGAGGTCGTACTTTGAGAAAGCCTTCTCCTCAAGGTCCGCGATGGACTCAGTGCCAAACGGCTCTCTCCCATCTTCGGCGCTACCAGCATCCGGCGGGCCCACGTTTCTTCCTCTTCTAGAACGCGTGGCAGGAGCAGGAACGTTTAGCGCTGACCGCGCTGTTGGTCCTTCTGAGTGTCTTTCTCCTGCTTGACTGCTGCGGCCCGCATTTGCATTCCCAAACACCACCTCACGCCGCCGGATGACTGCAAGGTCCTCGCTATACCTCACATTTGGTCCACACGGAAGGCGATGGGTCTCGCAGAAGTCGCACCTCTGCTGACTGTTCTCCCAGTCGCGGTCATGTGGGCTGCACTGCGAGAACAGCAGAGAATTAGTCACCGATTATTACTGTCTCGGATAAATCCCGGCCCGGCTCTTCTCACCTTTTTCCTTCGATGTCGGCAGACGCTACACTTCTGCGTGTCCCGCGTATTTGTCGCTGGTCCAAGGCTGTTATACATGGCCACATATTGGTTGTGATGTGGAGAAGGATAAAGATGAAGAAAAGGAGAAGGCTGGGAATTTGGGAGAGAATGCAGCCTGAGTCTTGAAGGGAAGGCTGCGGTTTTGTGAAGTACTACCCTCTAAAATGAGGCTCTTACACATACATGAGCTGCCTAAGACATGTCAGGCTTGTAGAGGCAGCGAGCGCTCGGTCAAATCTTGCGAGATGTCTATCCATTGGATCAAGTCTCGTAGGTCGTTGCTCCGAGTCGCTCTAGTGCTCGAACCTGTCATTGTCATTACATGAGGCACTTACTTGATGCACGCGTCGATCTCAAGCACTTTCTCTCATCCTAGCTAGACGTTGCTATGAAAGCCCGCTGCTCCTTTCGCTTCGCATGTGCATCGCCTATCTCCTACCGATCTCCTGCAGGGCCGCGTATTTTCGCTTCCTCGCTTGCTTATTGCGCTTCAGATTGACCACTGGGACATAGAGCATGGCGTATTTTTGCGCACGCAAAATGAGGCGTTGGTGTGTACAGGCTTACATCGTGCGCAAGGCTACACTCATCAGTGCAAGGCTGCAGAAGGTGCCGGTTCCGCGTACGTCTTTTATGGGGCGCTTACCATAGCTAAGAACTCGATTCAAGACTAAGGTACTTTCATCACTATCCAATCCCTTGCCGAGCAGTGTATCATCCTTACACCACTGTGGATATATGTCTCGGCCTCCATCCAGTTTTTCTACAACCTTGTGGCAATCGTCCTTATGGCTGAGTTTGTGGAAATGCAGAGCAATGAAGATGTTGTTGTCGAGTATGTTGTTATCTCCGTCTCAACCTTTGTCATACTCACCACTCAAATAGCATCATTTTTGTTGAGAATCCGATAGAGCAGAATCTCCGAGATTGGGAAGAATCTTTTGGCCATTTGGAATGGTTCAAGGAGGCTTTCCCAAGACATTCCATAAAGACGCGATCTTTGTACTACAGATATCATGGTCAAAGCTCTCGGGACTCTCCAGTCGAGGTTGTAAACCATGCAGCGCATGGTTTGTTGTCCGAGTGGGCAAAGCTCGAAACACATTCGCTGGTCAAGCCGTTGATAGATTCATCTGGGAACGCTGTAGACGAAGGCGATGGTCTCCCTCGACCCGTGCTCTTTGTCTGCCAGGGTCTCGGCGGTCTTGTGGTAGAGGAAGTATGACGCAGAGTTCTCCTGAAGCTGAGCATCATTGACTTCCTTACAGGCTTTGCTTTTGAGTGAGTCAGAGGAAGAATTGCATGCGTTATCTAGGGAAACATACGGAATAGTCTGACCCCAAACATGCCGAACACAGGAAGCCAAAAAATGGAGCTAAGACTGCCATAGATTTTCCTCGGCTTTCCTCACGCCAGCCCTGTACAAAGCTCGATTGCAAGCCTGCTAGAGACATTAGATGGCTCGAACCGCACGCACTCGACACCTCAAATGCGACAGATCGCAGACGTCGATGGGCAATCAGCCCGATTCGCCCGAGAAAGCTGTAGGCCTGATCGGCCATACATACGTGTTTTTTTTTGTCAGGAGACATCAACTCCATGTCCTGGAGCCAAGGTTCGTATTTGCTCTGCTGATATTGTAGTGATATCTTTGCGAGCCTCGGTTTGCTTTCCGTTCAAGCTTACGGTCATGTCAGGTACTCCATCACCATTGCTTGTGGTCTATGGTCCCTCAATCTTGGCTTTCAGAGAGTGCCGAAAAACATTACTTCATTCCCAAGACGCTACCGCAAGATGTTATAAGAGCCAATGTCGAGCGCTCGATATATCGTTTGAGCGAAGGTACGGACATCTCAAAATGCGGGTAAGCAAAGGCTCAATCTTTATAGAAGCAGCGGGAAGTCAAGACGATCATCGCGGATTCCTCCAGACCGAACAGTCACTTCTGCAGATGTGGTTAAGGCAACGATCCGCGACCAGCTGCGAGTGGTTGTTCAATCTTCAAGCATACCGAAAATGGGCGAATGAAGCCGAGAACCCTCTGCTGTGGCTCAAAGGTCGGCCTGGGGCAGGCAAATCCATGCTTTGCTCGGCAATAATTGAAAACCTACAGCAACGACAGGAGCAGAGATGCGCAGTGGCTTTCTGCTTCTTTGACTCACGCCAAGGCCAAGTCAGCTCGGCGCGATACATGTTGAAGGCATTCGCTTATCAACTAAGAGGATGTATGCGATCCATCGTGCTAGAACGCCTGCTGCGTTCGGTCATCAGAGAAAGCGAGAAGCTTACGGATCCAATGTCGCTGGAACAATTTCAGCGCAAACTTAGGGGACTTATAGTAAGTGTAAACACTCATGTACAAGTGTTCTTGATACTTGATGGTCTCGACGATGATGAATCGATCGAAAAAGTCATCATGCACGAGATCCTCCGAGCCAACAGGTCAAGGGAGAAATCACACATTTTCAGATGTCTTATATCAAGTCGGTCTAGGTGCGAGGCTAGGATCGGCCCTGAGGATATTATCCAGATTGACTTGAGCGCTGAGCCAGGACTTCAGCAGGACATGTTGAGTTTTGCCAGAATTCGATTGGCGAATATCTTCAGGACTTCCACGAAAAAAACCGTGCATACCTTGGCTCTCGCGAAGCAGCTGTGCTCGCGCGCCAACGGAACTTTTTTGTGGCTGGCATTGGCCATTGAGCAAATCCAACGGACGAAATCTCACCTAAATCTGCCACAATTGGTCAACTCATTACCAGCTAGCATTGATGCATTCTACCAAAGGGCGCTGCAACAAATCCCATTGCAGGATGTTGAGACGGCCCAGAAAATTTTCTCCTGGCTAACAGTTGCTAGTCGGCCTCTGTGTCTCCCGGAACTTCTAGAGGCTTTGTCGATAAAAGCTGATCAATCTCAACTTCCTGAGCAGCCGCCATTAGCTGGCAACGAGCTAAGCCTACCCAACTCACAAGCTGAAATCTACCGCATTTGCGGATGGCTTGTGACCATTACCGAGGAACGCATTGTTAGACTGAGACACCCAACTTTGCGAGACTACCTTCTTTTTGCAGATGAGTCGTCGAACCATCCTCGTCATCTGGTACTCGCAGCCCATGAACGTCTTGCGCGGGCTTGTTTGGTACTGCTGAGCTCACTCTTAAGGGCGGAATCATCTTCAGCTTTGACCAACATAGAAACCGCACAGCAGCTGTGTGGAGGGATGACCTCGACCTTGACTAGATATGCAGCTGCCAATTGGTCTGTCCATTATCGTCTGTCCGAGACTTACAGCAGGGTTCTTGCCGGCACACTGCAGCGCTGTCTAATCATCAGGCTTGACTACGATTGCCAGTGTTTCTCAATACCCAACAGTGGACGTTCCATCCAGATTGCTCATACCACCCTTCGAATTTCCGCTTCGTATGGTCTGATGTCTCTAACTCAACTGTGCCTGGAGATGGGTGTGGACCCAAAGGGTGGTTCTTGCGTTCTTTGTGAAACGCCGCTCGCTATTGCAGTAGGAGGTGGACACTCGGAGGCTGCAAACATCATTTTGCGAGGGGCCGCGCATTCTGCATCTAGAGCGAGCTATAATTCAGAGGAAATGATTCACCTCGCTGTAGCTCGGGGACTTACAGACGCGGTCCAATCACTTCTGGAGTGCGGCTCTAGTGTAGACGTTGTTGAAATCGATTCGGGGAAAACTTTGCTACACGTTGCTGCGGAGTCTGGCAGATTGGATCTGGTGAAATTGTTGATGGGCTACAACACGAACGTGAATGCAGTCATACCAAAAACCCATGAGACACCTCTACATATAGCAGCAGTTCATGGATATATACATGTTGTCAAGTACCTGGTTGATGGCCGCGATCCTTCCATGAGGGAGTTGGAGCTATATGACTCGATTGTGCAACAACCATACTATCAGTCTTGGACGAAAGACTTAGTAACGAACGAGGGGAAAACAGATAGCATGGTTTGGGATATCGACACGCGGGACTCAGTAGAGGCGCACATAGGACGCTTATGGTCTTGCTCGACCAGATACTCGGACATCAATTTGCGTACTTCTGAGGGGATCACAGCACTTGATCTTGCAGCCTCTAACGGCTACAGTGATATTGTTCGATTTCTTCTTGAAAGAGGAGCAGACTTTAAGAGCGAGGGGAGTACTCGATGTATTGCACTGCAAGCAGCACTAGAGAATGGACATCTCGAAACTGTCAAGCTTCTACTTGCGGCAGGGGCCAACATGCATGAACAAACCGATGGACTGGCACCGACACTGCAACACGTATATAAGAAAGGTCATGATGACGTTGCAGACTTTGTGGCATGGTACTGTTTCATCGCAGAGATCTCCGCAAAACAATTCCCCTGGCCAGTGCTGTGTCTTCCAACTAAGACGACCAATACAGTCGTGCGCGATGCTATACAAAAGGCGAAGCTTCACACGAAATTCTCAAAGCTTGGAACGCATACTCAATTCGCGCAACGCTTGGGCAAGCTAGCGGAGAGACCGAAAGGCCCATTCGGTGCGAGGTGAGGAGCGTCTTCATTTGCCCCCATGCTGTTTCGTTGAGCCTGTAACGTCATGTATTGTATTAACCGTTTTGCCCGGCATGATGTTACATTGTACGTTTGTACCTGATTTTGCTAAGTCTGCAGCTTCGCGTGAATGCGCCTTTACACTATGTGTGGCATGTATACCAACAAAATGGCCTAAGACAGATCGTTGCTTTCTATTGTCTCAAATTCCATCTTAACCTCGTATTTTGTATTTTCACAAACTTTTCTGGACTTCACTAAATCATTTTGGCCCAGGCGCGAATAACACGAACGCAAGTATCGGGATGTGGATTACGGGTGGGAAGGTTTGGCTCTAAGGTTCCGCTTTATAATTTTGCTCGCCCAATGGGTGACCGAAGTGATAGAAACGGACAGGATACCTTTGAGCGCTGCCCTTACGACAGCTTACGAGTAACGATGATATGCAAATTCGAGAGGTACTGCGTTGCATTTGACGTACATCGAATACGCTCCGAACGTGTCCTATTCTTTTGCAATTACGCGCTCTCTGTCATTGTCATTGTCAGGCGACGCGAGCCCGGTAAGCGTGACAAGCGACAGACCCTGCGACATATCTCATCCGTAGCTTGCCAACGCGACTTCGCTCGCGACTTGCACTCAGAAATTCGGTCTCTGAGCGTACGCGACGCTGGCGTGTATCTGCCACCAGCTGGTCCCTATGCGCCCACTTAGAATACAAGAAGGTAGCCTTGCCTCCCGAGCCCCAGTCTTCTGCGAATCCTCCTAGCTGCTCTCCCACTCCTACCGCTCCCCTACCTACACCCAAACCCTCCCGCAAACCGCTGACAGAGGCCTCCTTGACACTCCGAAGAAAGCCACGATGGCCTCTCATCCGGTCCTGAACGCCTCGTCCACAGTGACCCCAAGTTTGAAACCCTCACACCTGCCGCAGCCCACAGCCTTCCATTTCGGTGGCTTCAATCAGAATCAATGGGGGCCTGACTCCATCGGCACGATCCTTTTCGGGGTAGTCATGTTCTTCATCGGCATCACTGCGCTTTGGCAAGGCAGAGTGAGGAGGCTGAGGCATGAAGAGGGCACGTCGGGCTCCGTCCTTCCTTCCTTCCGTCCGTTCCTTCATTGATGAGCCTGCTGACACATACTAGATGAAGAGCAAGGCCGATGCACTCACGTTAGAGGCCGCCCGGTTGCTGTAGCAGATGAGCTCGCCATGGCAGATCTTTCCGAGGTATTCGGAAGCGAAAGGGTAGCTGTGGGGACGGATGAGCAAGCTCGAGAGGATGAAACGATGAAGCAGGGGTTTGTGAAGATTGAAACGGGCATACGGACGGGTACGGAGGGGACATTGGTAGGGCATGATGACGACGAGAGTGAGGGGAAGGAACTGGAGGATTGATGTTGCAAGTAGGTTCCCTATAAATATCGTCTCATCACATCAACGCGGGGACTACTCAAGTGGTTCGTGAGGAGCTGGCCGTTTTAATGCATTGGGTCGCTTTCGACCCGCGTAGAGGTTATGCTCTGGTCAATTAGACTGCACTGCCATGTCTCTTCCTTATTCACAGCATGCTTCTCATCCAAACCCACTTAGAGGCGTTTAACCACCTTCATCTGCAACTCGATCAAGGTTCAATACCCTTCAATCACCATCCTTCGCCCAGGAACACCCCCAAGATACGCTGTCCAGCCCGAGCTGAAACGCCTAGAGTTTGGGAGTCCCCGGCGGCTTCGGAGCCGGTCTCGTGGGACGCGGCACCGGTTGCGAGGGTTCGGCGGATGTACTTTCAACCTTGGTGTCCATGTCTTTGGCTCGGAGACTCTCGATGGGGCACGATACGGTTCAGAAATAATGGAGTGAGTGAATTATGAAGAAAGGCGTTGCTTTGGATGGAGAATAATGGCGAAAGAGAAACCCTGCGAAAGCAGTGCAGGTGCTCTTAATATAGGGCTCTGGTTATGGGAAGTAGCAGGTGCACAGCACGTGAACATTTGCCTCGAGAAGAACGACGAGATCCTCACCAGTAGTACACGATAATGGAAGGGGGAAGCCCGAGAGACGACAATGGACGAGAAGTACTGAGAACGAATTTGTTCTAGAGGTGCCTGAGAGAACTATTCACGGGTGTTTATCGGATCCAAAGGTGACAGGCCTTTAGTGGTAGTTATTCAAAGGTGTGGCAGGATATTTGGTAAAGATGTATGGGCCTTTTCCCTGCCGCAATTTACATTTTGAAGTCAATAGCACTTTGATAGATTTGAGAATATGGATTCGTCAGCGTGATTTATGGCAATATTTACCCAAGCAGCACGAATATGAGCAAGTACTTCGGGAGCTCGGCCTCGAAGTCTCACCTTTTCTTAGGTTGTCAAGTCAGAGATGCCATGAACCGAAGAGCCGATGCCCGAATTGTGGGATCCACAGGTGACAGTGGGATCCACAGGTGACAGATTGAACCTTCAGTGGTCATTGTCCAAAGGTGTGGCAAAACAGTTGGTAGAGATGTATGGACCTTTTCCCTGCCATAGACTACACTTTGAAGGCAACAGGTCCTTGATGAAACAGAGAATATGGGTTCACCATCGCGGTCTATGGTATCATTCTTTAAGCTAGACAAATATGAGTAAGCACTTCTGGCACTCGCCCCCAAAATGTTGACAATTTCGCAAATTGTCAAGTTAGAGATGCCACAAAGAGAATTTCCTGTGTCTTAAGCTTAGGAATCGTATTACCGTGGACTTCATCTCTCAGTTATAACAAAGGTGCGGATCCTTTGTCGGAAACTATTTGGTAGGCAATGTCCAAGAGCTCCAGAGAACCATCGAGTCTGCCAACCTCGCACAAGTACCTGGGTTCCTTCACTAGTCGTATGTGACCTGACCTGCTAGATGACTTACCAAACACAATTTTTGAGCAGTTCGCCAAGCTCGGGCAGAGTCTGTAGTGGGTGAGGATCTTTGCTGTGTTCCTGGAAATCTTTCACAAGCGTCCATGCTTGCTCAATGCCCTTTCGACATTCTTCCCCACGATCGAACAGAGATCTGCCACTGATCTGCTTCGGGAAGTCCGAGTTGAGACGTCGGATAGTGGCCTCGAAACTTATTGGAATTGAAGAGAGGTTGAAGGATTGATTAGCTATGGAGTGGTATGTAGGCTACTTATATACCATGTGAAGCTCATGCTGATTTGCCACCTGGTTGCCACCATGAGGAGTAGCTACAACACATTATGGTGCTGCAGCATGATTTCCAACAAAACTCTTCTGCCTTTCAAGATATTCCATGTTAGAGAAGAAAGCCTATTTCCAAGTTGCTGTTGATGGAGCGAGTGCAAGGTGTTCACATCTGACGAGGTTGGAGATTATGGAAGTGACTCATCTGCTCGCTTACTAGGTAACTCAATGACGCCAAGCGATGTCTCATAATGTACCTGGCGTTGGGCGGTAACAAACCCTGCCTGCGGTGCGATTGGCTCTTTTGGAGCGAGGCTATCGGGACCCTGCATGATGTCTGGAATCAAGGAGCGCCTAGCATCGGTCTGCTCACGGTGGTTTCATCTCTGCGGAAATGGTAGCCTTGTAAGAGAATGTAGCAAAAGTCATGCATAGAGGGTGGAAATCTCAAGGATGTTGTTGACAATTCTACAATTGAGGCTTGGTGCCACAGAAAAACAACAGGTCATCACGAGCTTTTGCGAAAGAATGTGGAACTTGTCCCGGAGTCCCACAAAATATAACACAAATGATATAAGAAAGGACAGCCGTAAGCGCTTAGATCTTTTCATTTTAACCAACTTTTGTGATTATCAACCAGAATGGAGTGATGATCATCTCGGAAAGGTCTCGAGTAGAACGTACTCGAGGAAGAAAACTCAGAAAATTCTCGTTCAAACTGACAACCATCTAAGGCTCCTGTTTCGACGTAAAGACGATTAGCTTCTTGAAGCGATTTCGGAGAGACTGAAGAAGTTTAAGGGGTATTAGAAGGGTGAATCATTGAGGATGTGGGATATGAGGATAACCGAAAGGGAAGGCGCATATGATCGTGCTGGGATGGGAGAGCGTGGAGGCCGAAGATGGTTTTTGGGGAGACACAGGTGTTCAAGGATAATATACATTTGATCAGAGAAGGACCCTTTAGGTTTGGAGCTGCATCAGACGGAGATTTGGTGGAAACATATGAAGAGCATGTAACATGAAGTCGGGAAGGTGAGTACTATAGAAGCTGGTGGTACTGGCGATAATTCACCCTCAGTGTCTCGGAATGATTTCTTGTTAGCTGAGACCTACCGAGATCTTGAATGCTCGGCCGCGGAGATCAGGGATAGCAAGACAACTATATCTAGTCTACAAACATACAATATAATGGTAAGGCATGACATCGCTGAGAAAGAGCCCGATGCTGACCCACGGTTGACAATCTCGTACTTCGACTTGGCTTTGGGTTATACAACGACCGGACCGTGTGAAGAAGCTGTCAGGTGCAAATTTATGTTGCACAGTACTGAAGGAGGTTCAGCGACTTGAATTCTCAGGCCAGGCCCAAGCCCCGAGCTCCTTGCCGTTCACTAATCTTGCTTGTATTTATTGGCTCGTGGGTCGATCGGATGGTAAGAAACCCCATAAAATGCTGACCAGTAAGGATATGGATCATCTGATTCACTTTGGGTCGCTTTAATTGCTACAAGTGGTACGCATTAAACACCTTCCAAGGACCTTAGTGATCTTGTACCACAGCGACTGGCAATCATCTTGTCTTTTTGCATTGGACCGCACGTTCGTATTGGGGGGAGAGAGTTGATAAAACCGGTCCTGCGGGAGGGCTCGGATTTATAGGGATCTGATGCTAGCTGGACTCTAATATGCGTTCGAGCCGCCCGACGGCCCCGACCATCCTTCCTGGCCACAGATATACGCGAGAGATATTGAATTTGCCATCGTCACCATGTTCTCAGGAATGCATCTGTGTTTCACCAGCCTGTTTACATGGAGCACGCTCAGATTGCGAGCTGATTAAACAAAAATTGCATGAAGATCGGCTAGTCAACCAAATAGCGTTTCGAAAAAGTGTATAGAACACTCATATGTGATGCAAGAAAGCACAATCCGTCACACGGATGGCCAGGCTTTCCCCGACAGCAACTAGTGACACTTATAATGGGTCTCCCGTCAGCTCTGTTATTGTGTCAACCACTGCATTTGTATTACAAAAATGTCCATTTCGGTGATAAGGCCGTGCAAAGCGTGCTCTCTCCCCTCACCAAGTCCACTACTCTTCATCGCTAGTATCTCTGATTAGCTTGAGGCAGTGTTATAGAATAGGGGGGAGGCTTTGCATACCCAAAGTCCACCTGTGCCCCTTTCGTTCTGCTAGGACCTAATCGATAGTACTATCCGCAGAGTTGAAAGGGAATTGTTAAGACATGGCCAACACAGGCCCGATTAGACATAGCGTCAAATCGGCGTCACTCGCGACTATTTCAAGCGTTTAGGAATTTAGATAACTACACAAATCAACCACCTCCATTTCATTCATTCAACCACGTCTAGGACCGATCAAGCCTATTGATAATGTCCTATACCCTACCTTGCCTCTAATCTCCCCAACCTCATTACCTTGATCATGGCTTCTATAAGTCAGTCGGCAGGCTCATCCCAGCCAACCGAAGAGCATTGTGCGGGAAAACAATTTCAAGTGAGAGAGCAAACCCATGACTCGTCCAATTCGAATCAAGAGCAACCAGTGACCAATTTCACACCAATCCAAGAGCAATTCATTGCTTCATCTTCTCCAGGCAAAGACCTTTTTACTCGCACCTCCCTTCTCAAACCACAAGGGTCTACTTTTACGACCATCGCGCCCGAGCTCCGTCTCATAGTCTACAAACACCTTTTCCAAACTCCAGCCACGTACCTTCTCCGCCGCCGAGCCGGTATCGATGACGACAAGGTGATCAAGAGGCTTACACACACGTTCGACAGCAGCATTTTGTTCACCTGCCAAAAAATTTACCAGGAAGCACTTCCTATCTTCTATGCCAGCCAGACCTTCCATTGTTCATCGACTACTGGAGGGCTCTCTAAGATCAAAATTTCCAATCCTGAGTTTCCGGCGGACAGCGACACGCCTGTACGGGACGGGGCCATGCCTCCTTTCAGCGACAACTTACATCTCATGGTGAATCTGAGCATGGATTTGGAGGTAATTAACCCTGGAAATACCGACGCGGTGCTTTCCAAACAAATCACGGCATTTGCGCGGCATTGCCCGCGGCTTCGCACCCTCATTATCCACCTTTTGACCGGCAATGGGCGCATCCAGGACTTCCCAGCCGACAGTGCCACAGCGAGTGTGCTTCGTCAACTGCGACCGCGCTTGGACAACCTCAGCATTCTCGTC